TAATTAATTAATTGTTACTGTATTTACATATATTTAAGAAATAACCCTATAATTACAAACATTAAAATTATATATCATACAGTAGTATAAATTTTATGATAAATCGTAAAACTTTATTTAAATATCATACACACAAAAAAGACATAATTTGCTTCTATGAATACCCAGTTATCTAAAAAAATTAACAGTTTGATTGATATAAATTAAATTAAATAACATATTTGAATCTTTCTCTAATAATATGGTTCAAGGGAACACCACCACAAACAACAACAAAAACACTACAATTTTATTATATATTAGAAAATATAAAAAAAAATTTAACATTTTTTATAGCCCTGTTTTAGACTAAACTTATTATTGCCCATTGTATTCAATACGTTAAAAACTAATATTATGCAACTTTTTTGTCCATATATTATATATCATATACACTATATATTGTATTTGTGTTGTGAATTGATGAGAATTACTTGTTTTTTTCTATATACAGTATATACAGTACTATATTATATAATATACTATACATATATACAGTATATCCAGAAAATTATTATATAATAGCAAAATGTTGACCCAATTTGATTATATTGACTCCAATGACTGCCAAAGTGACTCCTCTGCAGTTCATTTGCCCTCAAATGACACTTAACAGCAAAAGGAGTTGTTTTTTAATTTTGAATTTTGCTTTTTCATTAAACAACAAAAAATAATAATAATAATAACTTATACCTAATGTGGCAAACATTTACTATTAATATAATGAATGGATTATATTATATTATATATAGATTTGAGTGTAATTGCATTTTAAGGGTCAAAAATAATAGTAAATTGAAAGTTGCAGTTGTTTTTTGAAATTCAATTCAATTGGAGGCAAACAACCTCTTTGTTCGGGTCAATGGGTTTCAGCAAAAAAAATAAATTGGTAATTACTGTGCCTTTTAGTAAGTGATGACTGGCCTCACAATTGGAGCTCTATTTTTAGGAAAAGCTTTTCTGGCCATACATTTTGTGTCAATGTTTATCACACGTATCTATTGTAGCCCTACTATAAGGTCAACAGCGAGAGAGAGAGAGAGAGAGAGAGAGAGACTTAGAGAAAAGGAGAATAACGGCCCTCAAAGTGGTGTTGCTCTCGGGTTTAGTTCACTTGTTTTGTTGTGTTTACCAACAATACCTTCCCTTTCCTTATAATCACAAAAACACCAATTTATTTATAGCAAATTTCAAGTGAAAACTTTTAATACTAATTTTGAGGAAAAATTTGAGGAACAATGTCTATTGGATTTTTCTTTCAATGCACTTACAGGCGATTTACGATTGTTTGTTAATATACAGTACAGTACGGTATATGTCTATAAAATATCACTTTCTCTACACTACAACAAGTGGTGATCCACTTTTGCTTATTTTTATTTATTATTATTTTTTTGCTGATTGTTTGATTGTTGCAAATATTTAGTTTTTATTAGTAGTAGAGTTTTAAAATAGAAAATAAAAATTAAGTATAAGTAGAATTGTTTTACTTTTATTATTATTATTAATAATTCTTGGAAACAAAAGCTGACAACTAATTGATGGCACGTTTTAAATATTATTTTATTTTTTGAAAATTTAAACAATATTTGCAGTTAATTGGTATAAATATTGAATACTGATTTTTGTTATCAATTTTATTCAAAACAATTTTTTTTAATTTTTAGATAAAATAATATTCATTATAACTACTGAATGAACTTAAATTAAATTAATTTATATGAACTTGTACTTAACACGTTTATAAATTTGATGCCAAATACTTTACTATTATAATGTTTACCTCATAAAATGACCATGTTAAGATTAGATTAGATTATATGCCAAAATAAATTCAACATATTTATTAATAAACCAATAAAACTAAAACCGTATTTTTATTAACGTATTTTAACAACAATAACAAAAAAATTGTTAAAATTATAAATAACCAAAAACTTTGATAAATAAATAATAATTTAATATAATAAAATTTGCAAAATAATTTTTACAATTCCATATTAATTTTTTTAATATTATATATTTTAATTTTAATAGATTTTAATGTAACAGTTGTAATAAATATATTAAAATTTTATAATATATAAAAATATTATTATAACTAATGTATTATTAATTTATGTTAAATAATATTATATTAAAAAATAAAAACAATAGACTAAACTTTATAACTATATAAAAAAGTTATTTATTATGTAATATATACTGTATTTATAAATATTAGATATATAACTGACAAAATATATATTTAAATTATAATACATTTAATTTGATTAGGAAAATAATTTCAGTAATTATTGTGTCTTTCTATTCATTAATTATATGAAATTTTGAATTTTTTTAGTGGAAAAAATAAAAGGAAAGTTTTGGCATAAAAGTGAAGAGTTTGTGAATTTAATTAACATTTGTTGTGAAATAGCTATGAGTTTCACGTAATTATTACATAAGATTAGTATTAAAATGAAAGTTGAACTTTATTTTTATAAAAAAAATTATTTAAATGGCAATTTTATATGTATAATACTTAAAAAATAAATGATAATAAATACTCACAATATTATTAACACTTTTTCCTTTTATTTTAATGATTTTTATCTTTAAAAAAAATAAATTGTCCACAATTAATATGATTGTTAGATTTATTTAAAGTTCAAAAATACGTATTTAATAAAATTAATTGATAGTTTACAATTTGAGAGATTGAATAACAAAATTTATATCAATTAAATAATTATATATTAATTTTAAGATTAATAAATAATTAATTTTGATATGTCTTATAGTTATAGTATTGTTATACTAATATTATAAATATATAATAAATTATTAATAATATATAATAATTTATTTTATGTTATGTTATAGCTTATTAATATATTAATTGGTAAGTGATTATAACTAAATTTACATAAAAATATTTAAAATAATATTTAAATATATTAAAAAAGTGTGATTTGATATCATCTGTAATGTAATACACTTTAGCATAACTTATGAAATGTTTAATTACTTTTAAAAATATATACTTAATATTATTATTATTATATATAATTAAATTTATAATTACATTAAAATATAGCAAATTAATTAAAATACAATTAATTTATGTAAAAATTTATTTCTTTATCTTAAATTATTTTGACAAAACAAGCAAATATTTAATAAATTAATAATAATAGTAGTAATAATAATATAATTTTTTATTATTATTATTATTTTATTATTATTATTATTACGGTATAAATGATTGTTTGAGTGAAGAAAAATTCACTGAAAGCTTAACCTCAATAAAGTTCGTGACTTTCGACGAGAAGTTTCGTCAAACAAAAATTTTTTTATATTTTTTATTTCTTTTTTTTAATATGTATTTTCAGTCGACAATCGAGTTATTAACAGTTTTATTTAAATTTGCATTTTATTTTGACTTTTGTTTTCCCTTGAATTCAATGATTAATTAAATAAATTAATTGTTTATAACTCTTTTTTATTTATATATATATTACATTTATTTATTTTAACAAAAATATAAATAATAAGTTCACTGTTCGTATCATATTATGTTTTATTATTTTGTTAAAATAAAATATACATGGAGCATTAATATTGTTATTATTATTAAAAATTTAAATAAATACAGTATACGGTATTTTATTTATTTTTATTGTTTATTATTTTTGTTTTATTTAATAAACAGGACTTTGATTATAAATATTTTTTATATATGTAATAATTTTACTGAAATTTTTCCATAGAATTTGACAAAATTGAAAAAAACTAATAATTACAATCAGATTGTAGTTATTATATCCATAGATTTTTTTGGTAAATAATTTATAATGAAAGGTTAAAAATATATAATATAATAAAAACATAATAATATTAATTTTTACTGTATAGGGAAATTTTACAACATTTATTTGTTTTCCATACTATTATGAATTAATAAATAAATTACTGTATAAAACTTTCAATTATTATTATTATACAGTAACTTTTATTTTTAAATAAAAATAAATATAATATTGTAGTTTTATTTATTAATTTTTAATTTATGAAATTATCAAATGATTTGACAATTGATTTACAATTATTACAAATATTTATTATGTGAGTAACTTATTAAGTGTTTTTAGTACTTACTGTATGTAAACTTAGTTTATTAAATTAATGACAATTTTATTTAAAAACATTATTAATGATTTTTGACTGAATATTATTTAAAGAAATGCCAAATCAAAAATTTAAAAATATATATTTAAATGAAATTAAAGAATAGGTTATTATTATTATTATTATTATTATTATTATTATTATTATTATTATTATTATTATTATTATTATTATTATTATTAATAATAATAATAATAATATAATAATAATAATAAATATCTGTACTTTGAAAACATCATTTAATATATTAAAATATTTTTCTCAATACATAACAATAATAATATATTTTTAAAGTCAATTAAATATATTACAAATTAATTTAACCTTCGATTTGAATAAATTATACATTAATTTAATGTATTTCTATAAAATAAATTGAGAAAAATAAACTTTAAAAACTTACGATAACTAACTTTCACACAAATCATACATACAATCAATTCATACTAAAAAATATTAAATATTTTCTATACACTAATGACATCTAAATTCAGTAAACTTTAAACTAACTAATGATTTAACGGTACAATAGATGGCTTAATATATAGTAAAATATTAATACTGTGTTACAGTTTTATACTGTTTGTACAAAAAAAGTTCAAAAACAAGTATAAATTTTTATGTGATAATGAAAATATTTATGCTGTAATCCAATGTCACAACAATAACTATTTACTGTATTAATCATTGCAAGGATTTTTGCCTGATTATAGTTTTTTGAAAAAATAAAATTAATTAAATCTTTAATAATAATTATAATAATAATATAATTATTATTTGGTATTTAAAAAACAAGTCATGTGTTTACAGCTATTAATGAGTGATATTTTTTTAGTTCAATTAATGCAATAATGATTTGTACGACACGTTTGCACTGTAAGTAAATATGACTTACATTTCCAATGTATTCATTAATTTCATTATAAAAAATATTTTTATTAAAAAATTTATTTTTTCTGTTAACTAATAAATGTCGTAAACAAACAAAATCTGATAATTAGTTAGTTTTACGATACAATCGATGGCACCATAGGATGGCTGAAGAAGTAGTTGTAAACCAAACGACAACAATGAGTACGACTGGCGACGAATGGACGGAATCGTCGACCGCTCGGGTTATCAGCGATTTGATACCCGACAACATTGAGATGATATTAAGACAATATCACATCTATGGTCTACTCGTTGTTTTCGTAATCATTGTCTTAATCTTGTGTTTGCTGAAGATATGTAGATATTTCTTGTGTTCGTCCAGACCAGTGATACAGGCAAGAGGTAAGTGGTGTTGACCATCGATTGTTGACCGATAGTGACCTCATAAGACACACTAGACATTAGTTCACCAATTATTGATACCATGTTTTACTTTTACACAGAGATCTACTGTCAATTGCAAAGAAATGCATATTATCTGGCAGTTGCTAATCAAAGATTATCGGAAGACATCCCAAATGAAAGACAAAATGTAAGAACTAATTAATAAATTGAATCAAAAGATATATTATAACCATTTGTTTGATTGCAGAACAAAATGACTTCACAAAGACTATCTGTGATACAGAGTAAAGAGGTTTCGCTGAAAAATGATTTAATTAGAAATAAGGTTTGTTTTGACCGGTAATTGTATTTAAGAGTAATTATTTCTATATAATTGGTGTATCAGATGGAAAGGGATCAGTTGGTAGAAACAGTGAAGAAGTTGGAGACAGAACAGGAAAATATTTACGAAAAGGCATTGGAAACCAATCGACTGATCAGTTATAATATGAACGTTCAGAAAGAAAATGTCTATATTTGCGAAACTATTGATCAATTGAAACGACAGCTCTCAAGACTGACCGAAACTGTTGTTAACTGTCAACAAAACGTCAATCAGAAACAACAAGAAGTTAGTAGTCTCTTATGTTTTATTACCGTAATTGTGACAATTATGTTGTGTACCGGTAATTGTTTATTGATTTTAATAATTATTTTTTAAAAAATTTAATTATCAAGAATTTAGAACTTACGGAACAAATGATGAAATTAGACAAACAAAGCTCTAAACTGAAGAATGTGACTAAAGAAAGAAAAGAGTATTTGAAAGAAGTTTCTAAAAATAATGAAAAACTAAGAGATGGTGAAAGCGATACGAAATTTAAATTAAATCAATTAATTGAAGAATATTCTGGTCTCGAAACGAAGAGTAATGAATATATTCATAGAAATGGTAAACTCGTCAATGATTTTAATCTGTTATCTAAAGAATTGGATGAATTCAAGAAAGAAACGATTAGTCGAGAGTTAGAAATTAGTTCACTGAAGGAAACACTGATCAAACTGGGAAATCAAAGCAATAATTATAATTATAATGATGATCAAGGAGTGGATCAAATAGATGAAAGTAGTAGTAGTGCTGAACGCAATGAAAATATATTGAATTTAGTGAAAATTGTTTCAAAAATCAAGTGCCTTACAGTTGCCAACAATACGTCGAGTGATAAACTTCAAGAATTAAGTGATAAAAGCGATCAATTAAACCAACAATTGGTTGTTAAGAGTGATGAACATAAACTACTTAAATCGGAAAAAGATAGCGCACTTCGCGATAGATTTAAAGCGCAGACAGAGTTGGAAGTGCTCTCTAAATATTATAAACAACGAGAGCTGGAATTGAGTCTTGAGATGAGTAATCACTGCATTGAAAAACAGCAAAAAGACGAAGACGTGAATTCAGTGAAAAGTCGATTGACTGCCGCTGAAGAAGAAAATGCTTTACTTAGAAGTCAATTGAAGTCGACTAAGAAAGAGATGACTGAAACAGGTGTAAGATTTCGAACTCAAATAAATCATTTGGAAAATCAAATTCACGAAAACTGGATTCAAGCTCGAAGTGCCCAACGATCTCTTGAAGAATCCAAAGCTGAGGCCACAGTACTCAGACAGACACTCACTCAGACTGTTAAGTCTCCTATCGATTCATTTGGTTTTGAGTCATCATTTTTCGATGATTCTGCCAGTTCTGTGTCTGATCACTATAATAGACCATTTCCACCCATTCCTCCTCCACCTCCTCTTCCACTACTAATCAATTCTATGGTGCCATCAATGCAACTGCCATCATCTGAGCCAATCGATAGAATGACACTTTGGGCCCAAAGTATGAGCCAAATATCAATGAACGAAATGGACCAAACATTTACTAACGATCCAAATGTTTCTATCGGATCTATGGATTATACGCCAGTCCATCCACAGCAACATTGGGATACTGTTTATAATCGCGACTCATATTCTCCCACTCAGTCGTATCCATCAACGTATCAACCAACCAATCCATCAGCACATCCGACAACATATAATGTATACACTCAACAACCAAATAATTATTATATGAATACAATGCCTGTTAACTCAAATAATATTTCAAATTTACCCGTTTGATTGCCTCATCTATTATTTGGTTTAATTTATATATAAATAATTTATACATTTTTCTATATATATATATATATATATATATATATATATTATTAGTCGATTTGCAGCAGTAGTTAGTCATTGGTTTATATTAATATATAATATGAAACTATGGGTGCAATAATTGATCACAATTTGTATGAGTAAATGCAATTTTGCTAACACTTAAAAATAAGCCATATACTTGTTGTTAATTTTTTAAATAATAATTATAACCTGGGTTATAAACAAGTTTAGTCATCTACTTTAATTTATAAAGATTTACACCTGTGTGAAGTTGCTATATATATATATTGATGTTATATCTACATTAATATTACATTATATATAAATAATAAATATTGTTTATGATAAAGTTTTAGTTTTATAGGTCAACAAACAGATTGGATGAAACCCAATGTAAAACAATGCGATATTTCATTTTTTATAAACTGGATTTAATTTATACAATTATTTTTTAATTTTATAATATATATAKAAAATCTAGTAATCTACTTTATATTAATCAATTACCGGTACATATATATAATTTATATTTTATAATTTATCAAAATATTTATTTGATTTTATACACACATTTTTGTAGTGAATTTATTACCATATATTATACAAAATAGTTATTAAAATAAATAAATCACTCAATAAATTGGATGAAAATTACTTTTTATTTTCGTATTTTATAAAATTAATTTAAATAATAGATACAAATGTAGAGTAAAATTATTACTAATCAGACAATCATTTCGAGTTCCTTTGCGTAATCGACAATCTGTTCGGCCAACTCTTTGGCGGGAATTTTGTTACTGTTATGGCTGACAGTGTTGGCCACATTCGGGAATTGAATGACCGAACCGTTCGAATTCCAGCCTTTTTTGTTGGCAAAGTCTTTCAACAGAATTTTATTCTCAAAGAAGAGAAGTCGAGCGCATTCATCGAAACTAATCCGTTGATAGGACTTCTCAATACAGGCAGCGATCTCTTCGCGGATTGTGTTCAACAATATATCGATGAAGAAGGTGTACGTCTGTGACGGAACATTGCCTTTAGACAGAAATACCTTATTATAGGAACCTTCCATTAAGTACTGTTCCAATGATATGGGATGTCTGATATAGACATTGTTTTGTATCTCTTTTGGTGGAAGTAACTCCAACTCCTGTTTAAAATAAAATAATCATTGGATTAGTTTGAATACCACTCATGACTAATGTGTCGACAATCTGTTGATAATACCGTATGAAAGTCGGCCACTTTGTTCTGCGACAACAAACATAAGAGATTGAGTCCAAGCAGTTGATACTTAAAGGCTGATTCGGGTAATTGTGAGCTAATGTTTTCGGATAATAATAAATTCAATCGTTTTTTTTAAACCAATTTGTAATTACAGAAGAAATGATTAGATGTTAGACTCACTTGTAGTCGAAGTAATAAGTCTTTAGTTGAGCCAAATATCTCTCGAAGGATGGTATGTCTTGTTTAGCTATACTGAAGAGGGCTCCGATTTCGAGGACATCGCGCGATATAATCAGTTCTTTATTGTTGGCCATTTCAGTGGTCGGCAAAAACGCCAATCCAGTCAACGCCAGCTTCAATTGGGTCAACAGTTGTCCGCATTTGTCTAAATTCGGGTGCTTTTGCTGCCACTCCTTCTTGAGTAAGTCATAGAGAGCTACGGCATCGTTGACCGCTGTGTTGGCCATTGTTTTGGACAATATTTTCGGTCACCGATTGATATTAAATGCAAAACCTATTGACTATAAACAGAGCAATGATTTGCAATTTTCAGACAATTGTCTCATTTGTCAACAGATGTCTCTGTAATACTATTTTTTTACTAATTTTAATGCATTTTATTTTATTACACAAAAACAGTATAGGTATTTAATAAACTAATTGTGTTTAAATTTATATATTATTGATTTAATAAATTAAACATTTATTGCAGATTAAATTAATTATTTATATATAATTATAAAATAACTACAATTAATAATTAATTGTAACCCGATTGGCCGCAAAACCATTTTCTATTCGGGTATTTCTAATGAAAACATACACAAAACATATGAGTGTCTAATCGGGAGTATGACTTCCCGAATAGAAAAGTAATCGGGTTAAAATTAATTATTAATTATAATTATTTTGATATTATATATATTTATAATTTGATGAGCAATAAAGTTTAATTTATTAAATCAATAAATCTTAATTTTATACACAATTAGTAAATTCCCATTTTTTTTGCACCCATCTTTATATATTTATAACATTTATATATTATTTAAATATTTCTTATTTTTTCATAAAAAACTTTATCAAAAACTTGTAAAATCTGTAAAATAAAACAAAATTTTAACTGTAATAGCAATTCAACTGTAATTCTATGGCAAACTGTATATGTTAGTTAAAATCTACAAATAATTAACATTAAAAATATACTGTAAATAAAATATAATAAACATTGAGATATAATAAAACATTTCAAATAAATCACTGATTGCTACTAATTGTGAGCCAAACAGCAGATCCRACACTACATTGTACTGTAGAGTACAACAAGTGTTAAGATAGGCCTTAGCGGTCATAATCTTAGTGACACTCATGAGAGAGGAGTTACCTCTCAAAACATATGTATAATATGTGAATCCAAGTTTTGGATAAAGTTTTTTTGAGAAATTGTAAAAAAGTAAGAAATATTTAAATAATAAAATATGTTCTCAAAATAAAACAATTTATATATTAATTAAAATATCATATTATCTTTTAAACTTATTCTTTAAAATATATAATTTTTATTTTACAAATAGTTTTTTCTAATCAAAATAATTGATCATTTGATGCTAAAACTATACTACAATGTTTACAATAATTATTTGTATATATCAATAAAACTTGATAATAATAATTAATATTATTTATATAAACCTATTTATATAAAAAAATAGGTTTAAATATAAATTATTTTTTTTCGGATTCATTCAATTGTTTTTCAAACTCATCGCTCAACAGTCTGTTTGGATCCATATTTTGGACATCAATCTGACTATCGCTGATGTGATGATCATCGATATGTTCTTTCAAAAGATCTTTTGTTTGATCAGTTGTCACAATCATAAACTTCAGATTATTGTTGTTTTTAATTTTCTTTTGATTAAATTTTGCAAATGCTTTCAATTCTTCTTCAAATTTATTATAAATCATTTCCTTTATTATTATTTTTTTCAATGAAATATCAAATCAATTAAAAACCTATTAAATAATGCATTTAAAAAATTACCAAATTTTTCTGATTATTGCCAGAGTTGGTGACAATGATGGACACAAAGTGTCCCTTCGCTAACCATCGCTTACATGCCTTGATTTTGGTCATCAAATCGTTATCATTAAGTTTAGCCGAAAATAACAGCCGTTTGACCTCAACTTTGGTACTGCTTTTGCTATAACTGTCACCACTTTTATGGTCACCGATGTCATCGATATCAATAGATATGCTGTCCATTTGTGCCAAATATTTATTGGACACCATTTTCATTACTTGATACTTGTGGTGAGCGTTTGGATCTTTTTCTTCAATTAAATTTAAGCTCAACTTTTTGGCCAAATGTAAGGATTCAAACATTGATTTTACGCCCAAAATCAAACCGTTTTCATCTTTAAGAGTCACTTTAACTTTCGACAAATCTTTTTCATCTTTGTCTTCGACGTCTCTAATGTTGATAATTGGTTTGTTGTGTAAAACTTTTGATGAGAAACATCTTAAGACACAAAGTCTTGGCGTTTGTTTGATTATAAGCGGATAAAAATGTCTTAACGATGACTTTAAAGCCAATATTGTCATCATTTTGTGGTCACTTTCATCTAAAAAGATATCAATCATTCAAATCATACGTTCAATTCATTTCAATACTTGTTTACAAACTTTTTTCAGACAAAAATAAAAGATTAAAAAATAATTAAATTCTTATATAACGTAACACAGGGTTTGGCAATGAATACATTGGTTTGCATTGTTTGGGTGTCTATTATAATGCAAAACATATGTATTTATTTTGTAACACTATTTGTGTGAAATACACACATAATGTTGTTGTCGTTGTTTACCAGTGTTTTGGTAAACAAACTATTGATTCAACAAAAAACAAAACAAAACAAAAACTAAGTGAAGATTGAAATCAAATTGACTGAACAAATGAAGACATAAACAAAATGGCGATAAACAGTGATAGCATTGTATGCGATATACAAACACCTAAAAGATTAATCCATTGCAGCGATGGTGTACTCGAAGAATACGATGACAGCGATGATGGCGAAGATGTGACGCACACGACAACCACGACGACGGACAATGACATCATCGATGGCAACAACGGTTCCGCACATAAGACAGACACAGTATCACCGCTTTCATCGGTCAAGAATACAGTCCTATGGATGGGAAATAAGACTTTGGAAGTATGCGATTATTTGGGCGAAAATTTGGCCAATTTTTTAGGCATAACATCACCGAAGTATGAATCAGAGATCAATGAATATTACCGACAAATGGCGGAACAGAAGAACTACGAAGAAAAACAAAAGTCAGAGTTTGCCGGTTGGCAGACATCGTCGTCGGATCTGAAACCAAGTGATGATCACATTGTCACACACGATGTGATCAGTGATTCACAGAAATATTGACCAAAAATTTATTTATGATTTTTTTATTATTGAAGAGATATCTTCAGTGTATTTGTAATTTTGTCACTTTTAATACAATTTTGATATAATATTTTTACCACAATTGTGATATACTTTTTTGAGTTATAGGTATTACAGGTATATTAGTATCTATTGTTGAGATTGTGGTAAATATACTGTATTTGTTTGTAAACTAATGAGTCAATAATTTTTTTTTGTTAAATTAAACAATCATTTTTATTATATTTAAATATATATTGAATTTATTTTTAGCTTTTAATATAATTTATAAAATTATTCTCATTAATAAAAATCTGAATTTTATATATATACAAAAAACATTGCATACAAATATATACTGTATAATATTTTTAATCTTATAATTAAATTAATAAATTAAATCATATAAATAATAAAATGATAGCAATTAAAACAAACAAAAAACTATGATAATTAATTAATTAATTAGATTTTTCGATGCATTGGTCATATCAAACAATTCATTGAATGATTTAATTGATTTACAATCAATTTTAAGCTTCTCTTCAATCTATTAAAAACAAATAAATAATAAGTATTAATAAATATATAATATTTAATCACTTTATAAGTTATAGAGTATACCTGTTTTCCATATTCCTGGACATCATAATAAATTTGAAGTCTAATCTTGTCGTCGTCCGACATATTATTTAAATTATTCTTCAATTGGTTGCTTTGGTTTCCGATTTTAAGCTTTTTAAGTCGTTTAAGACTGTCTTCAATCTTTTGGACGGATGTCAACACTTCGGAAGTAAATTGTTTGAAATTAGTTGTCGTTTCATTTAACACATGTCGAGTCCACTCAATACTCCACACCTGTTCCTTATTAGATGTAATCGATGTCATCAAATCAATACAATTGCTGATATAATTGGATGCCTTTGTAGGCACCTCTTTGTTAGTCTTTCTGTAAAGTCGTGGCAAATCATTGACTTGTTTAAGGATTTGATTGCACTGTTCAATGAGCGACAACTCTATAAGTGTTATCACATTTGACAGACCTTTTGACTCAAGTATGTCAATCATATCATCAAATGATTTCTCCAATTCATCGCTGCTTACAATCGTTGGTTTTATGTCAAGAATATTCTGTTTGTAGAATAATTTTGATTGCATAGCAAATGCTTTGCAATCATTTATCAAAGTTCCCAACAAAACTATTTTAGTCGACAATCGGTTATTTGAAATATCATTTGTCGTTGAGATAATTTTGAGGTCGGTTTCGGTAATATTCTGTAACCAATATGTATATCGACTTATTAACTGAATTGTTAATTTCCAAAACGATGGAAATAACACTGAAATATAGATATTTTCTTTGGACCAACTCGTGGTTAAACACTCGTACAATGTTTGTGTCGATAAATACTTGAAACTAGAGTTTTGCATTGGATTTAATTTAAATGCTTTATCTTCAAGACTCAACTCAAATTTTGTGGCCATTTGTTGATATCTAATATGATAGTAAACTTCGACATTGAATTTATTCATTAGCTCTTTATAATGGTTATCACGTATCAAATCATTTCTTGTAATAAATGATTTTTCAATAAATCTATCGATAAAATCTGTGGTCAAACAGTAATGTCTGTGAAAAACATCGGGATTGCCCACTGAGAACAGGGATGGCGTCCTAACGACTAGACAGTTGCATATCTCACTCCAAACTGAATTTATCATAAATGAACCGTTAGTTTCATTCAATGCGACAATCAATTCACACTTGAGATCAATAAACTCAATGATTTCATCAAAGAATTGTTTAATTCCATACTTTTGAAGAAATGTTTCACAAATAATTTCATTCATATAAGGCTTAACCACTTTTTGACGAAAAATTGTCTCCAATTCTGTTTGTTTTCCATTCAACGAATATATTCTCACTATTGAGTTGAGCTCCTGTTGATCAACGTTAGCGATGGCGCTGAAGAATCCGGACTCGAGTCGTGATTTTAAGTCATTAGATAGAGTTGTTATACGAGGAATCAGTTGATTACGAATTAATGGTATGTTTAAATCGATTGCTTTTAATTGTATTTCAATTTTCATGACAAGCAAAGCAATCTTCTCGAGTGAAGACATATTCATCCTATGATTATCATCACTATTGTGGACGCAATTAATGTAATCAATAAACCATTTGTCAGCGGTTTCAATGTCTTTAGTAATTGAAATCAATTTATTTAATTGATTTTTATTTAAACGAATACATTGTAATCGTTGTCTAAGACTTTCCAATTGTGTAATTCTTTCGCTGAACTGTTCCTCAATTTTTGCCGATTGGTCTCTCAATTGGACCAAAGGTTGCGATAAATTATTGATAGCTTTGTCGAAACCCATGAGATTTGTGGACAAATTAATAAAATCATTATAGTCTTCATTAATCAGTTCAATCATCGATGTCTTTAACACTTTCAGATAAGAGCTCAGATCATCTTTGAGTTGTTCGAGTGTCACTTTAGATCGGTTCCGCTTCAGAAACAAATCAATACTAAACGATTCGTCGGCAAAGTCTTGGCCACAAAAACTAAACGATTTGCTGGTCTCGGGTAACACATCGGCGGCTACGGCGGCGGTAGACAATTCTTCTGTCTTTTGATTGATGACCGTCTCATTAGTGGTCACCACACCTACCGGTGTCACTGAAATCTTGTTGTCAGACATTGTTGTTCATCTGGTGATCACTTGTTCTTCTACTTCTCAATCAAAGACCGGCTCTTCAAACACCACAAGTCATCACTCATTCAATTTCAATGACAACACATCACTGTATATATTGTTTACACTCTGCTAGAGATGTTCGCACGCATTCATAATAAATTAATAATAATAATAATTTTAATTAAATTAATTTTTAGATATCATTAGAAATTATTTATATATTTTAGTGTAAATTTTATTATTTAAATTAATTATTTGTTTTATGAATTACAATATATTAATTAAAATAACTAAATATATCGTATAGTATTTTATTACAAAATAAAAGTTATATAACACATACACCTCTACATTGCATAACTTAAATGCCAAACGTATGCCATGTGTTCATCACATTAAATGATCAATTGATTTGATGGTCAATTGGTGACCATTTCATTGATAATTAAATATATTTAACTTTTTTTAAAAACTGCTAAATTTGTGGCAATGACTGGACAGTCAGATACCGAGTCTATTGACGACGTGGTCATGAAGAACAACGATGTGACCAATGAAGCAAAGGTCGTGTCCCGCGTTAGGACTCAATTCATGTGCTCTTATATTGGATGTAATGCTGTCTTCAATCGCATGTATCGTCTCGATAGACACGTCCGACATCATACCGGAGAGGTTGACATTGATTTGTAATTATCATCACATTATTGATTTGCCATTTATTTTCTACAGAAACCATTTGTCTGTCACATCGATGGTTGCGATCGTTCCTTCAGTTGTAAGTCATACCTTAGTAAACATCTTAAGAGACCGCATAAGATCACCGATAAGATTACGACTGAGAAGAATATGTCAGATGATAAACCAGAAGAAGATAGTGAGAAGAAGTGCTTAAAGGGATATACGTGTAATGAATGCAACAAATTATTTAAAACCAAATTTCAACTGAAAATGCATTGCTTTCAACATTCGGGTGTTAAACCATTTCTTTGCGATAAATGCGACAAAAGGTTTGTCACAAAAAACAAATTAAAAAGTCATCTGAAGACACACGATGGCTATGCTTGTGGTAGAGATAATTGTGATTATAAGGCAACCAAATGGAGTGAATTGAGGAAACATATAGCCGTTGAACATAAACTTCTTAAATGCAATTCTTGTGATAAAACATTTAATACAAGTTTTAATTTGAATTTACACCAAAAGAATATTCATTTAAATGGCGGCCAAAAGTTTATCTGCAATCATGAAAACTGTGGTAAATCGTATTCAAATGAATCGAATCTTAGGACTCACATCAGATCTAAACATTCAAACCAATTGTTTAACTGTACTCATGAAGACTGTGACAAGACTTTTCTACATAAGAAGTCATTGACTCAACACATGGAAACTCATTTAAAGGGTTCAATCAAAAAGGTTTGTTAATTAATATATCATTTTTTATGTTTTMWAAACAATTTATGTTTGTTTTGTTTTTTTAGGTAAAGAAAGTCAACAAAATATATCCAAAGAAATCTATAATATCGGCAAAATTGGCGTCAATTGAATTGAATGAAAATGAAAAGAAACGGTTAATTAAATACGATTTTGAATTTAGAAATCAATTGCAAACTAGTAATGATCCAGATTTTGATGAAAATATACAAAATGTTTAATATATTTATATATATTTAATTAAAGCTTACGATATTATTTATATTAAATTTTAAAAAATGAATGAAAAAAGTATTTAATTTACCGGTTAAATGGCAATATTTTTAATAAATAATGTATTGAAAGTACAGTAATTTATACTAAACAAAGTATGGGTACCAATAAAATTGTTTTAATTTAGCAAATTAACTAAATTGTATCAAATTTTATTAGACAATTAAAAAATCATTAAAAAGTTTAATATTAGATAAATAGTTTAATATCTAAAAATAGACGCACATTATTGCTATAATAACATACAATGCATTACATAATGCTATTGCTATGTTGACGTCAGCATTACATATACAGTACTATGAAATTGACACTAATATTAATATGTGTGCAAACATTGGATACTTATGTATTGCAGTCAATGTTTATCTGATATTTGTATAGTATTTTAGACTACAATATACAKTACTATACTGTCATAACACTTGTTTGAATTATTATATGATATAATAAATTTATAATTAAATTAATATTTGTTATACACATTGAATACAACAACTGATCAAATTGTAAGTAATTTTTATTATTATTATTATTTGTGTTTTCAAATTCACTAATTTATAACAAATAATGAAATACTATAGTAGTTAGTTAGCACTTAAAATAAACGTTTTAATAAATTAATGTAAATTAACAATATTATTGCAAACGATAACTATTGTATTAATTAATTAATATATGTATTTTATAATAGGGTATAATATGGGGTATAGTATCACATTGTAGTACATTTAGTATATCAGTATAATTAATATTTACTAATACCTGTATATTTTAGTATCAATTGATGTTATATTCAAATTACTTTAATCAATGAATTATAGTATTAATTAAATTGGTGTTAAACTGTTGCCAAATGCCAAYATTGTGTTGTATTTGTATTATTAAATTGATTAATACAGTGAACTAACTATTGATAAATGGCTTACTATAAGATGCCGGACCAACAATGGCTATGGAATGTCTTCCAACGGGTGGACACCGATCGGTCGGATGCTATCAATGCCAACGAACTGCAATCGGCTCTCTCTAACGGCACGTGGAAGCCGTTCAATCCCGAAACGGTAGGATATATCTGACATCATGTTTGATGATATTGATGACAACATTCCTCTTTAATCGGCAATATGTTTGTTGACTTTTTATAGGTGCGCCTAATGATAGGTATGTTTGATAAGGACAACTCGGGAACCATTAACTTTGAAGARTTTGCACAACTGTGGCGTTATGTCAACGATTGGCTCAACTGTTTCCGATCCTTCGACAGAGACAATTCGGGTTCCATTGATCAGAACGAACTAAAACAAGCGCTGACCACTTTTGGCTATCGGCTAACTGACCAGTTTTACAACATTTTGATGCGTAAGTTTGACAGAGAGACCAAAGGATCCATCAATTTTGACGACTTTATACAACTGTGCGTTCAATTGCAATCACTAACCAGTGCTTTCCGAGTGCACGACCAGGACATGGATGGCTGGATCAACATCTCATACGAACAGTTTCTGACACTTGTGTTCAATGTATGTGTTAAGTAAATTCATAAAAACAATACTCAAATTAAATACCAAATTAAGCACAAAAACCTCTTACCATAAGATAATTGATCTGTTTTTAATTTTTTTATATATATTTAAATAAATTTAGTGCCATATTTTATAAATTTATATTATATATATATATCGGTCTCTCTCTCTCTCTCTCTCTCTCTCTCTCTCTCTYTCTCTCTCTTGATATTATTTATATACCGCAATATTTAAAATTTTATTATTTTAATTTTTATGAGCACAAAATTTATATTTACCCATACACATTTTTTGATTATGAATTTTATTAAAAATAATATTATTTTACTTATTTTATTTTATGTTACTTTTATTTAAATCCGTTTTCTCTAATATTTAAATAGATTTAAATCGATAAATACAATTAAAAAATCAACTTTTGTCTAAATCAATGCATGCAATGATATTTTGACACCGATTTTGTTTTGGTCGAAAAGTGCACTTTTATTTTAATTTATTAATTAATAACAAATTGATAATAAAAATAATTTAAAATTGCTAATAATATTTACAACAACAACAAAATTTTATTTTATGTAATAAATAATCTTATATAATATTATAAAAAAATTTATATAAATAAATATCTATTTTATAAAATTAGTTAATTTAAAAGTCATCACAACTTATTTATATTTCGCATTTACATCACAAGTGCAATGCACCCAAAGTCATCTGATTTTGAAGATCTTTGGCCGAAACTGTTCCGTGAATTGGCTGACAATTGGGATTAAACACCGAATAAGCACTGAGTTCACCCTTTTGTTTGGATCTATTGCTTAGATTAGTACAGATGAAGACCAACAGTGCGATGGAGAAGAAGACGGCACCGAATTGCAGAAGAAATGCAATGATTTGCAACAGAAGATAAATCAAGACTTTTACTGATAAGACAATCCAATCGTATTTATTGCAACCAAAAAGACTTTTTGAATCAATATCTTCGTCGGCAACTTCTTCATCATCGATAACAATATCACTATCAGCTGCTAACAGCTCTTCTGAATCACTGGTCGTCGTCCACTCGTTGGCCAATAGTTCCACTCTTTCGGACATTTTATCCGACGAGTCCTCGACTTGCGATGAACTTATGAATCGTCGCCGAAGTGACCGAAAAATATTGGAGACATTCAGTGATGATTGTTGTTGTCTTGAAGTGGATTTCAATTTGTTTGACCGAAACTCACGTAATTTCGTCTCCAGATTGTCGACCATTTGGTCACACAATTAATTGATGACAACTCTTAAGAAATAAAATTTTAATAAACAAAACAATATTGTAATCAAAGTGTCGTTCAATCAATCAATTGATTACAAAACAACACAAATCACGTGACACTCACTCATAGATTGTTTGTGTTTTGACAGTTGCATTGAATTGAAGTCATAAAAAGTACTAAAAATAAGTTTATATTAAACTTGTTTTGAAATATAAGTTTTATTATGATTTTTTAACTCAAACAATTGGCACCTTTTGATATGAAATAAATCATTTTTTTGAAGCGACTTATTTAAAAACAACGTTTTGTTGTTATTTTGTTTTCAAATGTTTGGTAATAATTGAAGATAATTGTCAACTGTTTTTAGATGAAGTTATGGCCCAAATGGAGTCAATTGGAATAAAACGAAGAAAAGAAATACAAAGAAAATGTGTGATAGAGTTGGACAGCGGTGTAATCACACGGCATGTGACCGGACAACTGGTTACCGAAATTATCAAATATTTTCTGTACGACAGACAACAGATCCCGTTTCCATTGACTAACTCTAAGAGTATTAATCAATTGAAACAACGATCACTCGACAATCAATTAACCACAAGAGAGACACTGATTATGACAATGATTGACAACTTGACTGATCTAATGAACGAAGTGATATGTCTGATGAATTTGGATGATATTATCATCGATTTGGTTGCACTGTCTTTAGGACAGACTCTACAGATGCCTAAAGAGTTTTATTGTATTGAAATTCCCGCACAAGACATATATCTAGTCAAGCATTCAAGCGATTGTAGACAAATCACTGAAAGATCAGCCATCACTCGGTTCTTCAAAACCATTCTCAACGATAATGTCTTTCAAAACCAAAAGACAATTGCGATCACAAAAATGTTTGTCTTAATAAAAGTCAACAAATGTTATGTTAAACAAGTGATGGATCATTCAGTTAATTGTCATCAATCGGATCAACTTTTCACACCATTCATTGATTATAGAATACCAAAGTTTGGTAATAAGTATAGTCTTGCGGTAACACAAAAGTCTTGTAATTGTTTTCCCATTGCTAACACTGGATGGAAGATATTTGACGATAGTTTAAACAAAAGTGGTTTAAATGAGACAATGACTGAACTGTCAATTCATGATTCAAATTCTGAATCAATTGATGACAAACCTATTGATAAATCTAATGAAGACTTCGTATGGATTCAAATCAGGTCATCGATTAAAGGATGTAATTATAATATTAAACATTAATTAAATAGTTTAAATAATTTATAATAAATAAGATTTTTTAATTTATTGATATCAATTAATTTTTAAGTATCAAATAATGGACAATATTTCTATAATATATAATCTACTGTATAATATTAATTTATTACAAAAAAACTATAAACTGAATTTTATTTATGTACTTAACTGTGTGTGTATATTATATTATTAATTACCGTAATTAAATTGAGACCAAAAATTTATTATCTCGACTGTGATTTAACCCACGAACCAGTTTTATTGATACAATTACCTGACTTATCAAATGTGGCAAATGATAGCTTCTTCTTGAGAATGTTTTTTGTGTTTGAATTACCGGTAGTTTGAAAAGAAAAAGGATTTACTGATAGCGTCACTGACTCAGCTGTGAGCGGAACAGCGCCGTCGGGACAGTCATAAGATTGAGTACAATCTATCGGGTTTTTCAAGGCTTCGATAAAAGACTTAAGTATCGATTCAATAAGTCTGTACTGACGGGAAAATATTTGCAATATATTCTTGTTTCGGCCCTCATCTGGCAATTCAACGAATATACATGGAATGCATTCGGGATCGGGAATACCATTTGAATCACTATTCTCTGGACGTCCGACAGCCCAACACAAGTCTTTAAATTCAATCGAAAGTAATAATTCCTTTAAATAAAAATATTTTGATTATTGTTATCGAAGATCTGAATTCTGGAGTCAATACTAAGGTATAAGACTTACAGGTTTTTCTTTAGATATAAGATGCAGACCATCTCTATTGACGGCAACCCATACTTGGATATCGTAATGACTCATCAAAGCGGCAAAACTAGACCGAAGTGGTCTCTCAATTTGAGCCGAAAAGTATGCACTTCCGTAAACCTTTGCAAAAGATAACAATTTCCGGTTAATTGAAATACTTTGTAATTGTGTTAATAATAATAATAGAAAATTCATACCGGAATTTGCCAACAGATCTCCAGATAACTGATCAACAATTTATGTAAACACAATGATTGTTTAGATATCACTTTATAGTTGTCGATGATCTTAAGCGCACAACGAGTTGATGGACTGTTTCGACTTAAAGTCCGAACCAAAGCATTCAATCGATTGCCATCATTAGCATTGAGATAATTGCATGGAATGTATTGTTTAAGATTTTGCCGGAAAAAGTTAACGGTGTGTATGTTTTCATCGTATTGTCCCAAATCGATGGCCGCTTGAAATGCGGCCAACTTTTCAAATTTATCGCAAGGATAGCGACCGTCTAATACATTAAGTTTTGCCTCAAAATAAAGCAAATAAAGGACTCCGATATCTGTCGCTTTTATTTCCACTTCAAATGATTTGTCACAGAAAACATTTCGCTGAAAACTAAGAGATGGTTCATCAGCTTTGACAAGTTCGGGATCTGTGACCACTTCAATTGGTCCATTTTTTGTAATATAATGATCCCAATTGGCCAGTACTGCGACCGGTCGGTGCTTTTGTTGCAATTGAAGCTCCAGATATGGAGATGTGACCCAAAGTGCAAACAATTTCTTATATTTCATATCAAATGACAAACTATTGCTTCCAATGGATTCATTAGACAATTGATTGTAAACTCTTTCAAAGATATCCTTAGCTGTCATTGTCTCCACCTTTTCAGACACACATAAACTAACTGACGATTCATTCATCAAACAGACTGATAGTTTGCTTTCGCCATTTTGTTGGCCACTTGTCGTCCGTTTGACCGCCAAATGTGATTTATTTTCAGCCGAAGAGCCCATTGTTTGTGTACTTCTGTTGAGTTCAATTCTGGTCACAAAACACGTCTCAACTTTGACTACAAAAACAGACATTATTTTAGATATCGGTTAATATTAACAGTAGTTTTATGATAGATATTATAACTATAAATAAATTTATGATAAAAATACTTACAAATTATGAAATTATTTTTAAAAACTTGTAACCAATTTTAAGTATACTATTATTTTATTTTTATTTAAAGTATATATTTTTAGTTTGAAATTAATTTATATATTGATAATTGATTTTTTAAAAATGACTTTTTTGAACAAAAATAAAACAAAACACAAGTTATTATAATATAATTTTTAAGTAAATTATTTTGTGATTATTGTTGTTGTTGTTTACATATGATATAATTAAAACTTATTATTATGTTTTCAGTAATAATAATAATAAGCAAAATATATAAATAAATAAAACTTTTAAATACAATGTTATTTAAGGTTTTGTTGTTTTTTATTTAAAACTTAACGTTGCGTTCAAAATGGTCTCAATATTTAACTGCTATTTATTATTAAATTGATATTTAAATAAATTAATCCCCAAAATGATTAGCAACTAATAATAATAATAATAATAATAATAATAATAACTACAGGTATATAATAATCAATGTATTAGTTGTATTACATTAACATTTCAATAACGACAATCAATGTGTGAATCACTTAATCATATATTGTTTTAATGGTTTATTTATTAATACCTGGAAATACATGTGAATTATTTAATTGCCAACAAATATTGTAATTACTATCAATTGGTAAACAATAACAACACAAACATACAGTAAGTCTATTAATACATGTATGATATGTATGGGTGCTGTTGTTGTTGTGCTTATAATAACTATGGGTTGCATAACATGTACTCTCTATTTTAAATTATAAATTTAATAATATTAATACCAGTTATACAGCATTTGTAATGTTATTTCAAAATAACTTATACTTGAATACAGTATATTTTTATTTAAAAAATAGTGTTTAACGTTAAATAAAAATAAACGTTAATAAAAAAGTTTTTATAAATAATTTATAGCACAAGATATGCAGGATATTAAAATGTAATCTTATTATCATTTTATTATAGCACTTGTCATTTTAAAAGATATATTAGGCAATAATAACAGTCATTTTTTTAAATAATTTATTTATAGAATTGATTGTAAAATAATATTTTTTAACTAAATATCTAATTATATTAAAATTTTCAAAATAATTTTAATAATTTTTCAAAGTGTTAAACTTGTATTCAAATATTGTAACTTTTGTATAATTATTTTTTTTAAATACTTTCTACTTATTTTTTTTTTAAGTGCAGTATATAATAAATTTTGTAGTTATACGGAATGTAAAATGTACTTGATGAACTTTACACTTACTTATTATGACTTAATTTAAGTGATGATAGAAACTGTTGAAAAAACTATTGAAATTGAAATTGAAATTGTTTTTTTTTTGATAAATATTATTTGTAAACTTTAATTACCATTACAAAAAAATTATTACTATTTTATGACTAATATTACTTAATAATACTTTAGTATTTTAATTAACGGCTAATAAATTATTTTTTTGCATAATTTTCTTGTAATATTTTAATTACAGTAAAAAGTGAATATATTTAATGTTAATGAAAAATATCACTAATAGTTGATAAAAGTTGTTTGAATGATTTACAGCATAAAGTTAATTGTTAGTAACAATTGTCTCACTATTTATATTTTTGTCACATAAATTGTTAGACAAAATAAAAATAAAGTTATATCTAAATCAATTAGATTTACCTAAAAAAAAGTTATGTCTGTTACTTACAATTACTAGAGTACTAAATATATAAAATTATAGACAAAACAAATGTTTTTTTTCAGATGAATTTAGATTTAATTTTTACAGAATAAAAAAAATAAAAATAATGTTTTTAAAAAATTGCACAAAATTTTGTCCCTCTAATAATATAACCGATAAAAATAAAGATTAAAAAACTAAATCTAAAAGTATAATAATTGCGACCAAAGATATACTGTTTTTTGAAGACTTAAAATTTATTAAACAACTACTTGTGGCCAACATTACCAGCGACTGCACCGCTATTGCCAACAACAGCACTACCGCGAGTACTGTTGGTACGGCCGCTGACACTCTTAGAGCTGTCAATACTTGTATATTTAGATCCATTAACTGTTTTGCCAGCGAAGTGATCCTTTGTGTAGTTGCGTCGGGCTTTACTCAAATTGAATACCAGTGTCTGATCTGTTTGATCCCATTTGAGGAAATGAATTGTCTCATCCTGTCTGCTGGACCAGTGGTTGAACTCAGACGAGATATAATAGACAAGCAATACATTGAGCACAACAAACAGTGCCGTAAATGTTGATACTTTGATTGGTTGTGCTCTGTTGTGGACGAGACACAGGGGCTGACAGCTCCAGTAATACCAATAGCTTAGAATCAATAGATAGACAGACCAGAGAATGGTCAACAAGATTGAGATCAGACGAGCGGTTAGCGATTGTTGTATAAAACGGTGCCAATAGTCGGGATTGCGGACAATACGGCTGTCCTTAAAACGATGTTCACATCCTTTGCACGGCTTGTCCAGCGTTTTGATGATGAATTCGCCCAAACATTTGTAATGATAGAACCGATAGCCACGGGTACAGTGACAGGGCTTGACTAATATGCCCATCTGTTTTTGGTCACCCCATCGACAGACAACACATTTGCTCTCATATTTTAGACGATTGTCTTCTTCTTGTGCTTTACTCGCACTATCATTAGTATTGTCTTTCATTGGACTCGCTTTCGATGACTTACTGATAATCAATCAATTGGTTTAAGTTTTTTTATGGAAGAGTTTGGATGATCTCTATAATAATGATTAACTGTAATGATAACTATAGTTTATAAAATTATGTATTAATAATTCAATATTAAATTATTTAACAAAAAAATCACGCGAAACACAATTAAATTACTCTAATAGAGAAACACAAGTAATACTAATTTTTGAAAATACAAAATTTAATCAATTATTTGAATCCATATGAAATTCATAGTTTCATTGTTATCATTAAAAATTGTTTAAAATATTAATTTGTGTTTTAATTTCACGTTCATTACTATGTCATTAATTGTATTTAAAGTTCTCAAATTTTTAAACTGAATTTATTTTTTGAATAGTTTTTTTCAGTTAAAGTATAATATTTGAAGACAAATTTGATGAATAAGATATCATATAATTGATATATCAATGGATGACTTTATTATCCAAATCTTAGTATTTGTCATTTCTTGTATTTTATACATAGTTTCAGCAATTGTTTTATATTTTGTCCATAAATCGAAAAACAGAGAAATCAAAATCTATGACAATTGCAATGCAAACGACTGTTGTATTCATTATATCGTTAAACTTTGTTATGGAAATCATAACATCGACTATGATTTCATCGAAAGATCAACACTAAAGATAGGATTTTATAACCAGCAGAATATCAGCGTTGGTTCGGCTAAAGTCGATATCTTTGACTTATATCGTGACACTGTCGAAGACGATGACAATTACAGAGAAATAGTGATAGATTTGTGGCGAAAAGAGACTCTTCCGGAAAGTCTTAAGATTAAAATTGATTTACAAACTCAAGACACAAAAGTCTGTCATTTTTTTGTTGATAAACTTCAGATAATGACCAGTGATCTAAAGTCCTGCTTTGTGTTTGATATCAACGATAATGTCAAAGCTTTGGGACCTTTCGAGTCATCGACAAGACAAAGATTTAAGGGTCAGTTTACTGACAAACCAATTAAAGATTCCAAAGTTGAACGACAATTGAGACAACAGTTTTTCAATTCAAAATGGACTGAATTGTTGACATTTCTTCATTTATCATTGAATATCAATAATATATTTGCTGTTTGTTTCATCAGAAAAGACATTTGGCTGACCTGTCTGTTGACTGCATGTCTTTCATCTGTAATGACAATGATTTCATTAACTGTGGCTAAGATATCACTCATTTGTTACAATAAAAACAAACGACAGAAGAATAGAAACAAATTAGTCGTCCATTTGATTATAATTATCTTAAGTATTATATTAGGCATAACATCAGTCATTTGGTATAACTATATGTCTCCTAATAATATCAACAATTGGTTTGTCTCAGTTGGCATCGGATTCACTGTTACCACAATCCTATTGATAATTATTTATATATTTAAGTCATATTTTGATAAAACATTAGAAAATAGTATCAAATAATTGAAAATTTCTTTAAACATATTTTCTAAATTTTTTATATAATTTTATAAAATTAAGAGATCTATATTCACAAACTAATTATAAAAATAATATTAAAATATATATTAATGTATTAAAATCAATATTTTCTTCTATTCTATAATAAAATGAATTATTTTAATATTTATTATATTATATTTATAAAAATTGAATTATAGAAATCTAAATTACCGTAATATAGCTTATCTAACTATATAATTGAATTGAATAAAAATATAAATTGAATTGAATTCAAACAAATTATTTCAAACAAATTATTTCAAACAAATTATACGTGACTTTCATTCAATTTGTTATACAGTATTGAAATTATAAGTGAAAAGAGATATTATATTCCGGTTCTCAACAAATTAGTCAATATTTAAAATTATATATATATTTAGTCATCACAACTATAGTAATGAATATTAAGATTTAGATATTTACTGTACATTTTTCCTAATAGTTTTGAATTATTGGCAAATTTTTGTTTAGTTATTTGTCCAAAAAAACACTGTCATATAATTGCAAACAAAGTCTAGATTTAGTGACTGTTTTTGTCTAAGTTTTTTTTAACCGTAAATCTATTGTTTGATTAGCTTTTTGTTTGATTTCTATCGCCCATATATTTACACCGATTACCGATTGATTTTTATTATGACTTCTATTGATAATACACTATAATTAATAATAAAATCAAACAAAAATTTATTCATGATTTAAAATAATGATTTTTGTTTATTAGAAAAATATGAGTATTAATATTAAATTTGATTATTAAAAAAATAAATTAAGCATTTATTCATTTTTTGTTTAAGTAATAAAAAAGTTAACAAAAAATAAAGGATGATTTGATTTGATTTGATTAGAGAGTAAATATGTGACCAATTAATTGATTGTTTGATCTTCTAATTTGATCTCAAAAAAGTTATTATTATTATTATTGACTTAATTGAATAATTCATCCATTGGTTAGCAATGCAATGATCATACAATACAAGTAGATGAAGAAATGGATCAAATGATAGACCAGACGAACCATTGAAAACTTCATCAGTTGTTTAAGATTTCCTCTGTTGTGAACTTCGGTCGCGTCATAGAAACCAATATTTCCCTTCGGTATTGAAAAATATCTAAAAAATTATTAAAAACAAAACACAAAACAAATACATTGGTAATGAAGTTGTTATCTTTGATTATCAATTTGTTGTTCATATCCTAAAAACTTATGATATATGTTATGACACTAACTTATAGGAAATCCAGGCCAACATCGGTGCGTTCAATAAAAATAAGATCCAATGATTGGTAAACAACAGGAGTATCACTAAAATTCCGTACGAAATGACTTCTGGAATCACCCACTGGTTTAACAAACGAGAAGAAAAAAAATACTGGTTATTGTCCATCAAATTAGTGGTCACAGACATCAAGTAATGGTCACCAATTGGTGTGTATTAATTACCTTGTTCAATTTGTTACAACATTGTTGGGCATTGAGATAATCGCACTCCAAGTCGCTCAGTGTTATCACCTAATGAATGGTTAAAAACAAAAACAAAGAACAAATGGATTGTTAAACAATGAGTTGACGATATTGTGATGAAATGTATCAACAAATTAATTCAATTACAATATAAACAGTTAGGAAAAGAAGTGCCGAAGTGTCGAACAGACTGAAGATGAAGAGCGATGTGTCGATTGACATGTTTGTGATGACCACTACTGAAAGTAAGTGATGACAACAACAATTGGTTAAACCAATTGAAATGATTGAGTCAATCGGTGGTCATTTGGATGGATGGATGACTTGACTTGAAATCACCAGAAGAGCGCTTTGAATCACTGTTTGAATGTTGTATTGTATTAGACGTCAGTCGTCACCACAAGTCTTGTCTGACATTAATAATAAACACATCACTCGAAGTGGGAGTTGTTTACTGTTATTAAGTGATTGTCGTCGAAGATATTGAAGACTCTATTTCCAGAGATATAAACTTCTTGTAGCTGTTTGTTGTGGTGAACATCATTTAAACCGGAAGAATGAGTGCAAAGGATAGGATTGCAGTGTTTCCGTCGAGAATGTTAGTAATTGTCACCGAATTGATGCCATTTCTGTTAATGATATATCAGAAAAACATATGATTTTTTGAATCAATCACCTGATTATAACTTAATTGATTTTTATCTTTGGATGTATTTGTTTTGGTTGATTACAGGGCTCAGACCATTATGAAGGCTCGACTAAAAGGCGCACAAAAGGGTCACTCTTTGCTTAAGAAGAAATCGGATGCTTTGCAGATGAGATTTCGGATGATTCTCAAGAAGATTGTCGACGTATTGTTTTTTTTCACTCATTTAGTTCATACGTTTGTGTCAATCAATTATCTAATGATTATATATATCTTTCTCTAATTTGTAGACCAAGTCATTGATGGGCGATGTCATGAAAGAGGCATCATTTAGCTTAGCTGAGGCCAAGTTTACGAGCGGTGACTTCAATGCCATAGTTCTGCAAAATGTCACCAAAGCTCAGATTAAAGTTAGTTTTTTATATTATATTTATCATCAAATTTAGGTAAAAATTACCGGTAGTTAAACAAATTATTTTTTTATATCATTGAAACTATAGGTCAAATGCAAGAAAGACAACGTCGCTGGTGTTACTTTGCCGGTCTTCGAGAGTTATCAGGACGGCAGCGATGTTCATGAGTTGGCTGGTTTGGCCAGAGGTGGCCAACAGTTGGCCAAATTAAAGAAAAGCTACGCCCGAGCAATACAATTGTTGGTCGATTTGGCGTCACTTCAGACTAGTTTTATAACATTAGATGAAGTGATAAAAGTATGTCTCTTAGAGTTACAATTTAATCTTTTTTTTAGTTGATTATCTTATTGTGTATTTTGTATATTAAATTAAGATTACTAACCGTCGAGTGAATGCATTAGAGCATGTGGTGATTCCTAAGATCGAGAATACACTGATGTATATTATATCAGAATTGGATGAAATGGAAAGAGAAGAGTTCTTCCGGCTGAAGAAGATTCAAGAAAAGAAGAAAAAGATTAAAGCGGCTGAAGAACAGCTAAAACAAACGAGACGTGCGATGGGAATCGATGTCGATAATGACGGACCAAATTTATTTGCCGAACAACACGATGAAGACCTATTGTTTTAGATTTACCGTAATTTTAGGATTATTTTTTGTTGTTGAGTATCACAATATCATTATATAATAAATATTGTATATATTCAAGAAATAGTGGTTTATTATTGTAATATTATTATTATTATTAAAGTGATTATAATTTTGTTACATTTATTTTGTTTCAATAATTTACTAAATTTGATAATTTGAAGTTTTTATTATTATTATTACGATACTATTATATACTGTATAATACCGGTACTATAAAAACAAACAATTGTATGCTAATCATGATTTTAATTAATGATATACCTTATTGTGTATCAAAAATTCATTGTATTCTAATATTAAGCTATTTCTCAGAAAATAATGTTTATTAAATATATATCGATTTAACTCTCATTTTATTAATTTGATATTACAGTACAATATTAGTAGAAACTTTTGTAAACTTTTTTTTGTATTAATTGGTAACATATACATAATAAATCTAACTTAACTAGGTAATGTCAATTTTCTCTTTAATTTGAATGGTATGTAACATAACAGTGTTATACATCTACTGTTTATACATACACTGTATAGTAGACGCCAATAGTCTATAAGTTTTACAACTTTATAAAAGTTTTTCAAACATATAAACAATTAGCATTTATGTGGTTTAAGTAAATATTTATCGTCAAAATTGTTAATTTTAGAAATACCTCAAATATAATATTCAAACATTTTTAAACATTTAAAATACATTTACAAAAATAATATTATTTTACAGTTAAAACAAAAAAATTATATAAATTAATGAATGTCTAATGTCTAATAAATTTTATATCTAATAGGATTAACCTAAATTAGATTTAAACAATAGTATGTATTAATTTATTAATAATTAAGTTTGTTTTAAATTAAAAACAATAATTGTCTGATAACTGTCCCTTTAATTAACACTGAAATTGATATAATAGTCAGTCTATTGTTTTGCATCAATTGATTGGACACTACATATGCATTGGATGTGTGAATGAGTGGGTGTGGTCTCAGTTGTAGACATACAATGAGATTACAATACATTATGTATTACAGTATTAATGCATTGATTGTGTTGTGCGTCGACTCCTAAGTGTTAGTCTAGACTTGAATTGTGTTAATAATAATAATATACACAAACAATAGCCAAATAATGAGTGCCATCGATGTCTTAAGTATGTTATGATTGATACCATAAACAGCAACTGTCACCACAAGCACAATGTCGGGAACTATTCTGGAGAATCTGTCAAACAAGAAGTTATCGATTGTCTTATCGATAATTCTTGTCATTCAATTGATATCCTTTTTCATTGGCGCCTTCATCGGTAAGTTTTCAATAACCAGGTCTTGTATTTGATGTCATTTAATAATGTTTGACTAATTGTTTATCCTTTCAGCACCGGCTCCTTCCAGCACCGAACAGGTGACGGCCACCAAATGTATTACCGAAAATCCCAAAGAATTGGCTATTCCTCGGGCAGTGGTTCAGCCAAATAAAATTCAAGCACAGAATTGCCGGTCTTTTGAAGAGACAATGATTGGTCACAGGTTTGTATAGCATTTGGTGATAATTGGTAAACAACTTATCATTTAATTTGTATTTATAACAGTAACATAACATTTGCATTTCAACTGCCACTTCCTCGAGAGGGCTTTCAACTGGATTACAGTCGTTGGCAGCAAAACTTGTTGACAATTCTGGTACCGGACGTGATGTACGACAATCGTATGTCCACTCATCGCGGCAACAATAACGACGAATATGTCAATTCAACCATCAGATTGAATGTGCGATTAGCCGTCAGAAATATTGGCGACAAGAATTGGAAAATGTATGCAAACAAATACAATCTTAAGAGAACTATTTCCTGTAAAATTGAGGCAAACAAACGGATCCATGGCTATAAATATGATTGCGATCTCATACAACTCTTTGAATTGCAATCATTGTTTTATGACTACTACTTAATTAATCTGCAATTTGGTAAACATTTAAAAAAAATTAAATTGCAAATTATTTTTTAATAGTTTATAATTAATTGATATTAATTTAATCTATTAATAGCCGATTCGGATAATGATTTGGGCGCCTATTTAAGTGATTTGCAATTAGTAGAGATTCACCAAAACGGTGGGTTCACTAAAATCTGGTTATTCCTAAAGTCAGTGTTCACTTTCATAACATTGCTGACACTGCTCTGGTTTTCAAAACGTTTGGGACAATTACACCGCGAAACGACTTTATTGGAGAAAACGCTGATTGTATTGGGATGTGCTATAACTCAACTGAACATTCCGGTCGAGTTCTTGAGTTTATGGTTTGACATTAAATTGATGTCATTTCTGTGTGATCTAAGACAAGGAATATTTCATTGCGCTCTTCTGTCGTTTTGGATTATATTCATTGGCGAACATCTATTGGTTTGATTTTGATTTTACAAATGATTTTAATTAACTATTTATTTATATTATTATTATATTTTAATATATTTTTGTTTGTTATTTAAAAGGACGGTATTCATAGATCCCGATTATCTTCATATTACAAACAATTAAGTATCGTATTGGTTGCATATATGGCACTATTTGTATTTGATTTGAGTGAACGAGGCATCCAATGGTTTGATCCCTTCTTTACCATTTGGGAAGTGGACTCAAGATTTGCTTTGATTTTTATCATAACCGCCAGTATTGCTTCAATTGGTTATTTCGCTTTCTTGTGCTATCATATCTGGTTTGTTATTAATCTTAAATTAATAATTTAAAAAAAAAAATAATAACTGATAATTTAAATATTTGATGTCTTTTTTTAAATAAAAGGATTGCATTTAGAAACATATCAACAAAACAAACTACTTTACCATCGATGTCATCAACACGTAGACTGATATACCAGGGAATCATTTATCGGTTTAAGTTTCTTCTATTGGCAACACTAGTCTGTGCGGCCGCAACTGTTGTCGCCTATCTGATGGGTCAGGTCACTGAGGATCAGTGGTATTGGGATGATATGGACAACTATATAGCACCGCTACAGTGGACAAGTGCTATGTTCACAACTGTCTACGCCCTCTGGAATTGCTATGTATTAACACTACTTATTCTGTACGCCCCCTCACATAAAGAGGTAAGAAATTATACTTTTAATAATATATATATATATATATAGTAAAACTTTTGTAAAGTTTTATATCTAAATTTTTTAAATCTATAATATCTTCTATCGAACCAGGGGCGGTATATGTCTATTATTTTTATGGACAACCATGTTTTTGTTGAGTAATTTCAAAAATTATCCAAGTATATATTTTAAAATAATACTGAAAACCTGGCTATAAATTAATATTTATATAATAATAATTTGTTATAACTAATTATTAGTATACTATTATTTAAACTGTTATATCTATTATTTAAATTATCAGTAATTTCTGGCATAATTTTAGATTTTAATTACAAATAATACTTTTAATAATTATTACAATTACGGTATTATAAAAGTAATATTATATCACATTATTCATGTGTATGTTTTTATTGTTAATTTAAAAATTAAATTTGTTATTTAACTTAAAAGTTTTTGATTATTATAAGTTTATAATTTTGATAAATATAATAATTACTAATTACTAACACACAAAAAATTAACCGTTTTATTGAATAGTTGGCCACAAGTGTAGACTCGATGTCTGAAGAAATAGAATTCAATCGTTTGACCGAAAATGAAGAAACCACCGATAAAACCGAAGGACACGGAAGTACATCGACTACTGAGTCAAATGATATGAGACTTTTGCAACAATTGGCCACAAAATCCAGTATCGATTAAAATCTTAATATTTACTCATTATTTGTGTATAATTTTTATTACGTTAAACTTTTTTTCACAACACTATTTAAAATTCATTGTATTTTTTATCAATTTTTTTTTATGAAATCATTGATTCTGAAATTATTTAATTTAAAATTATTTATTTATGATTAATTTTTTTGCTATTTTTAAAAGCTATTTACAATAACAATCAATTTCTTATATTTTAATTATCAAATTATTTTTATAATTTATAAAATCATTTTAATTTTGAAATTATTTTACTTGATGAAATCTATAAATGTGATTAATTTAATGAAATTATGTGTATTTTGATTTTGTAACAATTTTTATGTAATAAAATAATTATTCGTAAAATTTTGATGATTCAACAAAAATTAAATTAATTTAACTAAAAGTAATTTTAATTAGTTGTGATTTATTATATTTAAAAATTTATATTATTATTATTTTAATTATTCTAAAGTAATTTTTAAAACCTAGTAAATCACGATAATATGCCGCTACATGTATACCAATATAAAAATACAAATAATTTTTACACAAATAAAAATTAAATCAGTTGACAATGCTAGATAGCATTGCCAAAAACAAACTTGTTGAAAGTATCATTGTCTAAAATTTATTTATTTATGCACGTAAATACTTGTTTACTTATATATATATATATATATAGTATATATTGTTTATATAAAAAATAGTTTTTTTGAAAAATATTTGTCTGCCATATTTGAATACTGAAGTTAAAAATTTTAAATTCATAAAAATGTTATACAGACAGACAGACAGACAGACACACACACACACACACATTGAATGATGAATATTTTATTTTTATTAAGTATAAAATATAAATCAATGAAAAAAATATATTTATATAAAAATAAATTTTGCTTACGGTATTTAAGTGCATTTACAGTAAAATATAGTATTAATAAATAATTAATTTGTCTATTTTAAAATTATTACTTAAAAAATTTGTTTTTATAAATATTTACATATGACAATCAAAAATATTAAATTGTATAAAAAGCTATATATATACTATATACTATATATTAAATATTTAGTATCTTATCTTAAATATAAAAAATGAATGAATTGAATATAATATTACTTAATACTAATTCATAAACAAAATAATCTTTACTATGATTTTGACTTTCAAAAAATTATTAAATGAAAAAATATATTGATTTTTTATAATAATAATTTTTATTTAGCTAAACAGTAAAATTTTATTTATATTGTTAAATTTAATTTGCTAGTTTTATTATATAATTTTAGTACATAAATTGTATATTTATATTATACAGAGTAATATTGACTTTTTATATTATAAGTGGTCAATTTTATATCATTATAATTTTACTATACCGTATAATACGGTTACCATATAAATTTATATATACAGTATTATGATTTGATATTATGATAAAATTTTCAAATAAATTATATATATATATATAGAATATTATATGTATAATAAAAGAATTTATTTATTATTTATTTGTATCATAATTTATATAAAGAATGTTACCAATTATATTACCAAAAAAATAATTATTTAAAAAACAAATATTTTAAATGAATGTTGGATTGAATTTTTGCGATTTCATAACACTATAGATTTAATACCCGACAGAAAGTGATTTTCTATATAATGTCATTTTCTATTAGATTTTTTCTATAATAATACTATTGATAATAAATTATCTAAATTGACATTATGTTTAAAACGGTTGATTAACTAATTTACTAACTTTGCAGAATTATTTAATTAATTTTAACGCTAACAAAATTTTTATGATTAATAATTAATATTAAGAATAATAAGTTATTAAAACATAAGTTAATACTATTAAAACATAGTATTATACTAGTATATAATATTTATAGAAAACATCATTATAGAAAAATAGTTATATCCATCTCATTATTTGCTAATATTTATTATAACAAATCTACTTTCTTTAATCCATGAGATTAAATGGTAAGACGACTTTAAAAAAAACTGTTTTATTAAATATATATTTTTATTATATTTGCTTAATTATGTTAGAGATTAGTTTTGATTGCTTACAAATACTGTTCAGTAAAGTACATCCCAATTATTATTAAATAATACTTATAATCCATTCAATTATAAATTATATATTATATACTGTATATATAATATATTCTATCATGTATTCATGTATTATAGTCATCAGACACTTTAAACCATATTTACTATTTATTAACTACATGTTATTGATAGACTAAATAAAATTTTATTTTTAAAATTTAATTTATTTAAAGATTAACTGATTTAAAAGTTTTAATTTCTATTACATTAAATATAATGTTTGACTACAATAAAACTATAGTCATTTTTACTTTATTTTGTTATATGATAAAAAAATATTACATAATTTAACGATGATTACGGGATAAGATTATATGGACATACATTTAGTTTTGTATTGTATATACAGTATATTTGATATATATATATATATATATTAATGATAGGACGGCATGAAGTTTTACTAATTAATTGAGTTCAAGTGCTTAATAAACTTATTATTTATTCGCAATTATTTTCTATCGGTTTTTATATCAATATATCCTTAAAATATCCTCTTATATGTCATATTATGTATTGTTGTTAAATCATACCTACGCTCTGTCGTCATCAATAAAAAACATAATGGTTAAGATCTAATGATATCTTTTAGGTTTTTAAATGTTGTATAACATAACTACCGAAAGCTACCATCAAATGTACAGAAGCGTAAACCAACCGCTCATGTGCTGCGTTACCGAAACCTTACTTAAACTCAAAACTTTTATGCGCTGTCCATAGAAATTGTTAAACTTGAAGATAGCAGACATCAGTTATATATTATTATTAATAATAATTTATTTTATAATATTAATTGTAAGTATTTATTTAATTTTAAAATATTTTTCTTTCTATTAATTATTATAAAATACAATGAATTATTAATATCACAATAAAATCAATTTATTCTATATTTAAAGAATTTATAATTTCAGTAAATATTGTAAAACATCTTAATATTAAATATTTTTTAGTTTTACTTATTTTCAAATTATGTAAAACTCATAATTATCAAATATTTCATAATTTAAATTTAATTAACATATAATGCCATTAATTATCTAAATTATATAGATTAGTAAATAATTTATATCTATAATAAAATTATAATTCAATTAAGTTTGTATAGACTAAACTATTAATTTTTGGAAAACATTAACTAACATATACTACTAATTTCAAAGATTCAATTTTGATGATAATAAAAATGATGACAAATAACAAGTATTTCGGTGGCAATTATAGTAACATAATATCATTAATTATGTTACATATGATTGCATTTCTTGTATTATGTAATTTTGGTTTCTTTATGACCGAAACATCGGCGGCACAAAAGTTTTATCCGAATGGCAGATATGGTCGCAGATCTGTTTTACCGCCGCTTATGGCTTTGGACAACACCGACGATGCCATCACTTTCATAGGTTTGCAATTTTTTTCATCGCTTTAATTACAGTTTTATTTAATACCCATTAAATACTGGTTTCATTGTTTTTATTTATTTAATTTATTTGTTGAATACAATAAAATAATATAAATTTACTGGCAATTAGTTTAACACTAACCATAAATTTATTATTAAAAGTGTTTATTTTACAAGTTTGAGTTAGTTTTACTTTTTTATATATTTTATTGTTGAGTATCATAAACATTTATTTGATCATTGAATTGACAATTTAATCTAAATCTTACATTCAATTATTACATTTTTATTATAATAATCATTTTATTAATTTTGTATAATATTATAGTAATAAACAATATTTTGATTTATAAGTTTTTTATGTACTACAATACAAATATGTAATTTGTAGCAAAATTTTTTTATTGATATTTTTACTATTTATTTCATGATTTCTTTTATTTATATATTTATTTTTGTGGTTATTTTGATACTTTTTTTTCCTAATATATATATATATATATAGTAATCACTGTAAGCATTGAGAGCACATTCAAAACATTTAACCCATTGATTCACTAATAGTCTTTATGTGTTATTTTATATTTTTATGTAATATTATATAAAAAATTTGTGTGATGACATATTATTACTGGTTGTTCAATAAAATTATATAACAAAAGTTTTATAGTATTATAAACAGACTGACCAACAATATAGGTTTCGTCTATATAATACAGGATTTTAATTTTTAAAATGTTATATACATTTAATTTAAATAATTGTTAACAATTTAGAAATTATATATTTTTAAGAATGTTATGTTTTGTAGATATGTTACAAATTATAAAAATTTATAGAAAAAATTGAATACAGAAATTGTAACAAAAACTGTGAATCTGTCAAATTATGATATTATGTTTTGTACAGTATTTAATACAAATATAATAAAATTGAACTATAATGTATAGAAAGTAACTAAAATTTATACATTTATTTTCTCTCTCTCTCTCTCTCTCTCTCTCTCTCTCTCTCTCTCTCTCTCTCTCTCTCTCTCTCTCTCTCTCTCTCTCTCTCTCTCTCTCTCTCTCTCTCTCTCTCTCTCTTTCTTTCTTTCTTTCTCTTGTGTTATACAAATTGAAAGAAAAATTATACTATATAATTGAATATTTAGTTACCAGATACTGAAATTTAATTTTATAATAAAATGTTATATACATATATGTTAAAAGTTGTAGAAATCTTATGTAAACAATAAGCCATTAATATTTTTTTTGCTCACAATTCCTCAAATACATTGAATTTAACAGAATTTTATAATCCTTAAGGAATTAGAAATTCTTTAATCTGTAGTATGGCTTAAATGACATTTACAGTACATTATTATACAAATAAAATGTTTTATATATAATAACAATTTGCTGAACAAAAAAAAATTACTCAAACACATAGTTAAACACTAGGTTTGAAACAAATTGTCGGTTATTTGCTTTTCCTACACCATTTGACTAATGATTATTTAAATATTGCTTTTATTGTTGTATTATTATATTTAAAGAAAAAGTTAAGTTTATATATATATATATATATATATATATATATATATATATATAGAGAGAGAGAGAGAGAGAGAGAGAGAGAGAGAGAGAGAGAGAGAATTATTTGATTCAATACGAGAAATGCGTTTTTTCTATTTAATTATATCTTTATTTTTGTGCACAAATTATATACAAAAAATGAAAGAAACAATTATTGTATTATAAAATTGAATGAAAATAATTGAAAACATGATTTTTATTTACTTTTTAATAATACCATCTGTTCTCTGGTGTATAATCTGAACTTTTTTTTGCTGATCATATTATATATAAATAGTTATTATTGTTTGTTATATAATTTGTACGATCAGCTCAAGTATTGCCATTGATGTCCCACTTCAGAGACTTTCATAAAATATTGACTTAATTTCATATATAAACAATACTCTCTGTTTTTTGCTAAATATTATAGTTTATTATTATAAGTGTCAATAAAATTAATATATTTGATACAAACCAAAGTTAAAGTATACCGTAGAATCAAAAATACAATTTATTAAATAATACTTCAAAATGACAGCCATTAAGATGATTGTGTATTCAATTAAATAATTAAAAACTATTTTTTAAAACTATTAAGTTTTAATTTATTTAATTTAAATTACACTACAGTTTACTATAAAAACAATAAAAAGGTAAAGATATTTTGTTATACTGTATATAAAAGTTTAAACATTTATATTTATATTTGGAAACACTTTAGATAATAGGCTCTTATCTTATGATATTTAGTGAAACGTGACTTTTATAAAAGATTTTTTAAAAAGTTTGATTACAAACAAAAACTTAGTTATATAAAAATAATCAAAATTGTAAATATCTTTTAAAAAATATTGTTGAAAATAACAACAATTTCAAAAGATTTATAAGTTTTAATCTATAAATATATACTTGTATATATGTATACTGAACTTATTTTTTTGTCGGATATTGAAAAAATTAAATACAGTAGTTTCGACATTATTTAACAATTAAATTCAAATGTTTACTTTAGTTTAATCACTTAAATAAATCAAATGTATTTTGTTATTGTCTATTATTAGGAAATATAGCGCCAAACACTAAGTTTCCCAAAACTCATCCATTGAATGACCAGACAATGACTTTGCTTTGTTATACAGGGTTTGGAAACTATCTCAGGTGTAATATCAGGTAAATTATGACTTATTATTATATAATATTTTAAATAAAACTTTTCTAAGCTTATAATAATAAATATTTATAAATTTATAAATTATATTTAATAAATATTTATGTGTTTATGAATTATTGAACAATAAATTATATATAAATAAAATAATATTACAGTATGTAATACAGTATTAACTAAGTTTTAAAAATTAACTAACTATTAATAATAGTAAAACTGTATACTGTCTGTAAATTTTACTTAATTTAAAAAAGTAAATAATATTTGTTTTAATCTTTAAAATGTTACTAGTATTATAATATAATTTATGAAAATAATAGTAAAAAAGTTAATAATTATTGAAACAAATTTATAAACAATAGTATCGCATAATATGCTATAAAGCGCTGATATTTTAATTAATTTGTGACTTTTATTTTGGACAAAATTATTTATAATATATATATTTTAGTACATATCATATAAATAGATAGTATTGTTGCCTAAGTTTTATAGTTATAATCTCTTAAACAACATTTTACAGTGTTTTATACAATAAAAATGTTTAGTAAAGAATATTCTGTATATTTTTAAAATTATAGGTTCAAAACTATGATAACATATTATAGATGTTATTATCAATATAATAATACATTTGTTTTACTTTATGTGGATAACAATAAACAACAAACTTTTATAATATAAATTAACAATAGATTAAAAACATTTTCGCGACTTTTCTCTAGAGATTTAGTCTCAAAATTTATTAAACATTTTGTGTAATCGTTATTTCAGACAATAATATCTTAATTTATATCTGTATTATTTAAATAAATTTTCATAATTATATAGATATATAATTTTTTGTATATAATTTTCTTGACATTAGAGAGACGTTATCGGATGCTTTGGATAGAAGTAATAATGAAAGTCAACAATAATTTTTAATATTCATTCAACAAATTAATGTTTTTTGTTGTTTTGTTTTAATATAAGATTAAACTTTTTGTTTGTTTGTCAGTTATATCACATATTTTTTTGATTAACATTTAAATGTTATAAATAAAGATCTCTTATATTAATTAAGAGCAAACAAACGCAAACTATTTATATGAATATAAATATATATATTCTTCTAATACATCTATCAATTTGATTAATATGATGTCTAATATTTATAATTAAAATTAATATAACTATCAAGTATAAACATTATATACTCTATATATATAAAAATATATTCATGTTTTATGATTATTATAATTAATTTGATTAACTTTTTGGTAAAATTTGTTAAGTTATTATAAAAAGATATAATAATAATGTTAATAATAATAATAATAAAGTCAATTACTCATAACATATATTATTTATTTATTTTTTAGTTATTATGTTTATTCAAAATTATTAGAAAACATATTTAATAAAATATTTGTTAATAAACAGACAAATAGTTACTACTTTATCAAAATAAAATAGTATGAGATTTGAATAGAAATTAATATTAATGATATTACCGTACCGTTAAATTGTATGGAAATGTCAGTCATGGGGAATAATGCGAGCTTTCTCCCATATGAAAAATATAGTTTTTTACTTTGAATAATAATTTGTGACCCCTGTTTTTTTTTATATATTTTCAAGATTTCTCAACCCTTGTATTTGGACGTCTCTAGTTGTTCCAAACCCCTTGAATATGCTATTTATTTACCGATTTATAATATATAAAAATATTGTAAATGTATATAAAAGTCATTTATTGTTAAACATCGTTATAACTAATTAATTAATTACCGGTAATAAATCGGTTTTAATAGATTACTGTTAACTATCGGTCATTACAGTTCCATATTCCGCCAATTTTGATTTTCCCCATACTCGTTTAATTTACCAGGGGTGGTAAAAAATGCAAGTTTTTTACCGTATAAAAATGTTATTTTTCATTTTTTTAAATTCCATATGGGAAATAAAACACTATTTTACGGTAATTATGAAATATTAACTCAAATTTAAAAAATAATAAATAATCAAACAAAAAATTATTATTAAAAACATTAAAATCAATTTTATTAATTAATTAGTCCAATACATCCAATTATATCATTATTATTATTAATTTATTTAAAAATCTTTCCCTGATTAAACTTCTTGCCATCGAAACCGCCCTCCCATTCGAAGTACTCCTTAACCATTGTCTTAGTTTTTGCGTCATCCGGATCCAGTTTTTTCCATTCATACGATTCGTAGTCTACCTGCCAGTCAGGTGACAATGTAAAGGCCAGTTCGCTTCCCTTCCAAACCCATATACCAGATATCGTACTATTGTTGTCATCACCGAACAGAATCATACTTCCGAAAGCGTTTTTTCTCATTTTGTCCAATCGTTGAAACATTCCAGCGATTAGATTACAGCTCATGTAAACCATAGTCAACTCATCGGCGTATTTATAATTACAGAACCAAATCGAGTAATTTTGTTTATCAAACTTTTCCCAGAAATAGGGAATCGATTTGTCGGTATCATTGTTGGAGTAAAATCGTTTGAAATCATCCATAACCCATGTTCTGGAGATTTTTAAAATAAGACAATTGTTATTACAATAATTAATCCAAATTATAAAGACCTACCCTTTGGGAAATGCTTCGAACGGATCTTTGGCTTTCGGTTCAAGAGAGAGACCGTCGTCTTCATCTTCATCGCCTCCGAGATCTGCTTTAGGCTCTGCTTTCTTAGTCTTTTCCTGTTGTTGTTTGGCTGCTTTCTTCTCTTCTTTTTTCCCCTTCTTCGACTCGCTTTCACTCTTTTTTTCTGTAAATTAAATATTTTAAAAATTAATTTTTTTCCATTAAAACAATAAATATATTATATTATAGTTTTAATTAAATGTTAGATCGGATGAAATCCTCGCGAATCATAATTAACTCGAAAAGTAGGACCAAATCTATGTATTTATTATATCTCTAATGTCTTACGACTCAATCAATTGATATTTAATTAAAGCCGTCTTTGAAAGAGAAGTCCAACACAATATTTATTGATGAAAATAATCAATTGAATACTCACGAGTACGGGCAGTATCAGCGGTGACTGCTTTGTCGCAAAGTTTAACATTGCCTAAGACTTTCTTGAATTGTGGCTGATTAGAGAGTGTAAGAAACCAACGATTGACATTAGCATATGGAGAACGTTGTGACGGTTCCAATACGTATTGGAAGACTTGTAAAAGACTGACAAAGACAACAATGTCAGCCAAAGTGATTCTGTCGCCCACCAAATAGGTACGCGTCAAGAGGTGTCCATTTAAATAGTCTAAAATCTTGTTAATGTCAGTCTTTGCCCGTTCGATGGCCTGTTTGTTGGGCTGAATGGCACCTAACGAGGGTAACACCCAGGCGTAAGCGGCCGGAAGAATCTCATTGTCGGCAAAACTGAGCCATTGAATTACAAGAGCTTGATCTAAGGCTGTCTTTCCCTTCAACTGGTCATTCGACAGGTAGTAAGCGATAGCATTGCTCTCAATTAAGGCGCTTTTGTCGGTTGTTTCGAGTGCCGGAACCTAACAACAAAAGATAACAATTAATCGTTAATATAACGTATAAATTACTTTTACATAACATTATTACTAATTAATATTAAATATGTTATTAAATGGTTTAAAATAAATGTCAGATCGGATGAAATCTTCGCGAATCATAAATAACTCGAAAAGTAGGACCAAATCTGTGAAATAAATTCATTATTATATCTCTCATGTCTTACGACTCAATCAATTGATATTTAATTTAAAGCCGTCTTTGGGAGAGAAGTGGTTCAACCAATTCAACACATGTTTAAAACAAACAAAAAATCAATTCAAATACCTTTCCTAATGGGAACTTCTGGAGAAAAGCCGGTTGAGTGTTGGTCTGACCCAACTTGAAGTCTTTGACTACATCGACGGATTGGCCGCTATATTGACTGGCAATCAGGGCTTTAAATGCACGCCAATTGTTGTCGTAAGTATAGAGACGCTGTAATTAATTAAATTTAAATTAAAGTAAATTAAAACCAAATCATAATTAGCTGTCAATTATGGCATACATTTGATGACATGTTAAGCGCCGGTTGTTTTTGGACACGACTTCACTGTTAGAGTACTTCAATTGAAAAGAATTGAAACGGAAGTCGTGTTCAAACACCACGTGATCTATATATACATCAATGACATCAATGTATCAAATATATCGATAGTATCGACAATCGACAGGCCTTTAAATAAATGCCACTCAACTCATACACAGTTATAATATACACATAAATAGGTTTTATTTATTTTACTAATTATTAAACTTTAATAGATAGATAATTTTTTGTTAAATAAAATAAATTTGGTTTTATTAATAAATTTATTATAATTTTTAAATAACATTAATATTGTTTTTATATTTTTGCAAAAAAACTAATTAGTAATATATATAAATAGTTTTTAGTGGTGGACCTGATTGAAGGTCTGGCTCTGCAGTGCTATTTAGAGGTCGATATAGTATTTAAATATCCGTTTAGATATACGGGTATTAATTTGCATTTGAAAAAATTAAGCAAGATAAATCGTCAAAAATGATAAGCATGTACAATTACTAATACAATTTATTATAAGTAAAACTTTTATTAAATTTGTAATTTAATTATTTTTTAGGTGTATTGATGTGTGTCCTCCCAGTGATGATGAGTGCCATCAATGAGATGTCTATTTTTAAGGGATTGGATATTATGTGTGTATAGCTATGAGTATATAATATATACTGTATTTGTAGTTATATTGGGTTTTGAGTGCAAAATAGATTTTGAGTTTTTTTTTAACTGTATATCTCTGTCTTAATACTGTATAATACTGTATATAATAGAAGTATTAATATTACACATAAAAAAAGCATTATTTGAAGCATTAATTTGTTGTAATAATAATAATAATAATAATAAATTGATAGTAAATATAGTAGTGATTCACACAATTTACTAATTCATTTACAATACATTTTTTTGGTGATTGTGTTTTACACATATTTTTCATGTTTCAAAATATATATCAATTTTAAATACAATTTATTATTAGTATATTGTGTGAACATTTGCATTGCATTTGATATTTAATAATATAATATAATATTCACTAATCGTTTTTAATTGATTTTTGTGAATATTTTTTTTCAAACACCAGTCATATCTGTAGTCATTATTAATATTATTATTATTACAGTTATTATTATATCAACAGATAATCGCTTTTTATCATCAATTGATTTCATTACAAAAAAAACAATTTAATATTAAATAATAATAATATTGTGTTTATCAGTAAATAATTTATATCATATAATAATATATATTGTGATTATAAATATATTGTTTTTTTGTGAATTTTTAAAGGAAAACATACAAACAAAATGGTAATTATTTTTGTTGCTATATTTTGTCTCCACTTTTCCTTTTAAAATAAATAAATAAATATTTTTTATAATCAATTAATTATAAAAATGATTTGCCATTTCTTAAGGGAAACGAAGCATCGCTTCCGATGGAGATGTGCTCCAACTGTAAGCATAATAATAATTGTTTAGATCAGATGGTGGTAATTAGTATTGTATTATATAATAATTTATAATTTTCTTGTGTATACCATTGCAGTCGATGCCGACGAGATAAAGAGGTTGGGAAAGAGATTTCGCAAACTAGATCTCGACAACAGTGGCTCACTATCGGTGGATGAGTTCATGTCATTACCAGAACTACAACAGAATCCACTCGTGCAACGAGTCATCGATATCTTCGACACCGATCGTAACGGAGAAGTCGACTTCAAAGGTAACGATTTTTTTTGTTTCATTTAACAAAATGTCCTACAATTTGATGACTTATTGGATTGAACATCAATTGTATTGTTTGGTTACAGAGTTTATACAAGGAGTCTCTCAATTCAGTGTTAAAGGAGATAAAGAATCAAAACTTAGGTGTAAGTGATTATTATTATTAAAATGAAGACATTTATGACAGGGATTAACAAAATTATTAATGAATTGTATATTTGTTTCTATTAATGATTAGTTGCGTTCAGAATCTATGACATGGATAACGACGGCTTCATATCAAATGGAGAACTATTTCAAGTGCTGAAAATGATGGTCGGAAACAATCTAAAGGATACACAACTGCAACAAATTGTCGACAAAACGATTGTCTTTGCCGACAAAGACGAAGACGGAAAGATCTCTTTTGAAGAGTTTTGTTCCGTAAGTTTTGTCAATGTTTTTGTTGGCAATGCTTTCAAATTAGATTCCGAGCATAACTTGAAAACTAAAATTTAATTTTGATTTTTTTTGCTTCTTTTATTAACTATTTATTTATTTATCTCAATTATTTAATTGCTTATCACTTGAATCATTTTAAAACATTTTATGCATTTTATTGAATATTTTATATATTTGTTATACCTTAAAATGTATTTTAAAAAAACAATAATTATTTAACTTATCGTAAATGTCTTAACCCGTAATTGTGGTCTTCCTAATTGTCTGTTTCTCTCCACAATAATTTGCCAAATGATTGATAACTATTATTATTATTATTACCTAATATTTATTAGACTGATTTGTCTTATACACTGAATGTATTGTTATTTACAATAATTGATTAACAATATGGTTAACTATTACCGTATTATTTTTTTAAAACCTAGTATTTATAATACTAGTATTTATTGGAGTCGGGATTTTTTTTAATTATAAAAATGTTTTTTTATTATATTATAGTAAAACAGTGTAATAACACATAATATATTTACCGGTATATATATATTTATATATAAATTATCTCACTATAACTTTTGTTGCAATTATTATATTATACTTTAGTATTGCTAAATAATTATGATTTTATCATACAATTATGTTAGTTTTACAAAAATGTGTATATATTTATCTGATTATACAAATCACAGTAAATTAGTTGTAATAGTTTTGCACTAAAATTCCGGCTCTAATTATATTTAATTTGTTAACTTTATGATGATTAGTAAAATTATTTTCAATCGATGTAATTATCTTAATATAATAAAGCATTAATCAAAAACCAGTGAAGCTTTTTTGATGCTTTTATTTATTCAATTTTATTATTATTATGAATTTAATAGTATTTAGTTTTGATTGATAATTAATTTTGAAAATTTTTGTCAGTTAATAGCAGATCCAATGGGTATATAACACATAACTAATTAAAACAAAACAAAAATAATTTCTAACTAAAAAATTTTGACTAATATTCATTTACTTAAAATAATTTTCATAACAATTTTAGTGATTTTGAGTTTTAATGATTTAAATGAATGATACAAAATTTTTCTATATATATAAAAAGTGATGGAAACAATTTTATATAATAATAAAACGATATCTTTTTTGATCTCATTTTATAGGTTGTAGGGAATACTGATATTCATAAGAAAATGGTAGTCGACGTCTAGGTCTGGCCAAAAGACTTGTTTAATATTTGTTAATATAATATATATATATTGCATCAAATGAATCAATCAATGAGAGCATCATTTATACCCATTAATAATAATATACATATATATAAATATATATATATATATATATATATATATAAATATCTTTTGGATTGCATTTTGTGTTTTTAATGGCCAAAAATCAACTGAAAAAAATTACTAATGAGATAACAATAATTTGGATGTGATTTAAGGCAAAAGGTTTTGTTGTATTGTTTTTATTTTTAATTTTATTAATTTGTTTTTTGTTTTGTTTTTTTTTGTTAATCATATTCTGATTCCATAAATAACTTGTATTTCAATTTATCAAATGAGACTTCAATTGTATTTTCTATTTAATATACAGTATATGACTTAATATCTATACCTTACAGTAATTTCCAATCCCTTTGAATGCCATTTCCAGTTTGTGTCACATTTTTTAATGCATAAACAAATTTAATAGATGTTTGATTGATTAATGAAAAATTATAATAACTGATTATATTATATGATAATATGAGAAAATAAGAGACATAAATATTATATTTAAAAAACACCAAATAATTATATGAATAGTAACTGTGTTTTTTGGCCCTAATTATTGCCTTTTAAATTATATTGAAAAAAGGTTTGGTCACTATTGTAATGATATATTTGTTGAATTTTAATATATAAAAAATTGTTTATTATTGCTATAAAAAATTATTTACAATTGAAGATAAACGTCGATTGAGAGACACAATTGATTACCACAAGAGTACTACAGTTTTTGTTAATTATTAAAACACTACTCTAATACATGTTTTTAATTTTAAATCCCATTATAGATAGATGTTATTCATTGATTTAATGTTATTATTATTATTAAATCATTTTTGAAATATTTTTTAATTTTAACAAATCTCTATAAAATAATGACTGAAATTTGCAAATATTTAGAGATAATGCAATCGATGTTAATATTTGTATTAATTAATTATATTTAAAAAAACAAAAAACTATATACTTTTTAAAATCAATTGAAAACTTTCTCTCATACGCCTTACTCTAATCTCAATATACATATATATTTAAAAAATTGTAAAATATATAAATGAAAATTAATAATTATATATATATTATAATTATATATTATATAAATTTTTTCTTAATGTGATTGAATTTGAGACCAGTATTGGTTTGAAAAATTTAAAATAATTAAATAATCTTAAATATATATATATATATATATTATTTAATTTGTTAGTTATAAATAATTGATTGTTAAATTAATTTGATTTTAGTTTTTTGTTGTTAAATATTTAGTTTAAAAATGCAAACATTGTTTTGAGAAAATTGTGTTCATTTTGTTATAACATTTACACTTCATTTTCAGTGATTTTTGAGGATAAAACCATATGATGTTAGCGCACATGCAATACATGTATTGTGTTATTATGTGATTATCATTGAAATGTACTCTTATATGTATATAATACGGTATATTCAGTATATAATAGGCTTATTTGCATAAAATATAAACTAATAATATAACTGATTATATATGTATAGAGTATAATAAACATTAAAGCTATTCAACACAATATATTGTTCATTAGCTATATATCTCTTAACTAATTCATACTTAACTATATGGCTATTGCTATGATATAACGGTTGATAAGCTATTAAATGGTAACTCAAAACATCACTGAAGGGTTTTTAATTAATTTAACAAAAAATTATATATATATATATAAATTTATTATATTAATGTTTTAACTTATTTTTATGATTAGTTAGTTTATCAAATCATTTATATTGTTTTATGGTTGAATTTTTATGTTAGTTTTTTTAATGAAAAAAAAATAACTTAAAACTAGTCATATTTGTTAATTAATTCAATTGGGTATTAAATATATTAATTATAATATTTATAAAAAAAAATTAATATAAAAATTGTCTCCAAATTTACATGAGTTTGGTTAAACTTTCTAATATTATTGAAAAAACAAATAAATATATTTATAACATATATATAATTATTTTATTGAAGATAATTAAGTAATCATGTTTTTTATATAATTTCTATTTAAATGAAATTACGTATATATATAATATATATATTATATTTGAAAAAATGTTAAAATGAAATGATAAAACAATTGATTAGCACTTTTGTCTCAATTGTAATGTACAGCACAGTTAAGACTATTAATAATGATTATATAACGACAAATTATATATATATAACATTATTGATTTGTATTTTTTAAACAAAATATACAATAATTATAAGAGTGAACTAATATTAATATTTAATAATAATAATAATACAACAATAAAATCCACAAAAATAAATAAAATCTGTTTTTAATTAATGAAAACAAAAATTTGTGGTGGATTTAGGACTCAGTTTTATGTAAATATTATATATACTGTTATATATTTATATCTTTACAATCAGTGATCGAGTCTTAATAATAATAATATTAATTATTATTCATAATTATATATTATTATTATATAAATATATATATATTATATAGATTTTTCTATCAAATCATATCAATCATTAATCGACTCTAATCTCTAAAATAACAATTTTCACACCATTTTCTCACAACTTGTTTTTTCTCAGACATTAATAATAAATTTCAAATTATATATAATATAATAATAAATTTCTATTTGATTCCAAAGATTAAAACATGTCATAAATTTTATTATTATTATTTATATGTTTAATATATTTACTTTAATTAATTTTAATATATATATATATATTGTGTTATTATGGGTTTGTATCGATTGTTTGGCATTTTTGTTGTAGTTGTAAATTTGTGAAAACAAAATCGTTTTGGACGCAAAAAAATCGGATAGAAGACTAAAAAACAAACAAATTTTTATCTCAATATTATTATTATACAGTATTTTTTGTTGTTGTTATACAGACTAAAAATTTAATCATAAAAACACATCTTTTTAACAGTAGTTTCGACCTAATTATGTTATTATTAGTATTATTATACATTTTTTAAACATCAATTTTGAAGTGCTATTATTGTTAGATATTATGGTTAGGATATCAAAACTAATTAATCATTTTTAAAAATAGTTAATAAGTAAACTTAAGATAATTGCATACAATTTTTGTTAAAAATTTAAATGATTGAATACATTATATGTATGTGTGGTGTTGTTGTTGTTGAAAATGAGGTATAACTTAATGGCATTTCGTTGTTGTTTTTTTAATAATTAATTTAATTGATAAAAACCCAAAAATAAAATTATAATCAACAAATATAATATAATCATATTATATATCATTTATCATCTATAGTGTGTGTATGTGTTTGTGTTCAAATCTGTACAAAAAATGAGCAAAAAATAAGGTTATGAACAAATTGAAAATTAATGGCTAATAATGTGCTCAACAACACAAAATTATAACATAAATCAATCAGTCTTATTGCAAACAAATCAAGATTACAATTACATAATTATTATTTGTTTTTAAATTAAATAATTCAATTTAACCAATCAATGGGCAATTGAATTTGATAAACATAATCATTATTAAATAGTATATATATGTATATATATATCATAATATAAATAATAGCATTCACTAAAAAACGATAACTTAAATCCAATGTATATTATTATTATTAAACTATTATAAGTCATCCAAATGTGTGGATTCGTTCGTATCATTCATTCATTCAACACTTGTGTCGGTATTTTCGGCATTCAGTTTATCAGTCAGTCATGTCTGCAGTTTATTAGTAGTTTTAATTATATATATACGGTATATCATAACAACATTTCCCACTCGATTGGAAAAAAAGGAACTCATATTATGGTTTAGATTTAGATATTTTTTGTTTTGTTAAAGAAACTGATCACTTGTTTGTTGTGTTGACAAAATGTATGGATGATTTACAAATGATTTATGCATTGAATGAAATTTTTTGTTTGTTTTAAATGTCATTTGAGGCACAATATTATGGTTTCACAACATTTGCTGAAGTGCTCGGACTTGAGCTGTTCGATGAATCCGTGGTTCTTGTGTTGATATTGGGTATCGACGACATCAGAAAAGTGGTCGTCGATGGCGGTCGGTCTCCCGATATCGTCGACGGACCCCATAATCTGACAGTAGCGTCGTCTGAGGCACTGGCAATCAGTTGTGGGTATCGGGGATTCCAAGAGACACAGTTAACTGTCCGCGAGTGACCCGTCAATACATTTACTGGCTTTTCACGTTTCAAATGCCAAATGTATATCTTGTTGTCTGAAAATCATATATAATATCTCGATTACAATAACTGATTAATGAATAACACATTATAAAAGATAATACCTTCACTACCACTGGCAACAAATACTTGATTAACGCCACCAAAACATGAATGAATTGTATAGTATCCTTGAGTTACTCCTTGAAATTTACGTAACAATATCTTGTCCTCTAAATCCCATAAATGGACGCCTTGTGTGGCAACGTTGATGAGTGCCAATCGACCCGAATCATCACAAGTAAACGACATTATAGAGTTGTCTTCTCTTATACTAATAAATTAAAAATATTGTTTATAAGTTTAATCACTTAATTAATGGCAATAATTGACTTACATATTAACATCAGATAGTTCTTCAAAATTATATCCGCGGATTCTTTGGTGAGTATCCGCAGCCAACACTGTTTTGCCGTCCTTTTTAAAGTAAAGACATTGGACTCTAACCCCTTCCCAGGTGTCGATCACATTACCGTCCAAATCCTATTAATTTATTAATTTAAATGATAACAACATTTAACATAAGAAAAACATAATTAGTATTATCTTAATTACTAATTATATTATCTAAAATAAATGCAATAGTGGTGTATTAGAGAAGGAGTACTAACGCATTGATAGAACTGTCCTCTTTGGCCTCCTGTCACAAATTTCTTGCCGTCCTTATGCCACGAACATGTGGTCAGACTATCTTCAGGTGAATGACTTACTTTCACTCGTAATTCTCCAGACTTTAGAAATAATCATAAAAATCATATGAAAACTAATTAAAATATTGAAATAAAAATAATACAATACCTGGACATTCCAAACCCATAGGTCTGAGCAGTCATCCGGACCGCAAGCAATCAAATAGTTATCGTCGGGACTCCAGGCTATATATGACACTCCATATGAGTGGCCTTCAAACGTGTGTTTATGTTTGAGCCGTAATGTGTCCTAAAATAAATATATATTGAAAATTACAAAATAAAAAATGATATTTTCTTTTTTTGGAAAATGTTATAATTCCGAGTAAAGGTCTTACAGGATCGACATCCCATATCATAAGAGTACTATCTTTAGAACCGGTGGCTAGTTTTGTGCCGTCGTTAGAGAAGCGACAAAACCAGACTTCATCGCAATGATCGGTTAGGATTTGAATGCACTCATTGGGAAACTCGTCTTTACTGCAAACGTGATCAACCAATAGGTTGACACTGTCGAGTCCGGTATCAATTGCAAAGTTATGGTACGGACACCTTTCCTTTTGGAGGTCAACTGCTTGACAAAGTAGTGCTCGTAATCTTCGCGGTGGAAGCATTACAGTCGGTGGTAAAAATGCTACTCAATTAAAAAAATCATTAGTGGATTAAAACACAAATCAAATAATTGTTAAATACATTGCAATTTTTCCATTAATTTGATTCTCGACGGTAAACCCTTTCCGTCCCAATTCGATACTTTCCGTAATTCGTCGCTTGAATTACACATTATATATCTGAAAATATATAATTTTATTTACACTAATATATTAATATATGTATTAATTTTATATAATATATGCATATTTGTGTGTCTGCTTATCATTTACCGATACATATGGACTAAAAATGCAATTTTATTATTTTCATATTAAATCTGCTTGTATATATATAAATATAAATTCTATGCAATTTAAAAATCTTTTAAACTTGGTTATTTGAAATAACAATATTAAAAATAATTAATTAATATTTTTTGTAATACAATGACATTTAGCAAATTGAAACATTAATAAAAAAAGTGGATGACTATTAAAAATAATTTGTTGCTCAAAGTAATTAATGAAAAAAAAGAAATCAGTTTTTATTTATTAAATCACAAACACGTGACTTATTTATATATATAAAAAATCTTATAATAAAGTAAATGTATAGTAATTCATAAGCCATTACTATTTATCATGTGATTGTCATTTAATTACATTATGAAATTGCAAGCAAACACAAAGGGCACAAATCAAATCTAATGCACAATATTTATATAATGTCTTATGATTTTTATATTTGTTTCAATCATTAGCTGATCTCAACTACATATATAAAAAAAAAAAACTACAAACATATGTACTATAATAATGCACTGTACATACATTTATACTACAATATAAAATTTGAACAAATATATGGGTAAATAAATCAATAAATAATTACCGACTAAGTTGATGGACACGTTGTGTATTATACTTAAGTGGAGTCAATTCGTCTCGAAGACAATGAATCGCTTCCATTGGTTTCAAATCCTCAATGTTTTCGAGATATTTTTGCTCCAATAATAAAAACTTCATTTTCTAAAACACATAAAACATATCATTTAAATTTAATTACTTAACTGTTTAAATGATTTTTGTTGTTGACTTACAGCCAATGCTTTCGGTGAATCCAAAAGTGAATTCAATTCGTGTAGTGTTGACTCAGCCTATAAATCAATTATTTATTTATTTAATTAATCAATTAAATCGATTCTGTAATTAGCAGCTAATAATAATTAATAATAGCATACTTGAGCCCACTCGCCATTCAAAACATATGTCTGAAATTTAGCGGCCGATGGGTGGTCAAGACGACAACCCGACTCTTGGATCAGTTGATCAACAGTTTTACTATTCATTTAAACAATTGGTTAATTCAATTACATAATCAATAACTCTTTGTTTTAAAAATGTTTACTTAAGTCCCAAAACTCTTAAATGTTGACCAATGAGTCGGATGATGTCCCGATCTGTTCTGGACTTGATATTAACCAACATATCTTTGTCGTTGTCATCATTGACCTTATCGGTGACACCATTGGACGCAATACCATTAGATGCAATACCATTTGAACCGTTGGCGTAGTTATTATTGTGTTGAAAGTGAAGGCCATTGTTGTCTTCCTTTGTGCCATCAATTGGCTGATTATTATTATTATTACTATTCGTTTCAGTTGATCCGTTAGCAATGGATTGCATTGTATTGATTGAAGAAATGATTGTTTGGTTACTGTTTGGATGCGCTGCAGAACTCGTGTGGGATAACGACTCGCCAATGGATTGCAGTTGTGATTGTTGTTGTTGTGTGGATTGGCTCACCGCTGATGACGCACTAATTATCACTGAATGATGTGCTGTCTGTCTCTGTCTCTTCCTCGGCGGTGGTGTCGTTCCCCCCGAGTCTGAGTCCGATTCCGTACTCGAGGCCAGTGTTTGCTCAACAATCACACTATTGGTCGCAATAGTGTCGACAACTCAAATGACAAGCCCTTACGATAGCAGACCTACCAGTGCTATCAATTAGTCAACCAAACCATCCTATCAATCAAATCAGTCACTACTCCTATAGCTCGTGGACAAAACGTATTCATCAAATGGTCAATCAGATCCACCAATTGGTGTCTTTGTGTGGACACAAACCCGTCAAACAAAATCACTGATCAATAGATTTGTCTATTAGTTGTGTATTGAGTCAACCATTTGAGGCATTCATAGCATAGAGTCATAGCATTAGCACTCATAGCATACATACATACAGTCAGTCAAGTCATACATACACTCAATGCTAGCAAATAAACAAAAGCTTTAAATGCATTCAATAAGAGTGACGTTTAAATTTCATATACTATAACATTGTATTATTCATATATTTAGTATAGTATAATGCCATCGAAATTCTAATAATACATGTTTATAGGCCACACACTAGTTAACCCATTTGTTGTTAAACATATTGAACTACGTTGTAGTGGTAGTGCGTCAGCTGTTTTCAGGCTATACAACACATACACACACACTCTATGTCTTATCAATACACAGTGTTCTACTGTAACTACATATGTATTATACAGTAATACTCTTTCCATTGCATTACACAGTGTTCACCATATAATTGAATACACAGTTACAGTATTATATTATTATTACATACAGTATTATCGCATTATAAGCGTAGTATTGGGTGCTAATGAATGTACTGTACAATTGGTAACACTATTTTCACTGTAAAAAAATAAAATTATGCAATCAATTTGAATAATCGTAATTTGCAATAGAGTTGACAAATAAACCGATACAATGCTATTGATTTTTTAAAAAAATATAAATAAAAAATTATTTAATGTTTTTTTTTAATTTTTGATAAATTCTAACTATAGTATAACACAATAGACTGATTAATATGTAGCCAATAATTTGATGCTTAATTAGTATCTTTGTCATTGTTAGATATGTTATATCAATATAAATAATAAAACAATATAACTTTTTTAAATATACTCTATATATAACTGTTTAGCTAATCTTTAAAAAATAAAATAAATATTGACTAAATTTTATGTGCATTTAAATAATTTTTAATTATCTTGTAATTTTATTTATGCAAAATTATATAGTTATTGATAATTAATCATCATTTTTATTATATTTTATTTTTAAAAATTCAGGGGTTTATATGTCATAGTACTGTACATAATCTATATATTTAATTATTTATTTTTTGATAATAACAATAACTAAATTATACCCAAAAATATTTAAAGTTTTTGAATGCATACACAAACATTTTGGTCAATGCTATGCACAGAGATTTTGCATATAAATTATTAATAATAATATTTTATATACATGTATGATATGTTGTTTTAAAGTTATTAATGTTAATAAAGTTTGTAATCTAAATAAAAAAATAAGTAAATATTTAAATATTTTTCAAAGAAATGCGATGAACTTTTCTTCAAAAAAATAATTGTATATAATTGAAACATAATGTGATCTTTTATAACATAAATTTCAAGAAATATTAAATAATTGTTACGACATGAATATACGAGCAATTATTTTATATTTCATACATATATATTTATGATACTGTATATATACTGTATATATAAATACAAGTTTTCTTAAGCCGTTAAATAACTTATAGCTTAAATAAAGATTTTAAATGAAAATAAGATAATAATTGCATGAAAATTATGATAAAAAATAAATAAAATAAATTCACACACATGTAAGTTATGCGACATAACTTTTAAAGAGTATTATGGTGTCCGTCCTGCAAAACAATGACATTATTATAATAATAATTTTAATAATAAATGTATTTGTATCACATGAAAAATTTTTAAAATATATACAGTATATATAGAGTAGACAAACAATTTGTTTGATATGTGAATAACCTGGGAATTGGAGGGCCTGATAGCTGGGGGCTCATTGTATCGACTAATCAAGTAAATGGTTAGTTCACTAATAGCACTGATCTGACAGTTGATCAGACATTCCTCACGAATAAAGTAATACTCTTTTATTTTCTATAATATGTTTATTGCAATACTTTGTATAGGAATTGCAGTGTTTATAATACAAAACTCATAAATCTTGATATCGTTTATAATATATATGCAGTTTTATATGGTTTTGCTTAATATAAAAGTGAAATTTAAGTGCCATTAAAAAATTACACACGAAATATAATATCAAAATAATTAGTAAAAATGACGAGCAAACTGAATCTACAGGTATAATGAAATAAGTTAATGAAAATATAAATATATATATATATATGCTATCAATGTTAGACACCAGAGTGTTAGTTACAGTGAGGAATGTTTAGCTAATGTTTTTTTTCGGAGTATTTTTTGGCGTACGAGTGGAGCTCTGGTGTGAGCTCAGGGACGACAGGTATGAGCATAAAACCTGTCGACCAATACCTGAGGTAACAGTTGCAGCAAATTTTTAATGTGTATGTCTAAACATTTTGAATCAATACATTTACCGCTAAGTTTCAGCTTTTTTCGCTTATTAATAATATACAGTACACCTATCTATCCATTATTACTTTATTCAAAAATATATTGTTATAAATATGTTTTTTATTAATTATATAAATTTTTATTATTTTAATGTTGTTTATAAAACTTATTTTAATGTTAAAAGCAATCATCATTTGAAAAACTAATGACTCCAAACAAAGACATGCTGTGCTAATATAACATCAACGCTATTATACCTGTATTTGTATATATAATAATAATAATAATAATAATAATAATAATAATGATAAAATACTTTATAATATAAAAAGCTATACATTATATTTTGATATATATATGTATGAGAGATGTCCTTCACAATTGGACAGTCCTTTTGCTATGAATTCCCTCTCTCTTTCAATACCTTTTGAAATTTGCAAATATTATTTATATTATTTTATTTTTTTTGTCGTATAGTTTTGTGTAGTAATATTATATGTATTTATTTGAACTGCAAAAATATTTCAAATGTCTTGAAATATTTTCAATTAATAACCAATATTTACACTAATATATTAAATATTGTTGCGTAACAATTATATTATATACATATATACATAATATATAAGTAAATAAAATTGTTTAAAAATATTTTGTTTTGTGTTTATATAGTTTTGTGTGTTTTTCTAATATATTATTATCATTTGTTTCAATAACTATTGAATCTCTTTTTGTAAATACCTTTTATTTAATGATAAAATAATAATAAAAAATAAAACTTCAATAATATTATCGTATAAAATAATACTGTATAATAATATACTGTACTTACAATAATAATATTATTAATGTTTTTTAATGTGGAAAATAATTTTTTTTAATGAAATCATCAGTGAATACACATAAGTTATTAATGTTAAACATTAAATAGTGATTGTATGAAAAATAATGTGTTAAATCCACCCAATAATGCTAATTGTGACACAATTTTAATAACAAACAGTTTTTTATTTGACAAATATTTTTGACTTCATTTCAAGTTATTTTTATAAAACTTTTTTTCATAAGAAACAAACGAACCATAAATATTATTAATAATAATATAATATAATATTTTAACTATATTTTTATTCATTTAATTATATGATATATTGCTAAACTGATATACTGTTGAAATTATTATTATTAGTTTATTTATTTTAATTGCGACTAAAAGTCATATTATTAAATATGTAATTATTAATATAAAAAATGTGAATCAACAATTGATAAAACTTTAATGCCATATATATTGTAATTAGAGTTTTATCACATTTACTATAAACATAATGATTCAAGTATTTATACCTGAAATAAATATTTATTATTAAATAAAATAAAAATCCTATCAGACATTTAAAAAGCTATAATTGATAAAAATGAAAATATCAAATGTTTTGATATATGATATTATAAAAAATAATGTGTAGATATTATTAATAATATGTTGTGACTAATTAATTGTGTTTTTAAAATATTAAAACAATGTGTGAATATATAGTTTGTGCCAAAACTTATTTGTTGTCACTATTGTTGACACTATCTCTTGTGTCCAATGTTTGGGCTCAAGAATATTGCTATACATCTGGAGGTGTTTTCGGTATAATAGCCATCAGTGTCTTCTGTACACTCTTCGTCATTACTCTTGTATTTGCTATCATTTGGATTTTATGGATTAAAAATCGGATAAAATTGGGTAATAATGACAATTATGCTGTAAAATAAAATATTATTATTACTATTATTATTATTTATAAGTTATAAAATAGTAAATACTATATAATATTTCTCTATTATATATAAAAATATTTTTTGGTTATGTTTTAAAATTATATACAATATAATATATTACTATACTGTATACTGTACCATATAATTTATTTACAGTTAATTTTTATTATTAATATTATTATTTTAGTTTAAAAAAATACAGTAGTTCTTCATTTAGTGTTCTATAAAATCTATATAAAAATTGCAAAATAATTGCAAATAAATATACCTATTATTATTATTATTAAAAATTTTAAATGATAATCAAGGACACACTGGTATAAAATTTTATGCAAACATATAATGATTACATAAATTTTTTAAAAATAGGAGTAACCTATTAAACAATATGATCGCCCAATTTGTCGCATGAATGCCGATGTGTGTGGGTTTCAAGAAATATATATTTATATATATATTTAAAAAGAAAAATTACTATTAAGATATTTATAAATTGAATTATTGAAGAGTAACCACAAAAAGTATACTCAAAATTATTCATTAAATAATAATATAGTAATATATTTATATGAAATTCATGTCTCAATTACCTAATTATGCAAAACAAAACCATATTTAACTTCTATGAAGAAAACAATAATGTATTTTTAAAAAATAAGTTTTTTATGATTTTATATTTTTATATACAATACGTAGATGTCATCCTTATTTAGCATACAAACCAATTTAAATCTATGCTAATTGCAAGTTATTGTGTGAATTACACTTTCATTACAAATATGAAATTATATAAATTAATATATAATATTGTAATGCATTACTAGAGAAGTGCATTGATATCATATGCATTAAAGCCTTAATTGTTTTTTTACATTACAAAGAGTGTAATTGAGTTCATAATTCATACATATTTTCCCAAAAATAAATAATAATTTATTATTTTTTCACTATTTATATAATATATAATTTCTCAACAAATAAATTATATTTAGTATAAGAGTTAGTAACCATTTGTTGTTGTTGTTGAAAAACATCAAAAAATTTTAAAAATAAATTTTTAAAGCCAATTATAAAATTAGTATCTACAATACAACAACAAAAACAATGTATAATTTTTTATGCATAAATGTATAAAAGATATAACCAAAAATAATAATATTAATATTAATAATACTAATAAAAAATAATACAATCTATGCTAATATTTTTGTTGATTGCAAAATTCAATGCACTTTTATGGACTTTCATGAATTGTAATTTTTTATGGATATGAAAATAAAATTATAAGTCAGAAAATTATGAAACTATAAGACTTCATTGTATTCATAAATTTTAAAAACATTAGTTTCTTGAAAAAACTTTTTATGATTTCTCTCTCTGTTTTAAACTTTTGAACAAATAATGAACTTAAAAAATTTGTGATTAAAATTATGTAAACCCATTGAGTGAAACTTCATTATGACTTTGATTATAATAATAATTATTATTACTATTATTATTGCTTACTATTACTACTATTATTAATGTTAAAAAATATTTTATAAAATTAATTTCATAGAAGGAAACATCAATTTTTAATTTAATTTAATCACAAGTTATACTTATACCGTATATATAGTATTAAACAATCTTTCCATAAGTAATTGAGGCCATGGCTACCAATTTTTTGGGTATTATACCGATTACTATTCACGCTAGCGGTCACGCGGCTTAATTTTATAGCCAAATATAATAATTTAGTGATATTTTTAATATTTATTTAATAATAACTTAAAGATATATTTAATTAATAGTATAGTTTATACAGTATTTTAAACAATGCATATTTTGTCCGATCATATTTAAAAAAAACAATTATGCAATAATTTAGATGATTAAAATAAAAATTAATTAATATATTTTATGTCCAGACAGTTTATAAGATTATTTTAGAGTAATTAAATATTTATAAATATTTGAAATAATATTAGATTATTAATTTTTGCTTCTATTTTATTATTATTATTATTACATAATAAAAACAGATTTCATATTAAAAGCAATGCAAAGACAAACAAATAAAATGACAAAAAAAGATTTGGAGTCCAATAATAAAGAGGATTACGCTTTTGACAATCCATACTTTGATGATCACGAAAGTGGACATCAAAAGAGACAACAACAGGACCTACAAAATGGACACAAACCAACTAATATAATGATGATGACAGGTATGAATTATATTGTATATTATTATTCAATAAAATCTATTGATAATTATCCAAATATAATCTAAATAAATAACCAAAAGTTGTGTAAAATAATATATAGGTATGTGAAATCATAAAAATAATATTTATTTTAGTTTTTTTCTGCACATATTAGTTGTAAACTGAGTTTATTTTTCAATAGCAATAATAATTTTTAATAACAAACAAACGACAAAAATTAACCCTAAAATTAGAAATCTTGTTTACAAAAAAAAAATAGTTATAAATAAATTTGATAAATAATGATATTATCTAATAATTGCAATTTTAATGTCAACTAATATCTAATAACAAAGTGTATCACTATTTTGTCAAATCATCAAATTTATCTGATCTTTTAATTACAAATACTGTATATCACCCGTTATGTTGTCATATCATATATATGGTATATTAAGTTTTATAAAAATCTATGTATATATCATTAATATGTTGTTTAATATGTTAGCGAAACAAAATATTATCTTTAATTAATACTTATCACAGTTTATATGATAGTTAGTTTTTTTTGGAAATACGATACCAATCAATTATGTTTATATTAAAAAATAATAAATTGTAATATAAATATTATTTATGTGTATAAAGAGATAGAATTTTGATACATTGCTAAACAATTTAATTACATAAAAAATATTATATATATATATAAAGTTTTTCAACATCGGGTTCAACGACTTTTTTAGATCAGTCATTAATTGGGAAATGTTGTTATCGGACGGCCAGTGCATTGATTGTTGAGGGGATACCAGGGATATGTAGTGGTTGCGCCTTTGAGGCTATTTTTTACTAAAATAAAAATAAATTTGAAATTTAGATGAGCTCCAGGTATCACAAAATGTTTTTAACTGTTTGCTAAAATAATAACAAAAAATAAAAATCTAGAAATCAGTTTATTATTATTATGATTTTTATTATTATTTATTAAAAAAAACTAACAAACATAACAATAGTGATAAAATAACAGAAAACCTATGGACAGTACATTACAATAGAGTTAATGAGTAAAAGTGTTTCCCGGATGCAAATTCACGCATTGGATAACAGACTTTGTTTATTAATTTAAAATAATAAAATAAGTCAATATTTTTTTTTATTATAATATATTTATTATTATTAATAATAATATTATTTAAAAATCAAGTTCATAAACTATAATGTTATTAATAAAAAAATAATGAGGCTTATTAAAAATAATATTTAATATTAAAAAAAAAAAATAATAATATCATTATAAATCTTTTTATATAAGTAGCTAATGATCTCATGTTAGACAAATATGTTTTTCAATCAAATAAAATGTTTTTTTAAATAAATTTTATATTAATACAATACACCTATTTAATTATTATTACTTAAGTTATTTAATATTATGGTATGTTTTTATAATATCTGTCAACAATAAATATAGATATAGGTTTAATAAATTTATAATTATATGATTTATAAGTCTTTTTAAGTATATAATAATGGATCAGCGAATATGATTGATTAAAATAAATTATTTTATGAAATTGAATATATATATATATATATATATATATATATATATATATATATATATATATATATATATATATATATATATATGTAAGCAGTTAATAATGATTAATGAAAATTGAATCTTTTATATACAATAGTATAATAAAATAATAATATAAACATAGAAAAAACACTTATATAAGTTTGTATATGAAAATAAATTCAATCAAAAAATATTATTACATGACAGCTCCAAATATTAATATGATATTATACTTATTAATACTTTTTAATAGATTATGTGATATCTTTTAGGTTAATAATATATTAAGTAATTTATATAAAGTAAAACAAATCAAAAAAGGTAATAAAATTATTACCAAACATTAAACTAAAAATATTTATTTATAAATAAATGTTAATTATAAAGTCATAAAAAAAATTCTAGCATTTAAACAAATTATTATTATTATTTCTTTAATTTATTTAGGAAAATCTAATGGAGGAAATTCAATAGATTATGGCAATGATATAAATGATTCACAGGTTTGTCTCATTTTTTAAAAAAATAATTATTATTGTTGATTAATATGTTTATTATGATTGTAATTAAAAAACTAATGATAAAAATCTTCACATATCACTGATATTTTACAATTCATATATATATACATTTATAATGTATATTTAAACGGATCATATTATAAATTTAATGTTAAATTAACACCATTTTTATCAAAGAGAGAGAGAGAGAGAGAGAGAGAGAGAGAGAGAGAGCAGTAATCCAGCGTATAATTAATAATTTAAAACTTATCTAATGTCTAATAGAAATAAGTAAATCATTACTGAATGTGTCATTAAATATATTGACTTTTATTTATTTATTATTATATATAATGTTTGAAAAATGCAGATAAAATCGTGTGAAAAACAGAAAAGTCGTCATTTAATTAATAGTCCGTTTGTGAAAAGTCTTCCGCTTTCGGCTGTCTTTCATAACATGAATATCTTGAATAAGAAGTACAAACAGACAGATAATCACTCAATGGATGATAATTATGTACATAAGGTTTGCTATAATTTTAAAAAATAAATTGATTGACATTTAAACCGAAAGATTGAAGAGAAAAAAAGTTTGACAAATAATTATCATTATATTATTATTTGATGAAAATCAGACAACAGAACGAAACGATGTTGAGCTAACTGGTCGTGATTTTACGGGATTGGGATTTAATTTGTACGGAAATATGAGAGACGGTATCTTTGTTAAGGATGTGCTCAGCAGAGGACCAGCTAATGAATCGGGAAAAGTTAAAACAGGTTTGTTATTTCAAGTGACTATAAAATTTTTATTAAACTTTATCTTTTATTGAATGAAAATAAAAATTAAATTAATTTTTTGGGTAACAGGAGATCGCATAATAAGCGTTACCGTATCGTTTGAATCAATGGTTTTCGATGACGCGGTCGCCATACTTAGCTATGCCTCACCGTATAATGTGAAGATAACACTGGAAAAGGGTGACCACAACAACCTGTCCATTGATAAGTTGGGCCATACGTTGAATGTCAGTAAAAATATTACTGTAAATACTCGCCAAACATTATTGCATCCCATCTACCGAAGCCATTCTGTAGATGACTTGACCCAAATAATCAAAGATATATCACTGTCCGAAAAAAGTACAAATTCTGATGGAAAAAATATGATACAAAAAATTAAAACACAAATTTTAAATAAAATTAATGCCAAACACTTACCGATTACTACTTCCAGTATAACAATACAGGAAAATCCGGAATATAAGTTAAATAATAAAATGTTGGCCAACGATAATAGTTTGGCAAATGTGTCGACAATGGACACCATTGACAACAGTATCGATGATATCAATATAGAAATAATATCTAATATTGATAATCAAACAAATATCAAAGTAATTGATGAATTGTTTAATGAAAGTCAAGATAATTTACATAAGCCTGTGGTAATACCTGTGGCGGCCAAACGTAAAAACAAAGCCCCACAACCTCCCAGTGAACTTACAACCACTTCAACAACAACAACAACAACTGATCCCACAAATTCTCGATTCATTAATAATCAACCAAATGTCGAGACCATCGAAACTACAGCTCTGGTTCATAATGTAGAAAGTTTGAGTCAAACAAAACTTCAAGACATCTCGAGTACTGATAGTTTAAATGAATTAACTCAGTCTACAACCTATACAATAGTTAATGTTATCAACAATGATGAAGACAATGATGAAGACAATGATGAAAAAAATGATGAAACTAATGGTCAGAGTTGTCACAATGCAAATGTTTTCGAAGAAGTCACTTCAGTGCCATCAGATGTAGTGCCCGCTAAAGGCCAGAGTCCACAAACTAAACTGAAATCTTCATCAATGAGTGATCTAACGAATCGCTGCCATCATATGAAGTCAGTGCTGTTAGAGAGAGCTGTTTCTCTCGACATGAATGGTCAAAGTCTTCCCGAAGAAAACTTATCAAACATTCACACACACAATGTGTTTGAATTAAATGATGAAAATGTAGACTCAATGCCAATCATGAATTGGTCGCTAAATAAACAGATGACCGAAGTTGATATCAATTCGTCGGACAGTACTTTAGATGATATTAACAATAGTTTAGTTAATACAACAACAGATTTAAGTCAAAATGTGATTACCAATGGTTTAGACGATACAATAAGTTTTACCATTAGTTTAGATAATGATGGGACTAATAAATATGAATTGCCTGATGAAGTTGTCGTCACTTCATTACCAATCGTCACATCGACACCTATGAAGTCAAATGTTGTCACAATTGATCAATCAGATGATGATCATCCAAGTCCTGGAATAATGTCTATTCAAGAGACAAATGATGACAATTCAGATAAGACAGTAATTATAATTAATGATAATAAAAATATTAGTCACATTGATGTAGAGGCTGATGATAATCAATCATTGATTCAATTGATTAAAACAAATGACGACAATAAGACAGCCACTACTACTGTTGCCGCCACTGATGTGATTGAAGTAAGTGCTCATGAATTAGATCACCTGATGATGTCTCACAAACAATTTCTTCAGAAACAAATCCATCCAAATAATAGCAATAATAATAATCACAATAATAATAACAATAATAGCAAGAAATCGGCTGTTTATCAAATAAAAAAGTCGGATCTAATGGGACTCACAAATGATTCACTTGATTTCGAATCGTGGAGTTATTTAAGCGAAGATGAAAACAACTCGACAACGACACCGACTACTGCTGAAGAAGAGGAAGAACCTACTCTTTATAAGACAGCATTGGATGTCAATCTGACGACATGTTCGGAAGATATGGAAGCAGACATTGTTGTCAACAACACTAACAAACCGCCCGAAGTCGCGGCCGTCCAGTTGAAGAACGGCCAAAACGAACAACCGGTGAATACTGTAATTATATCGACAAAGGTTTCATTGGATCCGTCCATTGATTCTTCATTATCTTTGTCGACCACAAAATAATTTTCTATTATTACTAATCATTTACTTTTAATTAATTTATATTCAATATTTGAATTTTTCTACAAACAGTTTAACTAAAAAAACTATTATTATTATTATTATTATTAATGTGATTAAATGTATTGAGAGAATTAAAATGTAAGATATTTTTGTATACATTTATTATTTAATTTATTAATTATTTGTATGATTTTTTTTAATATAACACTGATTAACAATAATTTAATACTAATTATTAAAATGTATTAATATTTTTGATAATGTTTACTTTTGTTACTCAGTCATAAATTGTTGACAATAAAATTAATTTTTATAAATTTAATTCAATTCAATTAGTTCAATATTATTACTAAAAATATATATACATATTTATTAAATTATACACTTTACAACTACAAAAAAATCATTTTAGTACTTCAATAGTAAGCTATGTTGAAGTTAGGTTAGATTAAACTCAAATTTATTGATAAATTTAGTCAGTTTTTAAATTATATTTTGTTATCAAAGTAAAGATATCTTAACTTATAATTATTTATTAAACAAATATTTAAACAAGTTTTTAATTGATATTATTATAAAATTTATACAGTATATTGATTATATAACATTAATTTGAAGTAAACTTTAGCAAACAAAAAAAAATAAACGATATATAATAATTATTATAATATATTGTAATTTTAATACAAAATTTTGCACATATATAAGCAATTTAATTAAAATATATGAAATTTATATATATATTTAGTATTAGATAATTAAGAAATTTCTAAAATCTATTTATTTTTTCTTAGTATTACTGGGTTTGTGAGCGGTTTTATCGTTGGGTTTCTGTTTTGTTGTCTTTTTGTCGACTTTTTGTTTCTTGTTGTCCATCACTTCTACATCAATACTTTCGCTGGAACTGTCTGTCCGAACGGATTCGTTGTTTAGCATCAAAGTGATCGATGGTTCCCTTTTTTTCGGCATTTGTACGTAACGTCTTTGTTCAATATTTTCTTTCTTAGTTTTTGAGGGATAATAGTTTGCGATAACTTTTTTAGCCACAATTGCCGCCAATATAAGCCCAAAGTCTATGATATATAAGACAATTAATGAAATCCATGGCTTTTTTCTTTCGGATGCTTTATATTGAAAGTCAGGCACTGATCCACTTTGCGTTTCATTATCGGTATTAGCCTTAGATTTGTTTGAATTTGATTCACTGTTTGTCGTTAATTGATTAACTGATTTCTTTGGTTTCTATATTAATTTAGTTCAATAAGTTTTAGTTTAATTTGTGTTTATTTAATTTATCTATTTAAAAAAAAAATGTCATTAACCTGTGTTAACTTTGTTGTCGTATCACAGTTATGTGATTGACATAAAATGATACAAATAATTGAGACAATAATCAAGAGATTCATATTTGATGGTCAACAAAAAAAAATTAATTAATTAATATCCAAAAAAAACACATTTGAAAATCTAAATTAAGCTTTAGCTAATTTTATTTTTGAAATTTATGAAATCTCACGCTCATTACCACTAAATAAAAGATAACTTAATTTATTATTAACATAATTAATGTTAATTTAGAAATGTTTGTAAACATTTTTGGTATATAAATTATATTTATTTTATTTTATTTTACAATAAATATTTTAAGTGCAATTGAGACCACAATATTATTAATAAAAATATTGATTATAAAGAACATTCAATTTTTTTTTGTATACAGTGTACAGTATATACAGTATGCATGCATTACCTAATAATTTAATATACATAAAAATACTTTTTTTAAATATATATATTACTTAATTTTATTATTATGATTAATAATGATTAAAAAAACTAAAAATTTTTATCATTTTTTAAATAATAATTTACAAATTTTATGAGTGATATACTCTAAAAGCATTGTTTATAGTTCGCCGACAAATAGGACAACTGTCCGACCTCTTGAGCAATAGTCGACCGCATTGTATGCAAACACATAAGTGATGACAAGGATGTAGTACACAGTCTATTATATTTAGTAAATATATTAATTGTTTGATTAATAGCTAAATCACAGGACAGTCATATTTTCAATATTTTTTTTATGGTGTTATACCTCTTTGATGATCCATACAAATGACACACTCTTTTTCGCGAACTATAAGTGACTGTTGATCGACACTGTTTTCGCCATCATTTTCAGGTTTTACTGAATTAATTGCACCCAAGTCTGGGATGGTTTGTGCAAACCTATGGTTAACACCTTTATTCTCATAGATTTGTCGTACAAATGCTTGAATATTTAATTTTTTAAATATTTTAAATTATATAAAAAAAATAAAACAATTAGTAATTCAATTAAATTGCATTTAAAATACAAATCTATAGCTAACCAGCTTTTCGGGCCTCTCTTTGCTGATCATTCAAAACGATCGGTTCGTTTCCAGATCTGAAGAATGCAATTCTGCCCATCTTTTCCAGAAATTGTCGGACTATTTAAAGAATATTTAGAGCAAATATGTGATACAAATAAAATTTTTGTTGATTTATATATATATACCTCTCTCTAAAGTTTGTAAAGAAGTATAGGTTCTCGAGGGTAACAGTTCCACTTCGGGTACAAAATAAACGGGATATAAAAAGCGAACCCCCAAACAACGCTATTTGATTTATTATTGAAAATTAAAAATAATATATAAATATATATATAATTTTGTTAAATATTGCAAAATAATAAAATGCATACATCTTTGCAATTGACATTTTCAATGATCTGATCGATAGATAATCGCATAGAACTGGTAGCTATAATGGCATTATCGCTACAACACATGGATATGTCTATAATTTAAACAACAACAACAAAAAATAATATAATTGTAGTTATTTTCAGTCAATTTATTATTGTCTAGACATACGTTTAAATATGTTTTGTTTGGCCACAATATCTTCGGTAACGCACTCGAAGATAAACTCAGCCTCTCGTACGGCATCTTCTAGTTTAGAAAAACAGTAAACCTCTCCCTAAAAAATATGTCAAATATATTATAAAATTAATTTTTTCCAATAAATACCAAAAAATTAGTATTAGTTATGAGTCCATCCTCTTTGAGTATTCGTTTGTCTTCATTGATAATAACCGATACTTTATTCAATGTAATTGTATTTTGGTCCTGAACTCTAACTTCGTGACCCCCATAAGCCAGTGAACCTGTTTTTAGCAAAAAAGTTTATATTTTATATTTAAATATGAATTTATATTTGATTTTTATATAAAAAAAATAATTAAATGACAACTCATATGATAATTGATAATTACCGGCAATTTTGACACCAAGTGTTCCCACGCCAATGACTGCTACTCTAACCATAATATATTTTTTTAATTAAAAAAATTTTTAATAGTTATCTAATATTTTTAACACATAAACATATACACTAATAAATATACTGTAGAATTTTATCAATAATAACATACAACAAATTAATTTTTTTTATTTAAACTAATCAATTGATATTTTATTATAATACTGTATAATAAATTGTTTGATATTTTTTATAACGATTATTGAGTTGCTTTGCAACCAAAAATGTTAAAATAAAAATATTGTATATATTCTATACTGTATTTTAATTGTCAAAATCAACGCACAAAAACTGCTATATCATAACACAAGTATTGCAATAATAAATTGTAATTTAATTGATAAGACTGGAAGATTCACTAATCATAATATAATAATAACACATGATTTCATTAGTAATTAACTAAATAATAATTTTTAAAATTTTTATTATCTATACTTAGTATAAACAGTATTTATCATACACTAAATTACTATTAGCTACTACAGTGTCAACTTGGTTGATTATAAATATACTACTATTTTATCTCAATAATTAACTTCAATAAAATAAATGTTATGGTGTATATTAGATCTATTATTTATTTATAATGTTTATTTTATTTTTTTCATTATCAATTAAAGTTATTTTCTGTACTATTAATGCTAATAAATTTATAATTAATAAATAAATTTTATGTTATCTACATACTAGTCATAGAGTCTATGAGTACTTTTATTTTGTTTAAACAAATTTTTATAAATATTAGATCATAAATATTAAAATCGTTGCAAATACTATAACCTTTCAGTTTATTTATAATTTAATGACTTTTTACTTAATATATTGCATTATAACTGAGTAATAGCTTTATATATTTTTCCTTATTTGCAATATTTTGTTTGCATAATATTTTAATATATTTTATTGCGATTAATAGCTAATTTTGTTAATGTTATTAAGCAACTTGATTTTCCATTAAATTGATAGGTTAAACAGCTTTTTAATTATTTATATCACACATAAATGTAATATATTTTAAATGTTGCAATTGCTATGTGCAGTACATAATCTAATATTTATTATTAGTATTTTATAAAACTAAAAATATAAGTTAAATCTAATTAAATTTATTTTATATTATATTCTTTAATTAAAAATTATTAAAATAAAAATAACTATTCTATACAAATATTTTCACATTATATATATATATATATAATTGATTAGAGCATTGACTATGAAATAATGATTTTTATAAATCTCTTTACTATAACAATAATATATAGAAAATATACAGAATATTCGTGAGTCAAGAATCGGATCAATAAATATATGTCCGTTTGTTTACACATTTTCTACTTATCGTTGCTATCAATAATAGAGTGGTTTCTCTCACATATAATTTATAAACAATTTTTAAAACAATTTTTGCATTTTTATACAATTTGTGTGATTTTATAATTTTTTTTAAACATAAAATTTATTTGTAAATATATTTTCATTAATATATTTAATATAGAAACTGTTTTCTTAAATTTTATTTTATACACATATGAGTTAAATAATAAAAATAAATAATTATTTATAATTTCATTGCACTTATTATTAATAATACGGTAATAATAATAATAATGAATCTAACAATATGTTGATATTGTTTGTTAATTATATTTCAAATAAAATTTGTGTTAATGTTTTTATATTTAATTCAGAGTTTTAATAATAGTTGAATTTAATTTCTTTTTAAAAAAATGTTATCAAATGTGTATAAAATCATAATTTGATTAATAATTTCTTAAGAAATGACTAAAGATTGCAAATATAACAAACATGTGACCAGTTCTTCGCGATCCCTGGCCTTAGAACAGGCCTACGTTCACGATGTCTATTCTGTGATCGCCATAAACACATCCCTGTGCTCTCCAGTCAGATCTCATGTCAAAGAGTTTCTGTTCGAAGAGTTTGAGATCGGAAGCTGTATTCTTGATGTCGGTTGTGGCGATGGTATTCAACTTTTTATTGTTAATTAATTAAATATATAATAACTAAATATATTTTACATTTATTTAGGAAAGTACTTAAACCTGAAGTCAGATATAGTTGTCATCGGACTCGAGAGATGTTGGGAATGGTTTAACAAATGCAATAATATGTGTCCATTAGATAAACAACTCGTTGCCGGCGATGTTATGTATTTGCCATTTCGCGACGACTTCTTCGACGGTGTCTTATGTGCCGGTGTTTTACATCACGTGTCGACAGTCGAGCGACGAGTAAAAGCGCTCAAAGAGATGGCCAGAACGCTGAAAATTGGCGGAAAAATTTTATTAACAGTAACCAGTGGTCCAGCCGTTGGCCGTGAACTACAATCTCAGGACGTGTTAATAAAATTAGATGACTTCCCGCATAAAATCAGCACAAATGTAAATAGCAGTGAAACGGACACTGAATCAAGTAGTAGTGGTTATAGTAATAATAATAATAATAATAACTACGGGAATACCGTTTATGAATCCTGTAATACACCGAACTCAGAGTTTGGCAGTTGTTATAGTTTTGTTCGCAAAGCTCTTCGAAAATTTAGTTTTACTGGAAGTTTCGGTAGTCTACAGTCGCGGCGGACCAGCGGTAATAAATCGCGAACATCCAACAGCTCATCTCTATCTAAAGGCGACTTTCCCATTGAATTGCGAAACATTGAAGACATTGGTGACGATGACTCTATCAGTGTTACCAATGATTGTCCCGCAGATTGTGATATCAACTCTATTAATGATAGCAACAGAAGTCATTCAGTTTTGAAAAGTTCTTCGCTGTTATCAATAATCAAAGAACACATCATTTCATTTCAGTTTCAGTTCAAATCAAAGAACTTGATGAACAATGAATCAAATAATAACAATAGTAATAATACTAATACTAATAATAACAGAAATGGTTTTCCTCATAGGTTTAGTTTACCAATTAGTTTCAAACGCAATGATAATAACAATAAGTCAAAGACACCATTGAATATCATTAACAGAATTAATACGGATATCATTAATGAAATTCATGAAAAAGAGTCAAATAATGATTACAATAATTATCAAATGGAAAGTAAGCCAACAGTCAAGTCATTCAAAAACAATAAAGAAATGAACAGATTATTGAAGAAATCATTTTCATCCGATTCTTTATCCTCAAGACAGGCAAGTCTGGGAAGTACTGGCGCTCAACTCATTGCCTATTACTCGATGCCTGAGTTACACAACTTAAGTGAATCGCAAACCAATGTCGATATCAGTACTAATGGTAATCGTGTCGCTAAATTCAAGCCAAAAATCTTGGATTTACATCCGATTACATTCATTGATAGCACAAAAACTAGTCAAACAACAAAGGAATGCATAAATGATTTAATAAATGATAAAAACTGTGAAACAATTTGTGAAATTACTATTAAAGAAGAGACAAATAATTTGAACTCAAACCAAAACAATGTCACCAAAACACCGGAGACATCTGAAAGCAGCGAACAAATTGAAGAAAAGGATATTCTTCTTGAAAAAGAAGAAATGAATGATAGTATCGATTCGATGGACTCAAATCAATCGATAACACAAACTTCTGGTAACGGAAAGTTTCCGAAGAAATTGTTGCGACAAAGAAGTTTCAGTGCCGACTATCAGCCAGAAGTGCCAAAACCACAGTCAGAACAGCCGCGACGCTTCTCCGCCAGTCCTAACATCGGGTCAACGCGTGTCAACCAAATCGCACACTACCAACAATTGAGTATCGATAGCGAAGAATCATTTGTTACCATAATTCCTGCCAATAGAAGTACCCGCCAGAGTGTTACCGAAGCCATGAATAATTGCGATACATTTGTCGACTTAGAAGACGACTGTTTGAGCTCATCAACAGACGACGCCTGTTATGAGGATATCATTGGAGAACAAACATCCGAAGACAATACAAGTGCCTCATCTGTCACCGAAATTACCAAATCGATTGCAAAATCGTCGCTAAAGAGCGATTCGGAGGACAGTCAGTCGTCGACACCATCGCCGCCCACTACTCTTCACCGGTATTTTCATGTGTTTCGAAGCGGAGAATTAGAACAACTCATTGAACAAAACATACAGAATCTTCATGTCGTTAACTCATATTATAATGAAAGGGCCACCTCTTGGTGTGTTGTCGTCGAGAAAGTGCACGTCTGGACCATCTGATGATTGTTTGATCCATTGAAAGAATTGTCTCATTTTGTTTGAAATTAAGACTCATTAGATTTTCACTCAATTATCTCTCAATTGAATGCAGTAATTAGTTTATAGAAGATGTGACACCAACTCAAACCTAAAACTTAAATACATTATATTTATTAAAGTTGTCATTAAAAATACATATAAAAAATTATTTACAAATTCCTTCAAATATAGACTCAAATGAATATATTATTTTAGAGCTCATGTTTTTTTTAAACAAATAAAATAAGTTTTGAAAAAATACTAATAATATATAAATAAATAGTTTTTTGTTGTCTCACTTAGCATTTGTGGACAAAAAAATATTTAGTTGCTATTCAATGATTAGCTAGCTTATCCCACCCATAAAATCAATGTTCAATACTACCAGTGCAACTTTTTATATATTTTTTTAAATCTCAATTATTTTAGAGGAAATACAATAAAAAACTAAAGGAATTGCTGTTAATTAATAGGATGTTCCCATAGAATATCCAGGTGCTCAATTAGATAAATTAAATTCTTAATAGCAACAGGGTATTTTCCGCAAATGCTAAATCATTGTTAAAACAAAAATGTTAAAATTTGTAGTTTTAGATACACATTTTAAATAATAAACAATAATAATAATAGTAAAATTGGTAATATAATTGAAAAATTTGTATTATATAATTGTTAAGTTTATTAAATTGTTTGGATAAAACCATTTGAAATAATGTTGTATTTATAAAAATAATAAAAAAATACGTATTATAATTGAAAGAAAAAGTTAAAATAGTTTTGTAGTTACTATAATCACGTCCATCCACTTAAAATAAAAATCAATTTTTAAAAGCACTTCAAATTAATAATATAATCTCATTTATTATCAAATAGTTTAGTGAAAAATAAAATATAAAATAAATTAATACTAAACTTGTTTTAATAAATAACCTTTTGATAGAGCATTTTACAGCCTAATGTAAATTACTGTCCTATCATTTATTATATACCTGTATATTACTAGTGCTAATAATTTTCAGTTATTAACTATAAGGCTAAACAATTTAATTACCTTCTCATTCAATTAACTGATTATGATATGAAATATTCAATGATCACACAATAATTTTGATAAAATTAATTTTCATTTTTTCTGTAGATTAGATTAGCACTTATTGTCATTGATTTTGGAAAAATTCCTTCAATTAGTTTAAAAGCTTTATTTAAATTAATTTTAAAAATTTAATAAAATATTATATATTTTTAAAAATCGCTATAATTTGAGATGTAAATCAATGTATAGTTTATACCTTCAAATATATGAAAAAATTGATGGACACAATTAATTAACTAATGGCAAGTCAAGTAAATGATTTTTTTAGGAATATAAACAAAAATTAATCAAAGCTTTTTAAATACTAAGATACAAAATCAATGATTTATTTTTTTTGTATTTTTACTGTGCATTGACATCGAAAAAAAATTTAGAAAAATTCATTTAATTTATATTAATTAATTGAATACAAAATTTAAAAGTTAAATGAAAAGCTTTATATTTTATGTTTTAAACCTCTCGTTTTGCAAAATTTTTTCCAATTCTTCTTTTAAATCATTTTCATTCGATTTAAACTCGTTTTTAGCCCAAAAAATTTTTAGCTCATTAATTATATCTTTAATAAATTGTCGTTTCTTGACTCTACCGGCAATGAGATGACCGGTAAATGGGAACTCCGGTATTGTCCACTCAGATATTTGAGGAATTTGTGAATAAAGGCCACAATATTTTAAACATTCAATAATTGCTTTTCTTAATGACGTTTGATTTGGTTTAGGAGTTAACGCTAATTGTTGTTTCAATTCATGAATGCTATGATTTATAATTGTCTGTCTGTTGACAATAATATAGAGAATCGTTTCCTTTTCGACATTTGATAGCTTAAGACGTTTTGCAACATTTATTAGTTCGTCGGAGTCCTTAAACAGTGATGCAAACAGTGTCGGCGCTTCCCATGAGTTCATTAAACCAGAGTCGACACCATTTGACAAATTTTTGAGCACTTTCTCAAACTCTGTCAAATCAAACGCCTTCTTATTATTTGTTCTCAAATTATTCATAAATTCATTTAAATTATTATAATTATCGTTAGTATTGAAACCCAAATATCTGGTGATATGAATCTCGTTAAACATACAATCGATTACATGAAAACAATTTCTGATAATTAAAATTCTCTTAATTTCCGACCAAATTCTTTCACCACTAATAATGTCCAAACCGTCGCAATTATTTCTAATTGTTTCCAAAGTCGGTAAATCATGATTTGCAGCCAAACCAAAGCGGGCATGAAATCTAAAGTATCGGAATATTCTTAGATAATCTTCACGAATTCTGGCTCCGGAATCACCAACAAATCTAATTGTTTTATTTTTGAGATCAGTTTCACCATTAAAATAATCATAGAGTACTCCATCGATACTCAAAAACATTGAGTTAATAGTCAGATCTCGGCGAGAGGCGTCTAACAAACAACACAAAAGATTTATTATTAATAATTATAATAATATTAATAATTAGTTTTTATTTTGTTATTAATTTCAATTTGTGGATAACATTGGAGAGAAACCTATTTTCCAGTCATTGACAAACTCGACCTCAGCATGTCTTCCGTCAGTAAACTTATCGATTCTCAAAGTCGTTATCTCAAACTGATGTCTGTCATTGATGCGAGCCGTTACTGTGCCGTGTCTTTCACCTTCAAATACATACATACAGTATATATCAATATATGATTATCAATAATAAAAAAATTTCCAATAATAAAAATAACAACATCTATATAGCCATTACCTGCCGGTGTGGTTATCAAACGGACATTCTCTATATTCCTGTTATTAAATTGTAACAATTTTTTTATAACATTAGATTGTGTGTAAATTATTAAATTTTTTGTTTTGTATTTCAATGTTAACTATAAAATTTTTTATATAAATAGTCAATACTTCATAATATTAATCATTTGTTGAGGCGTTGCATTTGAGGCAAAGTCTATATCGTTTGGTTGTATACCACATAACACGTCCCGAACTGCACCGCCAGCCATACGCTATAATCATTAATAATATATTTTTAATTTTTTTTGTAAAAAATCATTTATTATATAGATTTAATAATCCAAACTGTGTTCAAAATACCAGTTCATATCTATTAGATTTGAATATATTATCCAATATATTAATTTCAGGTATTTTAACAATTTCTTGAAATATATTGTAGGCCTCTTTGTTTTGCGATAACATCTTTTCGACTAATTTTGCTTTCAGTGATGTTTTCAATTGAATGGTTGCTATTTTAGTAAAACTCCTAATAAATGTCTTCAAAATCTTCATTATCTAAGACCAGAGTCGCATCCAATGACAATGAATTATCGACAACATTATCCGTTATATATTAATGGTTAACTAAAAAAAATTAAAGCACAGAAATTGAAACGTTGAATACCCCGATAACCTCATATAACCTCCGGTTTTATATCAATGCAAGGCTGACACTGAAACAAAAAACACAAAAATGCCTCAAAATATATGATGAAAAATCTTAATAGCAATGATCCGGAAAAAGTGGTGGCTCTGGAAGGACATGGATTTAGTAGTAGTGACCTTATGTCTCAGTTATCCTTATCCTTGGCCTAAATGATGACTTTTACTTTCCACTCCACAAAAAGTGGTGATCGGATTCATTCATTCATTCAGAGACTTGCCTTAACTTTGACTTCACTCCACCTCTAGATCTGTCAAAATTTTTTGAGTATAAAATAACTGAGTTTTCAATTAAATCTTTTATAATTAAATTTGACAACTATTTTATAATAATCATTGCAAACAAATTATAAGTTTTAGGAACTAATAATAGTTTCAAATAATTAACATTTCACTACAGTTTATAAATTTATACATCAATTTCTTCCATCAAATTAAATGATAAATCAATTAATTGTGTTAATAGTTTTTACTGGATTTTGCAATTAATAGGATTATATAATCATAATTACAGGTAATTTAATAAAAGTTAAAAAAAACTATTTCTAAATATTTTTAGTAAATATATGCTATAATTAGTTTTTATTATTATTATTGTTGTTTCAATTGTTTTCAGTTATTCAACAAAAAAACAAATGTCAAAATGGGTAATCAGTTAATCGTATTAATCATAGTATTAATGGTCACAATTGCTGGTGTCATATGTGTGGACACTGAGGACACACTAGAAAACCGATTGGGCACTACAGATGTTGTGGCCGCCAGTAGTGGCGGCAATCGGGCCACTAAACTGCGGCTTTGTCTAAACAACTGTGCCCTTTGTGTCCGGCAGTGGGAGACTGGCCTCTATAACGGCGAACGATGCGCTAAAAAGTGTCTCAAATTTAAGGCCAATCCCCGAGTGGTCGATCCCGACTGTAATTCACTTAAACTGTTTAACCATAAGTTCATCAAAAGGAAGAATAAGCGCAACTGAAGACTTTTAAAGGACATCACTTTATTTAATCCCATATCACTTACTATTCATATCTCATTATATTTAATTGTCACCACTTTTTTTAGGATCATTTAATCAATTTTTCAAAAATTAGTTTTTTAATTACATTACAATTAAATTATTTATTTTTTTTAATTAATAGTTAATCGAAAAAACAATTTTGTAAACAATTATTGTTTTATATAATGAATTTAAGTGCCATTTATTGTTATAATTATAATCAAATTTATTTGTCAAATAAAAAAATTATATGATTTTTGTTTGTTATTACTTACAATTTAGTAGTAATTTTGTTGTTAATTATTATTATTATTAAATATCAAGTTTTATCAATCAATTTAATGGTCACAACAAAACATTAGTTAAATAAAAACATGTCTTCAATACACAGTTTGTTGACAACATGTGATGCAATGTAGAGCTAACACAACACATGAGTTACTATTAATACTCTCAATCATTGCATTCAAATAGAGATTTATATAAAAAAAAAAATATTTAAAATTTTATTTATATATCGATGAATAAAAATAATTAGATTTTATTGATAATTAGATTTAATAAAATATATTTCAACGACTAATATGTTTGAAAATAGTAGACAATTAGTGATTAATAGCAGACTTTTAGTTTTATTTGATTACAAACTGTATATTAATTATAGACCTATTATTGGACACTATATATGCTTTGATAGGATAAGCAGTTTTCAGAGTTAAGCCATGAGTTCGCACAAGAGGTAACATACAGGCGCTCAGTCGCCTATACATAACCTTTGGGAAGGTCTGAGAGTTGTCGGTTGCAATTCATGCTGAATATCTTCCTGAGGAAGAGTAGGTTTATAGAAACGATACACAAATTGGTGTCTTATATATGAGTGACGACTAAATTGTTTGGTCTGACATTTGACCCAATTTGTGGTGAAACGTAGGCCTACGGACAGCACTATTAGCTCAATGTGCGAAGTGGTCGCAGTCCTAGACTATGACCACAACTCAATTCAGACTACTCCGTGACTTAACTCCTTTTTTTATTATTATCATTACATACTCTATATTATTGTCTATAATAATACCATAGCTTTTAGATACTATTAATGGACAATAAGTTTATAAACTTTTTGCTTAGTTTTCAATGCTATTCAACATTTAATCATTCAATGCATTGATTGTGTCCTTAATTTAATCATTTATTTGATTATTATTCAATTATTATTGAAAAACATAATTTTAAAGATACAGTAATAATGGTATAACATATACAATAAACAATTATAGTTCAACATATATATCAATATATTATGAATTATTATATATACTATACATAATAGAAATTGATGACTGATTTTATTTAATTAAGATATTATTCAACTTTTAATCAGTTGTGGATCAATACCATCGATGAGCATCTTTTGTTGGACGGCCTGTACGGGTATACCCAAGCGAACCATTTTCTTATATTTATCGAGTCTTGAATCTACCACTTCTTCTTCCTCTTGCGATTCTTGATGCGACTCATTGCTGTCCATACCGTCATTGCTTTGTTGTCCATTAGTATCACTTTCTTGTGTCTCATTTGTTATCAAACTGTTGGTCACAACTTCTTGACTGTCATTCGTTTGATAGGTTGGTGTGATTTGAGGCAATGGTCTATCAGTTGTTTGATCACTTGAGTCACTACTAGCACTCACAGTGTTGGTCGACGCCGACGAAAGGCCGGCAATTGAATTGAGTTTCAGTTCAAGAATTGTCAGATTAGTATTACAACGAAGAATCTGTTGGTTCAGATCGTAAAGTCTTGAGTCGACAGTCGCTGACAATTCATTGAGATTTTGGACAATCGATACAATAAAATGATTAACAAAAGTTACCAAACGATTGCTCTTCAATGGTTTCAACTTATCCAATGAGATCTGTTTGTGTGATAACTCTTTGATATCGGAAGACATGGCCTATCGATGTCTTGAGGAAATCGGTTGTAAAAACAAAGTAATAACTAAACAGATGTTAAATCACTTCTAAAGGCGTTTTGATGTTTGCATTGGATTTCATCACCGTTTTCATCACAAATTGACAGATTATTTGCAACTTTTTCATATAAGACATATAACACACAATCGTAGACACTTCTCATATACTAAAAAAGTACTCATTTGTCGGTTAATTATAAAATTATATGTATAGTATATTCAATAAAAAGGTTATATTTGTTTCGTTTGAATAGCAAATAGTTGCGCCCTTTTTGGCAATCATTGGCTATATTGGCGCTCAAAATATTAATAGCGCTTAGCGTACATAAAACGCATCGATATTATTGTCATTTAGTTTATTGTGTTTTTTGATAATTGTTTGTTTGTCTCAATTAAATTACCGAAATATGGCCACTCCTTTGCCGAAGTTGACCGCCGGTGCCATCGAAAAGATCGAGAAGAACGAACACGTGGACCGAGCGATACTTCAGATAATGTTATACAAACAGATGAGCCAACAGTCGACTCAAGTGAAGTACAGATTTCAGTTGAGTGATGGCCAACAAAACGGCAGTAATTTTATTGTCGTTGTGCCCGAACTGATCCGTAAAATAGAAAAGGGAGACTTTGAAAAGTTTACGGTCGTTGAGCTGACCAACTATGCCATTAACAATGGACTGCAAGTGGGGCGACAGGTATACCATAAAAATAGACATTTTAGTTATGAATTGATATTTACCGGTAATGTCTTTATCTCTCCCCAAATGTCAGATTATTATCATCAATGATATGAATGCTCTAATGGCGGGTTCAAAAATTGGCCACCGATTGGACTCTAAGGATCAATCTGTTGGTCTTCTGTCGAATGTTACTAATAATCACAATTCAAACGCTAACATTCAATCGACCCGTTCAGACATGAATAAGCCGTTCAACACATCACTTCCAGCATCTTCTTCTAAAATGAATACCAGTAACGGTGGTAATCGAGCAAACATTTGTCCCATTAATGCCATTACTCCTTATTTCAACGCATGGCTTATCAAAGGCCGAGTAACAGCAAAGACGAACAAAAGAAATTGGAGTAATGCTAGAGGAGAGGGCTGTGTCTTCTCGTTTGATGTCACCGATTCCTCCGATGAGATTAGGGTCAATGGATTCAATAAAGAATGCGAACGATTTTTCGATTTAATCCAATTGAATAAAGTCTATTACATAAGTAAAGGAACAGTTAAATCGGCAAACAAAAAGTTTTCTAATTTGGCCAACGATTATGAAATTTCATTGACGTCGGACAGTATTGTCGAAGAATGTACTGACGTAGCCGTTGAAGACATTCCTAGAATGAGATATCGATTCGTCCAAATACGAGATCTGGCTAACGTCTCATTACAATCGGTTGTCGATGTGATTGCCATTATTAAGACAATGGAAGAGTGCACAACAATCGTCAGCAAAAAGACAAACAAAGAGATGACAAAACGTGACATTTATTTAGTAGACAATACTTCATATGAGGTGCGCTTTACTCTATGGAATGAGTCGGCACAAGAGTTTACTGGACAACTAAATGAATTGATTGCCATTAAGGGCGCTCTTGTCGGTGACTACAACGGTCGTGTCTTATCAGCTGTTCAGAGCACATCCTATCAGATTGATCCCGATATACCCGAAGCAAATATTATTAGAGGTATATTAAGAAAATAGCTTTTTTGAGTCATATTTTAAGATTGATTATATATTTTTTAATTTAAAAGAATGGTATCTAAGAGACGGTCAAAACGCGACAACAAACGCTTTGAGTCGGGCCGGCGGTGATCAGGGAAATAAGGATAAGGATTGGAAATATATGTGTCAAATCAATGACCAGTCTATTACTCAAGACGCTCGGATCTACTTCAACTCGAGAGCCAAAATCGTACAAACAGGACGACAACCACTGTATAGATCTTGTGGTCAAAATGGTTGTATGAAAAAAGTGATGGACTGTAATAACGGTCTTTATCGGTGCGACAAATGTCAGAGCGAATCACCAAATTTTCAGTGGAGACTGATTTTGTCTGTTGTATTGAGCGACTGTACCGGAGAGTGTTGGGTCACACTATTCCAAGAACAGGCAGAAAAGCTATTGGGTATAACAGCACAGGAATTGAGTGAAATACAAGAAAGAGATCCACAAGACTTTCTAAAAGCGTTGACTACCGCTGAATTCAAACAGTATGTCTTCAGAATTGGCTCCAAAGTGGAAAACTTTATGGAGGAAAGTCGTGTCAAAAATACTGTCTTCAATTTCACACCAGTTGATCCAATTAAGCACTCAAAACAATTGATTAACAATATTAAGGAATGGATTCCATAAATCAATGGATTTAAATCTCTTTTTTATATAAAAATTATATTTGAATTATTTGCACATTTATTTAATTTTGATTATTCATTTCTAATATTTGTTTGTGTTTAATATGTATCACACATTTATTTATTTTCAATGGCTTATTAAAAAAAAAGAAAAGTAATCAATAGATTCAATTAATACAAAGTGTCGATTGAAAACTTTATGATAACAAAAACTTTATTACAAATTAAAGTTCATTAATTGATTATAATTTATATTAATAAAAAATAAATGGTTTTAAACATTATATTTTTCTTTAAAAAACTAATTGTGTGTTAAACTAATCTGAATTATGACTCATGAAGTAAATTATTGAAGGCATTATAAGATGACTCCAAATCAAAGATCAATTGTCTCACTTGATTCTCACTCAGTTCATCGCTGGCCGCCATCGATGACATAGTTGTTAACCATTGCATCACTTTTTCTTTGCCTACAAAACTAGACGATAGTAATGTCAACCGATTCATAGTGTCATACAATTCTCTTAAGTCCGGCTGAAGCTGTCGTTTACAAAGATTAGACGCAAAACAAAAAAGTGAATCAATTTGTCAATTATACTGTATATACAATACAATACCTCATCCATTGATTTGATTTCAAGTCTAAGTTTGTCGATAGTCGTGATAAACAGCGACACAATATCGGCAATACATTTGCTGGTATTTCCTTTGTCATCCTTGATGGTGATGGGTCTGTCCTCTTTGATGCGCTCCATAGCTGCGGGACAATCAAAACGATATCGATTCATGAATGTCTCGACATCGGGTATGTCTGACGACTGGACCTGTTTGAAGGCAGCTTTGTATTGGACCAGCAGTTTAGATGAGGCGGCCGTATATTCTTTAGCGGTCACACTATCCTTAATGTAAGCCTTTTCTAGACATTGAAGACTGTTGATGACGGCATACAAATCGGCCAAATTGTCATACTTTTCGCGCTCTCTGGCCGTCCGATACAGACGTTGTTCTTCGTATAGATCACTGGACGACATGACTGTAATTAATTGGCGGATAAAAACAAAACACCAATTAATCCGATCAGAGTTGGCGCTGAAGTATGGGATCAACTAATTAATCGATGACTCAATAATACTATTGAGTGATAATAGTAATCAAAAACAATGTTTACATTGATTTGCATTAAAACGTCAATTCAATGATTCATTCATTAATTCAAACATATATTTGTGTCCATTAGAGGGCGCTTTCAAACCAATTGTATCGCAATTTTTATTTTATTAGTTTAAATAATAATAATTAGTTAACTATTAGTATTATTAACTATAACTATTAGTTAAATTTATAATACAAAAAAACTATAATTTAGTCCTTTTTATTTAATAATATATATATATATATATATATATATATTAATTTCTATAATTTAATAACTTATTCATAAAGAGATATTTATAAAAAAAACTCAATTTATTGTTGTTTTTTCAATTAATTTTATTCAATGAATATTATCATCAATTTTCATACACAAAAAATAATGGTTGTATTAGTTTAGAAATTTCTGCAAAAAAGAGACAAAATTAAGTAAAAATGTTTTCGTCGATTAAAATACAAAACAATTATAAGAAGTCATACTTCGGTAAAATGTTGTCTCTTTTAGCCAATCTGTTGATACAATCGTCAGATTCACCCTATAATTACAGTCAATCAGACAATAAATAATATTAGTTTTTTTGGTCATATAATTATTAGATTAGGTTTTTCGACAAACCATTCTTCTGAGTGCACCGCAGATGGCATAAGCCGTATGATTTGATGTCACAATACCGGTGGTCTCATCCACTTCAGCCAAATTGATTTGAATCGACGCGTGATCTTTAGCGTGAATAATACGGTTTGAGGCCGAACTGATTACCACACGAAGACAATGTCGACAAACAAACAAAATGGTTTCAATTATCATCACTTCTTCAAACATTATAATAATCATAAAAATCATACCATTTTCTCGGGATATACAGATCAACAGTTTCTCCGACGTCGTTCTGCATGTCTATCGGGTGTGTCGTTTGGATCAGTTGATGGCCAATAAATAAAATCAAAATTGATTTGATTGATGTCTTGAGAAGACTTATTGGTAGACAATCAGCAAACAGGAAAAGGATGTGAAAGACGTTTAATGCAATCAATTGTATGAATGTGTTTGACATTAATAACGTTGTGTTTGTATAATATGTATAAAAATTCATTGAATTCTGTGTGATATGAGTGACGATTCTGTAGTAATAATAGTCTTATAGTATATACTGTATAATACTATTTGCTCTCAACAGTCAATGCAATGCTATTCCCTAATACTATAATACAAATATAGTCAACAATTTGTGGTATCAAATGGTAGTACCAATGGATGACTTAGTAGTCGATGAGACAGAGCCTACTCCTCAACAACACTATACTAATATGTGACACAATATTCATAGTGGCTCTGTGTGTGTATCTATCAGTGTATATATGTGTCCAACCATTTCCTCTTTTTATTTTTTAATGACTTCTTGTGGCAGGAGATCCACACTAACACCAGCCATGTCTTAGTTGATTAATATTTAAGTGTTTTTCGTCAAGAATTTCTAGTATTAGTCACATAGTGCTAGTGTTAGACAATTGATTTGTTTCATTCATTTTGTTATAATATAATATTATATTATATATAAAATTTTATATATATTTATCTGCGATAAGTGTGTCAGTATATCTCCACTCTCTCTCTCTCTTTCTCTATTTCTATCACTGTCTCTATTAAGATAAAATACATATTAAAAATATATGCGATATTATTGGAGACAATAATTATATTATTATTATTATATTTAAATAAATTATATATTCATATACAGTATTTACCAATTGATAATTCTTATGGTTGTAACAAATATTTATTTATTAATATAATTATTATTATTATTATTAAGAGACAATCCGTTATTTTATGATAATTAATAAGTGAAATGCCTTTTTTCTATTCAATTAATTTCTTATATTTATATTTATATAAAATAAAAAAATAATTATTATGTGATTGATTGATCAAATTCTGGTGATTCTCTGTTATAATATTTGTTTACCACTATTATTATAATTTTTATAATATATATATATCTATATAATTATGCCAAACAAACAAATTCTGCTTCAATTATAGCAATTCTTAATTATTCAAACAGTATTTATATGTATATATATATATACTGTAAATATATTTATCTAAATGATTGAACATTACATCGATAAACAAGCAATTAATGGATTTTAATTTAATTTAAGTGATGATAAAATTCCTATAAAAATGTAAGTTTGTTAAAAAATTTTGTTGTCGTAATTTAGCTATAATTATGTGTGTGTTTTACGCTTAAAAGTGATTAATTGATAGTAAATTCGTGTTTCACATGTTATTCACGTATCAATTAATTTATGTATGCAATAATGATTGATTTATTAATTAAAAATCACTGTCTATGAACTTATAGTTTTATGTAATGATACAGTAATATACTACATATATTTGAGTTATCTATATATACAGTATTAATAACCAATAATTTTCTAATTATATAGTTTAATATAATATGTGATAAGTGATGTTAAAACTCCATATAAATACACAATTTTATTGCACTTTCATGGCTTTTATTAAACTATAATAATAATAATTATACTTTATTAAGTGAAAAGTAGCGCTCAATTGATTTTCAAGTATCATAATATTTGTTGATCTCAAGCTAAATGTGCGCCCATTTGACACATAATTCTCAAAAAATAAATTAGTTAATCTTTAATTCACAAATATTATGAATTTATGTTCAATAAACTATGGATATTATTATTATAAAAAATTGTCCAAAAATACCAAATATTATAATATTATAGTTTTATCAATTATTTTCAACAACAACAACAAAATCCTATAAATATTGAAAATGTTAACATTTAATGATCTATTTTGATATTTATATTTTTTATATGATTCACAAAATTGTTATATGTTTTTATTGATCTGTTTTGTATATGTTAAATGTTTTAATATAAAAAGATACATTAAATGAATAGGAAATTTTAAATGTAGATAATGACTTTATATAAATACAGTACTATATATTATATATTTGTAAATAATATATATATATATATATATATATATATATATATATATATATATATATATATATATATATATATATATATATATATATATATATTGCAATTAATCTAAGCAAGCAATATATAATATAACTCTTTAAGTAGAAGTTCTCTATAACTAATTAATGAAATAATATAATTATCAAAATAAACAAACAATTTTATGTTTGCTAATATCAGTATACTATTAAATTATTGTACTGTATTATACTGTACAATGTTATTGTACTAACAAAATGTATTTGTCTTAGTATGCCTTAAAAACATTACTATAAGTATTCATGTATTTTTGTATCAATAGATTTTAAGATAAATATCGACTATTATTTTTGTGTGAAATAATTATTATACTGTTTTACAAAAGCTTAATACTAAATGCATTAAAATATAAAATATATTATGTAGTTGTGGTTAATATACCTGAATTTATCTTTTAAAAAATATATCTATATTTATATTTCACAGTAAAAGGATTTAGACTAAAATGCTATTAAATCTACATTATTTTATTAGACTAATGCCATGTATTTAACTTTTAAACATATTTATTAGTATTATTATTATTATTATTATTATTATGATTATTACTGTATTATCTAACACTGTTTATTTATACAGTGTATTATAGTATGACACAATATTTTAAATATTATATTAATTGGTATTAATACTGTATATAAAAATATATAGATTGAGTAAATGAAAATTTTAAAAACACACACGAAAGCTATCAATTGGGGAATTGAATAAATTAGATTCAATATATTAATATATATAAGTGACTACTAAAAGCTAATAAACTATTTGCAAATATAAAAATATGTTAGACATATATATTATATTATATATATATATAATAGACAATTAATAGACAATAATCGGTGACCTGAAGAGACTTAGCGGTTGGTGTTGGATGTGATGTCTTTGATGTGTACACATCCAGAGTCGATAGTAACGTCATAATATTGATCTGATAGTTGTTAGCAACACATAAATACAGAGAGATCTGAGTTGACAAGCAATTGTTATATTTGTTATAATTGTTTATTTTTTTATAAATTATTATTTTGGTTATTATGGATATAATTTATATGACTATAGATCCCGGTTAAGGGTTAATGCAGTTAACGGTTCGTTTGAAGTCCACGTCGAGCCAAATGTCCGGAAGCGTGAAGTCAGAGGCCCTGGAACTGGAGGTTCCGCCTTATAATTCTAATGCATCTCAAGCGCCACAATCGCAGACATCGCCGCATGTCTGGCCACCGATGCAACGGAATCAGTCCCATTCCATGACGTCCTTACCTCCCGAGCCCTATATGATTATGAGAAGTCGGTCCTTCAATAGGAGAGTCACTCTTAATGTTGGAGGTGTCAGACATGAAGTGCTGTGGAGAACATTAGAGCGATTGCCGCACACAAGACTCGGTCGGCTCAGGGATTGCAATACACACGAAGCCATCTGTGAATTGTGCGATGACTACAGTCTTGTAGACAACGAATACTTCTTCGACCGACATCCCCGATCGTTCGCTGCAATTCTCAACTTTTACCGAACAGGAAAACTTCATTTAGTCGAAGAAATGTGTGTAATGGCGTTCAGCGATGATCTCGAGTACTGGGGTATCGATGAACTATACCTCGAGTCCTGTTGTCAACACAAATACTATCAACGAAAGGAACACGTGTTCGAAGAGATGCGCAAAGAAGCCGAGTCTTTGCGTCAAAGAGATGAAGAAGACTTCGGTGAAGGAAAATGTGCTTATTATCAGAAATTTCTTTGGGATCTCCTTGAAAAACCTACCTCTTCTTTCGCCGCGAGGGTGAGACTCAAAACACAAATGAAAACCTTTTTTTTTTGTTTGGTTTTCAAGTCAATAATTATTTGATTTTTTCTGATTGATTGATAATTTATTTGCGAGGATATAAAATCGATAAGTTTGGAAATAATTTAAAGTTTATAGCAATTTAATATAATATAACTAAACCAAGCATTTTATATATTAATTTTTATTAATATTATACTTTTCAGTATATAAGTGGTAGGTTTATTGCTATGCGTTTAACAATTTTTGTTTTTTTTKTTTGTTTAATAGCAATTACTCCCATTTAATTAATGCTAGGATAGCTATTTTAATTAAAATACTGTAGTCTTAGATATTAAGAGTAGGTAGGTGATTTACACAATTTATAATGTCAACATATTAAAAACAATTAGTTTTAATATATATATATTTATATATAATACAGTATTAATAGTAATATTAACAATAGTTTTAATAGTACATATCATTAGTGTAGTTCATTTGGGTATATCTAATGAGTATATAATGGATTATAAATAACTTTTTCAAGTATTATTTATGAGCTCAATCTCTATAAGATTTTATAGTATTATACTGTATAACAGTTTATTCATTAATGTTAATGCAATTTTATCAGACAAGTGTCAAACAATTTGTGGCAATCATTCAATTTATTAATGTTTTTTTTATATATAAGTGATTTATAGTCGCTTATATACTGTTATACATATATATTATTGCGATTATGTGTGCAAAAATAAGCATAAATTTATGCGATTTGTATCACTTGTTTTTATATTATAAGTTAATTCCAGCCAATTGTTATCCTCGATATAAATGTTTTCCAATATATTGCTTAAATAGCTTAAACACAAAAAAAAATCTAAAACTAAATTAACTAAAAGTTTTAGTGCAAAATGATTATTTGGCAATATTTTTGTCGTAATTGTAAAAAAATGTATATAATTGTCTGGCTATTGATTGGGCAGAGTTTAGACTAATGTCTCACTAATTTGTCTCAATATAATATATCCGACAAATGGTTAGACATTATCTTTCCAATGATCAGCGTTTCACTGGATGTTATCAAAACAACAACTCATGCCTCGTGACAACCAAACCATGTCTTTCTATATCTCTTTGCATGTAATTTGTCAACATTGATGTCCATTCGCTTCTTTAACTCTATTGTTATTATTATGTAATGACTTTTTACAAAGTTTTTTATTATCTATTTTTCATCATTTAAAAAAACTAATCTATAATTGATTAGTTGATTAATGAATGAATGCAATTAGCAAATGAAGTATTGTTTTTTTATAAGAGAGAAAAAAGTATAGTTTTCCGATAAAAACGGATATTTAAATTTCCTCTAAACAGGTTTTAGCAGTCGTATCGATTTTATTTATAATTTTGTCCACAATTGCACTGACCCTCAACACAATCGACACATTTCAAGAGAAACATCCGATAACTGGCGAACTCGAGGAAAACCATAAGCTGGCAATGATTGAAGCCGTTTGTATCACTTGGTTTACATTGGAGTATGTGCTCAGATTCATGTCATCACCAAATAAGTGGAAGTTCTTCAAAGGAGGACTTAACATTATCGATGTGTTAGCCATTTTGCCATATTTTGTATCATTATTTCTCATCGAATCAAATAAAAACTCTGATCACTTCCAAGATGTTAGAAGAATTGTACCCATATTTAGGATAATGAGGATCCTTAGGATCTTGAAGTTAGCCCGACATTCAACTGGACTCCAGAGTCTAGGCTTTACACTCAAGAATAGCTATAAAGAATTAGGTCTTCTAATGCTATTCCTTGCCATCGGAATCATGATATTCTCGAGTTTAGCCTATTTTGCGGAAAAGGATGAAATCAATACTAAGTTTAAGTCCATTCCAGACACCTTCTGGTGGGCGTCCATTACAATGACTACTGTCGGGTATGACTACTCACTATCATATCCTCATATTATTATATCATATAGTTTTTTCACATCATATTTTTGTGTTCATCAATCAGTTACTAATTTATAATTTAGCAAATAATATAGTAATTAAATATTTATATTAAAAATAAATAAATAACCAAACCTTAAGCTAGAAATCTACTACTATTGTTAAATTTAGTGGAAAAATATAGTTTTTATTTTTGAAAAAAAATTATTGATAGCTTTATTATTATTTTTGTTGCTGTTATTGTCATTAATGGTGTGTATGATTAATGTGTTTGTCGGGTTATATACTGTATGACCTCCTAATTAGTTATGGAGATATAGTGCCGACAACATTGTTTGGAAAGATCGTAGGCAGTGCCTGTTGCATCTGTGGCGTACTGGTCATTGCTCTGCCCATTCCTATCATCGGTAAGTCATATAAAAGCCACACAATTATTATCGCCGACAATATATCTATATATATATAAATAGCCACAAAAAATCAAATAATGGGTTTAATTCTATTCTATAATAAATTGATTGATTATATATATATAATCTATTAATTTATTTTTTTAAATTGAGTTAAAATTTGGTGTGTAATATAAAAATTAAATAAATAATATACTATATATCGTATATATATATATATAAAAAATCAAAACTTAAGAGTTTCCAATGTATATCATAAAAATTGTTGTTGTTTATGCTAACTATTGATTTGTCCATTTTTTTTATTAATTTTGTTGTTGAAAAAAGTAAATAATTTCGCCGAATTTTACAAAGTAAGTCAACAATTAATGTTAATTTGTATCAAATGATAAAAAATGTTTGCATACCATTTGTGTCTCTCTCTCTCTCTCTCTCTCTCTCATATATATAAAATCAAACCGTAAAGAATCAAATGAGACGCGAAAAGGCGTTAAAGCGGAAGGAGGCGCTGGAAAGGGCCAAACGGGAGGGCTCTATCGTATCATTTCACCATGTTAACTTACGCGATGCATTTGCCAAATCTATGGATCTCATCGATGTGCTGGTAGATAGTGGACAAAACAATGCCCAACAAGTGAGTGTCCAATCATTTTCAGATAAACACTGTTACTGTTTGTAATCTGCATTTGATTAGAACTTCTGACGCTATATCCTATTCACGCCATACAATACCTGTTCCCTCATAACATACCATTTCCCGCATACCATAWCTRTAATTCTCTGTTGTATCTTTAGGTTTAATAAAGTGCTTAAAAATTAAATTAATTGTATTGTAATGGTTAGTTAGGAATAAAAAAAAATGGGTAACAATATTACCTGATTATGTGATCACTTAAATTTTGAAATATGTTTGATCTTATAATATATATATATATATAAATATTAAATAGATTGATGCGATCAGTGTTGGCGGTGAGTCTCACGTGAACACTGGTATCGGTTGTTACAAGAACTATGACCACGGATTGTCGGGCGGATGTCTTAGTCAACGAAAAGACTCACTATTAGGTGCACCGCCGATGAATTGACTCAAATGAACTGAGATCTGAAGTGAATCTATTTGATAATAATTTAAATGATTGACCACTTAATGACCCAAATTCAGCCCAAGGAAGCTGATTGTCAGTGAGGGGTCGCAACCAAACCAACAATAACATCAAAAAACAATAAAGCAATTAATTGTAAAATATAAGTTTTAAAAAAATACAATATTTATAAAAAAAATGTTTTAAAAAATATTTTTTCAAATTTAATAAAAATTGCTTAAAATCTTTTGACTCATATTTTTTACTACTATATTCTGTTTATATTCAATTGAATGAATTTTTTATCATTTATATAATGCTTACTATGATTATACATAAATTTATTTATTCATTTATTTGACAGTTGATTGTGGAAAAATCAATTTAATATATAATTATATTTATTAAAACTCAAGTCCTATCTTCAAAGTGATGGTAATATACATTATTTTTTTGCGATAATTTCAAATATATTTTGTATATATATATATTTTTGAGCCAATTGAATACCATTTTTGTCTCTACCATTATTGAATTTATTATTTATTTATAAAATAGTAATAATAATATTCTGTATATAAATTATAATGCAATAAATTGTATACATACGTACCTATTATTTGATTAACATTATGTATAAATACATGTATTTTATAAACCATTACCGTATTATCATTAGTGAGAATATTTATATATATACTGTATATTAATAAGTTATACTGTATTTGCATATTAAACTTTAGTTATACACTAAATATATTCCCATTTTTTGTAATAATCAAAATATTAGTAAATATTTTTAAAATATACTTTTAATTGTAAATTATTTATTATTTATAATAAATAACAATAACTTATGTTATTATAAATTTATAATTATAAAGATATACAGTAATTATTAATGTGTTATAGTGTTACTAATGCAATATTAATAAGTAATTAATACAAATTAACATTTGTTTTACATTAATTATTCATTGAATTTTTGCTCAACTATATATATATTTTTAAAAATGTTAACATAAATACAATTTAATAAATTACAATAAATGTAAAATAATATTACTTTAATAATTCTGATTATGATTATTAAGAAATAATAATATACTGGTAATAAATGTTAATTTTTTGCAGAATCAATTGAAAGAATATTTTTTTGAAAATTTAATAAAAATTGAATCAATTATAAGTTAATTTAATTATTAAATCAATTAAGTGATAGATAAGTATAATAAAAGTGCAAATTTAAAATCATTTGCATTTATATACGTATGCTTATAAATATTGACAATGTTAATAATAATAATAATGTGATATAAGATTAATTAATTACTTGACTATCTTAATATTAAAAAAAAATTAAATATATTATATATATTTATATTATTTTTGATTAGCTATACAGTAATACTAACTATATAGTAAATTAATAAAGTAGTTAACTAATCTATAACATTTATGTCCAACAAAATAGTATAAAAATCTTTCTCATTATTTATATCATAATTATTGGTGAATTTATTAATTAAGTTGATCAGGCAGTAGATTAAAAAATTAAGATTTAAAAAAATTATATTAAAATAAAATCACACTGTAGTTGAATAATAATAATATAATAATAATATTAAATAATAACTTATTGAAAGTTTACATCAAAATAACAATATAAATATCAAATTATACAATAATAATAATAGTAATACATCATCATCATATACAGTAGTTATAGTTAATATAATTAATTGTCTCTCTAAATTGAATTTTAATAATTATAAACTAATAAATTATAATCAAATGTAAATTGTCTGCTCATTTTTCCATCAAATAATTAGTTTATCACAAATACCTTATTATATGTATTTTTAAAATATAGTTCTCATTATTATTATTATTATTCTAATGTCGTTTAAATCAATAAAATAATAACAATAATAATTAATAATTATAATAAATCCGATGCAATGATCATTAATAATAATAATAGTATAATAATAATAATAATTAATAATAAATCATAATTTAATGATTAGTTGTCAGACGTGGTCGTCGTGATACCACCAGCGAGTTTTCTGCACAAAGACATTACCGTTAAGTTTAATATTATTATTATCTAAACAATTAAAAAAGCATTTGCTTTCGGTTCCTAACCTTTGGGTTCTTGGAGCAGGTCTTCACATACAATGAATTATCTGGTGGTCTAAGCATTTGGTTTTAAGGATATTAATTAAACACAATTAACTTAAGCAACAATCAATCAAAAACCACATTACCTTTTCTTTTCTTTACAACTCGAAAGCATTGATACAATACTAAGACAAACTGATTGCACTGATAAGGCTGGAGACCAATCTTCAGTAAGTATTGACAAACATATGTGTCCATTGCTGTAGACATGAGGATGGACTGGAATGTTAGAGCCCATGAATGTCACCTCAGGTGAATCAAACGGATATTTCGGGCTAATAATGATAAATCAAATAACATAAGATAACAATACTATCGATGACTACAAATAGGCAAAGAAATACCTAAATTTAAAGAGCAACTGAAAGTGTTCGCCTTCATAGAGTGTACCAACTGGTCCATCAATGTCGACAATCCATCTGTCAATAAAAAATGATTATGTTTTTAATTGATTCAATTGTCTAAGAAATCATTGTAATTATATGACATACTGAGTCAAATTGGGACCAATGTTGGACTCATTTACGGTGACACCTAAAACATTGGTAACAAACAAACAAACAATATTTAAAAATGCCATTCATTTACTCTATAATTAAATTTTATAATTAATTAATAAAACAAAATTAATGACCAATTGGTGGCTCCTTCTGGATGGCCAACAGTTCCTTCTGAAGACGTTTCTATAGATAATAACACAAAAAAAACATTTCAATCGATTTAATGCCAGAAAAACATTTCAACATTTTCTGTGTCCAACCAATACCTGCATCGATGCCATTATCACTACAATTTGGACATCAAAATAGTAAAACAAAAGATAATTGTTATAACATTAATAATTCAAATGAGTTGTCGTCCGACTAAATGATGGTCACAATTGATCCGATAGTATATTGTTTTACAACCGATTATGTAATCAATAAATGCAATAATAATTGTTTACTATTTTATGTTTTCTGATGTCAACAACAATAATAATATTACATAAACTAAATGTTAAGTAAATAATGTCTAATAAATATACTGCACGTCATCTATGGATGACTATATGGATATGACATTGAATTTTATTTGGATTTTATTTTTTTAAGTTAATTCATCGATAACTTTGCAATTATAGTAATAGTTAGCAATAGTTGTTAAATAAATATTTGTTTGTCTTTAAAAAAATTTATTAAATAATTTTTTTAGAAATATATAATTTTGATTGTGTTATATAATACAAGTACAGCATAAATATTAATACAGTWTATGCTTATCATATGCTTATGTAAATCAATGGTAACGCTATGTGTGAATGACTTATGCAATGAATATGTGGTTTGAATGATACGAATAATCAGATGAGAGAATCGAAAGCAATAATTAATTAATTGAATGAATGATTGAATGAATTTATAAATAATATATAATTTAATTGTATTTTATTATTAAAATATTTATCTATTTATTAATAACACAAAAATGTGTGCAATATTTCGTAAACATTTATTTAAGGCATTAATTATAAACGATTTATTAAAGCGAAGCTCAAAATGTTTAAAATTAAATGATTTGCCGACAAATCAATTGCTTTGCAGATATATCCAGACATCGGATCTACTCTTCGGTAAGTTTTGGTTATTGTAATCAATTGTCGTTAATTAATCCAATGTCTTATCCGTATTCAAAAATAATAGGCACTAAAGGTATACCAATACTGATGCCCTCATTATCGCCGACAATGACTACGGGAACGATTGTCAAATGGGTGAAGAAAGAAGGCGATCCCATCAGTCCGGGTGACCTCATCTGTGARGTTCAGACCGATAAAGCTATTGTTGGCCTCGAACTCGAAGAAGAAGGCATTTTGGCAAAGATAATGTTACCAAACGATACACAAGATATTAAAGTCGGAACACTTATCGGTCTTATGGTTGAAGAGGGAAGTGATTGGAAAGATGTTGAGTTACCGAAAGATGTACAACAAGTTGGTCAACAACAGCAACAATCACAACAACAACAAACTGTTAGTAAGATTGATGAGACAAAGCATCAAATAAGTCAACGAATGGGTCCCAGTGTTAGAAATTTATTAAACCAATACTCAATTGATTCAAATTTAGTTAAGCCTTCGGGTCCGCATAATATACTTCTTAAGGAAGATATACTCAATTACATAAATGACAATAAGCTTAAGGCTATTGATTTTAGTAAATCAACAAAAGAGAGCTCAACTACTGATAAGTCATTGCCACAAAAGACAGTCACAAAATCTGCCGATTATATTGATATAGAGTTAACAAATATGAGGAAAACAATAGCCAAACGATTGACACAATCAAAGTCAACAATACCTCATTCATATATGACCTATGATTTTGTTATGAATGATGTACTTAATCTACGAAAACAATTGAAAGCTTCGGGAACTAATGTATCCGTCAATGATTTTCTAATAAAAGCAGCGGCTATTGCATTGAAAAAAGTGCCGCAAATCAATTGCTCGTGGATTGAGGAGTCATCAACTATTCAAATATCATCCACTGTTGATATATCAGTAGCTGTGGCCACACCTAATGGACTGATCACACCTATCGTGAAGAATGCCAATCAATTAGACTTAGAGACAATCAATAAAACAGTGAAAGCATTGGCAGAAAAGGCTAGAGAAGGAAAACTACAGCCAAACGAGTTTATCGGCGGTTCGTTTAGTATTTCAAACCTTGGAATGTTTGGTGTAAAAGAGTTTACAGCAGTGATTAATCCGCCACAAGCGGCCATTTTAGCGGTCGGCGCTTCAAGACTTGTATTAGACGATAGAGACCAAACTCTAAATGTGGTTAGAGTTCAGCTCTCATTTGATAGTAGAGCTATTGAAGAGGAAACGGCCGCAAAATTTTTGGAAGTACTTAAAAATGTCATCGAAGATCCCATATCTTTGCAAAACTCTGATGGAAGTGATAATAGAAGATTGAATTATTTAATATCATAACTTTATTGTCTATATAATAATAATTAATTTTTTAGTTAGTTTAATTATTTGTTTAATATTTATAATATTTTAAAATTTAGTTATATTTAGCTAATATTTAATAGTTTGATGATTTGAAAATAACTAATAGTTTGTTAAGTGTCAAAACACTTCAATAATAATAGATTTTGAATTTGATTTACAATTTAGTTGACAATCATTTGGGTCTATTTTTTGTATAGATATGTTGTTTTACATACATGTGCCCACTATACTGATGTCTTTGACACCATTGATTGCAAATTGTTTTGAATAAATAAATTTATTAATAATAATAAATAATTTATTATTTACAGTGTATTTCGATATATAATAAGTTAATGTTTTTATTACTGAAATAATAAATTTGAACTCAACTTTTAATCTTATCTTAAACTCATTATAAGCTTAAAGTTCGTCCCAATGGTAAATGTAATGTTTATTTAAACGACATTTTCAAATAAATATTTTATTTCTACAGAAATTGGTATTAATTGGCACTAATTTCAGTACGATTTAACCATTTAATTGTTGCAATAAATAATTGAAAATAATATTCAAATAAAAGTAATATTTGAAATTTTATTCAAATTAGTAGTTTGTGTTTGGTTTTAACATATTTAGTTAATATTGTATGAATACAATTGGTATACAATAATAATAAAAATGCTGACAACTAATAAATCAAACGAAAATTTGTCCAAAACTAATGGCCAGAAGAAGAATAAGAAGAAATCTTTGAAGAAAAAATTTGTCCGCATTTTTAAATCGGAAACCAATGACTATAAAGAAGAAGTAGAAGAGTTCAATAACTATCAGTCGAAATCAAAGTCAAAGTCGCTTAAGAGTACTTTGAAAGCGATATGGAAGAGAAATAATGGTAAAAATCAAGAAGAAAAAGTCTGGCTTTTAGGGATGAATAGATCATCACAATTGTATTCATCAATGAATGACATCAAAAAAGAGGACAAACCAGTGAAAGACAACGATAAGACAGTAGTCGTTCAAAACGGAAATACAGTTAAACCGTCTAAAGAAGTCAAGAAGTCTATGAAATTGAAGAGATTTGGCAAAAGAGTGGGCAAAATGACAGTAAAAGCCTGTAAATACATAAGTATGGGATCAACAATACCGGGATATATGCATAATCCGACCGTTCATTATAACTATGAAACCCAATGCTATGAATATTATTCAAACAATTTCAATGATTGTCAAAGTGTTTCGCCGTCAATGTTCTTCTAATAGTTAGGTTTTTTTGATTATAATTAGTTTTGTAGTAATTTTTTATATTCAATAATTCTCAACAAATTATTATCTATTGATAATAGTTATTATATATACAACAACTATAGATAAGTTTCTTTATATTTTATCTATTTTTATGATCTGCTTTCAAAAATATTGTATATTATTATTATTATCGTACTATAAAAATGGGTTTTTTAAAAATTTATACATACTTGTAGTACTATACAAACTTAAAATTTATTTCATCTACAGTACATGTTTTATATAAGTTATATTGTTTAAGTTATTATATAGATTATTATTTTTTATATATTTTCAATTTAAGCTCATATTTAGCAATCAAAATAATTTCAAGAGATAAATCTCTAGCCATGGTTTTTAAATAATAAATAAAAATACCAGAAATTATTTTTAGAAAAATCTATAAATTGTATTTTTGTTGTTTATTGCAACCTAAATAATATTTATTCAAGTGTTCCGAAAAAATAAGTTTTATTAAATACAAATAAAATAATTTTCAATCCAAATAAGTATAAATGTTTGTAATGTTTCTATGTATACATGTTTTTAAATGACATGAATTACAAATGAATTATTATATCACTAGAAAACTAGAATTTAAATTTATAGCATCAAAATATATACCCTTTTTTGGTCAAAAAATAAACAAAAAATGTTTGTTTGTATAAAAAACTAAAACTATTGTATCATAAGAATTAATGATTGAGTGATTCACCAAAAAATATTTAATATACTATAATATTATATATTAACTAAACTTCCAGAATATTCTGATGATTGCATTGCATGTCATGAAATATAGTCCAAACTTGATTATACATTCACAGCACACACACACACCCGCTGTTAGATATTATTGGTTATGTTTTTATGGGTATTTGAAAAACAAGTGAAACAAAAAACAAAGGAAGAAGTGGTGGTTTTAATGGTGTATTTCATTGATAGAAGTATTGAATGAATTTTTGTTTAAAACAAGTTTTCGCAGTTTTTTTAAAAGACACGATTATCATTGAAAACTTGTGTTACAACATTGTATTCAATAGATATATGCGTTTTTTAAATACGTACATATAATTCACTATATACTGTATTTTTCAATATATTTGACTATACAATAATATATATATATATATATATAAATGGGAACTCGAYTTACATTTAGTAAAAATACATTTTTGAGCAAATTTTATGAACAAATCTGGTAATTATTTGTTTAATAGAAACCTAATTGTATCAAATGTTTTGTCTGTAAACATGATATGTAACTAATAAAATATGTGAATATAAWTGTTTACGTGACTATTTAGCATTAATTTCAACAGTTAATTAGATAATTCAATAAATAAAAAAAATTTGATAYTCGAGAGGATGGACTTGTATTAGTAGTACACACACTGTATATTGGTATCAAATGTTGTATATGTTGTTTGGATGCGTTGAGTCATAGTATTGGCTGAAATGAGGCACACATTTGAGTTACAATACATTAATAAATATATATAAATATATATATACTGTGTTTGGAGTGTTAGCCTTCAATGAAGTGATGCTGTGCTGAAAACACTGTATTAAACTATAAGTGACAACATATTATTTTAAACACATATATTAATATACAGTAAATTATTGCAATTATATTGACTTAGAAATAGTGAGAGAAAGAGAGAAAAGGCTTTCCAAAAGTTTTTCATATAAAAACTGCTGAATATCTGTCAGTTTGACGACAATATCTCTTGAAGTTAGTTATTATCAAAGGAAATATCATTTTATTTTGTCTTAATATTATATTAATATAAAAAAAGTTGTCAAACATTACAACGACTACTACTTTATATATACATAAAAAACAAGTGTTTTTCTTCTTCTACAGTAATCTCTTATTAATAGCACTTGTGTTTTGAAAAGAGTGATAATTATTATATATATATATATATATAATAACAAAAGTCTGAGAAGAGAATTGTTAGTTCAAAGAATTTATATCTAAATTTGTTTTCAATTGATTTGTTTGTTTGTTTGGATCAGTTTATTGGATCAGTGATTATGGCACCCGAACGAAAAGTCCCGGTTTTGCGATCGGAAAACAATATCATTGACAAAGATTTTGGTTCAATACGCGAACGATTTGAGAGTGAAATGAGGAAAATGGAGGACGAGATGAATCGATTCAGGAATCAATTGGTCGACAAAGAAAGCTCACTGTTTGGACCAAACTATACGTCGAGTATCACTGAAAAGAGGTCGTCATCGCACACCAGTTCTCAATCGTCTGATGTCAGAGGAGACACCAACCGTGGCGGCGAACTAACCACATGGCTGGACGACCTTAACTCGCCTCTTATCCAGGACTCTGGTGATGGCAAAGTTCTTAAGTTGCGTTTCGATGTCACCCAATACGCACCCGAAGAGATTGTGGTCAAGACTGTCGACAACAGACTTCAGGTACTTTTGTTTTCTTTTTTTTTGTYAAAAAATAATTATATGTTTTTTTAACGATATAATGCTTTTAGTATTTAGTAATTTAGTGCTACAAAAAAAATCAATATTTATTATTGATTGAGTTTGCCATTAGTGTAGTCGAGAGTTATTTAGTTAACAAACATTTACTTTAATTTTTTCATCAAAAATACAAATCGCTTAAACTTAGGGTGGAGTCAGTCCTTGGCTGAGCCTTAATGTCCATAAAATACAGTATATATACTCTTAATATTTTCTTTAGTAATGTCTCAATGAGTTATCACTCCATTGATTTCAATTTGTGTATTGTTTGATAGTAACCTTAACTATTTAGTATTTTTATTTTTTTATTATTATWATTAAAATATAAAAATTATATATAAATTATATATCATTATTATATATAAGTAGACTATAATAATATAAAATGAAAAAAGCATGTGTTTAAGGAATTCCTGGTATTTGATGGATAAGCATAGCTCACAAATAGCTGAGTGACACAACATTTATTTATAGTTATTTATAGATTATATATATATATATATATAACTATATAGATAGATTATTATTAGTATTACTATTATTATTACATATTATAATATATATATTACTATATAAACATACAGTATTTTACAATAAATATAAATATCTCATATTATAATGTAAATCATTGGCGTATTGCCTACATTTTTTTCSGGTAAAATAAATTCATACATTATTTTTTTAAAATCAATATTTAATACCTAACCAATCACTTCCGACATGTGCTTAATATTATTGTTGAAAAAATAATCGTATATTTTAATTATTATTCTATATATGAATATTTATGAAAAAATATCGGATATTTATTATGTGATAACTTATTATAAATAATTATTTATAATAAGTTAATAAATTATAATTTATAGTTATTATTTAAAAGCTTTAAATTTAAAATAAAAGCTAATAAGTAATCATTAATTTTTTAAAAATTAACAATTAAAATTAATTATATAATATATTATAGAATGTAATCATTTATCATAATATCATACAATGTTTTATTTAAATTGTTTATTTATCTCTGTGTCTAATAACTACTTCAAAAAATTCTTAGACAGTTTTATATACTATTAATAAATGTGTAAATTATTTATTTATCATTTGTAACATTGATTATAATGATWTTAATTGTTTAACACCAAAAATATCGCATTTTCAATGGTTTATTTCAGTTGACTTTCAAAACATATATTATTTTGAAAAACTTTATTAGTGTCTAGTGTTTAACAAATAATATGCTGATTAGACATTAAAATATGACAGTGCCGTACATTTATTTTTAAATACACTCTCATATTACATAACCATATAATTTATTTTAGATGTAATATTGTATTTATTTTATTATAATAGTAATGATTCTATTCTACTGCTATAGAAATATTTAAATTTTAGATTTAACTAATAATAATAATAACAATATAATTATTATAATACTATTGTTAATTGTTATTTATTATTTAAAAAGCGTGTATTTTAGGGATAGTATGTCATCTTTTTTAAAAAATAAAAACAATAAATTTTAATATAAAATACCAGTAATGCATGTTTTATTGTGAAAAAGTATACACGAAATATATATATATTTCATATATAAATACTAATTTTTTAGACATTTATTGAACCTTTAAAGTTATCAAGGATATCATTTATATACAATTTAAATTTTGCAATTATTACATAATACTGTATATTAAAATTTTAATATATATTTAAAAACCGTTACACAAATTTTCTTAAAATTTTAATATCATTTCCTTGATTTTTAAAACATCTACAAGTTTTATGTAACCAAATATGGATATTGATTATAAATATCAGTAGTAGTAGTTGTAGTATAAAATTAATCGCTTTTTTGGTTATTACTTGTTTTTAATAGACTAATACATTCATTCATTATTTAAAAAAGTTATTAAAAGACATCTCAAAATAATAACTTTGAAAAATAAATCGATTACTAATAAATATATAATAAATGAAATATTATGAGACAATAGACAATTTATTTTTAATTTTTCTAATGTTAAATTATATTTAGAAAAATGTGTTTCATTTTGTGACTATACGTATCTATTTTTAGAAGTTATCTAATAATTTTCTTTAATAAAAAGTTATACCGTATTTGTATAAAATAATTTTACTGTAATATTTTTAAAGAGAGATATATATATTAAACATGAATCGACTGTCAATAGCACAATGAAATCCAATGTCATCACATAATAAATAAATAGATAAATAGTTAATTAATTTTATTTTGAAGTTAAAGTTAAAAGCTATTAAAGAGATTAGATATTTGATTGAATTGAGAATCCCATAGCAAAGCAATTATGACAACTGATTGAATCTCAATGTCTGAGTGTTTTAAATCACTTTTTTAATGATTATACCCTTTATATGATACTAAATATAATAGTTTTAAAAAACATAAAACCCATCATTATTAGTTAAACTCATTTGTCATTAACATATTTGAGATTAAGCAGCGATACTAAACTATGCAAAAATTTTTCACTTGTTTTTGTCACATTAATTATTAAAAAAAAGTTTGTATCATAAATTATATTAAATACACAAAAAATATATTTAATAAATTTTTTCTGATAAACAGTGTGTGTGTGTGTGTGTGTGTGTGTGTGTGTGTGTGTGTGTTTAGTTAGCGATTTGTGCCCACATTTAAGTGACAATACTTTAATAATATTGTACTTAAACTAACATAACCTGGAATTCCTAATTAGGAATTATTTTGAAGCTTTTCCATCAATTGAGATATTTGGTGTGGGTGTCCATTATCTGTATGTATGTGTGTGTATGTGTGTGACTAGCATTTTAGCTACATGTGCTAATGGTATGACTTAGTTAATGGATAAAATGTTTATTTCAATTAACATATTAAATGATTTTTTATTTGTTTTACCCATATATTAGGTTCACGCAAAACACGACGAGAAGACTGACAACCGTAGCGTTTATCGGGAATACAATCGCGAGTTTCTTCTACCCAAAGGAACCAATCCTGAGCTGATCCGGTCATCGCTTTCAAAAGATGGTGTACTCACTGTTGAAGCACCCGTACCAGCCATCGAAGGCTCCCGGCGTATACCGATTGACAAGAAATAATAAAATGCAGCTTAAAGTTCAATCACAATATATGTCTATTAATAATATGATAATAAAAATTAAGATTTTAATTAAAAAATCAAACCACTTATTATGCCATCCATTGTATTATTAATAAATATATTATTGTTATTATAATTTTATTAATATAGAATATATAATCGTTGATATTACTAAAAATTATATATTAAGATCTTATTTTATTTTGTTGGACAAAAACTACTAACTAATAATTATTATAATATTTACTCATTTTTAGAAATTACACTTATTTAACGCATACTATGATAATTTACTCACCATTAATTAATAGCATTATATATACAGTATAATATTTTGATTGTATAATTAACTTATTTTATAAGTATACAGAATAATTAAATCTTAAATAATTTGATTATAAAATATTATTTCATGATAATAGTCATTCCTGTATTTTCTCAATGATTAACTAATTAAATAATATAAAATAAAATTTTAACCTTTTTTTATAAAAAAAAGTAAATGTCATACTTATTTTATTAAATATTATTTATTAAATATTTATTAAATAAAGATAACTACGGTAATTTTATTTATTTTTTTAATTACATACAATATAAAACTAAAATATAATAAAATTATGTGCTCCATATTATTTGCTTTATTGCTTTTTTAAAAAAATATATAATTAAATAAATCTTAATAAATTTGATGAGCATAACATCTGAATTTAAAATTATGTTTTACTCTTTTTTCTCGTTTATATTAAAAAATAATAATAAACAAAATTCTACTCTATAAGGATTTTAAATATTTATATTATTATTATATGCTTTAAAATTAGATGATTTAAATTGAGAAAAATGATATGCTTATTATTATACGATATAATATAATAAAATAAAAATATATTTCTATTTATTTAAAAATTATAACATTAATCAAATGTTATTTCAATGTTATTTAATCTATATTATATTATATATTGTATGAAATGATATACTATGTTATAGTTTACAATTCAATATTGTGACATCAAATTATAGCTAACAATACATATAATATATTGTGCAATACATGTCAGTATATTGTATATTGTCATCCTTTTAATACCACTTATGCTATCTATGTTTGAATTGAAGTACAATTTGTCACAATTTTCAATCGTTTCAGTATTTTTATGTCAATACCTTAATTACGATATCATGAAACCATATATTATTAAATCAATTAAAAACAATCATTTATTTAATAAATATATCTCAAAAAATTTCTATAACAAATTTTAATTATWATTATTTCTTTAAATATAAACATARAGTATGAAAAAAAATTCTGTAATTTATATATTTTATTGATTTGCTATTAGGTTAACAATATATTGATGTACAGCATCTGTATTTACTATWRAAATATACAAAAAAAATAAATGTATAAAGATACATCAAATTTTGTGATATATAAATTTAGTAATAATGAATAGGAATATCTAATTATTATTAAAATTTTTCAATTATTAATTTTTAAGTAATATAATACAGTAATTATTAATTAATAACAAACCGTGAGTAATAATATATTATATAATATAGTTATGCTTAAAAAAAATATTAAGCAAACTTAGAAAATAAAATTTTATTATAATAATAACTAAAATTTTAATATTCAATGTCAACATATTTTTGCTATAGTAAATATCATAAATTAATTAAATTATGTTAGAAACATGTAATTTATAATGATTAGCATTGTCAAACATAATGAGTTAAAACATAAAAATCATAGTAAATAGCAAATAAATAATAAAAATAAAAAAATAAGCATAGTCAAATATATTTAAATAGATTCTAATCATTATTATTAATCATTTCCTATTTTGTTTACGAAAGATACATACTATTAATAATATTAAAATAATATTTGTATTATTATTATTGTGTATTATTTTTATTAATAAAACAGAAACTTAATATCATAATGATTTTTTTTATAATATATACAACATGTATAATAAACACACAATCTTTTTAAATGATGAACAATTATGAATTACGTGAATATAATATTAACAGTATTAGACTATAATAATCATCAATATTAAATTTGTTTATTTATTATTATTATTATATATATATATCCAAAATAATGACTTTTTATTATGTTTAAATGAAAATAAAAATCGTCAACTCATCAAACAAAATAATTTAGATACACTACTAATAAAAATTTATTATCAAAATTGTATACTAAATATATAAAAAATATTTTAAAGCCTTTCATATTCGCAATAATAATATTTTGAGTCATTGTGTATAATTGATAAAAATTGTTTTAAATATATATATAATAAACACTGTTATAATTTATATTACAATATTAATACTAATACATAAAACTGTAACTGTATTATACACTATCTAATTGGTAATACAATTCTTTTCTCTCTACAGTTTTAGTTATATATTGGGTAATAGTCTTTACAATTGAGATTATATTACAAAATAGCGTAAAGATAATGACAGACAGTTTTGTGAGCCATAAAACTCATGTTTTTCTCTACATTTAGAATTTCTATATAAAAATTACTAAATATAAAAATAATACAAAAACACTAACTAATAATAATAATAAATGTTATTATTTTATAAACAATAGCACTAATGGCAATTCAATTAGAAAATATTCAATACATTAATCTATTCTATTTACAGTATTATATTAATACTCAATATATGTATGCAATATATACTGTATATGATATTATAAAGAATATTCTTAATGTTAGACCAATTGAAGCGCAAGTTTTGTGTGTATGTGTGCTATACAAGTATTACATGTGTATTGCCTATTATACACAGTGTATATACAGTATATACTATATACAGTACAATGTGTATGTAATGCCAGTGCTATCCAAAACTAGCATCAATATCATTATATATATATATTTATTCATCGACTTCKCCATCCAATAATTAACTCATATATTGTATTATTATTATTTTAAAAAATGATCAAAGAAAAGAGTAATGTTTTGCATATAATTTACTATCAAATAATAATAATAATAATAAAGTATTAATACAATAACTATATTATGTACAATACTGTTGTTATGGTCATAATTCATGTTTATGACGGTATTGACTATTAATAAATCTCCTAAATTTGAACTCAAAAAAATACGTGATGTATTAATAATAAAACTTGTTTTTTTATTATATTTAGTTAATAATAATATTATTATTATTATAAATCGGTAATCGATTTGATAAAAATAAATGTATTTGTCGTTGAAATTATTTGGGAAATAAATTTCATGAATATCTATACTATACTATATATATAACAGAATATTCAAAGTTTTAGAATTCAAATCAAAAAAGTTATGCCAAACTATACATACAATCGTCAATGAATTCAATTGACAATAATAAAGGTTTTCTCTCTCAATATTATTAATAATAAAGTGAGAGTTTTTTTTTGTATGTATTGATTATTGAAGTCATAGGAAAAGTCATAATTTTTCTCTACAATACACATACACATTAAGAAAAAAAATCATTGGAAAGTCATATTAATTAATGAATGAGTAAATCAAAAAATTAAATACTAGTAAAAAATGTATAATCATTTTTACATTGTATTACTGTATACAACCATCAAATCTATTATCATTATGTATTATATAAAAAATAAAATATTTAAAAAAAATTATTGTTATTTTGTATTAAAATCAATTAACTAAATGATAAATAACTGATGCAATAGTTTGTGTTTGTAGAACACCGGTAGGTCAGAAAAAGAGGTGAGAGAGAGAGAGATTTATTGTATGGATATCTGCAAAGTGGTGTCCGGTATTTATAAGTGACAAATAGATAATAAGTTATGTGCTGTTTGTTTGGAGGGCACTGTCAAGTGTGGTGTGACAGTGCAGTTGGTGTGTCGGTGCTGATGGTGGTAGCAATAATGCTGATGGCATTGGCGAAGCAGCACTTGTGCGGTAGTTGGTTATGGATAGTATAGTCGGGGGAAGAGCTAGTATGCCATCAGATATGACATACCAGTGCTTATACTAGCATTGGGTCAATCGATTGCTGCAATACATACTGTATTATACCTGCAATGCGTATACACAATGTGTGTGTGAGTGTGTGTATGGATGTGTGTTTGTAAGTGTATGTTATATGTATGTATGTAAGTATGTATGTGTGAGAGTGTATGTATGTATGTATGTATGTATGTGTGTATATGTGTATGTGTTTTGTGTGTATATGACTAATGCAATGGTTTTTTGACAGCACATGAATGCATGAGTTGACGCATTGCAGGTATGGATCAACCAATCCATACAAAGCCACACCTTTTGACGCTTTGACACAACACATACCAAACACTAGCGATTACGCCGACAAATAGTTCCCATTGGAAAAGTGTCCACAAGTTTGTCCCGAACGGCCATAAATTCAAAACCAATCAACAATCTAGTGGCCAACCTATCGGCTAATCGGTAATATTTGTCAAAATATTACTATCGGTTGGCATTTGGCCGCTGGTCTGAGACCAAGGATTGGTTAATCAATTGACGCCAACATCATAGCGCTTGTATTGAGAGGAGAAGCGCACACATCGTTACTATCGGTTGACTGTCGTCTACAACACATATATACAGTACTTACAGATATACACACATAGAGTATGTATTGTATTATTGGAGAGTAATATGTGTTGTGTTGTGTTGTGTTAGTACAGTGTGTAATACATAAGCGAATAGCCATTCACTCGGATCTCTCAGTCCTTAACTATTGATTCATTTGAAAAATCAGTTTATATTCAAACAGACCTCCAGTTTGTCTCTACACTACACTCTCAACTCAACCGCTGTTTGTGTGAAACCCATTCATTGCACATAAAAAGCAACTATCGGTGTGTCATATATTCAGTTYATTCAGTATATTATTAGCTGAGCTCAAGACATCACCCAAACAACTGTTCTCTCTCTCAGATCATTTACAATGGTATGTATTGTTTTAAGACTTTATAGCCAACCACGGAGTAGTCGATGCAATCGTACCAAACAATTGGATGGATGTATGTATTGATTGTAACAATACATTGTTTGCCGCATTTTGGATGTCTGTTGTATATATGATAGCCATTTGAATGAACAGCTAATGGCGTTAATATTTAGTTAGTTTTGTCCATCAAATTGTTTGGCCACCAGATTGCTGTCCCAACCATTGATTCAACTGATAGATCTACTAATTGATGATTTTTTAAACTAATATTTTTTTATTGGTGTTATTTGATGAATAGGCCGACCAATTAACTGAAGAACAAATTGCTGGTAAGTCCTGACATTCGTATTCATTATTATTGATTTTTCTTATAATTGTCGGATAATCTTATTGTTAATTAATGATTACAATTAAAAAATAATTGCTAACAGAATTCAAGGAAGCGTTTTCTCTGTTCGACAAAGACGGCGACGGAACGATCACAACCAAAGAGTTGGGAACAGTTATGCGATCGTTAGGTCAGAATCCTACCGAAGCCGAACTGCAAGACATGATCAATGAAGTGGACGCTGATGGTAACGGAACGATTGATTTTCCCGAATTTCTAACAATGATGGCCAGGAAAATGAAAGACACGGATAGTGAGGAAGAGATTCGAGAAGCTTTTCGGGTGTTTGATAAAGACGGTAATGGATTTATTAGCGCCGCTGAGCTGCGCCACGTAATGACCAATTTGGGTGAAAAACTTACCGACGAAGAAGTGGATGAAATGATTAGGGAAGCAGATATTGACGGTGATGGACAAGTCAACTATGAAGGTATGTCTCTATTAATTATTATTATTGATGATGATTGCAATGTTGTTATTGATTGATCAGTTAAGTTCAGCTCAGGGATTGTGTATATGATTTATGAACTAATAATTAGTACTAATAATAACTGTTAATGAATTAGATATACAATTATTATTGAAGAGTTTTTCATAAATGAGAGATCAGTCTAAAAGATTCAGATGAGTGATGTGTTTTGTTTTTTAATTGTCCGCAGAATTCGTAACAATGATGACATCTAAATGAAGAGTCATTTTTTCGGTTCATTCAATTGGATCTGTAATTTATAATTAAATTTCATTATAAAAACAAATGTAAACATAATTTGAAAAAACAAATACTATTATAAAATACGATAAACAAAATTGAATGATAAAACATATGATTAATTAATTGAATTTAGAAATGTTTTAAATAAGATTTAAATATTCTTTTTACTCATATATATGTATACAAATATATATGATTTGATTATATAAAATGATAATAATATTGTTCTTAAGGTTATATATATATATATCTATATCCAAAAACAACAGTTTGTCTTTATATTTGCAAAAATTATAAATTTTATCTTCACTTATATATTAAACAACTATAAACATTAAATTTCACAAATCGTATTCATAAAACATTTTTCTCTCTAATTAATCAAACGTTTGTGAAGTGCAGTTCCGATCACTTATTATTATTATTATATAATTATTATTATAATTATTTTATTCTTTTGTACTATAAATCTATAAAAATTATAAATTGAATTAAAGGTGTGTTTTGTCTCTTTATTATGATATGATTACCTTATTATAGCTATATATTGATTAAAATATATAAATATAATGGTATCAATTTTATCTAAAAGTTTAACTTTAAAAAATTATTTAAAATATAAATATTTCTATTTATCTTTTCATTGTCAAAAATAAAGTATTTAAAATTAAGTTAATTCTACAATTTGAGTGTTTAATTTATTATTATATATTTTTTTGAAAATAAAATGGTTGATTAAATTTAGATATAAAATACATATTTTTTTAAAGTGTATATAGTTAATTACAAAAAAATGTCACTAAAATTACTAATATTATCATTAGATAAGGTAAGTAAATATTTAACGATATAATAGTATAGCATAACTATTATATAATATGTTGTTTTAGTTAGAAAAATTACCGGCAGATAAACATATAAGTTATATAATTACATTGAAATACAAGTTTGATATATTATGTTATGATATATGAACGGAATTTCTATGTATGAAAAAAGTGTTGTAAAAACAGTAGAAAATTGTTTTTTTTAAATTCAATGAATATTTTCGTTTTCAAAGGGGAAATAGTTTTTATTTATATTAATTTGCAAATTATATCCATTTTTTCTCAAAAAAAAGTTGATGTAATGAATTTAAATGTAATTTTGCGTACCATTGGATCAATAAAAAAAAGTATTTTTAAAAATTTTATTTTTTCTATTTAATGATTAATGTTTTTAAAAAAGCAGTGGACGGTTAAAAAAGGATATAAATTGTATATATATATATTGTATGGCAAATGCAAAAGTTATTCAATTGAAAAGTAGTTTATGATTTGATTAACATTTGATTTTTTGACAATTTATTTGATGACTGTATTGTATATTTTAGGTACGGTTTATATATCATAATATATTGTGTAGTTAATGTATCACGTATATATAATACACAAACACATGGTGTACAGTATATTTACGGCATATTTTCTAAAAATATTTCAACAAATTGCCATAAAATAACTTTATTTAAGGTAAAAAATATACAATAATAATTTATATCTAATTAATAACATGTGTGCCATTATCTCTATATAATATATAGTGCAGTATAACTTACATTGATTTCTAACCTCTACCTACAATATTGGATTTTTTTCATCCAATAAATATTTAATTATTGATTCATTAGCTTAATTGACATTAACTTATTTGAATATGCAATGCATGCCATACACTACATCATAGACAATGAATATTTTTTGTTTTGTTTAGTTTTTTTATGTAAAAAAATATAGCTAACTATTTGGCGAATTGTATTATTATTTACTATCTATTAAATGGATCGTAACAATAATAACAGAAAAAATAATAATAAATTATAGTTTTTAAATAAGTCAAAAATATATATTTATAATTAATATATATACATACAGTATATTGTATGTAATACAATATTTTTCATTAATAATTTAAGTACAATATAGTTATGAATTATATATATAATGGGTTTCTAGTTTATGAACAACAAACAAAAAAAATAACAATTATATTAATTTATAATTATTTGCAAATGCTGTTTAAAAACAACACATGTTTTGACTTTAATGTGTCAGTAAAAGTTGAGATAAATTAATTTATTAAATTAATTTATATATTTATTTAAAAAAACATTTTCTGTGGTTGAAAAAATAAGTTTATTTGTAATAATAATTAAATTAAATTTTGAATGAAAATTAGACTTCTATTGATTATTTTATCAGCTATTTAGACGATAGAAAATATTTTATATATAAATTATTTAATTTTTTATCACCCGATAAGTGAGCGATAAAACAAATAAAGAAAATTTTTGTTTTAATTTCAATGATTTTTTGAAACACTTCTCTAATTTATAATATTATTCCGAAGATTAGATAAAATGAAAATATTTACAATATTTTAATTCATATCAATATGTGTTATGAAAACACACACACATTAGTGCTTAATATATTGATATTTCATAAATAGTTTACACACATTATATACACACACAATATTGGCGTTAAGTGGTATTTATATGAGTAATACAATTATTACTTAAATTTTTATTACTATTAACCGATGAATAAAACAAATTTCAAGAGCAATAAATTGTTTGTTTGTGTGTTTTATCGCATCCTTTATATTATAAGAAAAGCTATGGACAACAACAACAAAAATAAAACACATTGTGTTATATTGTAGGCTATATTTTGTATAGACATTAACCCAAAATAAAAATTATTTTATGCTTTTTCTGTGGCAAAAAACAGTATAATTGATAAATATATTATTTCTTATAAAATAAAGCTGTGAATGCATTTGCTTTTTTTGTTGTTGATTATACTGTATATAAATTTATATATATAAATATTTGAATAAATATTATACTCTTTATATATATACGTATATATATATTATATTAAATAAAACTTTTAATCCACACCTTAAAGAAAAGCTACTATTTAAAGAAAATTTTGAATTAAAATAATTGAATTTTCATGAATATATATATATAATATTATTATCGTATACAACAACACAACAACAAAAATCAATAATTTAAGGCCAAATCAGTTTTGTATTAATTTTGTTGTCACTCTCTTCATGAGTTGCATTGAATCGATATCTCAGTGCCTCTTAATTCAGACACCAAACCAAAAAAATCATGTTTTCTTCCCATTAATTAATGTTTTACTTTTCTACTGATTTTGTTTTATTATTTTTTTTGGTTCCCTTTTATATTCATTCATATCTGAAACAAATTAACAATTTTTTTTGTTTCGCTTATTTTCTAGTATTTTATCTCATATATTATTTACAGATTACACTGTATTATGACATTTTCACTAACTTTCAATACACTACTACTACTACTACTTCATTAATATACTGTCATCACGTTATATATTGCTTTTTTTAGACACATGTTATTAAATTGTAGTATTACTTTTGATTTAATTATTTAAATATCAATTTGTTTTGAATTTTTAAAAAAGAAAATCATTCAATAATTTACAGTAATTACGATATAAAAAAAATTATTTTAATATTTAAATTGATATTTAAATAAGTTAACTATCAGTTAATATTTATGATAATTACAAATATGATATGATATATGACGTCAACAACATTGTTGGTGGTCTTCTTCTTCTTCTTCTTAATCAATCTTATCGTAATTGACAACAGTTTAGATGATTGCGATTAACTTTAACATAAAAAAAACCAAAAATATGGATGAAATGTCTGAGACTCTTCAAAAACTGGCCAAAACACTGAAAAAATGGTAGACTTCGTCGTTATCATAGACAGCGACCCGAGTATTGCATATATTACAGAAAACTGGATAATAGTCATCTGTTTTTCGGCTTCTTTCGACTTTCGATTTACGTTTATTTTGTTGTTTGTCTTTAAACTGAAGTCTTTCGGTAAAATTAATTCGACAATTATATACAAACATAGCTCTGTATTGGGTTCGGTAGATATCATGTCGTTGACAGTCGTGACACAACAGCGTCAGACACGCGGGACAGTTGAGTGTGGCGTCACTCTTACCAACCGTTCCCTTCTCGGTACGCGTTGTGGCCACAAGACGATGATTATCGACCCATTTCTGGTCGTTTTCATCAGCTTTCGGATCGTACAACAGTTCATCATTTATGGCAGTATTTGTCTCATTTGAATCTGTCTTTACATTTTGTTTATCATTTCCGTCTTCACTTGTCGTCTGTTGGCTGGAAGTGCTTGGCTTTTGTGTGTCATTCTGTTTATAGATATGATTCACTCTTTCCATTCTTTCTCTTTCCATCTCTGTCTCAAAGTCTACAGAGTCTTCATTAAACGTGAACAACGACTTGAAGTCTTCATCGTCACTACTAAATGATTAGTCATTATGGATCAGATAAATAAATACATAAATATGATTAATATATCTCAAAATTGTCTAAAATTGAAATTCAAATGTCATGTCAAACCTGCTGTCAACGACTTCATTGTCAGAAAACTCTTCGACACAATAATAGTCATCCATTTCTCTTTTATCTCAATTATTATCGACTAATATCTGAAAACATTTAACGATTTCACAAAATAATTAAAACAATTAATAAATCGTTTTCTTTAAAATGTCAACGCATTTGATGATCAAAACATATATTAATTTAATACAACACTTCATTCAATGGTTCCCTCTATTGATATACTGATGAAAGCATTGGGTATTTACTGAATAAAACATTGCATTAAATTAAACTTTTATTGGTTTATTGAAACTATAATTGAATTTATTTACAAAAAAAAGATATTTTAATGAAGAATATATAATATAACTATTGGTTAACACTTTGTCTAACTTTTGAATCGTTTTGTTGTGACTTTTGTTCACTGATTTGTTGACTATCTTTTGTGTCAGAAATGTCCATAAATTTGGATGCATTTCGTTTGGCAGCTCTTTCGCGAAGTATTGAAAATGTATACGAATTGATGTTTAGCTGTTTGGGAACAGATATGCCCTGAAATCGATAGATTGATCCCAAATGACTGGCTATTTGATGAACAGCTGTTACATGAATGGATCCGACTTGCGATGTGTTGGCAATCAATGGACCACAACTGATGTCTAAGTGATCTTTAACTCGATAAACAGTCACCGAATCTGATCCATTGGTGTCAGCCATTGAATCAATTTGTTGGCTTTTGATTGAATTGTGTTCAAACATCACTTTTGCCAATTCTTTGTTAACGTCTAACCTCTCAAATGGTATATCTTCTAATGTCAACTTCTGAAGCATTGCTGTAAAAACTCGTAGCTCTTCAGTCTTCGGTACCCAATCTTTCAAATCGATATACACGTCATATACAAAACTTCCTGAATTAAGGTCTGGCTTTGGCCACGAATGCAATTTTATATCAATGGTATCTTTGAATGCTTGCTCGATGGCAGATCCCATCAATAATGAACAGCTCTTCCAATAGGTTTTATTAGCGAAATATGGATTGGGTTCTTTGAAGTGTTTGAATCTGAGTTGACAGTCACTGACAAGTGGCCTATGAATGTCCCAATAGGTCTTGTCATCGATGAGGGCAACAACCGATCGGTTGGTAATCATTTGGTCGATGTGTTGACTGCAATGATAAGGCGTTGAGATATCTTTGTTCATCAATAAGTTAATGGTTTCGCTTTCATCGGTATTACCATACGGATTGACAACTGAAACAGTAATCTTCTCAATACGTGTTACTAAATCTGATTGTCTTTTCTTTTCTAAGTCAAACAACTTATTCCTCTTAAGTCTCAGTTCTTCAGCTGACAGTTTGCAATCACTTTTGAGAAACTGTCGATTCTTTTCGTAATCCGCCGCACAATAAAAACCTTTAGGTTGGACCCGATTATCAAAACGATACCATCTGATCGATGTCTGTCTTACAAGACATTCAAGAGATGATAATCTCGGTTTCAGTTTGTTGGCCAACGATGATGAATGCATTGTCACAGACACGATGTTTGGACGCGAAGATAGTGAGAGATGTTTTGATTTGTTTTGATACAAACATGTGTTACTTTACACCACTGATGGCATACTCTTCTTGCATAACAAACCAGATGTCACTCTTCATAATACAGGTGTAGTAGTCGTCGATCACATGGTTTTGTATATCACTTGTCAACTGATATTACCGTTAATTAACTTATCTTACGATTTGTTTGTTTAGTATTATTATTATTATAGGTATATATGATATCATAAAATGTATGAATGAGTTGTACTTTTAAGTGATTGTTAAGTTTTGTCACTTGTTGTCGATGTTGATGAAGCCATAGATTATTGGATCAATTGATGGCCTACAAGAAACGTCTAGTCATTTCTCTCATATGTTTTAATTTTTGTGATGCGATCTTTGATAGCAATAAAATATCAATACTTTTTAAGTGATAAATCAATTGATTGGTTGATCTCAAGAGATGGCCGAAACCGATGGCAACTATTTCTGTGGACCACTATTTCCGACGCCTTTTACAGCATTCATATTCATAGCATATATGATTGCTTTCGTCAATCAGGGTATTTGATTCAAGTATTTATTATTATTTCATTAGTAAATTAATTAACAGTTTTTTGTGTGTAAATAATTGATGATATCATATGTTATATGATATACAGTATTGTATGGTTTTATAAGTTATTAATTTATGGGGCAATCAATTAATATTATATTATATGTATAACATTTATATAACAAACTGTTTTTTAATTGAAATAATTGCGCCATTTATTAAAAATCATTTTTAATTTTTAAAATTGTATTTTTTTTATAAAAATAAACTTGTATTAATATATGCATGTTAACTTTTAAAACTTTTATACAGTATAAATACATTACATTATTAATACATTAGCACTACATGTATATTATAGGATGTAGGGTAAGGGGGGTTATGGCATAAATATATCAGTGAAGTTAGATTTTASTATTTAAAAAAATGAATTTATTAATTTTTAATAGTTAGRTTATTAAATATTTAGGTTATCTAAAAAAGTTAGTTTTAGTTTTTTAAAATATATACATGTATTATAAATTAGATTTTTATATACATAATAATAATAATGATATTTAAAATAAATGGTGCATGGTGATTGTTGTTTATTCTAACAATAGCTAATTACTTATATATATATATAGGGATTCTGGTGACGGCCACCAAAACAAGTGATAATAAATACAATTACAGTACAATAGTTGTTGTATTATTGACAGAGTGTCTTAAGCTTATCATATCGACGGCAATGTATATCAAAGACAAGCCATTGCGAGACCTGTTACCCGATATAGTGAGCGGTCGTAAAGTTTTACTTTTATATCTGGTTCCAGCTTTTCTCTACTGTCTCTACAATAACCTTGCATTCATAAACCTGGCCTCATATGATCCGACCACTTACTATCTGTTGCTACAGTTGCGAGTGGCCGTCACGGCAGTCATCTATCAGTTTCTATTCAAGCGAAGATTGACACGATATCAATGGTTTTCATTGATACTACTGACTATGGGATGTATTGTTAAACAATTGGGCGGTTTTAGCAATAAATTKACTGAAAATCAGTCTTTGGTCACAATAAACCTCTTATTAATATTACTTCAAGTATTTTGTTCGTGTTTTGCCGGCGTTTACAATGAATATCTTCTCAAAGATGTCGGATCTAAAGTGCATCTTATGATACAAAATATTTTTATGTATATCGACTCAATCGTCTGCAATCTGGCCTTAATAGTACTAACCGGCGAATTAAGTCGATTGTCGGAACTGTCCGAAAGTATTACTATATTAAGTGATCCAAAGATCATTGCCGTTATGGTTAACAATGCTTTATGTGGTATTATTACCAGTTTTTTCCTTAAGAACTTAAACTCGATTCTTAAGACATTTGCGGCAGCTTTAGAGCTGGTCTTTACAGCTATACTTTGTTTAATCATATTTAAGATACCGATTGACATCTACACTATCATAGCCATTGCCATTGTCTCGTACGCAACATATTTATATTCAAGAAGTCCCGTTCAAAACACATCCAATGTTGATAAACAACAGCACAATGAAGACAATCAAAGACACGTCCAGTATTCACTTCTTAAAGAGGATTATAATAAAAATGATGAGAAAAAAAATTTAGAAATTGTTTAATACAAACAAAAAATAATTCATAAATTTGTTGATAATATTTATTTTATTATATTTTTGACACATTATACAATATAATAAGATATAAAGATTTTTTTTTAATTAATTAAATGATCACAATATTAATATTTATATAAAAATKGTCACAAAATATTTATTATTAATATTATTGTTTTGTTTTATTTARTTTTAAAATATTTGAAAATGTTTTAATAAAAATATAATTTAATATAATATAAGATAAAATTTTAATAAAAAAAAATATATTTATTTAATTTAAAAATTCTTTGGCTAAGATTTATTAAATATATTTAAACATTTATTAAAAATATAAATATAATGTTAAATATTTGTTTATTTGTTACATACAAAAAATAGTTAAATGACTTCCTATTATTTTTTAATTTTGAAGATAATCGCAGCGGTTATTAAGTAAAAGAATAGCCAACAGAATGTAACTGAAAATCCAATCCAAACGCCAGAATTTTCTAAATCCCAGCCCCGGGACAACACATGTCTTAATGTTTCAGTTGGCAGTGTTTGCGGTTGAATATAACTAAACCATCGGATCCAATAAGGCATGGCTTCTAACGGCCAAATAATACCTAATTAAAAAAAATAATGATTTAATAGATAATTGCTTGTAAATTAATAACTTATAGTGACATTAATATAGTAATACATACCACTTAATATAAGATTTGGATAAAATGTGCCCAAAATCATCATCACTGCTGTATTTTCCTGTTGGCATAGGGCTGACACTACCAGACCTTTAGTTTTTATTAAAAAAATGATTATAATTTTGTTTTTTTCAAAAAATTAATATATTTTTAATGACAAACCAAATGCCATTCCAGTGGCGCCCTGAAGAAGAAGCAGACTAACGACCCAAACAAATGGTCCACGACTTGGTATATCAAATACTAAGAATACAAACACCAATACTAGTATTATTTGGATAACCATCACAAAGATCTGGACCAACGAGTGAGCTATAAGTACTTGAATGGTGTCCACACCAGCAACGAGACTACGTTCAAAAAGACCATCTAATAATTGACGGATTAAATAATTATTTTATTTTATTAAAATTTATATTAATSTTTGGATTATTGAACAAATTTTTTTGCCGATATTTAATAGTCACCTCTTCGTTCAATAATAAAGGCCAATGCGGTTAATCCRGTGGCCATTATATAGCATATACTGACTACAACTCCCGGTGCCATATATTCAAGATAGCCCTGTTTAGCAGCATCACCGTATACAGGAGTGCCCAACTATACATAAAAATTAAAAATTAAAAACTACCATTAAAAACTTGTATTTAAAATTTCAATACTTAAAAACTATCAGTTTATGATTTATATGTGATTTATTAAAAGGTTGGATTTTAAATGTTTTGTTATTATTTAAAAATTTTTTTTATAAATCAGTAAAATATAATTATGCTAGTTAAATTTACTTTAATATTTCTATGTTAATTATATTTATATAATTTATAAATTTTTTATGTATCATATGTYGCAATATTTACATTTAACTGTATTTAAAATTTATTTTGATTCTTAAATGTTTTGTTTTTAAATTAGTCAATTACAATGAAATTTTGAAATAACATTGAATTTATTAAATTAACTGATTTTTAAAAATTGAAAATCATGTAAAATATTTCAAATTAAATTTATTTAGCAAAACAAACAAAATTACTATACGGGCTAAAACAATGTATAACTTTGAAAAATAGCTTTATATAAATTAATTAACACTTGATTAGAGATAACACTTTAGTCAATATAAAACAAAACACAAAAAAAAGTTTTTACTAAAAACAATGTTATCTAAAAAAAGCTATAAAAATACTATTATGTATTTGAAAACTATTTTAATGTCAATGATTAAAAAAAAATGATGTATAACCTTAACCTCGATTGTCAATTAGCCGAAAATAAATTCATGCAATAATTGTGGTCACAACACACACACACACACACACACACACACAAAATTAAATCAATTTTATTTAATAAAACAAAATAAAAACATCACTCACAGCAATAGGTAGTTCAGCTAAGGCTGGATTGCGACCCAATATGTTTAGTGTGTCCTTTGCAAAGGCCTGGAAGGCCTCCCGAAACGTCCGCTCCATTGTATAAGATATTTGTTGATCTAAACACATAYACAATAGGATTTTTTAAATTTATTAATGAATTGTTATAAAAATGTGTGTGATATTGATTTTTTTCAACAAAATAATAATAATAATAATTTATTTACTCGTGAGGTCCGGGTATACTCTTATAGTACTGCCTTCAATGGTTACATTATCTACATCTTCGCCTAATATCATCCTATAATAAATAAATAGTTTTTTAAAAATTTGTATTCAAAATAATTATTTTATTTAATAATTTTTTTGTATTGTTTTACTATACCTTCTTTGAAGACTTATACTAAACTTTTCGGGAATATTTAAGACACCCCTAAATATATATACAATAATATTTTAATATATTACAAAAAAATATCATTTTTAAAAAAAGTTTTGCATTAATTATAAATTAGATAATATAAAAATAAATTTTTATTTATTTATTAAAAAAAACAAAATTTTTATTTTATAGAGCAATAATTTAAGCTTAATACTCAATTAAATCACTTAATAGATATCAAATTAAGTTTATTAAGATAAAATTGTACAGTATTTTAAAAATTTATGTTAAATAGAGTGATTAAAAATTAATAGGCCTTTTATATTAATGTTATTAATAATAATTAATTTTATATATTTAAAATAAATAAATATTTAGACTATCAATCAAATCCTGAATGATATAAACATATATTCAATATAATAATTAGGACATTAAATGACAGTTAGAAAAAATAATTGACTAAATATGCGAAATAGTAAAGACATACCACATCTCTCCTCTCTTGACGGCAGCGATTGCCTCATCAAATGAACTGAAATTGTGCTGAAATGTCAAATGAGATATCAATAATAATACTAATGATAATAATATGAATACAATTTATTTTGTTTTTATTTAGTTATTTAATTTTATGTTTTTTTATAAGCAAACCGACTTGAATAACAAGATGWGGATTTATTTTGTCCAAAAATATCCGACTCAGAAATGGTGGAAACTCCTCGTTAACGATCGCAACATTAATATTGAATGGATCGGCACCAATGCACAGACAGAATAGGATCACCTGAATGGCCGGTAATGCGAATTGAAATAGTAATAAACTATACCAAACAACAAAAATCAATTAATAATATATATATATATTTAATTATTAACAAAAAATTAAGTCTAATTATCAATTGACTAAATAATTTGGTAAATCCTTACGGAATATTCCTTCGGGTGCGGATAAAGTTCTTCCACGTGACGGCATAGGTTGTCGCACAGTACTCTTTGAAACCCAGTCGTCGGGAATCGTATTTGGCTCCTCTAGACATTGTTCCCAATTGTATTGGATTAATAAATAGCCGATTGTCTTCTTGAACTAAATGTGTGGTTGAATTGTTATTATTGGCCCGAAGTGGTGTCGGCGTCGGTGGTAATGTATAACTCGTTTCTTTATTTCCGGTGTACAGTGAAAAAACTGATGGAAACTTTACACCATTTTTGAGATCACCATTGGTAGCCATTTGATGATAATGTGGATGAAGCGATTGACTATTATTATTGGTTTTGTTGTTAGCATCGGCTACAGATAGTGTTTGAGGTGTAAATCCGGTACTAGTGGCCAATGCGGCCGCTTTGATGGACATGTCTGTCATACAAAGCTTAAGAAAGACATCTTCGAGAGTATTTAGGCTGTACTGAGACATGAGCTCTTTTGGTGAGTTTTCTGCCAGAAGTTTTCCCTGTCTCATGAGTCCCACAACATTTGCCTGTCGGGCCTCTTCTATATAGTGGGTCGTTATTATGACAGTTATTCTCTCGGTTTCGGTCAATGTTACCAAATGTTTCCAAATGCTGTCCAAAAAGTTTTTGATAATTTGTTTGTTTAGTTAATAATTATAAAATAATAACTATAGATATTGACTACCTTTGTCTAAGTAGTGGATCCACACCTACTGTTGGCTCTACAAGTGTTCAATAATTGGTTTAGTAATTAGTATGCATTAGTTTATTAGTTATTTATTAATWAAAAATGACTTATGATTACCATCGAGTATAAGAAGTGGTGGCGAGTGGACTAAGGCAGCCGCTAACGATACCCGTCGTTTCTGACCACCACTAATGTGTGACAATTTTGGTATTTTAGGGTTAAAATGTTATTAAAAAATATATAATTATAGATCATTTATTTCCGASTCATAATTAAATACTAAAATACTTTAGTTATAATATTATTATTCTATATAAATATTATTTTAAGCGCTTTAAGTTTTTTTTTATAATTTTGTTTTTAGATAAAAATATCATTTTTATCTGAAAGCAATATTTCTTTCTTATATAAGATCACATGTTTTCTGATTTATTATTAATTTATTTATTATCATTTATACCGTAAATGCATTATTTGATAAAATACTGAAATAAACTCCATATAAAATATAATAATATTTGTTCTACTTTTTTTTGAAAAACTAATAAAACTTATTTACTTATACTTTATGTTGTTTTGTGTGTAATACAGTATATAAATTATATATATATATATATATATATATATATATATATATATACCTATATATATACATCTTTATATATTGAGTCTAAGATCCTGCTCTACAACTAAAATAAAATCGGTTTAAATATTTAGTATTTAATTTAATATTATTAATAGCACAAGAAAATTAATAATGATAATAATAAAAACAACTATTTATATATTGTAAAAACGCTTTAATAAGCTAGTAATGAAAACGAAAGCATTTTTAGTTTGATTTTTTATTTTTTATTTATAAAATAAAATATATAAAACACGAGTTTTTAAGTTCCTGTTGTTAAATGAGGACAAACAATACAAACAGCCCCGGGATATAAACGCAATTATTTAATCTGAAAAATACTGCAATTTTTACAGACATTTATTTATTTATTTATTTATAAAAATAACTGTACTGTACTTTCATATATTATATAAATATACAGTATTTATAGTTATTTTGCAGACATAATATGCACATAAAAATTTTGAAACTTTTAACTATGAGATGCTTATTATTTATTACTTATTATTATTATTATTATTATGCTGTTAATTAAAAAAAATAATACTAATAACTGTCTATTTTTATGTAATTACCTTAAGTTCATAACCATACGTGTCTTAATTGGTAGGTCCAGAAAGGCTAACAAAAATTCAATTCTCTCCTTTAAAAATCTGGATTCGAGTCTAAAAAGACGCCCAAAATATACTAATGTTTCTTCAATACTAAAGTCATCGTAAACCGCTATTTCCTACAAAATAAAACCGATAAAATTTGGGTCAAATCATTGAAAAACTGAGTCAATTGAGTATATATTTTTAAGTGCATGATTGTATGTATGTATGAATGTGTGCATACCTGTGGCATATAGCCTATTGCCGGTCCAGGTATTTGGCTACCCGGCTCATTGGGCTGGAAACCAAATATGCGGACATAACCCTGGTCTGGCTTTATCCGACCGATTATACATCTCAATAATGTTGTTTTGCCGCAACCGCTCGGCCCCAACAAACCGTATCTGAAATTACATTACAAAAAATAACATTTACATAAATTAGTTCAACATTCATACATATATTTATCATATATATATAAAAAACATTTAAAGGAAAATAATTGTTAGAAAATACTAAATAATAAGTTACAACAACTTAAGTGATGAACTTTTTTCACTGTATTTAATTATCTTCAATTAACACAATGGCCTTTAAAAAAATGATTGCATAACAAGGAAAGCATAGTATAGAAAGTTATTTGAAAAGAAACACAAAAAATCAATTGTTATAACATTTAACGTAATGTTTTAGGGATTTAGTCATATTTTTCAGACATAATTTTATTTATAAAAATGGGTTTTTGCGACAAAAAGATATATTCTGTAATAAAATAATAACTGTATTTGTAATCAGATTTGTTGTGAATGAAATGCAATTTTATTTATTTAATGCAAGATTTGATGCTTTTTTGTGTGTCGGGATTTTACACAATTTGTATTTAATTTTAGTTGTGACCATCAATGCATTTATTTGTATGTTATATAAATTTATGAATATATTAATCTACTTATTTAATAATAATTATTTTTTAAATGACATAAAATTTTGAGAAATACATAATAATAATAATTTAATTTTATAATGTTTTTTGATTATAAGATTTAATGAATATTACTTTATATTGTTTACAATTAACTCAATTATAAATTTGTAGATATTTTAGATATAATCAAAAAATAATTTATTTATTAAACATATATTACGAATGAGTTTGCAAAATGGGTTAAATTTTACATACGATTTCATAATTTCATACATAGATGTATTGTGTAAAAATATTTGACAAAATAAATCATTTTTATAATTTAATACTCAATTATAAATTTATTTTTGTATTGAAAAATAAAAATGCATACAAAAATTTCAAAAATAACTGAGTTGCAAAAAACTATGTTTGTAAAACATTTGGTTACTACATATTAATTTTAATATTGCATATAAAATTATATTATAAATACACTAGTTATTTATGTATTAAAAATAGCAAACTAATCCATTACATAATATATATATATATATATATATATATATATATATATATATATATATATATATATATATATATATATATATATATATATATAGTATTTATTTGATACATAACTTATATAATATTTAAAAATTTGATTGACTGATTTTGTTCATAAAAAATAAAACAGTTAAAAATTTACACAAAATTCAATGTAGAAAATATTGAGGTTATTGTTTATAGATTGTAACATTTATAACATATGAAAAAAATAATAATTAAAATCGGAAATATATATGTTTTATCATTTTWAAAAAATTATTTTATCAATTCAAAAAAAAACATAAAAGTGATAAACAATTCTTTATTGAAAAATCTAATCTAACGGTTCACTTAATTTTATGACAAAACGTTTGAGTATTGCCTTTCAGAGACAGATAATTGGTGTTAATCAAGACATTAGTGTTAAACATCACATAACAACAGGCAATAGTTTATTTGTTTAATAAGTTTAACTACTTTTCTTATATACTGTATATATATATATATATTTATAAATTAAAAGTTATATTATATAACAATTAGCTAATTGAGTGCAACCATATAACTATTTACTTAAAAAGTTAACAAAATTATATTTTTATTATTTGTTTTAGTCACTAACATTTTAATTATTTCCGAAATTGTTGTGAAAATCTTTTTAAAAAGTATTATATAATAATTTAATTATTATTAAGTAAAACATAAGTTCCTTGATTATTAAATTAAACAGGTCTGTTTAATTTTTATTGTTAGTTTTTTAACAAATTAATGATATCTTAAAATATTTAATAATTATTGTCTAATTAATGATAAAATACATTAAATCAATAATACAAATACAAAAATAAAAATAATATACCCAAGAAACTTTTACAAATAATAGTTAAAAGTTTTAATATCAATTCAATAATCAATTTAATATAAATTACTTTACCTTACATTTATCTATCTATCTATCTCTCATCTTTATTAAATGTCAATCAATATCAATAAAAATCTCAAATTAATTGTTTAGTATGTTTTTAAATCAATGAATTTAATATTATTATAATATTTAAGAAATAATCAAAGTTAAAAAAATGTTTTTTTTAATTTTAAAATCAATGAAAAAATTTATCAATAGCTAAAAGTTTTTTTTGTTGTATGAATCATTAAAATAAATATTTAGTTAAATACATTACAAAACTATTGTGACATTTTCTTTATAAATTTTACAATATGTTTAAAAGTTAAAATTAGCTAATATTTTATTTAATACATAAATTAATGTTTGAAAGCAATTTATTACGACAAATACTTTAGATATTCWCCAATAACAACAACAATAAAAAACAATGCAAATTATTACCAAATTTTATTTAGTAATTTTTTTTGTAATAAATAATATAAGATTATTAGTCAATTGTACTAAATATTTTTTGTTGTTGAATTATCATTTTTTATCTGAGATATAGCATTTTAAATCTATAATATCAATTATTTATTTTATTATTTTATTGATTTTTAAATATTTAAAACTTATTACTGTATTACTACTAATAATAGTAATTTGTGGTTTTTAATTATAGGTCAACTATTTCTAATACTACTTATAAAAATCTTATTATAATCTTACGACTAAATAGTTGTTTGTCTGACTAAATATATGGTAAATAATTATTTTTTAAAAGTATATATTATTTAACTATAGTTAGTGTCTATTTAAAAAAAATATCTAAATAAATATTGATAGATGACATACATGTTGGCTTCGGGTACATTCAGATTGATGTGGTTGAGTATGACCTTTGCTTTTGAACCCCTTCCGTAGGATAGTAGAGCCCTACGAACTTCGACGGCTGTCCGATGTATGGGTGCGACACTCATTTTGCGGTCATAGGCTGGTCTATATGAACAAAGTGTGACGGCATTGTCCACCTCATCCCCGGTGGCGTCCACTTGTGTTTGGGTTGGCATCTCTTTGGATGGTTAGTGCAAATTAATGCCCAAAACTTTTTTTTGTGTATAACTTTGTTGTTATTGTTGTTAGTGTCACTTAACGTCACTTTTTTTGAAAAAAAGATCACTTGATCAGCACTTCACTTGATTAGTACAAAAAGTTTTTTAATACACAAAAATCTTTTTCTAATTGTCACTTAAAAGAGAGAAAAAAACTTTTTCAATTCACAGCTAACCAAACCATTTCCTCAAAAGTCAAACATATATATGAAAAACAGTTTTTAATTTAGACCTCACTTCAGCACAGATACGACTTTCACTGAATAAATGGTAAACTGGTTTCCCAACAGTATATTTGATGCAAACATATAGCTTATAATAATTGACGTATGAATGGATCACTTATTTAGCCAGTCTTGACACCGAAGACTTGGAACACCGCTTACTGCGAGAGCTAACAGTGCGTTCAGAAAATAGTGGTATAAAATAATAATAATATTAAGCGGTATATGCTTTTTCCTATAGCTCTCTGGCGATGCTTTTTTGTATGCCTTCCCAATGGGTTCCCATACATACACACACATTGAATAGCCTCGAGAGTAATGAAATAGTGTTTCTGGGTTTGGGTTTTGCACACAAATCGGTGGATTCACTGCTCTCTCAATGAGTGAGACCTCAATAATCGCAACGACTGACTGTTTTGGAAACTGAGAAGAAACCCATCATTACTATCATTATTATTATTATTACTATTAACACTATTTAAAATTTATTACTATATTTGTTACACTTTTTTTGTTTGTTTGTTAGTCTTATTTAATTAATTAATTTTTTTACTTTTTTGTTGTTAATTAAATTCAATAAAATATAGAAAAATTAAATTCACATTTTTATACTACAGACTGTAGTCTACAGTACATTCTGTTAAAAAAATTAAATCTTATAAAATGTTATATAATAATAATTAGTTTGCAGTTATTTATAGCCTGGATCATAATGTTGGGCCATAATAATTCTAGATATCATAAATAGCAGCCAATATTATACTAATTATTGTAATTAATTTATTAATTTTAATAACAGTTTAGCTTAAGGTAAATTTTAATGGAAATAATTTTTCAGCTAAATTTTATCAATAAAATGTATCGGGTTGACAATTATTATTGATTATCATAATTAAAAATAATTATATATTCGTATAATTTATAATTTACTACATGTAAAAATGTGATTTGTATTTAATTTTTTAAAAATCATAATATTTATAGATTTATCATATATGATATAATTTAGGTTTACATGTCTAAAATGCAATGCTATGTGTACTACAAATTATATACTCAATAGAAATAATAATATGATATTTCATTGAAAATATGTACTAGTATATATACTGTAAATAATTTATATTATAAATAATTTATCTAAATTGAAAATGTAGTATTATTAAGCACATTTGCCATATATACTGTATATTTATTTACATTTGAGACTTATTTGAAAATGATAGTGTAATAAATACAATCTATTTATTATTATTAGATTTATTAGTAATTAGTTTAATTAAAGCAAAATCATTAGTACAGTAGAAATATTGTCAACTCATCAGTTTTGACACATAAATAAATGTGTTCATTACTTTGTGTATTATTATTGCTTTTAAAATAACATTTAAAATAACTGTTATGTAAATACTATATAAAATAAATTTTTAAAAATATTATATATTACATATTGGATGGCTAGATATGATAGGCATGGTAGAGGTATACTACATTAAATTAATTGATAAATACAGAATATATATATATAAGTTTAAAAATATATTTATTAATTATTTCCATTTTATTAAATGATAATTAAAAAAAACAATAATAAGTTATGAGAATAAATGCATTTGTGATTAAGTTTTATTTCAATCAATTATTTTCTATTGTATTTATAGTGCAAATCACACACATATATCAATACACACGCATATTATAGTATTCATTAGAAAAAGTGCGATAATTTATTTTTAATATACAAAAACGTCTTATTAAACAAAAATTAATTTATATTAATGCAGATAGTATTGTCAATACATGAGAGACAAAGTGACAAAAATATATGATTTTTAATGTTATTTTCAAACTTGTTTTATATATATTTATGTATTTTTGAAGAGTGCTCTCAGAAAAATATTTGTTGAAAATTTCTTTAACTCAATAAAATGTATTGACATTAGCTATGCGTTTATATACATACACACACTCTCTCTCTCCCTTTGCTAAACAATTTATTTAACATTTCACGTATTTTAAAACATATTTAATCTCAAACTTCAATAATAATAATAATAATAATAAAAATGTTTGTTTAAAGACATAGAGAAAAGCAATGCATTCAATGAATTACTGGTAATAAGTTTTTATGAGTTTCTCTCTCTCTCTCTCTCTCTCTCTCTCTCTCTCTCTCTCTCTCTCTCTCTCTCTCTCTCTCTCGCTGTTAAAGCCGTGCAAAGAGTTACTGTATTTAAAAGTGATGTGAAATAAAGTTTTTTATTTGATTTTATTTATTTTTTTAGAAAAACGATTATTACATTTTTGCTTTACATTTGATTTTTAAAATATATATAACTCACTCTTTACTTTATATGAGAGTAAAGTTTGAAAAAATGCAATAACTTTTTTTTTATATATAATACAACTCAAAAAACCCGCAGTGTTTGTGTGTGTGTATGTCTGAGACATAACATTTGATAAGTTATTTAGTGCCATAAAAAACAAGTGTAAAAATATTTTTCGTGCATATATTTTGTGTTGTGTGGCCATTGTTTGGCAAATGAAAAAAATAAATAAAATAAATAACATAATAATAATAAATTAATTAATAAATTTTTTTTTGTATTTAAAATAATTTAGTGAAACAATACATAAGTATTATATTTGTTGAATAAGTCAGCAATCAATGCAATAATGCAATGCATAGGTAAAGGTGTGACCAATGAGTGAAATGCAGTGAATGTATTGAATTGAGTGAAGGGATCGTCGATTGGGTGACAAAAATGGCTGAATTGTGACGAAACACACAAACATTTGTTTCACTTATTTTTATTATTATTATTATTTCAAACAATAATTATATCGCAAATACTAATAATTATTTTTGTAATTCAAAAACCTATTTATAATATAATCAGTTATTTTGTTTGTTTATCCGTTATTATTATTATTGTTAATGTTATTCAAAAAAATATATTATTATTATTATAGTTATGTTATTATTGTTGTTGTTGTCCACCAAATGAGATGATATATGATTTAGTGATGAAGACTTGTTTTGTCGTCAACTAATCCACAGGTAATATACCAAATGTCATGTCATTGAAAAGTGACAATTAGTTTTGAAAAAAATATAAATAAATACAAAACAAAAACTTATTTGTCATTTCAATTGTTTGTAAAAAATATTGTTTTTGTTTGTTTGTTGTTTAAAAAGTCCATCAAAACTATTTGCGATCAAAAAATAAAACATTTAGGTATTGATTGGCAAAATTGTGGCCAAATTTAGTGATGATTTTTGTTTGGTTTGGTTTCACATGTTTTTTATTGTTATTTGTCACCGAAAAGTTTTAAAGTTTTTAAAATATAATTAATTAAAATAAATAAAAAAATAGTTATCTATTAATCAACTCATCATCACTTGATATTAATTGATAAATAATAACATAATTTTATTATTAATTAATTTAATAACAATATGTGTGATATTGAAAATGTTTTTTATTTGACAAACATATGTATTATGATATCATTATTATCATTACTGTAGTATTAATGTGTTGTCTGTTATTTTGACAGCAATTTTGTTATTATTTTTATTTAAATATTTAGTTAAATGTTTATTTAAACAAAATTTATATCATTTATACACAAAATGCTTAAATTATGATTATTGAAGTGAAACTAATTATCATTAAATTTAATGTTATTGTTGTTTATATATCACTTTTTTACAGTTTATTTACGCTAAATGTATAATCATTTGTGAAACTTATAATAAAACGAAAGGAAAGAAACTTTAAAAGAAAGAGACAAATCAAACGCCAAAAAATGGATTCAATAGCTGATCACAATCGACGCCAACGACTAACAGAACTCGAGGATCACATTCTTAACCATAAATCCGAACTCAGTGTCGACGGACTATTGGTATTATCATCTATTGATTTGTTTGTTGTCATTCATCTCATGTATTGGTTTTTAATTGTCATTAAATTACAGGATTGTGTTCAGGCATTAGTCACCGATTGTAATCATCCACAGCTTAGAAGACTTAAAAATATTGAGGCATATCTTCAGAGATGTATAAATAATTTGCTAATAATATTGTTTAATAATTTTAACTAATAATTATTTGTTGAAAAAACAGATGAACTTTCAAGTGATTTAATAATCAACTGTCGAACAAAACCTGAAGATTTTTCTGTGATTAAAATTATTGGTAATTTATTTAACATCAAAAGTTTTGAATCAAACCAATTGATTAATTGTTTATTTATTATTTCCATAGGTCGGGGAGCTTTTGGTGAAGTCCAGTTAGTTAGGCATAAGTCCACCAAACAGGTCTACGCAATGAAATTATTGAGCAAATTTGAAATGGTATTTATAATAGTTGTAAATGTTTTTGTAAATATTTATTTATCGGTAATTTATTTAACGTTTGAAAAACAAAAATAGATAAAGAGATCCGATTCAGCTTTTTTCTGGGAAGAAAGGTTTATTATGGCTTATGCTAATACTGATTGGATTGTTAAGGTATGCGAAGAAATCAACTGTTAATTTATGAAAATTTAATGATTGTGTTTTATCTGCCATTTTTTATTTAGCTGCACTTTGCCTTTCAAAATAGTCAATACTTATATATGGTTATGGATTATATGCCGGGCGGCGATTTGGTTAACTTAATGAGCAATTATGACGTACCAGAAAAATGGGCAAAATTTTATTGCGCTGAAGTGGTATTAGCTGTCGATTCCATCCATTCAATGGGTTTTGTACACAGAGATGTCAAACCCGATAATATGTTACTCGACAAGAGAGGCCATCTAAAACTTGCCGATTTCGGTACGTGTATGAAAATGGACGTGGATGGATTAGTTAGAAGTGATACCGCAGTCGGTACTCCCGATTACATATCTCCAGAAGTATTGAAATCTCAAGGAGGCGAAGGATGTTATGGTCGTGAATGGTATGAATAACTTTTATGTTTATTATAATTATTTTSTTTGAATATACCGGTAATTAATTGTTTACATTTAATTATTTTCAGTGATTATTGGTCTATCGGTGTATTCCTATACGAGATGCTTGTCGGCGACACACCATTCTATGCCGAATCTTTAGTCGGCACTTACGGCAAAATTATGGATCATAAGAATTCTCTACATTTTCCCGAAGACGTGGACATATCAAAAGAGGCCAGACATCTCATTTGTTCGTTCTTAACCGATCGATCACAACGATTGGGTCGTAACGGTGTCGACGAGATTAAGAGGCATCCATTTTTCTATAACGATCAGTGGAATTTCGATAATATCAGAGATTGTGTGCCACCAGTTGTTCCTGAATTGATGAGTGACGACGACACCAGTAATTTCGATCCGATYGATAAGGATGACACAACTGAAGAAAGCTTTCCAGTAACCAAAGCGTTTGCCGGCAATAATATGCCGTTTGTTGGCTTTACCTATTCGAGTGATTATCAACTATTATCGAAAGATAGCCGAAAAAGAAACGGTTCCGTTGAGCCGGACTGCGGTGTCAAACGTAAAGTCGAAAAACTTGAAGAAGACTTACACAGAATAACATCTATTAATGAAGAGATTGATAATAAATATCGTATAACATTAGCACAACTCGATAAACAAAGTGATAATATAGTGACACTCAGGAGTGAAAAGTTGGAACAAGAGAAGGCTATTACTGTCTTAAGGCATGACATCAAAGAAGCCCAAAGAAAGTATGAACTCGAATGTGATAATAGACGTAAAGTTGAGACAAAAATCAGTGAATTATGGGCGAAGTTGGAACAGGAACAGAGTCTTAGGTCACAACTAACACATAGCACACAACATACTAATGAAAAGTTTGTAGTTTTAGAGAAACAGTTCCAGAATCTGAGCGATAAATATAAAACAGAATCGGAAAATAGTGTAAAATTCAAGAAATTAAACGCAGAATTGACATTAAATCTATCAAACAAAGAGAAATTTATCGATGAATTGACTGAGAAAATAGATGTCTTCCAAAAAGTTAATACAAATCAAGCAATTGATATCCAGAATCTTCAGAAACAATTGGATAAAGTGAACAACTCTTGGGTACAAATTAATGAAAGATTTCAGGAATTAGAAAGTAATTTATTATTATTATTATTATTATTATTATTATTATTATTAATAATAATAATAATTTTTTAACATTTATTTATGTTTAAGAAATTAATTATTACTATTTATTATTTTTTTTAAGGTCATAAGCAACTGATTGATAATGAATTGGATATTCTTCGGGAAAGAGAGGCCACAACTGCTATCGATAATCAGAGACTTAACGATACAATTGCTGATTTAGAAAAGGTTAACTAAATTTCATTAATAATTACTTAATATATTGTATTGTTTTTTAATGTATTACTAATTAATTTATTATAAAACAGGAGAGAACTATGTTATCCTATGAGTTGAGTACATCTCAGAAATTGTTGGAAAGCAATGTTCGCGAAGACGTCTTAGTTTCATCCAATGCCGCCGACAAACAGCGGTCACATGAAAACAATGATTTTGAATCAATTAAAGGTTAGACAATGTTTTGTAAAAATATAGATATAAAACATTTATTAACAATTTATCTGTTTTTGTTTTGTTTAGTTCTTCAAATGAAATTCAATGAAGAGAAGAATTTGCGACAAAAGTTTGAGAGTCAGTCCCAGGAAAAAGAGCGACAAATTTCAATGATTAATGTCGACTATAAGAAACTGATGCAACAAATACAGAAAGTCGAAGGAGAACTCAGACAAGAAACAGATAAAACAAAAGCACTTAAAATACAATTGGATGACGACGTCAACAAACGATCGAATCTACAAATGGGTTTCAAAGAACAAACTGAAGAGTTGATTAATTTAAGACAACGAGATATTAAGCGAACCAAAGAAATTAATGACTTAATGGATAGCAAAAAGAAGACCGACGAAGAAATCATGCGATTGAAAAAGTTTGTGTTTTTTAATTATTATATTCTAATAATAATAATTATAACTATTAATAATAATTCTAAATATTATATTTTAAATAATTATTTGTTTTATATTTTTCTTCAGTGACTTATCATTAGATGAGTTACAAATGAAAGAACTTCAGGATCAACTCGAAGCCGAACAATATTTTTCATCATTATATAAAACTCAAGCAAAAGAACTGAAAGAAGAACTTGAAGAACGACAGAAATTAGTTAACGATATGGAAGAAGAAAAGTGCGTTTTTTGTGGTGTTTTTAATGGAAAGAAAATGAAATTTTAATTCAAACTATTTTTTTGGTTATATTTTTTATTAGGAGTAATCTCTGCCATCAAATAGAAATAGCATTGGCCAGAGCCGAAACCGAAGGTATAGCCCGTCGACAGGCCGAAGAACTTATTGCAGATTTAGAGAAAGAGAAAGCCATTCGTGAACTAGAAATCGAAGACATTGAAAGACGATTGAGATCTGAATTGAACAGCAAAGACGATATAATCAATGGTTACGCCAATAAAGAAAATGAATACTCAAAAACCATTGAAATTATTACAAAAGAAAAAGAGGAATCAAATACTAAAATACATCATATGAATCAAGGTTTGGCACTATTTGTATTAAACATTGAAATATTGTCTGTTTATCATATGTTTCATCATTTAATTTATTATTATTATTAGAAATGAATAATTACATCAATCAAACAGTTCATAACGACAAAGTAGAACAATTGACTAAACAATTACAACAGGAAAAACTATTGAAACAACAAGTATTTAACTATTTTTTATTTTTGTTAATTAATTTCAATAATTATTAAAATAATTTTGTTTTTTCATTGTTTGTCAATAAGGCTGTCAACAAATTAGCTGAAATAATGAACAGAAGAGACATGAATGTGAGCGGTAAGAAAAGTAAGGGCTCTTCGGCTGATTTGAGACGCAAAGAGAAAGAGTGTCGAAAATTACAACAAGATTTGACAACTGTATGGTTTCACAAATATATAATTTCATTTCATTTCATTGAACGATAATTTTTTATTTGTTTGTTTAGGAAAAAGAAAATTACAATCAAATGGTTTCCAGGTTTCAGAAAGAATTATCTGAAATGCAAGCCGTACTTTACGAGGAAAGTCAGCTCAAAGTTAAACTACAAATGGAGTTGGACTCGAAAGACGCCGAAAATGAACAGTTAAGACAAAAGATAGCAATGAGAATGTCAAACGAACAGCTGACCAATAGTTCCATCAAAGAGTTTGATACTAATGATATCGAGAACTTAAGATTAGAGGGTTGGCTATCGATTCCCAATAAACAAAATATTAGACGACATGGTTGGCGAAAACAATACGTAGTTGTGTCAAGTCGTAAGATTATCTTCTATAACAGCGAAGTCGATAAAGCAAAAGCTGATCCGGCGCTCATTCTTGACTTAAGGTATGTTTGTTTGGTATTATCTTGGATTTATTTGAATAGTTTTTAAACATAAGTTTTAATTATATTTGTTTAGCAAATTATTTCATGTCCGATCAGTAACACAAGGTAACACATTTTTCATTTATCATTAATTTTAAATTTCATAGATTTGTAATTTAATACATTTTTTTATTATTTTTAATAATTTAGGTGATGTTATTAGAGCTGACGCTAAAGAAATACCACGAATATTTCAAGTGAGTTAATAATAAAAAAAATAATTAATAAGAAATTTAATACAATTTCCCTTTAATTTTGTTGTTTAACAGCTGTTATATGCCGGAGAAGGAGAAAGTAGAAAACCAGGAGATATTGGACATCAACCAGAGATACCCAAAGATGTAATTTTAATTGAATGATTGAATTGTTTTTTAAAAAATAACTTATATATTAATTAAATGTCGAAATACCTGTTGTTGTTGAATACCTATAGCCGACAACTGTTGAACACAAAGGACATGATTTTATTCMAATCAGTTATCATATGCCCACCACTTGTGAGGTCTGTCCCAAACCCATGTGGCATATGTTTAAACCTCCTCAGGCTCTGGAATGCAGGCGTATGTTTTCATTATAAATGCATAATATTTATTCATTTAATTAACTTTTTTTAATTAACAATAAAATCGTATCGACTATAGGGTGTAGAGTTAAACTACACAAAGAGCACTTGGATAAGAAAGAAGAGGTGATCGCTCCGTGCAAAGTCAACTACGATCCTAATACAGCTAAAGAGCTGTTATTGTTGGCCATGTCTCTCGAGGAACAGCAACAATGGGTACAGAAGTTAAGAAAAAAGATTGAGAAATGCGGTTACGCTGCCAATCAAGACTCAAAGTCACTCAGGTTTTTAGTCTAAATTAATAAGAAATTTTATGAAATAATTTTCAATTAACTATTTTAATGATAAATAATTTTTAATTTTTTTTTTGTTGATCAGATCGGCGAACAGTACTCAAAATTTAGTGAAATCTGCGTCAATGAAGGCGTCGACATTACCTCCTATAATGCCTACAAATAATAATAATAATAATAACAAYAACAACAACAAAAAGTCTTAAAAAAGTCGATCAAACTCTTAGGTGCCTTTGAAAAGTGATCTTAAATTGTTTGATATATAGCTATATTTATACTGTATATCATCACTATTTGTAATTAATTTTATAATATTGATATTTATTTTAAGACAAATTTGATAAATATTTTGTATATTTATTTTTCATATATATTAATATATAGTATATATATATATATAAATATATAGTTATAACAATTTAATTAATCATATAGTTTGCCAAATTATCATCGATATACCAAACATAATGTTTTTTATTAAATCAGTGCCTTTAAAAAACTGATTCATTGAAACATATGATTTCATCCATTCCATCATTTTTTTTAATTATAATAATTATTATYTCATTTAATATATATATATTTTTTCATTTACATTAAAATATATACTTATTTATAAAAAACAAAATAATTATGACTGAAATATAGCCTATATATAAATAATAATTTATAAACAAATTTTTCAAAACAAAAGATTTTTGTTTCAGTCCACACAACTGTAGTCACAAATCGAGATTTGTTCAAATAATAAGCAATAATTTGTTTTTTAAAAAATAATAAATAAAATCAAATAAAAGTTTTAAAATATAAATAAATATATCAACAATAAATCAAATATATAATTATGTGACAAATAATTTTCTAAAAAAAAATTATTTTTTGATGATTCACACTAACTATTGACAAAATAACAGTTTTGCTTAATTGTCATATTTTTTTAGACACAAATACCTGTAACCACAACCACCACAAGTATTAATACACACAGAGATGGCATTACACCATCACATTGATTACCACCACTACAGACACATTTAGACATCTATATCTATCCTAACCAATCCAACCGATTATTGCATATTTAGCATAAAAACAATTCAATTAATTTTTATTATTAAAAATATATAAACTATATTAGTTTGGATCAAATTTAATTTAATTTAGTATTTGTTTATTATTAATCGGATAAATAAAATAATAAATTTTAACGAAATAATCCAATAACGGGTTGGGTTTTATTTGCAGTTAGTATACTCTARTTGAMTATATATGACGACAGGTTCAACAGTACAACAGTATTGACTGAACAGAGAACTGAATGGTTGCGAAAAAAAGTGTTTCACTAATTGAATGAATACTTTGAATACAACATTACATTACATTTAGTGACACTCCTTATGAATGACTGACTGTTTGTATGAATAATAATAATAATAATATTTTGAGTCCAAAACACAAGCAATAGTTTTATTTGTCTGTCAATAGATTTTTAATGGATTTTAAATAATAATAATAATTATATTTTTGTTGAATTTTATTATTTTTATTCAAATGAGTAGTAGTTTTGTTGTTGTGTTTGAAACAAACAATTTATTTATATTATTATTTTTTTGACAATTTTGTTGTTGTTTTTGTCAATTTTATAAAAATAGCTTTTGTTTTGTTGTCATCACTGAAGATGAGATATCACTTGAAGAAGAAATGAAGTGATTTTTTTGGTGTTGTTGTTGACAAACGATATGTTTATTTAAGACATAGTTTTGTTTGTTTGTCGTGTATTTGTTAACCAATTGTTAACTAATTGTTATTTGATTTTTTTGGTCACAAATAATACGCCGAGATTTAAGTGATGATATATTTTCGGTGATAATGAGTGTGAATGTTATGTGCGGACAGTTGTGTTTCAGATGACATGACCATCGAATTGATTGTCCATCAAAACCATGTCTTTTGTCGGACTAAACTGTTTTTAATTGTTTTTATAGTAATATGAGTTCAAATTGCTGTCCAAATGATAACACAATAAACTGTTTGTCACTAAAATATCCGTCAAATGTGTCCTCAAGTGAGTCATCATCGGTGCCATCGATGGGGTCGACAACAACTGTGACAACCACTTCCAGCAATGGCTTAAATGCCATGAATGGGACCAACGGTTCCCATAATAAGTCACCAAATAAGACAAATAATAGTAGGTTTTCATCGCTCGTTAAGATCTTTAAGCCGTGGAAATGGAAACGAAAGAAGAAGAGCGAAAAGTTTGAAAACACATCTAAAGGTTTGTCTTATTATCTCAAAGTGTTTTTAGTCGTGATTTAATCGACTGATGTTTGTGTTTGAACAGCTCTGGAGAGAAGAATATCAATGCGATCGTCAAAAGCAGATCTAATCCAAAGAGGAGTTCTTTTACCCGAAAAAAGTATTTTTATTATTTGTTTTGATTKAAATCTTTTACAATCATTTTTTTAATTATCAGACGAGGCATTTAAAAGTGACTTAATATCCACAATGAAAGAAATGAAAGTCTACGAGTTGTCCAATAAAGATGACATGAATTTACAGATGACTACAAACTCAGGCATTACTACTTGTAAGACATCAGTCTCTGAGACCGTGTCGACCAACACATCGACTTCCAAACCAATGATTCCCATATCATTGAGTGGTTATCTGAAGGGAGCCATTGCTACACCACTGGTTGCCATCTCTAAGAACGGACAAAACTTTCATAACTCATCCATCAATAAAAAGCGAACCTCTTTTGAGAATAAGAGCGAAATCGGCGACAAATCAAACCCTATAGTGATTAACGATAATTATAGATATAATAATAATAACATTAATGAGAATAAAAACATTTCCTTTAATGCTAATGGTTTGTGTATTTTATATTTATTTATAATTGTATTAATTTTAATAAGATTATATTAACCCTAATTATTATTATTTCAATCTCTAGACTCTATTAAAATAATCACATCGACGACTGGCTCTTCAATCATATCAGACATCTCATCGACATCTTCTTCATCTAATTGTGATCTAAAAGCAAATAAGATTCATATAAATACTATAAATAGTGTAAATAAATGTGTTATGCAATTGAACTCAAACTCATCAATGATTAGTGAGTTTACAGACATCGGACCCATACCTCCGCCGCGAATGTTCAGCGATTCCGTTCATAACACTTACACCTCTGATAATAATAATATTAAAATTGAATCCTCATTTAACAACAACTGTATTAATGAAGACAACAACGACTCAAATATGGAATCTATCGGTAATGAGCTAAGAATGTCGCAAATGGACAGATCAGCCAACGGTTCGGAAGTGCCACAAATGTCTTCTCTGCCAATATGTGTAATTCATAGTCAATATGCGAACGAACCACTTTCGGTGACCGAAGAGGTTCCGGCAAAAGAGCCACAACTGTCGGCCGTCCCTAAGAAAAGTGCTCTGAAGAAAGCCCGCATTACAAACACAGATAATAATAATACTGATAACCAAAAGCAAAGTCAAGTATCAACGACTACTGTGCCCATGAATTCAGCTAATATTACAACCACTACCACCTCATCTTCAACTGTTGTCATCAAACCACAGCCGACACCGAGATATACCTATAATGTCATACAACCGATGCCAATGCAAATTGTGGTCACATCAGCGCAACATAATTCACCCCTCACTAATCAAAACAATTTTAGGTATTTAAAAAAATCTATTTTATTTAATTTTACATATAATATATAYTATATATTCAAATAATTAAATGTTTCCTTAAAAATGATAGTCGACTGATAATCACTCCAATAATATTAGTTTTTATTTTTATTGTAAACATTTATGCGTCAAATAGTATGAGTCATTCAAATTATTTTAAATAAATTTTTCAAATAAATTTATTATATATACAGGTATTTACAGTATTTATTTATATCATATATGTATATATATTTAAACGTATGATAAATGTGTTTATTAAGCGAAACCAAATAAATAAATTGAAACACAAAACGTTTGAAATGTTTTGTTACTAACAGATAACAATTTCCGATTTGATAGCATTTAAACGCTTGAATTGATTCATGAAAACAATACATTAATAATATTTGATTGCATAACAAAACAATGTTTCATAAGCCATATGAAAGTGTTATAATTTAGTGAAAAAATTCACTACATTTACGGCAAACATTGTTTTTGATTCATTACTATACAGTAAATACATTTATAATTTATATAAATTTTTTCCAATAAATTGATATCTCAAATTACACGCTTAACAATATATATAAATTTATGAATGCCACTTTTATTATAATGGTATATTATTTATTTTATATACTATTTAATATAATATATATATATTTAAATTTTATGTACATTTAGTATTTTGTTGTGGAAACATTTGTTGAGTTTATATTATATAGCTGTTATATACATATATTTTTAAGTTAATTATGTTGAGCCCATTTATTTAAATAAATGACACATAAAATCAAGGCTTTTAAAAATTGTGTGATAGTTATCTTAAAATAAAAGTAATTTTCTATGAATAAGCATTTTATATATATAGTTTTTGTCTATTTCTTATATATTATATAATTGTAGTCATACTGTAGTTATATTTTACATAAATTAATTTTTGTAGAAATTTAGACTTTGAATTTTACACATCAAATGTTAATTTTAGCGATTATTATTAATACTATTAAATGTTAGAAATTTAAGTATTGTTTATTTTAAATTGACATTAATTATTGATATATATATATAATAATAATAATATATAGTATTAATTATTTATGTTAACAATGTTTGATAAGTTGTATTTCAAAAGTTAAAAGTAACAATAACTATACGATAGCTTATCAATGGATAAACGCATACAGTATTAAACCATTGATAAATAAATATAGATTGATGAACTGTTTATGATAGTGTCAAATAAATGTCAATAATAATAATAATAATTTATTGAGTAAAATTTATATTATTTCTATAAAATTGTTTATTTTGCAACAAAATTATTTTTGTATTTATTATAATTTATAAATTGAATTTTATATTAATGGAGATTATTAATAGTAGATTACATAATATCATACTTTTATAGTTTAATGAATATATAAATTTTATATTATATATAATTTTTTAAAAATTAAAAATTTATAGATATTTAATTAAATTCTAGACCAGAAGGGTATTGATATTAAACATTAATGATTCACTATTACTATTCATGTAATCTCTTATAAATGTCTAATACAATGGTTAATACAGAATAAATTATATACATTATGTATAACTATTAATAAATAAAGAATTTAGAAAATTTAATTTAATTATATTCTTTATTTATTAATATTCATAAAATATTTATAAATAAGGATTAACATAAATTGTTAATAATTACTACTGTATAATAATTTTTAATTAATATAACTTTATTAAATTTATAAAATAAATTACATTCAATTATTATAATTTTATTAACTGGATTTATGTTATATTTCAAATATAATTATTAATCATTAAAAAAAACTTTAAATAATTTTTATCTATTGGTTTAATATAATTATTTTTTTAATTACATCTAAGGAACAATTAAATAAAATCAATTGAATTAATGACCAATTAATTTGGTTAAACTAATAAATCACTTTTTATTATAAAATGCTATTGTGTTAGACATTATATAATTAAAATGTTATAAAAATGTTTACAATTATTTATTATAAATATATTTTGATTTATTTTAAACAACCAAATGTTATAACAAGTGATTATAATTGTCTAATTGATTGATTATTTCAGTTCCGTTATGTCGAAAGTTCGTCACTTCAATAGTGTCGGCGCCGGTATTGAAAATAAGGAGAACCAACCCTTCTCTCAGTTTAATAATAAGTCGTTATCAACCAATGAATGCCATACTCGTAGACAACCATCGATTGTGTTAAGCCATGAATCGGATTCCGATGATGACAGCGATGGTAATATCAATTGGAGAGACTATTACGGTGAAGATGAACAAGGTTTGCAAACTTTTCTATCATTTACTTAAGTTTATGGATTAGTTTAGGTTTTATTGTTATTTAATTGATTATAATTATTAACTTACGGTAAATATTATTTATAAAAAATTATTTTTGTGTATCTTATCGGCAATTATGATAGGAAAAGATTTTAGAATTAGTATTATCATTGAAATAATTAAATTCTGTTAATACAATGATTTTTGATTAATATAAAATATTTTTAGCTAAATTGTTATTTTTGTGCGAATAATATTTATTTAATTTAATTAATATTTATAATTAAAATTTAATGACAAACCAGGAAAAGTTGCCGCAAAAATTGCCCGAAAAGATTCGTTGGCCATAAAATTGGCCCAAAGACCTGACAAACAGGAATTGATCGATAAAAACATAATTCCTGTGTTGAGTGAAAATGAAAGACAAGACACTAGAGAAGCGATCGGAACTAAACTAAACCGTCGGCTGAGTCTACGGCCGACCGCCGAGGAGTTAGAACAGAGAAATATACTGAAACATCAAACACCCGATGAAATGCTTTTGGATAAAGAAAAGAAAAAACAGACACTTATAAGAAAAGTAATTTTTATTTCTAAATTTAGTGAAAACAAAAATATTTTTACTATTTCTTGTTTTATATATTATTAGTTGAGTTTTCGGCCGACAATTGAAGAGCTGAAAGAAAGAAAGATTATTCGTTTCAATGATTACGTTGAGGTCACTCAGGCTAATGATTATGACCGACGAGCCGACAAACCATGGACTCGGCTCACACCTAAAGATAAAGTATAGCTAAAACAATCAGATGATTGATTAGGCATTTATATTACATATGATTAACTCCACAAACTTTTTTTTAATTGACAATTACAGGCAGCCATTAGAAAGGAGTTAAACGATTTTAAAAGTATGGAAATGGAGGTACACGAGGAAAGTCGATTTATGACCCGGTATTTGTTTATATAATTTGATTTTATTTGTTTAATTGATTATATGATTACAAATAATGTTTTGTTTTATTAATAGGTTTCACAGGCCTTAATATGATAACTGAGATTGAGATTAAACTTTTTTGGACACAAACTTTTTTTTGGTATTTTGTGCTCAAATTGTTAAATGAAAATTGTGTATAAAAACTGTGATTTCAATGCATTGCATATTAAATATACATATTATATAACTGATGGTAACTAATGATTAACTAATTGAATATCAAAGCACTAATAGATATACAAAAAAATAATTAATTAATACAAATATTTAATAACAAAATTGAATCAAAAATGTGGAGTTTTTGTATTAAAAAAATAAATTTTAAAAATAATGTTTTCCTGCAAATTGTTTTTTAAAAATTAATTTTAACTGTAATGTAAATGCTTGGATAAAAATCTTAACATTTTATATACAATTTATCATTTTATTTATGTATATTATATAAATATTATTATTATTATTATTATTGATAACAAACTTAATTAACACAACAATTGTTATGATTAGCGTTTTTTGATAATTTAATTATTATTATTTTTTTTGTTTAACATTTTATACAACAAATGCAAGAAAAAACACAAATTTTATATATTAATGATTATATATATGATATATATATACTAAATATATTAATAATGATTTTTATATACATGTATATTATATTATAATTTTTTGTTTGTTTGATTGCTAACATTCCCATCAAAATAATTATTAAAAAACATTTATTTGTAAAAATAAATTAATTTTCAATGACTTTTGTTTCCTATTAATGATTATATAATAAAAGTAGACAACAAAATCATGAATTATAAAAAAGTTTTTGTCTGTTTGTATTAAATTGATTACTATATTATTCAGTATAATACTGGGATAATCTCAAAAAATAGAGTAAAAGTTATTTTTTTATAAACTAGAGTTTAGTTACTTGACTATTATATTTAGATTATTTTTTTTTTAAACAACTATATTATGAATCATTAGCCTAACTGTCAATCATGTGTTAATCAATTTTTGCATTAAATAAGTTACGATTATATACTTTATATAAATTCATATATTTATTATAATAAAAACAGTCATCTATTAAACCATTTACAGTATAATAAATATATTACTAATTAAGTTAATACTACATATTATTTTCATGTGATTTTGTGAAACACATATTAATCTAAATTTGATATTAAATATTATTTTTATATGTAGTATCGGTAACTAATCTAATTACACAAAATAATAAATTTAAATCCTATTTTTGTTTTTACAAAAATCTATTATTTAAACTATTTTTAAAACATTCTCAATAATGTTAAATCAATGTTTATCTTGGTCATTTTTTGCACTTATTATTAAAATATAAATTTGTTTAAACAATGTACTGTACAGTATCCCATGATTATTACCAGTTAAACTACAGTACAGATTGTTATATAATATTTGTAAAAAGTTATTACAAAAAAAATCTTATTAATGGATCTAATAATATGATTTTAATGATATAATTGTGTTGTTTTGTTAATAATTTATTTGAATTTAATTTAATATACAAACTGTAGACTATGTTATTACTAAACGTAATTATTTGCATTATTTATTGTTATAATACTATTAAGTAAATACTGTATAAACTTTGTTCACAAAATCATTTCAACAAATAATTGATTGAAATTATTGTAAAAAATACAAAACTAATCGATTGATTGATTGATTGATTGACACTTGTGAAGACAACAACAACACCGCAAACATGTCATTAGATTTGGATGACTTGAATACCGCCGGAATGGACAAAGATCTACAAGACTTTCTGGTTATTGAACAACAAAAGGCACACTTTCAACAACAGGTCTGTCTGTCTGTGTTTGGATTGCATCAGACTGTCTGAYACATGTATTATCACTTTAACAGATCCATCGTTTGAATGAAATTTGTTGGGATAAATGTCTAACAGATAAGCCGTCGTCRAAGTTGGACTCCAGGACTGAGACGTGTTTCAACAACTGTGTCGACCGATTCATCGACTCGTCGCTGGCCATCACTCAACGGTTCGCCCAATTGATCCAAAAGCAGGCAATGAATTGATAGATCATTTGGTTATATGTTTTATAGTAATAACAAATTCATTAGACTTATTGATTAAAATCATAGATTTTATTATAAAAAATTAATTATATTTAAAAAAATATATCAAAAATCATTTTCTATTAGAAATGAAAATTATAAAATGTGTTTGTTTTTACACGAGTTCTGCCTTCGAGTTAACCGGCGATGACTTATCGACAATCACTTTATTACTGCTATTTGTATTAGTATTATTGATAGTATTGTTACTGCTATTAGTGTTCATTAAAATGGAGTCAAAATCGTTGTCCAAAGTATTTGTCTGAGGAATCACTCGAAATGCGCTTAAGTTAACCAAAGTTGACGCCTGTCTTGAACTGGATTTACTGTCCGAATACTTGTAGTGATGGTATGACATGGCGTGCAATTGGCTTCGCGATCGTCGATATAGATATTGATTGCAATCGAAATCACCCGAAGATTCACTATAATTGGAAGTCCGAACTAAATATTTTTTAAAAAAAAATAGTTAATATTATAATATACAGTATTAATATWWTAGTSWAYATTATTAAATAAGTATACAAATTATAAGAATCTATTCTATTGAATACCTCTTTCGAGTGCAATCGACTCAATTCTTCGACAAGAAGTGGTCGACGACGAGAGTTCACCGAAATCGGAGTTGAGAGCAGTTCCACCACTAGAACAGCCTTCACCGCAACGGGTTCTCATTCTGTGTCAACAATTAATTAAGTTTGTTTTAGTCATTAATTGTCGCWAAAATCATTTAATTAATAATGAATGCTATAATACCGTCTCCACAATCGTAGGAAAGCTCTCTTAAACATTGCTAATGTTATGGGATAACCGATAACTTTACTCAATTGTTCACTGGTTTCACCAAATGAAGTGGTCAGCGGTGATACATATATGGGATAACCAATTGGCTGATCACACGACGAATTTATTATATTTCTAATTAGAAAATCATTTTATTATTTAAAAAAAMTGTTATTCAAGACTTGTATATTTAATTGCATTCAAATGTCTGACCTTAAGGCCTGTTTTGCATTCTGAATGGAACCGCGCTCTGGATTACGATTTCTGTATGAAATTTAATTTAATTAATAAGAGATATGAAAACAATAACAACAAAACATACCTGAAGTATATCAACTCCTGTTGCTGTCCGGCCCATAAACCTCTTACACATTCTCTATTGATCTATTCAAACAGCAAACGATATATTTATAAATGAATCAATTGATTAAAAAAAACAAAGAGAAAAACCTTTATGACTCTGAAGCTGAGGTATCTCTTGTTTAACATAATAATCTTATACTGATCGGCTCCGTCATCAAACACACGCCTCAGTGCCAACAATGAAGGAACATTAGATAGGACGGCATTCCTCCAGGCGGGATCAGCTTCATGTGATATAACTAAATTCATCTCATAGTTCTGTATGGAATCATATAATGTCGGATTGTCATCATATTCCTCAGTGGACATAAAGTGGTCTTGATGCAGTTTAAGAGCCATTCGAACTGTTCCACAATTGTATTTCCATATTAATAAAAATGGTTAAAATAAAACAATAATAGTGACAAACCTGCCGGTGCTATGACTTTGCGTAAGAGATCCATGTCTTGGAAAACCCATTCGTCTTTAGGCGAAGTGATTCTAAAGTCTCCCTTAAAGAGTGCGTGTAATCCAAACAACAAGAACTCAACGCTTGTGAATGAATTGTGATGAGAGGCGGCACTCAATGCACGTCTCGCCAAAAGACTTAGACTCAGACATAACGAGACAATAGAGCTCTCCTTTTCATCATTTAGTTCCCATTCAGACTTYGATTGTTTAACTTTTTGTCGCAAACAATAGACAATCCAATCCAAATAAACACTACCAAAACTGCTTCGTGTAATGCCTGAGCTTCGGAAGTCATAGTCTTCATCAACACTGGCATTAAATATGGGATCGAGTTCTACAAAATTTTGCTCTTTTACACAATTGTTTGCTTCTTTAATCTCATTATTAGTGATCCATTTGTCCAAACTTTTCGATTTAATACAATAATATATAACTGATTTAACGTAATAAATAATAAGCGCTTTTCTCAGGTCATATGGCTGTAGCATAGTTAGGGCCGAATTATCACTTATTGAATAGCCTTCCAAAACATACTTAATATGAGTCACTTCCCACGATAGCCATCGCTGATTAAAAGCCGCATTTATAGACAACATTCCTGGGATGTGACCTGAAATGGCAATAATTTTAATTTTAAATTACGATTTATTATTACGGGTTATAGTAAACAGTTAAGTCAAATACAAACCGGGTTCACAACAACAACAGCCCTCATCTTCACTGACACCTTCACTAATGGCTTCGACTTCTCTTTGTTGACAATAAGTACCTCTAAATTCAAGTCCTCTTACTTGGAATGTGACCAAACCGTTACCCAATTCAATAATATGAACTAAACAATTAAGATTATCACTGGCCAATACAAAACAATCGCCTTGAGATACCGGTCCCCATCGACCCAATACTAAATCACCGTAAAGTGAGTGCTGTAGAGATCGTGTCAAGTGTTCATAAAATATTGAATTGAGATTATTATCGTCGGCACCCAATTGACTCCTTTCAAGTTGTGAGGCAAGTCTTGTATTGGAGTGATCTACTCGTTTAGTACTAAAAAAAATTAAAACACATTAATTAATTTAAAAAACAATATAAAAAATAAGATATACTGTACTTATAATCTCTTTCCCAAAATTTAACGGGTCTGACATACGAGGCAAAGAATATGGCGCTGCCGAGGATGGGCTGCAAAGGTGCCGACAATATTGAAGATATAAGTGCCTGAACAAAGAGCATTGCTGAATCTGGGATCGGGAATAAAACAAATTAACAAAATGTTTAAATAATTTAAATTTGATAATTATTATAATAATTTCTATTACGAGGAACACTAAAAGGTTGAGCAAACGCGTGGAAAGCACTGCCCCATGTTATTTGCCAGGGGGCTACATATGTCACCACAAATCGCACCTTCAATAACAACTCGTAAAACTATTTATAAAATAAAAAATAATAAACAAATTCAATATAAATATTTACCGATAAACTGTATAGTGTTTATATATTTTTTAAATATATGTTATACCTTATAGTAAACAATTGATAAAACAAAATAATTCATTAGAAACGCTTCCGAACGCATTCTCAGATCAAAGTTGAACAATAAATAAGTGAAAACAAGTATAATGTGGTTATGAGACGAATCGTTGAAAGTACTTCTTAAGCATTTGAAGCCACAGATCACTACAATTAGTGTCCCTAAACTATTGATTTTAATAATAGGATTTAATAAATTGTTGTCATGAAAGTCATTATTTATATTTAAAAAACAATAAGAGATACTAACTAAAGACCATATTTTGTAAGTATTGTTTGACTATCATTAGTAATGGCGCTCAAGAAGACCAATGGATAGATAACATTCTTCTCGATGAGCCAAAGCCAAGCGTGAAGTTTCTCAAACCACATCACCTTTGCTTGTGCTAAAAGATTAGATAAATGAAAAACAATTTTTTTATATTACCGGTAAATAGATCTCAATTAATTTATTTATAAAATATATAAATGAATTTAATTTAATCCATCATTACCTCTAACTTCAAAGTGATGATATTCTCTCGCTTTGAATACCGGATGAGCAAAACAAAGCCACGGAAGTTGTTTTCGGAAGTGATTCAAAATATAATGTAAAAGAAATCCCCAAATAATGGACCATAAAAACAAAAATATCTCGACGTATGGCTAGAATTGAGTTTAATTTTTAAAAATTTATGGTAATATTAATATATATAATATCGTTATAATACAGTATATATTATAAATTGTTTATTAATCCTTACTTGAAGTGTAAAAATAGTGCTGACATGAGTGGCAAAGACAACGATTGTTATAAAAACACATAAAATTAAGTCCGATTGTAATCTCATTATCTTTTAGTGAAAAAATAAATAAAAATTATTATTAATTGATTATCAATTCAATAAATTTTATACACAATCTTATCAATCAATCAATAGTTAACTCACAACAGTATTTTCTAACTTTTGTGGCAATGGATCCACAATTTCTGTTCCCGGTTTATCACCACTGGAATCATTGATTCCATAGTTGGAATCATCATTAGTTAGTTGAGTTGAATCGTGATTTTCTTGAGATCTGTTAGTAAAATTAAATTTAGTTTGTCGACATTGAAAGCATTTTTTTATAAGACTCCAATAAAGTGATGGATCGCTTGAACTTCGGCTTAAGTGATAACAAGTGGACAACAATAGGCCACAAAAGACAGAGAATGTTGGCGTTTGTGTGCTTTTATTGTTCACAAGTGCCACCAAAGCAAATGAATAGAGCAATGAAATGGCAATAATACTTCTTAAGAGACTATAAGTGGCAGATGTTAGTCCCATAGTGGCCGCAGTGCCGCCCAATATATTAATATCGATTTGTTCGCATAAATACATTAAAAAAGTGCTAATTTGTGGCAATAGTCCAAAACTGAATAATAGTGGAAAACTTAACAAAAATATAATACATAAGTTTCGCACTATTTCTATAATTGTATCATTAAATAGATCGATGCCATATATAACAAATGATAATGATTTGTCTGACTTATTTAAATCCATATAATGTTGACTTAATAATAATATAGAGCTGGCTATACAAAAATAAACGGGTCTACTGTATAGGGTTACCCGATTATAGCCGTGTGTTGGCGATGCCGCGTCTGGCTGTACACTCTATTAGATACCAAACAAAAATAATAGTAAAATTAATTTTTACGTCAAAATTAGTTATTAGTTTAAAAAAAAATACCTTTAAAAGTGTATATTGTGAACTAGCAATAACTAAGCAAAAAACAATTAGCCACAAATCGTGGAAAAAGTTATTAAAAAGTAAAATTGAGCCAAAAATGGACACCATTATAGCCAATAGTATGGATGCAATCAATTCAAATGTAGTCAAACTTCTATCAAGTAATGCCAGAAGTGTTAACCTATCGAATCTAACTTTGATTGCTTTAAATGGAAATATCCATAATTTATAGTATTGTGTCGGTTTGTGTTGAGGAACTGGCGATGAAAATTCGCCAAATCTTAACGGATACATTTCAGTCATATTTGTTGTATTCAAACCGGTACCAGAACTGTGATTAAACAAAATACTGGTCGCTATATCAAGACGTCTTGAACCTCTGGTTCTCGGAAAAGCTGTGACTGTGTATTAAAAAAACAATAATTTAAATATAAAAGTTATTATAAAAACCAAACATCTATTATATAATAATAATAATATGTTGACTAACTTGGAAACGATTCGGCAAACAGTGAGTTAGCACTCGGCTGCTGAAGAGTTCGACTTAAGTCATGGGGAGCGGCGGCGGCGGCGTCACTAAATTGTGGCCTTAATAGACTAGATTCGAATAATTGTTTCGGTGTATGTAAAACATTGGCCGGACTGTCCAAAACAACAGTAGATCCCGATGACGACGACGAAGAATTCCACTTTTGTCGCGACTGATCCGCTCGCATTGCATTATAGAGTTCAATGTCGAGCAATGCTTTATCATTATTCATAAGACCTCTGGCAACACCACTACTATTATCATCGAAAGTATATGTTAACCAATTTCCTCTTTCGTCTTGAAATACATGAACAGCGCCAAGATTGGTGTCTTCGTGTGATTTGGCCAAATGGGTGCCCGGYTGTGACAATATACGGGCCAACATGTAAGGTGGCGGACCGTTATCTGGATTTAAATTTTGCGATGACTCTAAAGCAGCTGCCAATGAAGCCATTATCTCACTGTTTGGTTCGTTTTGATTAAGATTTTGTTGAGAATATAAACTAACGCTTTGTTCACTTCTTTTAGAGCTTCTTCTTCTTCGTTGAATATCATGTCTCAAAGCTTTCGATTCATGATTTGGACCAAACTCTTGGCTTTCACTCTTAGATCTGGTTTCAGAAACTTTTCTAATTTTATTAGTCTTCAGCTCATGAGGTATTTGTTTGGATGGACCGGCAATACATTTGGGTTCCAATGGTGTGACCATTGATGTAGTCCTTGAATTAGAGGAATTGCTTTTATTTATCTCAGCCGTCAATGGAACAGTTTCGTCGTTCACAGATAGAGATGAATGGCTCGATGACAGTGAACTGCTTCGAGATGTATAGGAATTGCTTCCATTACGACTGCTTTCAATGTCTGATTCACTTGAAAAGTTTTGGGCACTTTTTTTGATCAGTTCATTGTTGGCACTACAGTTGTCACTGAATTGGATCACTTTATCACTCTTTTTAGTTAACGATATCTTCCCCGAACTACAAGACTTGGACACATTTCTTCTGTTTAGTGTTCGCCGCGGTTTTGCTGGTTTTTGAACTTTTCGTTTTTTTACTTTTTGGCAATAATTGACAACAAGTGATACATCACTTTCGTCTCCGTCATCGCAATCACTGGATTTTATTTTCTTCGTCGGCGACTCATTCAGTACTTCAGTTTCAGTGGTTTGTGTCTCAGTTTCATCAATTGTTTTAATTGTCTTCTTTGAACTATTAATAGAAGAACTACTAATAGTTTGTGTGATTTTGTCTTTATTTTGTGGACTTTCTCCAGTTTTTACATTTTCATTGTTTTGTTGGCAATTCTTTTCATTTAAATTGGGTGTCGTATGTCTTAAAGCAATTTCGCTGTCATTATTGGAAATATCATCCACAGAGTCATCTATTTGTGTCGTTGTAATTATTTCAAGACTTACAGGATGTGATGGCGGAACAGATGACAGTTTTTTATCTGATGTACATTGCGTTGTCTCCAATTCGCTATGAGCTCTTCGGACAACATTTTCTACTCTTTTTCTTGTGGAATGAGATTCATTGATTGGGTTGGTCTGAGCCCTGAGCACTGCCGGGTCCTGAGCCATAAATCCCAACTCAAGTGATGTCCCCTTCACGAGTTGGTGGTCACTATTGTCTACATTTTCACACTTTTTGGTCAACAAATTGATATCACTTATCGCACTTATATGCGATATAACTTCATTGTCAGTCACTTCAGGCACTGTTTCTGAAGTTTGGCCACAAGTTGTTGTCGATGTAGTCATTAGTGTTGAACAACTAGTAATGGCAACGAGTGACGAGTTCATGTTATTACTATTAAGAACCTTCGACGGCTCCGATGCCAAACCAATCGAAGAACCGGAACTATTTCGGTGATGAACATCAACCTCAAGATCTATAACACTTGTCGTCGCATTATTTGTGGCCATTCTTTCATTACAATCGTTGTTACTGTGATTTAAATTGCTATTACTTGATGTCTTCTGAAACAAACCAATCGAATCACTTCTTGTAGATTCGTTGCCATTAGTATTGTCTGCGATGACAATCATTTCGATGTTTTCCTTCTTATCGTTTCCATTAACCCCTGAGTTGTCGTTTTGCTCGAAGACTTTCATTTGATTGGCAAAGTTTTCGTCGTCCGATTGCTCCTATAGTTTACGAATAAAAACAACACTTTTTAGCCATTGATGGACAATAGTCTGTAGAGATAATAACAATAAATACCTTAGAAGTGGCAGAGTTTTCTTCGACAACACACTCGCCATAATCAAAGAGTCGATGAAGATATGCATTAACCAGTTTGATGACAGTAAAGATGACACCAATGCTGATACAATAGGCAATCCATGGCGTCCAAGAAGTGGCAATCAGTTGAATGACGAACGGAAGACAGAGAAAGACGAGCCAAACGTATAGATGAAAGACATTAGAGAAGTGGCTTTGTTTTGGATCAAAAAACCAGCCGCCGGTCAGTGACGCCCAAACACCTGATGTCAAAATGGACACCGTTTGCGAACCCATTGCGCGATACGATCACAAATGACCACTACTTCTTCTTGTGTGATGTTGTCGTTGGTGACAATCACTACAATAATCGCCGTAATAATGACCAATCATTTGGTCTCTGAAGAAGTTTTATTTGTTTTGTGCACTCATTTGGCTATCATTTGTGACTAAAAATATATTTTACTTTAATATTAACCAAACAGTCATTCATTCATAACATTCATATAAATATTGACATCAAATCATATGTTTGCTTAATATTAATACATATTATTTAATAAACAAATTCATAAATTACAGTACTTTTGCCTATATTTTCAAATTATAAAAATATTTTTTTCAAAAAATACAAAATTACTAATAATTTATTTTTTCTATTTATTTAATATGATATTATTAAAAAATTTATTCACGTATTAGTTTAATTAATATTTATGAACAATTTTTTATTAAATTTTTGTATTTGTTTGACTCATTTTTAAAAATTTGTTTAATAATTTCTATTATAAAATTTAACATCAATTTGTTTTAATTTTTAATATAACTTATATATAAATTATGAAAATTAAAAAAAACATTTTTAATTTTAAATAATTGTTTACTCTTAATTTATTTTATTAATTAATAACATAAATTTAAACTCTGATTTATTTATTTAATTTATATAATAAATTAGTTTTTATTAAAGATCATTAATATACAGTTATTTATTATAAAAGTTAATTAACAAAAATTTGAAATAAAAAATTGTTATTTTTTAAATGTCTATTAATTATTAATGATATAAATATACTTTATATTATTAAATACTTATTGTTAAGTTTATGATTTAAGTGTGAAAAAATTATAAAATGTTTACTTAAATAATTAATAATTTCTTGTATTTATTTAAATTTAATATTACAATTAATTAAATAACTGATCCACTCTTAATCTATTGTTGACTTTTAATTATTTAACTTAAAAATAAGTAAATATATTATAATCACAGTATTGTTTGCTAACACAAATATTTAAAAAATATTATTAAATTTATATAAATAACATTGAGTTTTAATATAATGATAGTTAATAAAACATAAATATGCAAAATTAATTATAAAATTAATTGCAATATAAAGATATGTTATATGCGTTAAAAGTGTATTTTTGGGAAATGTGTTATAAATAATAATTTTTAAAATAAAATAAATTTTAAACTCTTAATGAAATAATTTTTTTAAATGTGCTATTTTCATTTGTATTATACTGTATATAAATTTATATATATATATCATTTTTAGTATTGATATTTAATTTATTTTATTTTTAGAAAATATGTACAAATAAATTTTTTTAGCTATATATTCTGTTTAGAATTACAATACAATGATAAACTTTCAATGTTATAAACATTATTTTATTTCATAATCTTTTTTTTAAATACACTATTATATATAAATTAATATTTTTTATCTGTTTGTGTATTAATATAAAAATTTATACTATATATAATATTACTGTATTATAGTTGTGTAAATTATTATATTTGATATATTTGACAATAATATGAATAATAGATATTCTGTTTTTTCAAAAGTTGTGGATTTTATTTTTATTTTTTTCATAATACATGTATTAATATTTATACAATAAAAAAATATTAAATATAATAGTTTTGTTTATTTTATTGAATGCATGAATAAATCTTTTCAATTTTTAAATATTCTAATAATATATAATTTTCAATATTTCAATAAAAATATATTCCTATAGTCTTTGTTAAGTTGTCTTAATATTATATAGTATAGTATTTTACTGCATATAATATGATATATCAAAATAAAATAAATTATATAAATTAGAAGCAAAACACATAAATCTCATAAATATTATATTTTATATAAAGTTGATATCAAATTAAATAAAAATGAAGTCAAGTGTATATAACTATCATAAAAAGTCAAATCTTATATATTAAATAAATAAAGAAAAACTTGTTTTAAAAGACAATTGCGACCAAAAAAGCGGAACATTTAATTAAACCGCAAATATTTATTGCTATTAAACACTCTTATATAACATTTTAAAATTTTTGCGGATTTTCGACAATAATTTAATGTTTTTTCTACTTATCCACTAAAATATTTAAAGATAAGTCTCTCAATCGATTCATAACTTTTATGCAAACATCTGATACCTGTTTTCAGAAGTTAGTTAAATTAGGTCATCCCTGTTATGGGTCAACAAACCTATAGTGTTTGAGTGGCAACTTTGAGTTGTCTTTTTTTTAAGTATAGTTGTAAAACAATTTACCGTTAATTGAATTTTATTTATTAAAAAATATTGATTAAAACAATGACCAACCGTTTTACCGAATTGGAAACAATTGGTCCAAAATTACCGTGCGATTCGGATATACCTAACCAACTATGCATTCCTCAGTGGTTAGACAAAGATAAGGTCACTCGAGCGCAATATTTGGCCAAAAAGTACTTCTTTGGCATTTGTTTTGCACATTTGTCTGGTTTAGTACTTCTGGTTCATATTAAGTCAATTTTGGTGCCATTATTATCTACGGGTAACTCCCGAAGTACTGCTCACTTGTTTAGCCGATATTTTCGGACATTGCTTCACGTGAAGAGTTGGTATGACGGAGATATTTGGGACATCAATAGTAAAAGTCATCAATCAATTATGCAGGTAATATATACACTTTATTTAATTTACAATTAAAATTTTTCCTAGATCATTATTTAAAATACAAATTTAAGTATTACTAATCAGTAATTTTATTTATAATTTATAATATATATATATATATATATATATATATATATATATTAAAAATCTAAAAAAATTAAAAAATCTAATAAAATATATTATTCATTTATAAACATATTTAAAACTATATATATTTTAATCTATAGGTTCGAAAAATGCATAGCAAAGTGTCAAAGAGTTTGAATAATTGTAAAGGCGTTGAAATGTATGATAATAAAAGTTTGTCTCAATTTGATATGATGATTACACAGGTACTATACAATTTATTATTATAAATTTAATTATAAAGTTTTAAAAATTATTTTTATTAATTTAATTAATATTTTATTTGAAAATATAGTTTGCATTCATAGGCTTTATAGCTCTATATCCACGACAAGTGGGTTTCAGTGAATCTGCCAAAGATTTGGATGCATTGATGCACTTTTGGAAAGGAATCGGCTATTTGTTGGGCATTGAAGACAAATACAACTTATGTAACGGAAGTGTCGATGAAACTAAAGAGTTGTGTCAATTAATTTTGGAAAAACAGCTAAAGAAGTCTATTATAGAAACACCAGTAAAGGAATCAATTGATATGAGTCGAGGTATTGTTAATTCAATTAAACTATACATCCGTTTACTCAGCTATGAAGCTCTCACTAAATATTTATTTGAATTAATTAATATTCAACGAGACATCAAACTAACTGTTTTTTCAAACATATCCTATCATTCATTGAAAATATCACTAAACTATTTGTGTCACATCTCGATCTTTGCCATAATATTTAATTCATTAATTAGATTATCAATATATCTAACAAATACCAGTTGGAGACAAAAATATATTAAAAATTATTTAACATTAAATTATGATTTGGATTTACCACCAAATTTAGACCATAAACTTAATACAAATATTGAAGTTGTTCCTGTTTAATTATGATATTTTTTTAAATAAATAAACTTTATTTAATAATAAAAATTACTTAAATATTTTGTTTTTTATATTTTATTTTATTTTTATAATATAAAATATTATGTATTCTACAATATATTATTTGTAATATTAATTAAATTTTTATAAAAGCTAATTATAATTTAAAGTATATAATCTAATGATTTTGTTTGTTTTAATAATAAGCATTTAAAAATTTAATAAACTATTTATAAAAATATTTGACTTGTATATTAAAAAATTATTTTTTAAAATTATTAAATTGCAGTGCATTACTAATTATTTTAATTATAATTTATAAGTGTATAATAATTTTAATTAATCTTTTATACTAAATATTATTTTTAATGTAAATTTTTAGAAAAATATTTAAAATCTATTTTTGAAACTACACTAAACAAATAATATTTTATATAAAAATAGTATTATTTAGTAATAAATAAAATCTAATTTAATTACATACTATATTTATACTCCGGTTTAAAACTAAATTAAATGAACAGTGTAGTTTTAACAAAATTAAAAATGATCAAATATTATTAGATTTAACTTTAATAAAATTAAATTAAAAATTTTGAAAAAACTTAAAAAATTATTTTCTATTGGTTTCTTCAATTATAAAATGTATAGAAATCAATATAAATTTATAGCATAATAGTCATAAAGTTATATGAATATTATTACTGACTTTAATTGATTACAAAATATTATTTTTAAATTATATATCTCTGCTTTTCAGAATTAGTAATTATATATAAAATTTGATTTTTTTAAATCAAAAAATTTATAATATGTTATTTGTTAAAGATTATTCATATTAAAGATTATTTATTTTGCTGTTTAAGTATAGTATATTAATATTTAAAATTTAAAAATTAATTAAAATATATTAATTATCAATTTTAAATAAATAATACCCAATTTATATTTTAAATATTTTTTTGCAAAATTGTTGCAAATTAATAATTAATTTCTTAGAAATTAATATAACATTATTTATATAAATATATATTAAGTATCTCTCATCAGATAAATGCTAAGTCGGAACAAAATTGTTATAAAAATAAATAATTATGATTGCAATAACAACATCAAATATTATGTAGTATTAACCCTAAAAATTTATATCAAAAATTACAGTAATATGTTTGCTTAGCTTTTGTTATTAGTATCCTATACTATATAATATATTGTATATACTCTACTGTTATGTTGTTAACGTAAGCTATTAATAATTGCAACTCATTATAGCATAGATTTTTATTTTTAAAAAATAAACTCATAATTATTTATTAATTTAATTTAATTAATATGAACTTATGTTTGTTCTATGGTTTTAAAAACAATTTTTAGCATCAAATCAATAGTTATAATGTTCACTAAGCATTAAAAATTATGGTTTGTAAGCACAGAATATTTTATTATTATTATTATTATTTTATTTTTATTAAGCACTCAACACATAGAGAATAATATTCTGTGTGTTAAAAGAATATTCTGTTTGTGTGATAATAAACCGTGAATTAAGTCATTTGCAAAAACAATAAATTTTTATAAAATGCTTTTGAATTTTCTCTATATAAACAAAAGCATTAATATAAATGTCATTTGCAAACCATTAACTCAAACATATAAATAAATATATATATATATATATATATATATATATATATATATATATAAAGATAATAATATATACTATTTATACCATTATTATTACAATTTTCTAATATTTAAAAAAATTGGCATCGAAACATTGAATTGTAAAAAACAAAAAATTTCAATTATTTATATTACTTTTATTGCTTTTCTAATAATAAAAACAAATTATTAATTTATTATAAATATTATATTTAATATAATATTAATATAATAATATAAATCTTATCAATAAAAAGAATCTGAATAATAATAATCATAATAATTAATATAATAAGTATAATAAGTATAATAATAATAATAATAGTAATATCATTATTAACTGTATATATAGAGAGAGTTGTATAAGTAATTTGTTATACAATTGTTTTAATTTATTATTAATTGATTTATAAATCATATCCTAAATAAATATGAATTATAATATAACACAGAGTTTGTTATTTCTATTCGATGTCGAGTTGTTTGTATGTCTTGCGGCACCAGACGTGTGGCCATCAGATATAGTAACCTTAATTTGGTCGGTATTATAGTCAGTGCTGCTATGATCTCGATGGTGATGGTGTTCACCACCCGATCGGCTCTCAATCAGTTGACTTTCAATTGTTTTCATTATATCCCTGAAGATTGTTGTCACTCTCCAGTTGTATTTGGCTGAGCACTCAATATAACTACATTTCCACTGTTTTTTGACCATATTTGCCAACTCTTTGAATGCCGGAGTTATGTTGTCTTCATGAGCTGGATGATGATGAACTGGTAAATGATGGTGTGTCTGATGATGATGGTGATGATGCGGATGATGATGATGATGATGATGGTGATGATCTTTATGGCCTCTAATAGTTGCCAACACATTCATACAGAGGTCGGCTTTATTGGCTACAATCCAAACGGGAATGTTTTGCATATTTCGACTTTCAAACAGTTGGTCACGAATTACTAAGCAATAAATATATATACAGTATATATATATATATATCAATAATTATAAATATTTTTAATTTAACTATTAATTTATTAAATAATTAGAGGGGATATACATATAATATTATATATATATATCCCGAAAAACAAGTAAATTGATGGCAATATTGTTGGATACCTTTAACGTACTGAAAAGTATAGGGAGAGGTTAGATCAAAGACAAGGAGATATCCGTGAGCATTGCGAAGAGCGCTCCGGCGATAATCGGTCCACTCTTGCAGCGCATTGTTAGGAAAGTAGCTGATGGCTGGCATATCTATGATCTTGATTTGGTATAGATTTGAGTTCATCACAACTGAAAAACTATAGGTATCTCCCGATTGAGGAGTTGGCTGATACGAGACAGAGAAGTTATTCTCTATAAACTGTTGAACTAAAGATGTTTTGCCGACACCACAACTCCCTAATACACACAGTTTAACCAAACGAGGCATTTAACCGATAACCGGATGCATACTCTAAGCCCACTCTTGGCGTCAACATTGCCGCCGATCAGCACTTAGACTACAGGTTAGTGGTGTTATTACCGATAGGTTAGTTGTGAGCCACATATCATTCAACGAAAAAAATAAACTACTTATTGCTTCTTCACATTGCACTTGAATGTAGTTTTTATTTTGTTTAAAAATTAAACTCTCATTACATTTAAATAAATATATATATAATAAATATATATTTATATACCATTAAAACATCAAATGACATAATTATGAAGCAGTTATGCGACTCGTAATGCCTTTCAAACACAATGGCCGACCAAAAAAAATCAATGATTTCACTGATTCACTGATTCTGTTCTGTGATTCTGTGTGAACACAGCAGTCATGTCTGAAACCATCACTTGTCTCATAACTCCTATCGATTTGTGTCCCATTATCTCAATATTGTGCACAACATGTGAATGCATTACAACACTTATATACACTTATATACAGAATATACTGTATGTATAGCTATTCTGTTCATTCATTCATTGCCTTTTCAGCGCTTATATCAGCGATTCTGTGATTTTGTTTTCCAGTCATTCAATTCATACATTCATAACGATTCCGTGCTTTTCATTCGCAAAATTATGAGTTTCTCTCTCTCTCTCAAAAATTTATGTATCTTTTGATTATCGCTTTTCTAAACGCAACGACAATTAAATTGTCATTTATCTACCAGTAATTTATTATTAATTATTTATTATGTATAGGAAAATTGGTTTAATGGATGTAAAGCGTGTGTAATATATGATCAATTAATTGATATATAAAACTAGCTGTTTGTGCGCAATCCATGCGATTCATTATATTTTTCAATAATAATAAAGAGATAAAAACAAACTCATAATTATTTAGTTTTTTTTGAAATCAATTTACGCGTCAATAATTATAATTCATAATTAAACAGTAATTATTATATTTTTTTATTTTTAAATTAATTTAATAATAATGGTAGTTTTTTTTGTTTATTTGTAAATAAATGCAAATCTAAACTAAAGTTATGATGACTAGAAAGTGTGAAATGTAAATATAAAAAATAATAACATTGGTTTTTATAATTAAATAGCTAACATTTAAATAATAATATAAAAAAAATTAATAATAAAAACTCTAAAAATCGTATATATAATTTCATGATTTTTTTCGTGTGAAAAATATAATAATTATAATAAATAAATTGCTTAATAAAAAAAATGAGAGGAACATATATATATATATATAATAACACTAACTATATTTTTTTTATAAATCACCAAAAAAACACATTTAATGCAGCAGTTTGTTTGTTCAAATGATTTTTTAATCAAACGAGTCGATCGCGTTGTATTGAATGTGACGATAGGACACTACTTGGGTTACGGTTTACCTAAATATTAATTTGTCTGAATTATTATAACATTAGTTTCTTATATTGCAAAGCATTTTTTTGGCTCATTTTTTATACTATATTTCGCTTTAGAATTCAATTTTAAATTATTTTCACTATTATACTGTATTAATTTAAAAAAAATTAATTGATATTAATATCTTATTTTTTTCAGAGTACAGTATTAAAGCAAAATATAGTTTTTTTTGGGCCAAATAGTTGAAAGCGTATTTCCCATTTTTTTTTGGATAAGTGATTAGAAACTCACTCCATTAGGTCTTCTATCGGTTCCTTTAAGTAATAGATCCGCAAATTCTGTTTCTAGTATCTGTCGTGCCTTTTAAAAATAAATAAATAAATAAATGACAAAAAAACATATTTATTTTATTATTTTGAAAAATAATCTGATCCAATACCTGAACGTTTTGTGTGGGTATTTGTAAAGCTAAAGCCATCTGYAAATCATCAAACGTGTCGTCCAGTGCTAGAAGAGCGCCGTGAACTCCCGATTCCGTTAAATTATTAGAATATTCTTTAAGTCCTACAAAATTACACCATTTGATGATCCTTTCATTTGACCAAACAATTACATCTATTATTTTAGACAAAAAATAATCTTAGTTTAGAGTTCATAATCACTTCCATCGATGAATACCAATCAAAAACATACCAATGATATCGTGTTCACTATTTCTTCGTCTCTCTTCTAATAGACTTTTATCATAATTAAGTCGTTTTAAGCAATTGATTCCATACTGAAGACTTGTTCGATGAAAGGCGTCGATCATTTTTAAGTGCACTCTCAGGTCTTTTTTTGTTAAGTGATCTAACATACGGGCGTCGACTAAACACTCCATAAACACTGATCTATATTGTGGTAAACCTAATGCTGGCAACCAATCGTTGCCAATCCATTCGTGATTCATTTCGCCGAAAGCTAGACTTGTATGCGTTGGCTTAGCCGCTGATGGAGATGTTAGTGCAACCATCTCTTGGATGGCCAGTCGAAGCTTCATTCGATGTAATGGATTACTAATACCTATTTCCCGTTGAATCTCAGTGTCAGATAAGGCTGACATAATTGCACCGCTTTTGACGTTTGCACGACAAGCGGCCACATACCAGGCCGGCATTCCTACCCATAACTATAGAACATTGAAATTATAATTTAATTGATTTTTAAAAAATTCAATTTAATGGTATATATTTAATATGTACCTCAAGCCAGGCCACAATAGTTGGTCCGTTCCACAGAGCAAACGGAGTGCCAGCTTTCATGGCTTCCGCCAACAATTCGTGTTTCTTTTTAGTTCGACGATCAAAATCAGCTTTTTGTCCGCCTAATGGTGAAGACATTGGTGATCCCATATGGTTCATAGCTTCAGGCAATGACATATAATCACTAGTGTCGGGATAATTGGCATAAATCGGATTTCCTATAATACGATCGCCTTTCAGTTTTTCTCGTTTAGGACTCGAAAACAAACGACTAACTAATGATGACTTAATGCCTTTCTTTTTAGGATTTTGTGGCGAAGACATTATATATTGTGAATAGTGTTGGTGTTGGGGATGATTTGCTAACATTTGTTTATTTAATGAATCCATCGATGAATTTGCAGAAACTGACTGTAATTGATGATTGAGAACTGATTCATCTAAAGAGGAGCTATTGGGAGGCGGTCTGGAGTATAATGAAGATCTCGGCAGTACATCTGGGGGTACACTTGTAGTCCATGATTTTTGGGGCACATTCTTATTATCATTTAATGCCTGAGCAACTCGTTGTAGTCTAAGTGCCCGCGGAGTAGGAGGGCTTGCATCTGATCCTAAATCCTATGTTTATAAAATAAAATCAATGTTATATATATACATATGTATGTGTATATGTATTTGCAATAATTTTTAAATTTATTTATTACATGTGTATTTGAAACCATCATTTCTGTCTGATGATTGGCTGAAGAATATTGTGAATAATTAAGAGAAGGACCACCAGTTTGGGAAAGTGTTGATGGATACGAACCGGCGGTCTATAAGTTATATAAATATATACAGTATATATATATTGGATACAAATTATTATAAAAAATTAGTTAATATCAATAAAAATAATTTCATATAACATACGCTATAAAATTGGTTTAAGTAGTCGCGAGACGGACTGACTCTTGACTTGGGAGTCGACCGACCGCTTTGTGGCGGAGATATAGTCCTCTCGAATGAGAGGCCACGAGTCAGTAGACTCATGGAATCAATACTTCCAACCTGTGACTCGAGTTCCTCTGCCCGTTGCTCTGTATTTTGTTTCTCTTCTTGAATCAATCGGATCTCATTGTTGATGGCATCCAATTGTTGTTGAAGCATAATAGCTAGTGTTTGAGCGTCCGTATGTCCCGATGGCGACATCATATCCATTGTATCGAATATGCTTTCATTATCATCTGTTTGACTGCATTCAGTATCGCTGCCATCAAATGCTTGACTAACATTAGCGATAACTCTGGGCTCAATTTTATCCCATTCGTGTTCAAACAAATGTTGCTTATTCTTCATGTTGTCCTGAGCTGATATAATTCTTTGATTTCGTGTCACTGATGAAACTGAACCCAAATTATTATTATTATTATTAGTGATATTATTATTATTATTATGATTAGCCGTTTGCATTTCGACTCTCATTTTTGCAAAATCTTGTAATATCTTTCCCTTTTCCGATTGAGTTTCATCTAATAATTTATGAATTCGTTCCAATTCTTGTGACATTTGATTCTTATCCTCTAAAGCTGACATTCGTTCTTTTAGATGCAATTGAAGCCTTTCATTAGATTCAGCCAAAAGTTTATCAACAGTTGCCGACAATCGTTGATTGTGATCCTCATTCATGCGTTCCCTTTGTCGGGCTCTAAGTAATTCACTGGCCTTTTCTTCTAACTGTTGTTCTAGTCTTGAGATGCGTTCCTCGAGTGACAGTTTCCTGTCGTCGTCCATCTCATAATCGGTGACTTCAGTGCCGTCAGACATTGTCTCTTGTTTTTTGCTAAATTGTGTAAACTTTTGTTCGGCTAATTCAAGCCTCTCTGCCAGTGCTCTAATCTTTTCGTCGGATAACTTCAACTGAGCTTCTTTTGCATCCAACTCGTGCTCTAACTTTTCATTTAGATCGTGAAGAGATGTGCTCTCTCTTTGAGCGTTCAGATATCGCTTCTCAAGAGTTGTGATCCTCTCTTCCTGATCCTCTTTCTGTGCCTTATTTTCTCTTAAATCACAGTTTAATTTAATATTTTCTTCGCGAATTTGATGTAAATCTTTGTCAGTTTTTAAAATCATTTCTTCATAATCTCTTAATTTATTATTAAAATCTTGTAATTTAATCCTAGAATTAATTAATTCTTGTGTTTGTTTTTCAGTTAAACTAAGCGTTTCTTCACATTTTTGGTCGGAATCTAAGGCCTCAGAGCTGATCTGTCCGTTCATTTGATTAGAAGACTCACTTAATTGTGATATGTCTTGAATCTGTTGCTGCGTTTGTTTAGATTTAGTTAACTCTTCACTAGTTTTTGATAATTCTTCTTCTAAAGAGCTAATTTTATCCAATGATACTCTTAATCTTTCCCTAACTTTTTCATCTAAAGCTTTGTGATGTTCAAAGAGTGACTTTAAAGCTTTAAGTACTTCCACTTCGGATGAGACACCGGCCGGTGACTGTGCCTGACGTTTAACAACAGTCATCCTCAATGAGCGCTCGTGTCGTGAGACCAGACACTCCAAGTGCTCGAGTAATAACTGATATAATCAAAACAAATGTTAATTTATATCAATTAATATTTTTTATGTCAAATAATGTATTACTCGAGTATTATTTCGTTCGGCTTTCAGCTCTTGAATCTCTTCGTCCTTTTCGATGACATTTTCTCGCAATTGACTTAACTCTCGGGTAAGACTCGAAAACTCCTAAAACAATAAAGTGATTAAATATGTTATCAAATGAAACACTTTTAAAAAACACAATAATTGTATTAATTTCTTAACAATATATTGTATACTTGAGGCATATGTGATGACAGTTGTCGATGAAGTGAATCCCTTTCCTTCTCGATGTCCACCAGTTTGGTCTGAGTGTCGGTCAGATGTTCTTGAGTTTCCCTCAACGTCTCCATAAGTTTGTCTCTTTCGTCCAACATATTGACCATAAGCTGCTCAAAGTTGGCCTCATCGCCGGTGAACTGTCCGCTCCGTTGGGAGATACTGTCCTCCGAGATGGTGGGCATCACATCGCACATCATATTCCACATGTTTGGCCACCGATTGTAATCAACAACAACAGCAACACCACTGCCGACCAAAAATCAAATGGTCTTCAACTAAGAAAACAAATCACTGTCTTAATTGTGGCCATCGATCGCTAWTTGGATAACACATTTGATGGATCAAAGTAACCATCACTTTAATCACTAAAAAACCTGTTGATTATCACTTTAAAAACAATGTCTTCAATGATATGATTGAAAAACAAAAATATCTTTTTAAGGCAATCGAGAGCTCAATAATATTATAAATAAAATTATTAATGAAATTCAATGCAAATTATTTGAATATATGAATGAATGACTCAATAAAAATACACTCAATATTTAATAAACAAAATAATAATAAAACAAAACAATAGATTTGTATAACCAATGAGTTATTTAAGACGACTAGTGTTTAACTATTTATTATTTAGAATATAATTCAATCCAAATATTATTACATTAAAGCCATTCATTCATTCATTCATTCATTGAATGCAATCATCAATTGGTGTCAAAACATAACATTTACTCCATATTTAAAACCGAGAAGTTTGACAAATGCTAACAGTAGTAGAGGTGTTGACAGTTAAAACTCTATATAAAGATTATATAGAGATGTAAACATAATTAAGTTGAAGATAACTATTGGATTATACATTATATTGTCATCAATTATATTGGATTTATTAGAGGATTAGTTAATCCAAACAAAAATAATCGTTTTTTTATATTAACAAACACTTATAGCATTGTTGCTGTCAATTGATTTAATAGTTTTAAAAAAAAAATATTATTTAGTTTATAACACAATTTAAAAGTTAATTCTAATTTAAAAAAAATTATTTAATGTAAAAATTTTTATTTTTATTTATTCATTCATATCTGAATATGTCATATAAAGTATTTATATATTTTATAAAATACTGTTTAGTGTTTTATTTTTTTTGTTAAATTAAAATTTATATTAAAATTTAATTCACAATATTAAAAATATATTGCATTTGTCAATAAATGAGATCCAAAAAAAAAATAAAATCTATTTATATATATATATATATTTTAAATGCAAAAATAGTCGTTCACTTTAAGTGGAAAATATGTACTAAAAAAATAGTTCAAAATGCTCGCAGATCTTCATAAGTAAAAACTTGGAGTTTAATAGTTCCGACAATTTTGGACTCAGTTTTACGGCTAATTAGCTGCAACTCCTGGATGGACGTTGTGTTATCCAAACTGCTGTCCAAACCGTTAGTATTGATTTTAGGCAATACTTCAATGCGACCCAAAAAATAGTCAATGAGTAGACTTTGGTGCCATAACTTAAGTGTATAATAGAAAAAATAATATTTTAAATAAATAATAATTTACAGATAATTGTTAAATACATTACTTCGACAATAATGGAAACAAATCTATTGTGATAGAAGACAGCACTGAAGTGATTCCATTCGGGATTAAGTGTTTCGGGTATAGGACTCGATTTGACTGATTGTCTGCCGCAACGAATCACACAATAAGGATTTGCAGCTATTGATAAAATGAAAGATTTACCGGTTATTGTTATTTCAAATACTTTTTTTTATCGGTAAATATCAAATGCAATATTAATTTACATCCGAAGCTATCCTGACGTTCCAATATATTGGCACTGATTATAGTAATTCTTGTCACAAATTTGGGATATTTTGGTGAAACAAATGGCAACAGATTATGTCGAGGCATGTCTTGACTCAATACCCTTAATAATAAATAAATAGTAAAATCATTTATTTTTAACAAAAAAAAAAACTAAATAAAAAAATCTTACTTAAAATGTGAAAACTTATGTGAATAGACTCGCAAAATCACATTCATCTCTGGATCAGTACAAATGGGTTGTAAAAGATATCGACCGCTAATTAAGTCAATRCGTTTGAAAATATTTCGCTGTTTAAGTGCGTCAACAGTTAAGACATTTGGTACGCGATTTAAATTGTGAATTTTGAACTCTCGGTTTACTTCAATTTTATATAAATTAAAACCCATAGCCGCCGCTGATTGTCTGCTATTAGATTGCATTAAATCAATCATCACTTCAGCGCAATCGTCGGTGACATCGAAACAAAATTGATTGCTTGAATTGCCCGACAATTTCGACGCCCGGTCTCTGGTATACGTCCGGCATATTGTTACAGACGTAAAATATTTGCAAAACTCGTCAATTGGTATCCTTTAAAAAATAATTAAAATATAGATAATGAAATTCATACTTATTTTTTCAATGTCTATACCAAAAATCTTTTAAACGATCAAAATTTTGACCATTAGATGGAAAGTTACTAAAATATAAATAAACCGAAATATTACAGTTAATAAATAATTATAATTTATTTAAAATTTTAAGTAAATGACACCTCTTTTTGTGTGTTGAAGCAATTGTACACATTATACGAATGGATGCGTCTTTAATGTTGTCTTTGTTTAACGACAATGTCTTTCGGAATGTTCCACTCGAAGGCTTTTTAATACCTTTAATAATATAAATACAGTCTTCAATCAATCCATAAGTGTTTTGTAAAGATATTGCTTCCTTAAGAAATTTATTTAAATTAAATAATATTTATTTAAAGTAATATAAAATACATTACTTTGCTTTTGACACATAATATAGCATTTTTGTCGAGTTCTTCGCATAGCATACGAAACTGTTCCCGTTCTTTGCCATCACTTTTCAGTTCAATTGTCTCAACCATAGCTCCTGTCATATCGATGAGAGCCGTTTCGAGAGAAGAATTGCTGGCCATTGCTTCATAGGATCCATAAAGCTTTGAGTATGCCTTTCATACAAATATAATTAAATCATTGATAATTAAAAATGAAATCATTTACCGGYAAAAAAAAGTTTAAAGGAAASTCTAGTTTCAGTAATAATGATAGTATAAGACAAAAAGTTTCCTTATTATTAAAATTTAAATCACTTAAAAAAAACTTAATTAAATACTTTTTCAAATAATGGTAACCAAAAAACTGAATGACAGCGACTGCTACTGAAGACCAGTTGGTTGTCAAAAGTGGGCAATTTGTCGTCGATGACCACTTTAGTCCAGTGTCCCAAATGCCAGAATTTGAACTTTAAGATACCAAATAGGAAATGGGTGTCGGCTTTCGGGACCACCTAAAATGGACCGCCAATTATGACCCAAAAATTTGTTGTCAATTCATTTGCATATCATTTTACAAAACGGACAAAAAAAGCTAACCTTATATAACACACTCTTATGTGTTGCAATGGCCAGAGCGGCCGCAATAAACCACTTATTTGGTCCGTCGCCGACAAACTCGACCTCTTGAGCCGGACCTAACTTCTGGCGATACAATAGATGAGGTTCATCGGTCAACTCTTTTGGTCGTTTCCATATAATCTTCCCGACATCCAATTGTGTCCTGTATTGCGAACTAACGGCAACCGATTTGTCTTCAGCTTTGAACAATTGGTCGCTGAACGGCAGTCCGACGTCGGCCGCATCTTTGGCCAATTTTTTGAAGCTCTGTTTACGGAAGCGTTTCCTATTGCCGATAGTTTTGGCCATTTGTTTTCATTTAATATATATTAAACAAAACAAATATAAAGTGATTGTCTGTCTGTTTTGATGGTTAAGTACTGGCATTTAGTGTCTGTGTATTGGACTCAATGGACACATATTGTCGTCAAAAATGTGTTGACAWTTGTTTAGTCACTCTTCACATGATATAAGCACTCATTTCAAGCAAACAAACAATACATTTATAACCCATTTATGGCTTTAATGTGTTGTAAATAAAAAGGTATGCATTTGTGTGTCAAATATGCCAACCAATCGTCAATACAGTCTCTCTCTCTCTCTCTCTCTCTCTCTYTTTTTCTCTCTCTCTCTCTYTCTCTCTCTCTCTCTYTCTCTCTCTCTCTCTYTCTCTCTCTCTCTCTCTCTCTCTCTCTCTCTCTCTCTCTCTCTCTCTCTCTCTCTCTCTCTCTCTCTCTCTCTCTCTCTCTCTCTCTCTCTTTCTATGATTTTACACTAAAACTGTGTGAAAATTATATTATAGTCACGTATTGTTTTAATATATCATTGTTAACACTAACTAATCATTTTGTTTACAAACTAATTTTATTTAAAAATATTAGCCAAACAATGATAATAATTAGCATAWAATTTAAACTAAAGCTTGAAAAAAGTGTGTGAAAAATGTTTGTTATATATAATACTATTTATAAGATTTTATTTTTATTGAAAAAAAAGTTTTATAAACTTTTCCAAAAAAACTATTAAATTACATCATAAACATTGATTATATGATATTTAGTTTTCTCTCTCATATTTGCATTTATTAACTCTACGATACATTATATAGACGTATATTTAAAATTATGCAATTTTTATTAAAAAACATTTATTATATAATTTCAAAACAACTAATCACAGTATTTTAATGGAAATGTTTTAAAAAATAAATAAAAATCATATATTTCTAATTAATATTTATATATTGTATATAAAAATATTGACTAGTTGAGTTATTTAATTTTATTATTTAAAATATTATAAAACTTAATTATAAGTTTATTAATATATTTAAATAATTTAAGTCTTATAAAAGAGGATAATTTACAAATAAAATGCTAGTTTGTCAACCATAACATGTATTAATATAATAGTAGACTTATCATACATAAAATATACATGTAGATATTTATTTATATTTAAAAAATAGTTTTTTAAAAAATGAACATGATCAATCATAAAAAATGATAACAATTTAATACCAATGAATTACAAATTTATTTTATATTAAAATTTATTTCAAAATCAAATACTAGTATACATTTGACATTGACATCAGTGTGTTATCGCATTCATTATAATCATTGATAGTTTAATACAGTATTAATAGACTTCAAACACATTTGTATTTTACTGTTAGTAATACTGTTAGTAACGTATTATATGAGTGAACGATAAGTATATATTATAAACACAAACACAAAATAAATGGCAAATCATTTCAATTCAAAATAATAGTCAAACAATAATAAGAGCCGATTATTGTACCGATAGTTATCACCCGATTGTCACCACACAAGACACGTGTTTTTGTTGGTCATCCCATTGATTGAGAAATAGCCGCTAAACGCATCAAACAATTGAATTGAATTGGTTGAGACCTGTTTTGAGGTGATCACAGACACGTTTTTTCAGTGACACCAAAAGTTTTAACTATCGGGTAATTCACGCGACCAGTGGTCACAATCAATAGCCATGGCCTTTACGTTTGCCGCCTTCTCCTATATCTGTGGTCTCATTTTAGATGCTTTTCTCATCTTTTTTGCCGTTTTTCACGTATGTTTTTGTCAATAACTTCTTGTAAAAAATTATGTGCCGGTCGTTGATTTGGTCGGCCAATCGGTAATTGAATGAAATGTCTGGTAATAAAACCGGTTTGACTGACTGTTTGTCAACGACTYGGACACAATCATTGATTGTTTCGATTAATTGATTTTGATTCTTATGGTAACCTAATAATAGGTGATAGCGTTTGATGAGCTGAAGACTGATTTCAAGAATCCCATCGATCAGTGCAATACATTGAATCCAGTAATAACCGTATCTTTGATTATCATATATTAATTAATATACCATTTATTTAAACCTTTAGTTAGTTTTACCCGAATATGGCATTCATTTGGCATTCAATTTATTGTTTCTCTTTGCCGGCGAATGGTATACATATTTAGTGGATAATTTGATTTTATATAATAAATAAAACCAATAAAAAAGTAATTATTTGATTATTTTTATACCACAATCAATAGGTTGACAATTATTTTAAATGCACCGCTGATTGCTTATCACGTCTATAGGTATGTCATATTTATTAATTTTTCATTGATTAGCGAGACATCCAAATAACATGTGTGTATCGGTATATATATATATAATGTTAGATATAAGACGCGTCCGATAATGTCGAGTCCCGGTCTGTACGACCCGACAACTATTATGAATGCGGATCAGTTGTCCCGAGCCATGAAAGAAGGTTGGATCAAATTGGCCTTCTATTTGTTGTCATTCTTCTACTATCTTTACGGAATGATATACTCACTCATACAAAACCCATAACGACACTCAAAAAAACTAATCAAATCAACTAATTTTTTATATATACTATTATTATTATTATTATTATTATTATTATTATTATAAGTTTATATATTACTTAACTTTTTTTTAATATAATTTAAATTATTGATAGACATGTATACATCTAATCAGAGATATATATATAACTTAAATTTATATTAGATAACATATGAACAACAAGTTATTTATAATAATTTATATGTTATTATTTTTATTTGATTAACAATATCATTTGCTAAACATTTTTTCTTAATTAATGTCTTCAAATAACTCAATGATTTACAGTATATACTGTACTGAAACTAATAATTAATAATAGATTAGTGTTTATTATTCAGACATTTTTAAGGATAGTTTCAATGTGTTTATTGCATCCAAATAAATATTTTTTTTTATATATAAATTTGACAAAATTCTCGTTTCATTATTTTTAACGTAGAATTTGTAAAAGTAAGTTATAAATAAAAATAATTATTAATATAACAATTTGTATTTAATTTTAACAACTCAAATTATAAATCGATTGAAATAATATAGACATTTCGATAGCTGTTTAATATTTTTTTATTATTATTTATCAATTAAATAATGGCACAGATATTTGACATAATTATTTTAGAAATACTTTTTTTCCTATTATTTTTCATAATATAATTATTGTATAAGAGTTAATTATACAGTACATAAAAAAGTATATTACATAAAAATAGTATTTAAATAAATTTATTATAAAAAATTATATAATATTTTTTTTACTTAGATTTGATTGATTTGACTTAAAATTAACAACAATATAATGACCGGAACCGATGTGTTTATGTTAGTGTGTCTATGTATTTGTGTTTTATTTTTTTTACAAAACAATTTTCTTATTTAATTATTTGACGAGAAAAATAATTATAAGTAAATTTCCGCTTAATTTAAAAAAAAAGTTTGTGTGTGTGTTTGTAAATTATGAAAATCATTATTAAATTATAAATTATTATAAAATTAATAGTTCAAAAAATAGAAACAAATGGAATGGATATAGAAATTGATTAATTAAAATAAAAATTAAGTTTAATTTAATCATAACAACTAAAAAAATTATACAGTTTAACAAATTTTAAATAATATTTTGTCTGTTCATAAATAAGTTATTTATTTTATAGAAAATCTAAACCAAACTTTGTTAATAATAATAAAAATAATTGAAAAAAACCTAATATTTATTAACAGAATAAAACTATTTTTATTAGATAATTAAGTGTATTATTATTATATTTATTTATTGAGTGGGAAGTCTATAAAATTAGAGGTTAAAAATATCACAGTTTATACTGTAATTACTTAAATCATATATATATATATATATAATATATAATTTGTTTGGTTAAAAATATATATAAACTATATTATTCACAATGTTGTGGAATGCAATTATTATAAATATTTAAAAAAAATATCGTAAATATATAATTTCTGAAATAACACTTTGTCTTAATTATTGAAATTTATATACTAAAATTGTAGCAAATTTGGTATTTATTATAATAATAATAATAATAAATCACCTATAAAATTGTTAATTAATTTTTTTGGGGGGTAAAAATATAAAAAYATTGTAGTACTAATCCAATTATCAAATTGTATTTGAATATACATAAATTATATTTATAAATTTATATATATATATACCTTATTATCAGAAATTAGAAAAATTAATCCAAAATAGATTCAATTTTCTATATTGTTAAATAATATAGAAATGAAATTTGGGGGTATAGTGAAAAAATAGATTTAAATATATCTATATTTATAAGACATAAATTGGCACAAAAATATAGTTAAGTCAGAGAACAACGATAAATGTAATTCAAAATTAAAATTTTTAGTGCAATTATAGATTAAATGAAATTAATGAGAATTAAGTACTATTAATATAGTGCTGCATTGGAAATGAGTTTAAATTTTCTTTTTCATTTAAATTAATTATTTGATACAGTGATTGACTAAAATATAAAATTCTGTCCTAAATTTGTTTAATAAAAGCTATAAATAATTACCAAATTCTTGATACAATTCGTGTTTAAGTGTTTTACGATTTGATTTTTTATTATTTCCTAAAATGGCAGTTAAAGGGACGGTAGCGTCTAATTGTTGTCCATCTACTGGTGCATCCATTAGTGTGGTGATAGACTTTTTATTTGTACCGACTGGTGATGTATTGGGACTACTACTGTAAGAGTTGGCAAAATTAAAGCGAACAGTTCTCTGAGGTGTTGCTGATGGACTGCTCGGACTATTCATATCGTAATAACTATCGGGTGATGAATGTAATGGCGATATTGAGCTGTTGTTCCAATGGTTCAATTGTTTTCGATTATTGCGTTCACTATTGAGGTCAAGAGTAGTCGGACGGATAGTTTTGTTGACTTCAAACGGTTTATATCGACCTTTACTGAAATCTTCTTCATCAGATTTAAAAGAAGGATTAACATTGGAAGTGGTGGAAGAACTTCGTCGATGGCATCGATAATGATGTGCACTATCTCTCGGATCATAAGTCTCATCATATCTGGCGTTCATATCTTCATTATTATACGTTTCTTTGTTTTGGATATTGTAATCACTTTCGCAACTAGTAGTCGACGATTTTCGTCGGGCAGGCATTTGGCCATTTCTGAACTCATAGTTAATGGTCGGTCGCAGTGAATGCTTGGTCTGTCCGTGATATGTGGCGTTTCGGTTCTCAATACTAACGAAATCAAATTCATCGATTCCGTGACAATCGTACTGATCTTCTTCAGCTGTCTTTTGTTGATAGCTTTCCTTTTGAACGGAACGCACGTCTGAACCGAGAGCTATGTTGGCTATCATAGCACCTGTAATATGACAGTCAAAGTCAATACACGACAAATAAAAACACGACTAAAACGAACCGATTTTTCCAATGGCAGAGTCAATACTTGAGAAAAACTTTCGTTTGTTTCGGTGTTCAACAGATGAAGAACCAGAAGACGCCTCATTTGACACGAGACCACTGTCACACTCTTCAGCTGTTTTTTGTTGTTGAAATAATTGTCATCAATTAATAGTCCATTAAAAAAATAATAATCACTACTCACGAGTATCAGCTAGACTTCCGTAAGCATAGAATGTACTCATATTTTGATAGGGAATACCCTTTCCTTTTTCGAGATTTGGCGCACTCTTCCAGATTTGATTCATACGTTTACGCTCTCTTTGATGTCTACTACTGGGCCCCCCTTTTTTCGACAGAAAAACAATAGCATTTTAATTGCAGTAAAACTCGATATTTAAATTTTTTAAAATCCACAAACAAAACAATACAAACATGTATTGGGCAGTGCGTAAGCCCTGAGTCGTGACACCGGTGTCATTGATGGGGATGGAGTTAAACTTTCAGGACTAGAAGTAACAGTAATATTGTGGCGAAAATTTTGAGGCAATCCGATCTCATGAGTGGATCCGTGTTTCAACATATGCTTTAATAACTTCTTTTTGCGGAACTTTCCTCTGCGCTTCTTTGGCTGCGGTTTGGAATCTTGCTGTTGCTGAAGGATTATCACATTGAGTTCCCGGTGCAACAGATCCATTTCCCTTTCAGCCAATTCGCGTTCGCGTTCTTTGAGCACTTGTTCCTTCACCTGTTGCTTTACCATAGCTTTTGTCAACTCTTCTTCACGCGATCGCAACTCCTTCTCTTTAGTCTTGAGCTCTTCGAGTATTTCGTTAATTTCCTGTTTCCAGTCGTTTCTCATCGTATGAAATGATTCAACATTTGTTTCAATAAAATGAGAGTTTGCTATTTCAGTTAGACTATTGAGTATGGCCTCAAAACCGGGCCTATTGTGAGGTGTCTGATCCCAACAGGCTATAAATTTTAAAAAATTAATTAATAATCATAAAAATTAGTACATAATATAAATTATTTTTAAAAAATGACAAACATTCGAGTAGTTCTTTAAACTCTGGAGGACAGGAGGATGGTATGGGTAGAGTCAGTTTATTCATGGCTACGCCATAAGCAACAGCTAATGCATCGATTCCTTTATATGGTGTCTCTCCCGTTAGGATTTCCCAAACGACTATTCCATAACTTAAAAATAAATAATTTTAATTAAAAAATAAAATCTCATAATTTTTTTAAATCTCAATCTCAAGTATACCTCCAAACATCACTGGCCTTTGAAAATGTAGACGATTTTATAACTTCGGGAGACATCCACGCATAAGTGCCCGCCTGAGACATACGCGTTGTTTTAACCAATTCACGAGCTAATCCTAAATCCGTAATCTTCAACGTCTTTCCGTACCAATTGTCGTCATCGATTGGTTCGTTAAGAAGAACTTTACAACAATAATAATAATATACATTTAATATACTAATAATAAATATCATTTAAAAAGACAAACCATTGCTAGATTTGAGATCTCGATGAATAAGAGAAATAGGACCTCTTGAATGTATATAATTCATGCCATCGGCTATCTGTGTGGCCCATTCGCAGATAACCGCTGGAGGAATGTGTTGACCGGACAAAACCCGATTCAATGAGCCGCCCCTCAGATATTCCATAACCAAACACAGGTTCGGTTCTTCTAAACAAACGCCAATAAGTTTGACAATATTTGGATGATCTAAAAGCCAAAACAATTTGGCCTCTTGTCTAACACCAGCCAATACATCGCTGATATCTTCGTTGAGATCCTGTCGGGCGGCCTTTACGGCCACTTCATAGCCCCGATAAATCCCTTTATAAACTTTGCCAAAACCGCCAATTCCTATGACATCTTCGAGTTTTAACTGAGAAAACTCTATTTCGCATATCTTCGGAGTCGTTTCCCTTTGCGGGCTGTTTTCAGGTATCACATAATTGGACGGAAATATGCCGACTCTGTGATTGATCTTTCCAGTCCACCAACCTATTGGTTAATCAATTAAATCAATATTTAATTAAGACTATTGATCACAAATAATAAGTTATGGATTATCAYTGCAAACCTTCGTCGCCAGATATCTTGGGATCCATAGACAACACTTCGACAGTGTCTCCCCTCTGTAGAGACAGTTCATCATCGATAGTGGCCTCGTATTCAAAGATTGCCGTCCAACGAGTGGTGGCCAACTCGGGCGGCGTCATCACGTTTGGCCGATAATTGGCACCAATTGCATGCATTGCGGAGGCCTATCGTTTAAAACACATCTTAAAAATTTAAGTAATATTTGAAGAGATCGTACAAACAGATGAAGAAGAAAAAAGAGGTCACAAAATAGTCTAAACGTAAAGCAAAATAATTGCGGCAAAACTTACACAAGATTTAGACGATTGCGGATGTGTTGGTGATGGCGATCATCCTTATAGTGTCGTCGACATCGGTTCAGTCAATCAATCGATTGGTGGACAACAAACAAATGTCTTTCTCTAAGATGTTTTGTTTGTGTCAGTAAAGAGAGAGAGAGAGTTTGTATCGCAAATCGCATTCAATCCTTAAATGGATTTATTATTTGGTTATTATTATTATTTTTGATCCAAAAAAACAACTTTTTTAACACTAGTTTTATAACACAAGCGATAAACTCGTTATACAAATGCAATTCAATTCAATTGAATGCAAATATTATTATAAATTATTAAATAAAAATGCATTACTTTTTTCACTCAATTTTTTGTTTGTTGTGTTGTTTTTCATGTCATTTAATACATTACACAAAATTTAAATAAATAAATACTGAGACAAACAAACAAAAATTCAAATCAAAATAAGCCATTAAAATGTCATCAATTGGTTGTCAAATAAATAAATATTAATATATTGAGTAATCATTTATCATATTATTATTATTATTATAAATATGTGACACAAAAATATTTACATTTACTCATTATTAATAATATCATAATATATTGTATATATGTATATATATATATCATACTATACTATACTAGACTATGTGTATATAAAAAATATATTAATGAAAAAAATAAATAAATATACATTTGCTTAATGCAAACGCCATTAATATCTAATTAATATAATAAATGTAAAAAAAATTATACAGACATTTGTATTAATATATTACACTACTGTATGCTTATATACAGTACACACTATACGGTATAATAATAATTGCATTGAAAATTCAATGTATATTTACTGTATAATTGCAATACATTTTTGGCTATACTGTAGTCAACAACAAAACAAAACTTGATTTTCATGTTTTGTCAAACCATTTATTATTACAGTATTATTATTATTATTATTATATTACTATTATTATGCAATATTATGCCATCTCTTGTGATATCTGCTTATTACAGGTAATCTAGTTTTTTTGTATGTCTATGTTTAGGACTGGACCTCATAGTGGACAGGGATGACAAACAAATATTTTGTGAGTATACCGTATATCATATATAAAGTTAAAAAATATACAGTAGTTTCAAAGTTTAAAAATTAATTGTTATCTTTTATAATACCTAATGCAAGCGCTAAAAATACTACAGTATAAAGTAATGATTGCATTTAAAAAAAACAATTTGTAAATGTTTTATAAATTATATTAATTATCGTTATAAAAAAATTAGGAAAAGTGACAAAAATAGTGGCAATTTTGGTTAATTTAAAATTAATTTGTGTGAATGAAATGAGATCTGAATTTAGTTTATCCTTCAATTAAGAGCAAATTAGGATAACAATAAACTATTATATATATATTTATTTATATACTGTATATTAAAGTAACTATTATTATATTAATATATTTAATATATACAGTATATTAAACTGAAACAAAATTATTTTACATTTTTGTTTATTTTTGGTTTTGTTCACAAAGTAAAAAGTTTTTATTTTTAGATTTATTATAGAATATAACGTTTATTTTCCCACTTTTTCAAAAATTAAGAGAAATAAATCTTACATTTATGTCTGTTCACAGATTTTTAATTAATTTGTTGGCTTTAATTTAAAAGTATATTTTTTGTTTGTTTTTAATGACATTTTCTTTTTTTTAACAATAAAAAAATGCCAACAGGTTTATCCTGGAATACAATTTATAACTATGATATAAATTTTATGTAAATACAGTTTTAATATTCAATAATATTTATATACAAATATATATATTTTTATTTATGACCTGGAACCTTAGTTTGCAATTGAAAATCTAGAGTTATTGATATTATATATTACTGTATTATTATTTTTTTTAATCTAAAACTTATTTTAAAATAAGTTATTTACATGATATAAACATTTTCATGAAAATATATAACTGAAATAAACATTTTTCATAAAACATTTGATGTAGTAGTCCGTGATTTTTCTTTTTTAAAAAGAAAACTAACAAAAAAATAAATAAATAAAAAATAAACACAACTAGCGATACAATCAGTCATAATATTTTATATGGACTTATATACTACTGTACTGTATATCTCGTATATACTAAATATAAGTCTATAATAAAAATCCGGATGTTTTTTGAACACAGAATTTACAGGAAAACTGTTTATATAAATGATTGGCAACGCTATCATCAATCATCTGTTGCTGTCATTTAATGACACTTATATATACTGTAAGGTATTTACAGAGTAGTACTGTATTTATAAGACTTAATATGCATTTTCTGTAAATTAATTTTTTTAAAAACAACTATTTAAGGCAATATATGATATCTATAAATGTTAGTTAGTTTTTTGGGATCATTGCCATAAAAATGCTTTAAATTTATTTCAATTAAAAATCATTATATTATCAAACAAATAATAATAATAATATTTCATATTAAATACCAGATTAAGTGCATTGATAATTAAATTTAATCGCTATGTTATCACATAAATTATTTGATATCCATGTTAATAAACTTTTTATATATATAATTTATATAAATGATGGAGTAGTAATGATCTTTAAAATTATATGCTGTAAGTTACTAAACAATTCAACAATATTATTAATTTATTATTTACTTATTATAAGCCATTACTTTACCTTTAATTAATTTTTTTATTATAAATATGATGTATTATATAAAGGGGATAAAGCAAGTTATTGACATATGATTTACTCGTATTTAATAATAAATTTTTTTATTATTATTTTTTATTTAGATTTGACAAAACATTAGTTTTAATATTATTCACTTAGTTTGTATAAAATGAGATTTAGATTTATAATCTAAATAAAAATCAATTTCAATGACAATCAATTATTGCTATAAATCATTCAATCGTTTAATGCATTGATTTATTTTTTAATCTCAAAATTCATAGACTGTGGTAAATGTTAATTTTGATTAACTCTAAAAAATACTGTATCCTAAAAATCAAACTACAATAATGAATATAAATTAATACCAAATATAAATCATAAATAATAATTAAAATTTGTTTTTTAATGTCTGCTTATCATTAACCAAAAAATATTTTTTTAAATATTAGCAATGCATCAAACGTTTGATGATTTTTATAATAAAATATTGTTATATATATTATAGAAAATGTTTTTGTTTTATGAAATAATATTAATATATCTATAAAAAAAATCTTATAATGTTATATATTTATATATCTTATTAAATACTATTTACAAATTAATGGGAAGACACATCAATGTCTTAATTAATAATGAAATATGATTAATAATAATAATTATAATAATAAAAATTATATGAATAGTTTTGATGAACAAATAAATCAACAAATTAATTATGTAATGATAATGAGTTGTGTGATGGCATCGATAATAACTGATTGGCAATAATAGGATATTTTTTGTTATTGTTGTGTTGTAAGAAAAAAATATTATTAAAAAAGCAAATTAAAAATAATTGCAATTCATTAGCAATTTGTTGTGTAAAAAAACTTGTGATAAATAAGATGATTAAGAAAAATGATATCTTTCGGTACTATTTAACTAAATATCTAAAAAAAAATTACTACAATATTCAAACTAAAAATTTTTAAAAATAAAATTATCAAAAAAATATTTGATGATTCAAAAGACAAAAATTTTGTTTTCATTCACAGAACAGTTGGAAGATAATTATAGTTGTATTTAAAATAAAACAAACAAAAATAATTTGAAGCTAATAAGTGACCAATTGTTAATATTTTCTGGTATGTTGCCAATGGGATTGACCGTCGGGATCGGGCCTCTTGTAGCGCTTGTCTGGCCGCGAGTACAGTGCAGCCACATCGGCGTTCAATGTGATCTCATTGGCCTCGCGAAAGCCCTCATTGATTGTACCCCTGCTATTAAGCCGATGCGGATCGTATGGCGGATCGATGCGAACTAATCCCGGTTTGTATGAACCCGAATGAATACCATTGGACTGTAACTGAGACCAAGCGGTCGCGTATTTCTGGTAAAAGCCTGAATTGTCTCCCGAACTGTCAAATGTGCTGATGGTTTGAGCGTCCAATGCGTTGTGACTATTCTTTAATCTAGTATTTCAAACAAATTATAATAATTTATTAATAATTAATATTTATTACAACTTTTTTTGTGTTCAAAACACAATAGGATATCCATTTGGAAATAAAACAATCAATTGAATAGCAAATTATTGATTTGTGTCTGAAAATAGTTGAAGAACAACACAAGCATGCATTCATATATATATATATATATATTTATGGTTTACCCCATATCCTAATACATAGCCACTCCTTGTATATTATATACTGTATATATAATTATAGGTTGAGTAGAGATTAAGAAAAGGGTTAGATTTTATTAGTATGAAAGCAACAAAAGAAGAAAAAAAGAGAGGAGAGGACAGACCGGTAATTACGGTCCTAAATAGGTATAGTATTGCCCGCTCACCTATTTGTTCAATATTGTTAGTAATTAGGCAAATAAGTTGACTGAGCGGCGGGACTATCCCTCCAAAGCGCACTGACGGTTGCGCTTCTCTTCTTTGAAGTGATGCTATGCATTGTGGGAAGCAGTTATAAACAGTTAGAGCACAGGTAGCCATGCATTTCATGTGTTAGACACAGTCAGTCAAGTTATTCGAGTCAAATCACGATTTAATTAAAATTTATTGTTATTATTGTTATTAATATTATTATTATTTTTTAAAAATAAATGTTATTAAAGAAAAGATATAAAGAAAACAAAGGGCTGACACCCAATACATACCTTCTGACTATAATCACAACTATAGTGATAACGGCGGCCAAGAAGACAAAGCCACCGAAGACTGCCAATGCTATTATGCCTCCCATATTAAGCCGAGCGGTCGCCGCTTTGCTGTTACTTCTCAATAGGCTATCATTCACTTCGTTATCTTGAGTTCTGATGACAGTCGGCAGTCGTGTCGTACGACTCTTTGATGTCGGTCTACGAGTAGTTGTCGTTGTTGTAGTAGTAGTAGTAGTTGTGGCCATATTTCCAGTCGAGTAGATATTTGTACGCCTAGTGTTCAGATATGGTGATGTAGTTGTAGAAGTCGACGACACCGGAATCAAAGATATTTGTGGATCTCTCAATGGTGTCGACTGTCTATCGATTATAGGCCACGTGTGGGCTGGTGTTCGTGATGTCGGCGCTGTAGTAGTTGTCTTACGTGTTGTAGTTGTTGTAGTGGTGGATGTTGTGCCGCGAGTTGTTGTTGAACTAGTAGATGATGGTCTCTTGTCTAAACCAGTGGTTAAGTAAATAATTAAGCAACTAATTCAACAAAACAGATGTCAATTGATGCAAACCTCTGCAAAATCCTGGATCTCCGTCCCAAAAGCCGGCGGTGTTACAAATAAGACGCGAATCGCCACTTAATTCAAAGCCATCGTCGCAATCATATTCAGCAACGGTTCCGAAGATTGTGTTATTAGCGGATATTCTGATCACTGAATTCGATATAACCGGAGGATTGGGACAAATGACTGGTTCACATCTGGGCGGCGGTCCGTTCCATCGTTCGTCGACATCACATACAAGATGTCCTCTACCGACCAAAATGTAGCCGTCTTTGCACGAGTAGTTCACTGTACTTAGGTATGAGCGCGAGTTATTTGATAGGATATACTGTCCATTGGTTACGGATGCGGGAAAACCACACTCTAAAACTGTTTTATTCAAAAAATTTTATTCATTAAAAAATATTCAATTTACCGGTAATTTATTTTACAAATAATTGTTCAAAAAAACTAATTAATTATTCAATAAATACATTTGCATTTTGGAGGAAATTCACTGAAGAAACCGTTCGGTAGACACGTTCGGATGTTTGGACCAACCAATAGACTTCCGTCGTGACACCGATACTCGATCACTGATCCGATTTCGACACTTCGGGCCAGAATTGTCGAGTTTGGCGGCCGTTCAGGTTTACCACAAGACAGGGGCCGGTGTTGGCAAACAAAGTTGAGATTCAGATTACAATTAGTGTCCGACCAGAGCCAACCTTTTGTACCATCAAATCGGGAACAGTTATCTTTGTTTGCCGGCAAATTCCAAAACGAAATGGTCACATCTTTTCCGTTAATCCATTTCCAGTTGGCCGGCGTTTTCGTATCGCGTACTGCGCCCAACCAGTACTGACCGTTCGGGTCATTTCTGTGTCGTCGATAGAGTTCCCAACTGAGAAAACCTTGGAGTGCGGGTGATGTCTCATCGACAAGTGATCCACCCCTGAGCTCACAGAATCGTTTTGCACTATCAAAGTTCAGCGGTTGGTTGTTATAAAATATATAACACTTTCCATTGTAAGTGGATGTACTGCCTAAAGGCTGATCCCTGAATGATGGACACTGTTCTATAGATAGGGCTGTTTGGGAGTTGTATCAAATAAAATCATTGAATCAATTATTTATATCGACACAATATGTATGTGTATATAACAAGTATATTAAGTGCTAAAGTCATTAATAAAAAATAACTACTAATTAATTTGATAAGTCATACCGTGATCTGTGTACACAAATGTTTCGCAGATTGAAAGTGGATTTCCTGGAGATTCCAGTGTAATGCTAACAAAGGCTCCGGGCATCGGTCGTGCACAGGGAAGAAACAGTGGTCGGCCCTCTTCGAGAAATCCGGTAAACTTATTGCAAACGGGATTCACACCGAGATCTGGCCTATTGTTGCCAACTCGTACAGTGATGACAGCCGGCCTATTGTTTGAACAGCACGACGAGCCAAAGTCAATGCGAACCAACTGATCCCCGAAGAAACAAACAATAGTCGGATTATTATTATTATTATTGATATATTCAAATAGTTTTTTAGTGTTATTATTGATTATTCATTATTATGTATCAAATTTTTTATATTAATAATAAATTTTATTATTAAATCACTATTTAAAAAATACCTGAACAAGAACTGGTTCGAGAAGATTAACATAAAACCATGGGTTGCGCTCAGCCTCAGTCATAGTACAGGTTTGTGTATTATAGAAATTACTGGTGCCTATGATTAACAAACAATTTTTATTGCAAATTCATGTTAAATGTGTTTTTTATATTTATATATAAAATATATAACTGTTTGATATATATAATTAAGGTTTATTAAATATATTTTTTAAAATTAATAAATTATTTAAATCCCATACTTCCATCCACTGCCTTCTGTGCTGATCCCTGGCCAACGGTCGACGATTGCATCGCTGCCTTCCCGACGGCAACATTCAATACTATAATAATAATAATGATACTAATATTAATAATAATATAACTAATAATAGGGAAATATTTAAATATGCATTAATTTTACTGACAAATTAAGTGTAATTTTCATAAGTTTTTATTTTAAATATATATATATTCAGGTGTGCATAAATTTGTTTTTTTTAATTTTTGAATTAGATAAAAGTTAAATATCTCACACAGCCTTGCGTAACGATACGCTTATGTAATTAATAAGATATTTATAAAATTTAATTGTATTTTTTTACTTAAATAAATAAAAAAAAATTATTTTCAATTATTTATATAAATAATAATTATGAGACACAAACACATAAGCAATATATGACCCAAATTAAAAAAGGTATTTATTATCATTAAAATAGTATTTTATATTTTATATATGTATTAGGCAAACGTGATTATAATATAATACAAGTGTTTTATTATTATTAATACTAATAAAGACTATGAGTTATGGCTTTCAATTGTTTTCAATATAGTATTTGATAAATTAAAATGCCTTTCGTTTTATTCTTAAATAATTATTATTAACATATAATACATTTGAGAAATATTACATAACTATTTTTTTGTTGAAATAATACAAGTATTCAAAGTATTTTAATTCATATTCAATAATAAGTAATACATTATTAATAATAAAAATTATTGTCTTTATATTTCGAAATTATCTTAAAGGAAACAAAACTTTAGTTTTAAGACAAGTTCACGACATGACAACAACAAAAACATCAATTTTGATATAAAACTATTTTATAATACATTAAAACATTTAATACTGTATTAACAAAAGCGATAAAAAATTATTAAGAGAGAGAGAGAGAGAGAGAGAGAGAGAGAGAGAGAGCATAACAACTCTATTGTTAAGCTTTCAATCAAAAACAATATTACATTTAGAAAAATAAATATTAAATATGATTTTGAAATATTAAATTCATTACTTATAAACGCAAATATATTGAATATACAGTATATTTTTTTAATACTAATTTCCTATTTTGCTATATCAGACACCAGTAGAAGGATTATTAATAATAAAAATATATACAAATATTAACTTTTAATTCTCAGTTATTTTTCTGGAAATTGATTTTATTCTTTAAAAAAAATTTCTTTAACAATCCTGCACTTTAAGTACCCGACACACACATAAAGGGTACTATACTATGCTCTCTTACACACAATATTTCAATGACTATTACTATTATTACTGAAAATATCTGATTTTATTTATTTATTTATATTTTTCAATTCTTTCAATTTTAAACACACAGTGATTGTATAGTTAAAATGTGAGGTCAAGAATGAGAAAGCATTTTCTGAGAGAGAGAGAGAGAGACTGAAGACATAAATGAAAGCATTTCTTGCAATTCATAAATCTATTGGGAAATATGTATTGTAAAGATGATGAGTGAGTGATAAAGATTTTTTATATTATTTTTTTGTGTGTGTATTAAAAACACCTTTAGATTAAGTGACTGTTTGGCACATGTAGCTATATGTTTGATGTGTGTGCATAGACAGGGACTAATAAAATTGACTTATAAGTTATGAGTTGTAGTGAATCAGTCACTTCCTGGTTAACACTGAAAAAACTAAAGAAAGATAGAGAGAGAAGTGCCGATCACTGGCTTATGACTGACTATACTGTTATATCTATGTATTTACTGTATGTATGTATGACTTATATTCTTTGAAAATTCATGAATCATGAAGTACTTGGAAGTGCCTGAAGATCAGTCAAACAGGAGTAGTGACAGTAACGCATGGCTGATATTCATGAGCCCAGCTTATGTATCTCACAGGCACATAGTAGGGACTCTTTTATGAATGGCAATGGATATTATTATTATTATTTTTTATTATATATAATACAAAATTATGGTAGGGCTGACCAACAAACACAATTATGTGGTCCCCAAACAACATCATCATATCACACACACAATGATATAGATCTTCAGGAAAGCATAAAAATAAACAAATTATTTTATAAAACATATATAAATAAGTATTACTTATATAATATAAGTTATATTTAAAGATAAATTTATGATACATGTGTGTGACATGCAGTGCACCCCTAATAATATAACTTAAATTAAGTGTCTCAATGTTAGACGTCAATTACAAATGGCAATTACTTATATATGTATTTAACTAAAATATATTTTTTCAACAGCAAAAAAATGTTATGATTTGCAATCAAAAAATGCTTTTCCATTAATTTTCAGCAAAACAAGACGCGTCTTGAACTTAAAAATACAGTGATGTGCAGGTTTAACGACCCTAAACTGTAAGCACAGGTAGGTTTTGTGCCGGCTCTCAGTTACCGCCAAAAACCTTGGAGGCTATGGTGAGAGCACAACGAGTTCTCCATGAAAATCACGGTTTTGTTAAATAATAATATAATTTTTTTTGTAAATATTGTTTGTAATAGTAATTACCAAAATCATACAATACATACATTATAAATTAAATATAACATAATTCAATGTTTCAATWAATGGCTATACATTAATACAGATATAGTCAATGTTAGGTTAAAGAAAAAATAAACGTTAGTTTTAATTCAATTGAAAGACTAATACAGTATTAATATAATAAGACATTGGAATTTCAGATAAAACATTAAATTTATGACATATTGCTTACAACAGTGAAATAAATATAAATATATATATTTATTTATATAGTATTATACATATTGTAGTATTACATCAGCTAATTACATATGCCATCCCTCTCTCTCAAAAAAATAAAAATCTATCTCTGAATGCCTAATATATATATATAATACAGTATTTGTATATTAAATAAAAAGCACAGGTATTCAAAGCATCCGGTGCTACGACATTCCAGTTGTCCGACCAATTTGTTGGCTGTTTTTATTTTTCTAGTAAAATCCCAATCCCATTAATTTACAACTTTTTTTGTTTGTTGGGCACTTTAAATATGTATTAATAGCCTAAAAACAACATTAAGCTTTTGAAATCATTTACTCCCCCCTTCCCCCGAAAAAAAGAAGAAGAGATTATTTCAATACCGGAATTGATTTCCCAAAGAATTACTAATAATAATATATAAATATATAATTTCATTGAATTATTAATTGAATTATTGGATAGAAAAAAATGTTTTTAAAACGCATTCATTATAGAGAAAAATATTTCTCTCTCTCTCTCTCTCTCTCTAAACTATGAAATGGTTAATGTATTTAACTGTATATTTAAAAAAACTAAGATATCATTAACCGATCGATTAACAAGAAATAGCAACAGAAAGTCGTTTTTGTCGTTCATTTGAGACAATTATCCGCTTATCTGAAGATCTTAGCGAATGAATCATTAAAAATCTGAGTTTTTGTTATTTTTGTTATATTATTATTATTCTTGTAATTTTGTTTTGCTTTTAATCAGTCAGTTATGCAACCAATTCAATGCCTGACAGACAGACAGGTAATCTAATCCTTACTAATAAAGAGTTTAGATATTATGTTTCGGTATCAATGACTGAGTGAATGTATTTTGTCATTCAATTGAGTCGAAAAACAATTGCATGCATTCATAAAAATGACTACAAAATTACTTTATATTTTTCTTGATTGACAAACACTACTACTGTACTAACTGTATAGTAATAATCACTCCGTGAAGCAATTCCTCTTAAAAATTAACAATAAAGACAATAAAAATTTATTGAACAAAACAATTTCAAAATAAGTTTTTAAACAAAAAAATATATTATTATTAAATACTTTATAGAAATTAATTAAATTGAAACTACTGTCAATCATTGACTTTAAATTTAAGAAACCTTAATTAATGAATGATTTTGTGTGTAAGTTATAACTAAAATTTTTGAAAAAGATTTTTGTCTAATAAAATTCAACCCATAAAAACCCATTGCATTACACATTTGAAATGAAAGATTAAAATGAAATTATTTATTCAAATGAAAATTTAATTGAATTTCTTTCTGACGGATTGATCTTGAAATCTAGATTTACTTTAGTTTTAAAAATAACTAATTTATTTAATATGTATTTGAAACGTAATTTTCATATTATACTATCAGAAATAGGAACCGATTTATATTTAATTTAATATAACAACTATAGAAATAATAAAAATGCTAATATTAATAATATTTACTAAATTTAATGTCAAAAATCTAATTGTATAACAACTGATAAGTCAATTTTTATCAATTAATGTTAGCCCTGTAGGGCATTATACTCTGCAAAAGTGTGGCAAACATATTTTTAGTATTATTATTATTATTACAATTATACATATCATACATACTATATATTAAATGTCATTAAAAATAAAATATATTTCGAATACATTGAAACTTTTATTATATTTTAAAAAACAACTTTAATAAAACTAATACTACAAAATGCACATTGAATTCAGTATCGGAATAATATATAAAACAAATAAATAGAGTACAGAAAGAAAATATAGTTCAAGATTTTGAGTTCAATTAATTTATAAATTTAAACTTTTTTATTAGACCTTTAATAGCATTTTTTCTATGTGTGTGTTATGATTAAGTTAGTCGCACTTCATTACACTTTATAACCACTACCTAAAACACAACAATATTACTGTATAATAATTATAATAATAAACAAATTCAATTAAATCTGCAACTATTTAAAAAATGCAATTAAATGCTAACAAAAAATAAAAAATCAATTTATATTGTATACACTAAGGTTGAAATATATGCAATAATGTTAGCTCTTTTATATATATGGTATTTGATTTATATGTATATATATCGTGATATAAAGTTACATAAGTTTTTTATTCATTATGACAGCTATTATATAACTGTGGTTTATGCAAAAAGCTTAGCCCAGATTTTTTTCGCCAAACATTTTTGCAACAAAAAAATAATAAGTAATTACATATTTTGTTTTACTTAATGTAACAATTATTTAATTTGAAATGATGTTTTGTGTGTGTAGAGAGGTATAACACATTATTTAGTGGAGGATTAATAAATCATTAATCGGGTTAATGCTAATTATCCTAACAAACGCCATACACCATCCCTGTGTGCGCTCATGTAATTGCAAGTAAAATGCTTTTCTCTATGCAAAAGATATTTGCCAATAGATTGTAATTTTTTGTAACTAGTGTTAGGGTAAAGCCCTCTCATATTTATATGGTATATATATATATAGTAAAGTATATATTGAAGTCTATCTATCTTACCATTGCCTTCAAAAAATATAGTGGATTGCTATCATCACAAAAAAATATATATATATATACTGTATAACAAGTCAAGGTATGTGCGGTACGCCATGAATGGCTTCTCCAGCATAACGCCAGAGCTGGCGCACAAGTCATGCATTACCATAATCTTAGCACTTAATGTAATCATTATATCTGATGATATGAAACAACTTAAGAAGCAAAACATAACACAAAACAACAACAGTGTCTTATACGGCATATTATGTTTTGGGTCAATACCAGTGCGATCCTAATCACTGACTAAAATATAAAAAAATCTCTCTTTAATTCTAACCCTATGTTTATAAATGCTATCAACAAAAACAATGCAATGAATATGTAATAGTAATGTAATACTAATACACTTATTATTATAATAATATTATATTTCTTCACTCAATTTAATTATTCATTAAAAATAATGCTAAACATTACTGAACTATAATTTTATGTTGATTTAATTTTTTATATATAAAAAGTACAGTAATAATAATAATAATCTACAATAATAATATATAAATATAAATTAAACTACAGGTACATTATTTAAAAAGTTGTTCCCAATAAAACTAATTGCCACACAAATGGCAATAGCATAGCATAGGGAGTCCCAGTGCTCTACAGTCCGGCTCTGCGCTCATATAATTCAGTTCAATGTCATCAGTGTTTATACAGTTTTATATACAGTATATTGTTTTGACTAATTATCAGATATTTGTCAAATTATTTTAGGATTAAACAGATATCCGGTTTTATTCAAATAAAAGGTTAATCACATTAGGGAAAGATATGGGTTTAACACAGGAATGATATCATATCTACAATGCAATACATATGTATATTTTTCAGAGATATCATAGATAACTTACCACAAAAGGGTATGCCTACGGGTTCCCATTTGGCACTGACACATGTCCTCCGTGACGGTCCTAACAGCTCGTAGCCATTATCGCACGTATATGTAGCTATTGTACCATTCCTTATGGTATCGGTAGTTAACGATACGGACGCATGAGATGGCGAACCGGGATATCCACATGAGTTGACTGTTAAAAAACAAAGATAAGATACAAACAAATTAGTATATTTTTTTGGCGATCTAAATGATAAGCACCGTATGGTATGAGATGAGCACTGAGTTTACCCGAAAAAACAATAAAAAAATTCCACACTATTCACATAAACCCTTAATACTAACACATAAATTATTATATAATATTATATTTTTTAGTATATAATATGTGTGTCACGACTATACTAAACTATTGTTGTTAATATTAGATTAGACACTAATTTTACATGCATAGCTAATAAACAATATTTATATTTATATATTCAACAAAATATTAATTTGATTATAATAATAACAAAAAACAAAAATTAATTATTGATTAGATTAAAAATTTCAAAACGGAATTATATAACAGTAGCTAATATTGTATTTTAAATTAAAAAACACTTACCAGTTTGAGTGATTTCAATTAAAACAATGATTAAAACAATAAAATAATAAAATAAATCCATTTTGTAGTTTTTAAAAAAATGTATTATTATTATTAATAATAATAATCGTATAATAATTTGGATGGTATATCCAAATTTTTTTTGTATACGAGAGTCATATATTGGAAAAACACACAAAAATAATAATAATAATAACTAATGTATGACTAGATATAAGATAACTGATAAAACAAATCAATAACTCAAATATAATAGRTAATGTTTTTTTGATGTACTGTATAAACAGTATATTGAGAATGTCATTCAATAAGTTTATTAGTTGTTAGATATAATCAATCACTTAATAAAGTTAGTGATACAAGGGTTGAGTTCACGTTTTTTCTAATATATATTAATAACACAAACACACAGATAATACAGTAAAATATATTAAGTGTTGTTTTAAAATATAGTATAAATAAAATGTATTTGAAATAAATATATAAAAAATAACTTGAAGACCACCACCAGGTCTTGAATGGAGAGCACTGGTAACCAAAAAAAAAATGTTTGGCTATAAAGTTGTCTTTTGAATTGAAGTTCACATAAGAAGACTTAGTGGTCGTCGACTACCAGAGCAACTGCTGGTCTCATCATTTTTGTTGTGAGTGTGTGAGTGAGTGAGTAGTAGTAGTGAATACATTGAATGTTTAGTACAGTATGTTTGCTATGAATGCAATGTATCCAAACATATATATATATATTTATATATGAAAAAGCAGTTTAAGAGTTTTTGGTACCAGCAGTTGGTAAACAACATTGTATGAGAAGGAACTAGAAATTGGGCTTAAAGTTAGGCTTAGGTATCGCCTTATGCACCGTCCCATTGGTTGTCTTGTTTACACCTGAGCTCAACTCACCTTAAAAACCAGGATTTCTAGCGTTTGGCTGCTATTGCCATATATTTGCTATTGCTTTTGTATATTGCTATACCTATGCCTAATGCCAATATACACACACATACATACATATATTTATATATATAAGTTATATATATTTTGTATACATATACTATGTTTACCCAAAAAATGTATGTGAATTTGAGCTCCAGTTGAAGTCGTCTCAGGTACAGTCAGGTGAAGCACCCGGAAAACAAGCTTAAGATATATATATAAAATTATATTAATATATAAGAGAAAGAGTTGTATGACGTGTGTGAATGTGTGTATATATGTGTGTGTATGTATGTGTGTGTATGTATGTGTGTGTATGTGTGTTGGCCCAAACCACTGGATCAGAACCGATATCCTCGTCCCCGTATGTCTCAGACCTTAACATTGCATGCATTCATTCATTGTTACACCACATATGATACGCTTATATATACTAAATATTGGATGACATTCCTTAGCACTGAACACACAAACCAGCTATCAATTGTCCAAACATTAGTACTGTAATACCGGCTCTGCTAATGAATGCCTTTATATGTGAAGAAAGGCCTACACTTTTTTCGCACCTGAAGCTATGTGCCATCTCATCCAATAGATTAACCGTTTTGTCCATTTTTTTATAATAGATTAAAAGCTAATATTATACTATAATAATAATACAGTATAATATAATATTAGCTTTTAATCTATTATAAAACGAAATTCATTTTTATAAATGAAATTCTTTATTTAGAAAAAAGCATTTTATATGCATTTTGTAACTGCTATTCAATATTTTTGTGTAGTTTTCTGTATATAATACAAGTAATGATTGAAAAAATATAATGACTTAAAATATATATAGCATTTTATTATTAGTTTACAACAATTGGGGCTTTCAATTGAATTCATTTTTAAAAGCTTATGTATTATCTATTTATTCATTGACTTAATTATTATTGTTAACATTATTATTAAATTTATTATTATTACAGTATATGTTATAAATGGGATGCATTTTTCACAAAAGTTAGTTTTAAAATAGACTTTTCTAACAGTACATCATATGGTTTATGTTTTTCATGCATAACAATAAATCTCAGCTAACATTCAATTAAAACTCATTGAATTTCTATATAAAGTAAATTATATAATATGACTATATATGCGAAGCAAACAAATATATGAAAACTCTTGTTTTAAAACAAAAACATAATTAATATTTGTTTTATTGGGAAAAGTAATAATGTATGGGCTGACTGTTGACCCAAAAATGCCATTAAGTTGTGATTGTTTTTTATAAATATATATTGTTTGTAAAACTTTTTAGTCACTCATTTGAAATAATATAATACAAATACAAATAATAATAATATAAATCTCTATTACAGTTAAATACAATATATATATAAAAAAATGAGTTTTAGTCTCCCATTCCGTTCCTCTAAAACACAAGTAGTAGAGGACTTTGTCGGGTCATTGACTGTTCACTGTTTTTTTCAATGTCATTATTAGTGTTTAATTAATTGCAAGACATGATAGTAATTATTGGCAAAAACACGTTTAAATAACGGTTTCGGATCAGCAAATAGTTGATCGCATATTAATGGTAACTCTTGTTCATCGCCGACGGCGTCTTCTCCCTCTCCTTCGTCTTCTTCTATTTCTTGTTCTTCTTTTTTACCACTTTTGCCAACCAATCGATGACTATTACCAGTTTGTCGCCGGTCTTCCACTTTCCAGATGTCATTCATACGACACTTTCCGGTTCGGGAATAACAGTAATTGGTCTCTAAGACAATGTAATCGATTGAAAGTGACGATAGCTGGCTATGAACTGAACGGAGTTCATGTGAACTAAACATTTTTTTGTAGTTTTGGTGACATAAACAGTAAATTTTTGTTATGATTTATATTTATAATGTTTTTTAAAATGAAAAAATACATACATAATTATTATTATAGTTATTCACTAACAATTTAAAAAAAAAATGTATTTATAAACTGATTGTGAGAGAATATACAGTAATTTTTTTAGCGAAAAATTACATTTTTGTGTTTTCTTTTTGTTTAAAAAAATTGACATTAAAATATAGCTTTAAAAATCAGTGGTTCATTACCTGTATAATTGGTATATTATATAAGTTCGGTTCCTAATAACCGGTGATTCATAATATGGATGATTGACTGCAATATAAATCCCAATATATAGCCATTAATTATTTGCTTATATATACATGCATACTATATTAAAATAAAAAATATATATATAAATTTTTTATAAAGTTTAAACATATTTATATAATTGAGTATAAATGTGTAAAAATATGTTGTAAAATAAAAAATAAATTTATAATGTATAATTTATATTTGAAATATTCCGGTATCATATACAATGTTTAATACATAGAATAATTTATATGGATATAACTATAGTATGTGTGATATTGTGATAAATACCATATCGGATATAAAAGTATCACATAATTTAATTTATAAAGTATTTTATATTTTCCTCTCAAAACACAATAATATGTTCTCTTTTATCTATTAATTCACAATTTTTCTCGCAGTATATTAAAAAAAGCATATCTTAGAGAAATAAAAAGATTGAAATCAATAAAAGATTGATTCAAGTGATTGAAAAATATTTTTTTCAACAAAAAAAAGTTTAAAATAAGACCACAGCAAACACAACAACAAACTTGTTTGCCATTATTATTATTATGTAACTAAAGATATTTTATGTATTAGTATTGAAAACACATACATAAAAATTCCTTTCAAATGTTTTATTATTATTAATAGTATTTATTGTATTAAATTTGTAATCCAAGGATATGATTGTATCACCAAAACAGGAGTTGTAACTAATTTTTGTCTTTTAATGAATACAATGACAATTACAACATATTTTTATATATTGATATATGATATGCATTCATATCATTTAAATAATAAGCATAAAAATATCATTGGCATACTATTAGTGCCTGTTATGTGATATTAATTAATAATTTGCAATCATATGGAAACAAATTTGTATTGACTAAAAAAATGTTTTATGTATATTAAGTAATTCATTGTCAGCTTTTAGAAATTCAATTCAATTAACAAAATGAATATTAATATAAAAAATGTCTTTAAATGTCGAGTCATTGTATGTTTTAATAAGAGGTGTCAACTATTATATTATTTAAATGGATATGTGTTTAGTAAACATTTTAAACATTTTTAGTTAGTAGTAGTAGTAATAGAAATTGTTATTATTTTTATGTAGGGGTTTATAGGCCAAGAAAACAATATATAATTACTTAATATAACCGTATATCAAGTTTGTGCCACATTTATAATGTCCTTTTCATTTATATATATATATATATATATATATAAAGTTTATATTTATTTCATTCACTACTACTCTCTCATCATTTAATTGAAATGAAACAGAAAAAAATGCGTTGAAAAAAATTTATTTTCAAAACTAGAAATTTATTTATGCAAGAATTGTAACCATAATATTAATGATAATAATAATCATAATAATAAATATAAACCTACAAAACATTTCCATTTTTGATATAATAGTTACCATAAAAATATACTAATAATGTTAACTATTATTATTTATTGAAGATTTTTCTAATATCTAAATCGATTTTATATTACAATCGTTAGTCACACAAAATTTTATTTTATTCATGATATTATATAACTCATTTAAAATGTAATTTCATATTAAAGTGTGACTTCAAGTTTTATAAATATTTGATATAATAATATTATTTTCACTAATGTTTTACTTTTAGCACTTAAATGTTGCCAATTGAAAGGCTCATTGAGTTTTCTTTTGGATACAATCAACTAATTTTGATTTTTTGTTATTTAAACAGTAAAAAATAATAATAACAAATAAATATTAAATATTATGTTTGCTGTTATATGTAGTTAAAGATTTGAACAAACGATAAATCGACAAACATTTCGCTTATTTTGTAGAATAAAATAACACAAAAAAAACTTAATATTCATAAATATATAAAAACTTTTTCCGCACTTTAAAAATAATGTCTAACATTATAAGCAAATTATTACTTTGGGTTCAAATAATTTAAATTTTTCAGTCAACATGAATAGCAATATATCAGGAATTTTTAAAGTTTACGTTAATTTTAATATTTTATTTTTTCCTAATTTAAAAAAAAATATTATTATTATTTGTAAACCCAATTCTCAAATTATTTCAAATAAAAATCACGAGTAAATTGTTTACAAAAGAGTAATATATATTCCTTTTCCTCAAAAAAAAATCTAAACATTAAATGATTTGCAGAGAAAAATGACCAAAAAATATAAATAACTGTTTTCTTTATGATTATATTTATTGATAATAATTAAGAAGAGATAGCATGAATTTCGTGATAGTTTAATGAAATCACAGTACAGTTACTGTACTACAGTATATAATAAATAAAAAAATAATAATAAAAATTAAATAAAATCAAAATTGAGTACAAAACTGAAAGTTTAGGTCTTCAATATAAATATATACAAAATAATTTATATACTGTATATATAAAATAATAATGTATATTAACTGTAAAGCGTAAGTAAAGATAAATTATAATAAATTGAGGAATAAGTGACTAATATATTACATAAAGTGATAGTGAAGTGTATATAACTTCATGAATAATGTTATAATAGTTTAAGTGAACTCTAATTTTTTTTGTATTTAAAAAAATTGTGAAGTAAATTATGTACTGAAATATGTGATGTTATATAACATTTATATATATATATWTTTATGAAATAATGATATAAGTGATGAGTATATATAATGTGATTAACCCATAATACCTATTGGCCGGCGCGTTGATAGCATCAGGTTTGCAGTTGTAGGCATTGTCCCTAAAAAAATTAAATATATATACAAAAAAAAATTATATATGAAATGAAAACACAATATGTTAATTAAAAGCTCATGAAATGCTAATTTCCATAAACCTTATTTTTTAGCGTTTTTAAATACTGTATATATATATATATATTCTATATTACAGTATATAATTTAGCTAAACATTAATACAGTATATTTTTATAAATATATATTTATAATGTATGAATTTAGTATAATGTATTTTTTTTGTTCATAAAGTAAAAGTGATACAAAAGTTTTTTTTATTGTTGTTGAGGTGATTAATATGCATTTTTTGATTTTTGTTTTCTTAATGTAAAGCGAGAGTAACTTATTGGTGAATCCCTGAGAATTAGGTAAAAGCGCTTTTTAAAGCTAACGGCTATAACTTTAGGCCAGTTATCAACAGATTTATGCAAAATTTATTTTTTATTATATATTTTTATTATTATTATTTGTATGTTTATAAAAAGAGGTTATCGCTCTTGCGTTCCCAATATTTGCTGTCCATATAACAATATATATATAACATAACATAACATTTTTTTGTGATATAAAAATTTAATTTTCCTTTTTTCTTAAATAAATAATTATTTATTTATTTTTTCAAAAATGCTTTTTTAAGAAATAATTCGTTTGCTTAGATTAGACTAAAATGAGAAAAAAAATTATTTATTTATTTTTTTTGTTTACTTGACTCAAAAAATGTTATTAACAAAAAGTTAGTACAGTAAAGAAATTATTTTCACTTAAATCACAACATAATATATTTAAATGACAACAACAAACCATATAAAATAGTAATTTATTTTTTATTAGGTTTGAATGATATGTTGGACACAAACATATAGTATTTACTGTTTAGTTAGTGTGTTGTTGTTAGTTGTTTTGTACTGCATTGTGACAGTTACTGCTTTTTTTTGACAGCAATAATATAAACTTGATTTGCAGCCACCAGTTATGGTCTATGATATTATTATTATTATGTAAGGGCTATAATGCGATATTGTAATACATATATTAAATTTAATACAATTGTAATGAATGAATAAATGATTTTTTTAAAGAAAAAATATATAACTATTTTCAACTGACAAAACTCATTGAATTGAATTATTTTTTTAGCTAAAAGTTGTCAGAAAATGTTAAACATGTTTATGTTTTGTTGACTAGTTTTTTATATATAACTGGACATTAAAATTGTTATCTAATTTTATTTTTGTTTTGTTTATCTAAATTTTTATAGACAGGTATATCATGGTATTTAATAGATAATATATAAGTAGTCCAAATCAAATTCAATACATTTTTATTTTATATAATAGTAATATAATGTGTGTTTATTACTATTTTAATATAAGTGTTATTTATACATTTTATTATTATATGACATATTCACTTATTTGCTTAATGGTATATACTATTTACAGTGAAAATAATATTAACTTATAATAGGGCACCCCTTTCATGGTTGGTATATTATGAAATTGATTTCTGGGCATTAATTTTAAATTAATGCTAAACATAATAAAAATTATTTTATATTAATGGCTTATCGTTAATTTAATTTAGATTATTATTATTATTAATAAATAGAAAAATCATAATTTACTAACAAATTATATTAAATTATATTAAATGATTACTAAAAATTAATTCACTTTTATATTATATAATTGTACATATATTATAATAAAATATAATTGGTGCTATACGGTTACATTACAATATAGATTTGAATAAACCATTAAATAATGATAAAAATAAAAAATATAGTGATATTAAAATTACTAATCAAAATGATAATTTAATATTTAGTAGAAATGATGTTAGCATATTAAATAAAAATTATATTATTAAATTATATAACGTATATATGAATATTCAGACAAACAAAACAAACAAAATTTTATGAGTAATCAAAATAATTTTTCGGGAAATTATATAATAAAATGAGATTTAAAATGATTTGTGTGTGTAATGCATATGAAATAAGGGGTCACTGTATTTGGGTATAAGTGGTTAAGTTGTGCACTGCGGACACACACACACACACACACACACATACATACATACAAAACAACACATTAATTAAACAATAATCACAAAGTGGTCTAAAAACAAGATTAAACATTTTTAATGATATACACAGAGGGGTAACCAGTTTTATCAGAGAAAAAAATAAATTACACAAATTATATTTGTTTGTAAATTTTTCATGAATTAGATTGACCCCTATGATTGTCAATTAATCATATAAGTAATTATCAATTAATAAATAAAAAAATTAAAATTATTCCTTAAATTTATTGGAAATTTTTAAGGAAATTCTCGAGAGTACATAATTAGATAATAAAAATTAACATAAAAAATCATATGCAGATATTTGTGTGTGTGTGTGTGTGTGTGTGTGTGTGCTTGTTTATGTATGAGTGTGTGTGTATGTGCTTGTGTATGTGTGTGTGTGTGTGTGTGTGTGTGTGTGTGTGTGTGTGTGTGTGTGTGTGTGTGTGTGCTTGTGTATGTATGAGTGTGTGTGTAACTAAAAAAAGTTTAGGAAAGCCTGTTGTGCAATAGTGGTAATGTTGGTTGCATTTTAAAAAACAGTTATACTCAGTAGTACTGTATATACAGGTAACAAATTGATGGTATAATCAAATGACATTAAAGGACAGGTATGTATGTATMGGTTAGGTATAATACCTGCAAAGACGGCCGTTTGATGGGTCGATGTGATTGTGAAGTCTATTAGTTGTTCGAGGGGTTCATTAAAATACTCTCCAATTATGTTAAGTTGAGTTTGAATATTATGAATGCCATTAAAACTACTCAATGAAATCAGTAAAGTATAGAGAAAGAGGTTTAGATAATTAAGACCAGAGGAACGGGAGGAGGAACGGCATATTAGTCCACTCATAATACATAATTGCGGCACAAATAATAGCTTTAGTCTCATTATTAGCAAAGACATAGTCATAAACAGTAGGGTTTGTATGGCATTAAACTGAATGAGAGCTTCGTTGGCATGTCTTGCAATGGAGACAACTGTGCCAATGATGGCATAGGGAGCTAATAGGGTTAATGTAATTGATTTCAAATCAGATAACGGCATAAAATCAAATTCTGCACTACAAGTGTATAACATTGTATGAAAATCGCGATAAGATGTCAACTTTGATAACAATATATACCAGACATGATTGTCGTCTCTATTGTCAGTCAGATAAGAGATCATCACTTTCGACACAAGTGTTAGCACTGAAATTGTCAAACAATTTATTAAAATCATAACAACTCTGTTAATTGATTTCATTTTTGACACAATTATTTGTGGCAAATATTTGACCACTTTGTTTGTCACTGTCTTCTCGTATTTTRTAATGAAAAGTTCATAACAAAGATTGGATAAAATAAAATGAAAATACAAAGAGTTTATTAAATATGTATTGAAAAACATTAATACCATCGCTATTATTACTGAACAGAAATTGCATTCAATTAGTCTTAAGAAATGTTTGCTATCTATTGATTTGATCCTAATTTGTAGGCATTTGAATGTCAAGAATAGACTAATCAGTTGTGATAATTGAAGAAATGGTGAGAATTGCCAACTGATATGTAATACTACTAATAATGAGATGACTATTAGTCGATTAAATGTCTTAAATCKGATACTAAACGAGTAATTGATATAACAATGAAGTATCAAATATATGGGATATCCGAATGACTCCCTAAGCGGTGGTGTCCACTGAATACGGGTACAGTTGCCGTGATTGAAGAAAAACATGAATAGTGTGAACACAGCACTGGCCAGACTGTAGCGGCCGATGATATACGAGTTGAGAAAAAGAATTGGTGCGACCAATGAGTTGATGGCAAAGATGGTAAAGATATAGAAATAAATGGGATGTCCTATGCCTTCGCAGCTTTCAATGGCCGGCATATCGTCGCCTCTTTCGACAACAAAACACTCCTTCGGATCATTGATTTCCAATCGATGGATGATATCAACGAACACCCGATACAACAAACCGATGACAACTTCGGGATATATATTAAACTTTTTCAAAGCATTGAAAGTGTCGGGAAATTCGGTAATATTGTCGTTCAGTACGGTATAAATGGCAGTCACAACATCGGCACCAGTTTTTTTGGCAGCCATTCCGTGTATCGGGTCGTGTCTGTCGGCCAAACGTTTGTAGTAATTGTAATACAAAGCCATTTCCGACCGAAAACTCATTTCTCTTTCAATTTCCGATAAATGGCTGAAATGTCTGTCGTTTTCAAACATCATTGAAATATATTTAAAATATAGAAAACTGACGACAATTATGATTATAACGATTAAAATGCTTTTCGATTTCATTTTGTTTTCACTGTTTAACACTCTTTTCAATACTTTTTTTTTGTTAATAATATATATTTATTAAATCAATTAATAATTATTCAATTGTTTAGTTATTTTTCATAAGATTTAATAAGATTTTACTTTATTATTAATTTCACAAATATTTAGTAAATTTAAGAAAAAATAATAAATATTTTTGTTTACATTATTTATATGATAACTGTTTTAGAGACATCTATGAAATATTGAATATAAACTTAAATAAACTAGCTAAATTATTCAATTTATATTTTTATTAATCTAAATTGCAAATAATTATTTAGATAAAACAAATTTAAAATTATTTATTAGGATTAAAAATTTTTTTCTAATATGATATATAATTAAAACAAACAAATGATAAAATTGGATATACAGTACAATATTGTAATTTTTTTTGTGTGTAAAACTTGTAATATTTTGAAATTATTATAACATACAGTATATTATTAATAATAATATTTAATTAAATACAGTTTAAGACTTTGATCCCAACTTTGACGGCTCTCCCTTGAATCGGGTGGTGTTTATCAGTTAAACGCTAATAGTTATTGAAATGTAAAACAATTTCTCTCTGATATCTATTGATTTTTTAAGTATTTAAAAATTGAATTAAAGTATACAAAACTTGTATAAGAAATTAATGTTATGTTTATTAAGAATCTTTATAATCATTACTCTTATTATTTATATTAGTTGTAAGTTATTTTTAAAAAATAATTTTTTCTAGTATCTTTTATCAAGTAATATTTATTTTTTAAAAAAAATTAGTTGAATAAAATTTTAATATTTTTTGTTAATAAAAAAATAATAATAATAAAAATCTAGTGTTGGCTTTTTAAACTGATTGAATATACCTATAAAAACAAAGTCAATTACGATGATACCGAAGCCGAAAAATTATAATTATATATATAAATACATTTCTATTGCATCGGAATTATTTCATTTTATTACAAAAACTCAAATATATTTTGTAATAATAATAATAATATTTTTATGAACAAACATTGTTTTTTTTGTTCAAAACTAATACCAATAATTTTAATATTATGAATTTATAAGTTATTATTCTCATATTATTATTATTATAATCAAATTATTGTTTAAATATTTTTTAAACTTTAATGTTATTCTAATTAGTTTTACTTAATTAAAAACAAAAATATTATAAATTTTTTTAACAATAAATTTATATAATTTTTTTTTTGTTATTTATAATTATTTTTATATCAAATATCATCATTTATTTTCTTTATAACAATGAAATTAAGTTAAATAATGTTTTACATTAATAACTTTATATTTTATTGTATTATTAATAAATTATATAATAAATGAGTTTTTTGTCAATTTTGTTGTTTAAAACCATGCCATAAGCCAGGCTTTATTTTTAGGTGATTCACAAACTGTATGAGCAGAGGAACGGTATGCTTCATAGGAACCAGTTTTCAATACATCGATATCCACATCATCCCCAATAAGCAATTGTACTTTTTGTGTGGGCAGTGAGGCCAGTGTTTTACCGGTTACTCGGGATGTCGTTATGGTTAGATTAGGCTTCACAAAGTAGGCTCTCTCGTACAGGTATTTGCCCTGAAGTGGACCGTCAGTAGCAATACGTAGGCCTTCAATATGAGTCAAAGCTGTGAGAAAATATTTTAATTTTAATTGATTATATATTTTCACAGATAGTTATATATTTAAAAATAAATAAATATTTGATACATACTTCCATCGGGAGTGTTGGTTAGCTTTAAATTTTTCATTGAACTCAATGCACGTTTACCATTGGACGGGTAGTATATGATTTGATTGGCCCAACCGGGACTAGTAGTCACATCCAATGATACGGCACCGTTATATTCGCCCCATAATGTAAAATTACCGGCATCCTCACCGGTACAATCGACAAATTGTGCCTTGATCAATAGATCTAAACTTGGTACTATTTATATATATTTAAAAAATACTATAAATAAAATAAAATAAAAAATAAAAATTGTAATTTATAAAATAGTTACATAATCCAAAATTTCCTGCATCAGATACACCTGATAAAATTAATATATATATATATAAATATTTTTAAATTATTAAATAATAATAATTATTATTATTTAAAAACATAATTATATTTACCAAATAAAATTACGACTAAAACAGTTATCTTAAACATTTTAGTTTTAGTAATTAGTATATTAAAATAAAATTCTGTATTAACTTTTAAATAACTATTTTTTTAAAACCAATTTTCGCTGAGTTTATATACTAGTACTAAATTGATTATAAATAAATTAATTTGAGCAATGTCATTTTGATATGGAAAATTCATTCTCAATTCATATCATATGTTGAGTACGTCTAAGTTTAGTACTAATAAAAACAATTAATAAGGTTTTAAAAATAATTTATTTGTTAAAAACACATTTATATTAATTATTTATTATAGAAAGTACTAAATTGCTAATTTGCACTCCAATGTTGAATTATACTGTACTACAGGTTAAGCATAAGACACAAATTGGCAAACAAAAACATTACAGCATTTTATAAAATATTATTTTAGTATTATTTATAATTTGTTATACAACACAATTTATCAATGTTTGAAGTGTCAAATACTGTATAATAGTGTATAATTTATTTAAAAAAGTATTTATTTAAATTTTTTAAAACATACTAAATAAATAAATGTTAAATAATTTTTAATTTATCGCAAATCTTATTTATTTGAATTATGAATTAACATTACCGTACATTTGTTTATATATATATATATATTATATTTATTATTAAAATAATACTGTATTATAACAAATGTTAGAATATTACTAAAAATAATGAATTAATGAACAAAATCTAGTCATCAGTGGTAGAGTCTGCCGGCTCTTCTTTGATCTCCACTTTAATCCGTTTGCAGACCCTTTCGCCAGTGTCTTCGTTATCTAAATCTTCATTGTTTTGGTTTCTTTGTTGACCAGAAGTGTCGGCATTGGCAGTCGTTTGCGAAGTAGTCGAAGAGTTTTGGTCGTCAGTGAAGAGTTCACGAATCAAATACTTGGAAACACCAGCTATTCCTTTGACGCCATCAGTGGACTCAATGTTAGACAATAGATCTCTTTTGATTCTTCTCTTGCGTGAAATATTGTCTTTTTGGTACTGAATTTGACGGACAAAGTCTACACAATAAACCACTCCTGAGATCATTATTTCACATCTTTTTTTCGGGAGATGAAAACAATTCAAATAAATTAAATAATTAGTTAATAATTGTCACCAAAAAAATCACTACAATTTTCTGTCGGCAGTGGTGTACGCCTGTTCCAGAAGTTGGCCATTAAAGTGATCGTAAGCCCAATAACCAGTTCCTCGTCTTCCCTCATAAAACCACTGATGAGACCTAAAGAAATCGGACGGTCGGTCACTGTTGCGGACATCGCTAACAAAGTTCGGTCGTATTATGTCATCCCTGTCTATATCCTAAAGAGATGTCATATTATAAAATAAATAAATGTCTTCATCTTATTAATCAAAGAGACTTACTCTTCGGCAAAGTGGACACCGATTGTTGCCATTAGTAACAACTCCTTTGACACATAAATAGCAGAACAAGTGGTCACAAGACAGCCGAATGGCAAACACTGGCCGTGACATACATATAGGACAACAAGTCATCGGATAGTTGTTGGTCACAGACATCTGTCACTGACTGTCAAACACTTTATTGGATGTGATGTTGGATTTGATGTTGGATTTGATGCAATCGATTAACTCATTAAACAAATAAATTCATATAAATTATTGTCTTTTATTTGTTTGAAATTCAATTCAATTATTAATATATGAAATGCAATGCATTTCGCAATCGCATGAAATCTCAGTATTTATTATTAATATTAAAATGTATTTGTTTTTTAATAAGCAATTCATTCACAAACACCGTTACAAAACATTTTACTGTAGTTATTGTGTTATAAAAAAAACAGTTTGAAATCAAACAAAAAAAATTAATTATAATTAATTGTAAATAATATTATTATAATTTGAATGAAAATAATGATTTTTAAATATTATTTGAATTAAAAATTGTAATTAATAATTAAATGTTTTTGGAAAAAAAACTATTTGATTAAATAGTATGGGTATAAACTGATAGATAATTATTAATACTGTATAACAATATTTATCAATAATTCAATGCATTTAATACTGTATTGAAAAGCCGGTCAAAACTTTATGTTTGCACTCATTTGTACCCAAAAAATATAAAAACTGTGATAAATATGAATAAACTATTCGCCGATTAGTTGTCTAATACACTGTATTATAGTCTATAACTACACTACAGTCGAGTCTATTATATATTTCTACTGTATTTTGTATGGGATTTATGCACTCATTTGAATGACACCACTGTTTAATAGTAATACAGTTTTATCATTTAATTTTCAAAATTAAATTATTTATTATAGTTTTTTTTGTTTGTTGGTATCATTTAATACATTATATTATTAAAAACTAGAAAATTAAATTGTTTTTCCTTATATTTAATTTTAGTAAAATAAAATAATATTGTTTTCAATATTTATTTCCATACATTTTTTTATTAAAATATAATTAATTAACTTATGTTTTATGTAGACTTACAGTAAGTCTAAAATTAATAATAATTGTTTACATTATAAATGTTTTAATCAAAGTTTGGATTATATTTAATATTATTATTAGTTGTGATATAAATCAAAAGTCTATTTATTAGTAATAATAATAATAATTATTATAATTATAAATTGCATTCAATTATTGTATAGATTTTCAGGTAATTATTATTAATATTAATATTTATCATATTATATGAGAAAAACAAAAAATAATAATTTTATTGATTTTATTGTGACATTTGTTGTCAACATTTCAATCATTCAAAAAAAGGTTTGCAATAAAAAAAATCACAACAAATGTCTGCAAAACTGTTGGGTTTGTTATCGCAAACGTCGGCCAAGAGGTCACTGTTTATCGGCAACAACTTTATCGGCCACAATAGGTCTCAATGGTCTCACATGCGATGTCTGTCCACTGGCCGTAAGTCTATAATCGCCGATAACCTATAGATTGTTTGTTTAGACAATCATTTGCTGACACGTGTCGCACGTGCGTTATGTTGTCAGGTCGTACTCACGTTAACTATGAGATCAAGGATGGCATAGCTGTTGTCAAGTTTGATTCACCCAATGCACGGGTCAACAGTCTGTCGCGGGAAGTGATGAGCGACGCCGAAGCCGTCTTCAATGAGATTTCGACCTCAAGCGCAGTCGGTGTTGTCCTCATATCGGGAAAACCTGACTGTTTTATAGCCGGAGCCGACATAACAATGTTGGAGAAGTGCAAATCTGCTCAAGAGATCGAGGAGTTGTCCAGAGGTGGACACGTGTTTCTCGATAGACTCGCCAAAAGTCCGAAACCAATAGTGGCGGCGATTATGGGTTCATGTCTTGGCGGTGGTCTGGAAGTGGCACTCGCAGCACAATACAGGATAGCTGTCAAAAATAAGAAAACAAGTCTCGGATTACCTGAAGTAATGTTAGGCTTATTGCCCGGCGGTGGCGGTACTCAACGTTTGCCACAATTGGTATATAATCTGATAATAATGAGTTAAATGATTTATTGAGAGTTAATCTCGATATTTATCGATAGATTAATGTCCCCGAATCACTCAGTATGATGTTAACGGGCAAAATGGTTAAAGCGGACAAAGCCCGCAAATTAGGTCTAGTTGATCAACTTGTTTCACCATTAGGTCCGGGTCTTAAGCCGCCCGAAGTGCGAACGTTAGAGTACTTGGAGGAAGTGGCCATCGAAACTGCGAAACAATTAGCCAGCGGTAAACTTAAGATTAATAGAAAGCGACCGCTGAGTGAAAGTATGTAATAATTGTAAATATTTTTGAATAAATTTGTTTAAATAGTATTTTAAATTGTGATTACAGGAGTACTACGTGCAGCCATTGGTATCCAATTTATTCGCGACAAGATTTTTGATAAGGCCAGAGGACAAGTCATGAAACTAACTAATGGTTTATATCCAGCACCACTTAAGATATTAGAAGTGGCTAAGACTGGTCTAGAAAAAGGTCAACCTCATGGAACTGAAGCCGAGATTAAAGGTTTTGGAGAACTGAGTCAAACGACACACTCAAAAGCATTGATTGGTTTATTTCACGGACAAACACTTTGCAAGAAAAATAAGTTTGGAAAACCAACCAAAGAACCGAAAACAGTGGCCGTATTAGGAGCTGGTTTGATGGGAGCGGGTATCGCACAGGTATCCATTGATAAGGGTTATCAAACTATTTTGAAGGACGTTTCAACTTCTGGATTAGCTCGAGGAGAGGGGCAGATTAGGGGTGGTTTTGACACAAAAGTGAAGAGGAAGAGACTGACGGCGAATGAACGTGACGTCTATATGTCTAATCTATTGACAACATTAGACTATAAAAACTTTAAAAATGTTGATCTCGTAATTGAAGCTGTTTTTGAAGATCTGAAAATAAAACACAAAGTAGTGCAAGAAGTCGAACAACACATACGCGACGATTGTATTTTTGCCTCCAATACATCGGCTCTACCGATCGGTAAAATAGCTGAAGCCAGCAAACGACCCGAAAATTTTATTGGAATGCATTACTTTTCACCCGTCGATAAAATGCAATTACTTGAAATCATAACAACCGATAAGACATCCAAAGAGGCTTCGGCTGCAGCCGTAGCTGTTGGTCTCAAACAAGGAAAGGTTGTGATTGTTGTCAAAGATGGGCCCGGATTTTACACAACAAGATGTTTGGCACCCGTCATGTCTGAAGTGATGAGACTTATGCAGGAAGGCGTAACTCCTAAAGAATTGGATGCACTAACTCGTGCTTATGGTTTTCCAGTGGGTGCGGCAACTCTTGTCGATGAGGTTGGTATCGATGTGGCCGCACATGTTGCCGAAGATCTGGGCAAAGTGTTTGCTGAACGTTTTGCCGGTGCAAACATTGAAGTACTTAGAGAAATGGTTGCATCGGGTTTCACAGGTATTGTCTGCTCATAAGTGATTTTATTTACAAATTTTAATTTCATATTAATATGTTTTTTAAAATATAGGACGAAAAGGTGGAAAGGGATTCTATATCTACACTCCGGGCGTCAAAAAAAGGGAATTGAATGACAAAGCTTTAGATATATTAAAGAAATATCACATTCCGCCGAAACACAAGTAATTAAATTTTAATACTCAAAAACAACAATTCTTATTAATAATTAATATATATTTAACTTTGGATTAGATGTACTCAAGAGGAACACCAGATGAGACTTGGCGTCAGGTTTGTCAACGAAGCCGTTCTCTGTCTACAGGAAGGCATACTCGATAATCCGGTAATTAAATACTTATTTAATATATATCTAATCTATTTATTCACTAATTTACACTAATTTTTTAATTATAGCTTGAAGGAGACATCGGAGCCGTTTTTGGTTTAGGCTTTCCCCCGTTTCTGGGCGGACCCTTCCGTTATGCCGATACACACGGAGCCGGAAAAATAGTTGATTGGCTCAAAAAGTTTACCGATGACTACGGACCACAATTCAAGCCGTGCCAACTGCTTATCGATCACGCAAATGATCCGTCAAAGAAGTTTCATATATCCAAATGAGTTTTCAACTGATTGATCAGTTTTATCATTGTTTTTATAAAAATTAGTTAAAGCTATTAATATTAAATATCATTTACGGTAAATGATGATAAATAAGTAATGCAAATTGCGGTGCATTATAAAAAAATAAATGATATATTTTTAGCGAGTTTTATTAAATTTTTTCATATAATACATTATATTTGATAATAATAATGTTATTTCTATAAATAAAAAAAATATTTTTTATTAAAATAATTATTGACTATAAATTTGATTAACATAAATTGGCAATATAATATTAAGAGTATTATTATATTAATAGTAAATAAATATTTATAAAATTATATTTTGCTAAATTGAGTAATTTATCACATACATACAGTTACGGCCAAAATTATAGCGCCCGGTAAAAATGACCAATAAATATGGTTAATTGTGGGGTTGTTGTAGTGGGTGATGGCTAGATGATGGCCAGTAGGGATATGCCTAGAAATCAGATTTGGGTCTCTTCGCTGGTGTGTCAGTTATTGCAATAAGAGGTTATTATAATCCTCTTATAAAGATAACTGATATTAATTTTGGTCACTGAACAGCCAAAACACAATTTTGTTTGATTGAAAAACAGTTTAATTCACTGGTTTTTCATTCAAACAAACACGTGTTGACGCCATTCAGTGACCAACAATAAAACCTCAATATTACCAGCGAAGAGAGGGCCCAAATCAAACTTCTGAAGAGGCTACCCCGACTGGACTGGCCAAATGATCGGGGTCAGCTTGATCCCGAAGAGAAGTAAGGCCACAATCAACCGATTTCTTCGAAACCCAGAAGAATATGGGCTGAAGATACGGTCTGGACGGCCTTCACTAATTTTTCGGGCCGCCAACCAAGCCATCTCTCCATTCACCTCCACCCTTATAAACTGCAAACAGTTCGCCGGGTGCTGCATCAGGAGCCCAAGGCTGGATGGGTGAAGCTGGTCAGCAAACCCCCGCTAACCAACCTCCATAAGGCAGCTTGAGGTTTGCGCTGGAGAGGGTAACGTGGGCCGCTCAGTGGCGTCAGGTTGTTTTTTCGGACGAGAAAAAGTTTAACCTTGACGGCCCTGACGGAATACACCGTTACTGGCATGACCTCCGTACCGAACCTGCTGTCCTCTCCAGGAGAGCTTTGGGTGGCGGGTCAGTTATGGTTTGGGCCGGATTTGGATGGCTTGGGAAGACTCCAATCGCTTTCCTTCCGCGCCGCTCCAATTCCGATGTCTATCAAGACATATTGGCCTCTAACCTAACGCTCCACTCATCACCGAAGGAGAGTGGATTTTTCAGCAGGACCGTGCTCCCATCCACATCGTACAGCACGGTCAGCTGGTTTGAAGCCAATGAGGTGGTCGTGATGGACTGGGCGAGTCGTATCGAGAACCTATCCGCATACGCAAATGGCCGACAGTTCGCGACCGTACCTCAGCTGAAGGAAGCTAAATCGGGTAGAGCCTAATCGAGTCAATGCCCCGAAGGATGGCGGAGACTATCCTCGCCCGTGGAGGGTCTACTCATTATTGACCGGAAATTGTCAATTAATTTCGGGACTCTATAAAAATGTCTAATTTTATTTAATTATTTATTTTTTTGTATTTTTTTTAATTTAATGATTAATAAATATTTTTTTAAAATTAAATTTGTTTTATTTATTTATTTAATAATTTAAAAATTAATTAAAAATTTTAATTGTAAATTAAAACCGAAAATATTCATTTTTATATAATTTTGGCCATAACTGTAATACAATATTAGCAATTATATCACACACGCACACATTGAGTATTATATATCTATATAATTTATATAATAAATTATTTAATATAAATTACTAATAATTATTTCAAATTAGTTAATTTGGACATAACATTCAAATTTTATATGGACATTAATATTGTAATATTAATACAATATATCAATAAAAAAAATAATTTTTTATGTCATCATTACGATTGGCTGTAATGTAACGATAATACTGTATTTAATAATTATTGTAGTGTACAAAAAATTTAACAAAAATTTAAATAATTTGATAGGTATTACTATACATATGGTATTTATATTAACTCTAGATTAATAGATTAATAGATCGTTATATTGTTATTGTTTTTTAACGACAAATTATCGGATAATTAAGAGATTGTTAGCAAAAATTATTAAATGACTTAATCTGTTTGTTAACTGTTTAGTCATTGGTTTTTAATTATTATTTTTTTATGGGTGACCTTTATATGAATATGAAATAATATTAATTATATTAATAAAAAATAATAATTAAAAATAAACAACAACAACATAATAATTTTAAAAATATATTACCATGATCATTTAGTTGACAAAACAAATTGTTTTGACCAATCAATCAATTAGATAGCAAATGCCCCGCAATCAAATCCGCCAAAGTCTCCGCCACCGCAATCACCGCCTCCATCACCACCATCATCACCCCCACTACCACCAGCACCACCACCACCGGCACCTCCATCGCTACTTCCGATACAATCGACGCCCATAATCGGCTCTATTCAATAACAATAAATTTAGTTATATATAGTATTATTTTAAATATGTCATTATATACTATACTTACCAAACGTAGGCATATAAACTAAATGATCCTTTGAATAGTCAATTGTCGAAACATTTGGATTTTGACTGTTATTATACTCTTTATTAGTTGAACACAATTGACAGATTATAATTGCAATTATAACTATCATTCCTATTAATCCTATGTATAATATTGGAATATCCATTTGGATATTGATTTTTATCTATTTCATTCAATAAATTTCATTCAATTAATTTGATAATTTGTATAAAAATTATTTTTTCAATTTCAGACTAATAATTTTATATAATATTTTAAATATAGAAAGTTTGTCCAAACACTTAGCAATTCTATATAATTAACTAAATTGATAATATTTTTAATAAACATTTTATTTATATGTATATATATTTGATCTAAAAATGAAACGAAATCAGATATTTTCCAAATAAATAATGAAGTTATTCGGTATATAAACAATAATCACTGCACATGTCTACTAAATAAAATAAGTATTCAATCGATTACAGAATATTCTGTAAATAATTCTTAGAAATATTTGCTTTCAAATGATATAAACTATTGTAGTGTTTGAGGATTGAATGCAAACAAGACATGTTTCAGACGAAAAACTTGGTGTTAGAGTTCAAAACCAAATGAATATTTTAGAACCGAACCGAAAATCGAGATTTAGAATTATTAGCAAACAGTTTACACAAATATTGTTAATATTATACTACTATATAAAATATATATTATTAAAATTGAAAAATTATATTTTTAGTTTTTACTAGAATATTAAAAAATTTAAAAATACGTTTCAACTAAAAATTGATTTTTATAAGTGTATTATTATGTTAAACTTTTTGATATATTTATGGTATAAGATTTTCGTAAAGCAAACCAAACCGCAATTGTTTAGAAACATAATTAGCGCACATTTTTACACAAAGTTTTGCAATACTTAAGTAATATTTTATTTATTTTATATCTTAATATCTTAATAGAAAATATTTAAATAAAAAATATTTTTAATAATTATTGAATCATATGATTTTAATGTTTTCAAATAATTAGTAACGTTAATAATATTAGATGTTTGCTAATCTAAATATATGAATTATTAAATTTATGAATTAAAACACAAGTATGCACTTTAATGCTTAATATAAATATGTTATAAAAATATATGACAATAATTATTATACATTTAAATATTTGAGAATTAATATACTTTTAGTCATATTAAAAAAAGCATTATTATTATTATAATTAATATATATAATTAATTGTTTATACCAGTTATATAAATTGTTTTCATTGGTATTATTGGTTTGATGTTTAGATATACATATACAGGTAAAAAATGAAATAATAAAAATGTAAATATAAAAGCAATTTAAACTTTTATGACATACATTTGAGAAAAAACCAAATAAAAAATATTTCGATAGTTTGAAAATATTTAAATATATTTAATTTCTATTATTATATTTATTTAATGCTGTATTCTAGTTATATAAATAATAAGTACTATTAATCTACTGTATATACTGTACTATACTTTTACTACTATATAACAACATTATTACAGCACATGTCTATTGAATTGAAGAATTGTATTACAAAAGACAACTTTTTTAAAATTTTCAGAATTTCTTATTCATTTTTGCATTGAGTTTGAAAATGACAAACAATTTATTGTATTGTTTTGTAATCTAAGATTTTATTACATAATAGTATTCTTTGGTTTTTTAGCAAAAATTAATTTAAAAAAATCTTTTGTCAATTATTTTGTTAATATCTCAAGTATTTCACAATTGAATTGCAATGTTGTTATAATTATTAAAGTTGGATAAAAAAAAGTTTCTCAATATAAAACAACAAACTAATAAATTTTATCAGCTTAATAAACTTTATTTAATATATTAAATGATAAAAAAGTGTTATTTATTAACTAATGCATTAGTATTGAATTTTATTTGTAAATTTATATTATCAAAATTAAAAAAAAATAAAATACAATTAATAAAATAAAAACTTGTTTGTCTATAATATTCTAATGTCATAATAATTTAAATCACAACAGATAATAATATTGTTTATTATTAGCACAATATATTATTATAGAGTAATGGTAGGGAAAACCTCCCACAGATTTTTTTTGCAGATTATTGTAAACAAATTGTAGTAATATTTTATATTTAATATGTATAAAACAGGGTTAAGTAAGAGGTTAGGGGGTCAAATCAAAGTATCCCCCCTAAGATCGAAATTTTGGGAATAACCTTAATATTTTTTGACCAAATTGATGCTTAAAAACAAGGAGAAATGGCCTCCTAAAATTTTGAAAAATAATATAATTTATTGTCTATATTTACCTATTTTCCTGGGAATTTATATGGGAATATTCGGGAATTTAAGAAATTTTTAGGGAGTTTTCTAAGGAGGATGGTGTCTTTTATGAAGTCTACATCGCGCCCTATACCCCTTGTCCAATATTTTTCGAGATTTTTGTATTTTGATCCCTACTAGACCCACCCCCTAAAATCCAAAACCTTGCTTAACCCTGGTATAAAATAATTTAATAATTTTTTAATATTTATTTATTTGTGATTATATAATGATGATATTATGGAAATTTATAGGGAAAGTTTACTTGTATTCCTATCGAAATCAAATCTATTATTAATTATTCTGCTATTTTTTGCGTTCATATAAATAAAACTTTTGGTTTTTTAAATTTATATATACAGTAGTAATACTGTTATATTTGATTATAAAAATCTAAATAAATAATAATTATTTATTATTTATTCATTAATTCTAAAATATTAAATACTAGAAATCTATAAATAAATAAAACTAAACATTTTCCTTATATTTTATATTACTAAATAATATTAGTTACAATAAATGAAAAAAAACTGATACATTGTATTTAAAAATATTTGTCATTTGTGTAAATCAAAGGTAATCTTTGTTAATCAAATTATTATTACTAATTATAAATTGCATTCAGTTATTGTATAGACTTTCAAGTAATAGTAATAAATAGTTATTATATTGTATGATATATACCGTTATAAGTAGATTATAATATAATTGCAATTATAAGAGACAACAAAAATAAATTATTGAATTGCTTCTAACATTATTATCAAAAAGTCATTTAGTTTTAATACTCGAAAGTCGAATATTTTAAAATTTTTAATCAAATTACATTAAAATCATATATAATATTAATGTTAAAAAGTTTCAATTAAATAAGTGAAAGTTTTTTTTATTGTCTTTGAATTATATATACTGTATGTGTTTTAAAAAAATAGATGAAAACCCATTGCTTTAAGTCTGGGTTTGTTATCGCAAAAGTCGGCCAATAACTCACTGTTGATCAACAACTTTCTCGACTACAATCGCTGGTCAAACGTTCAATCGTTATCCCGATAAGTCGTATGACATATATGTCGATGACCTACTAATTGTTGTTAGTTTTGACAAACATTTTATTTTTTGTTGACACGTCCATCGCTCGTGCGTTATGTTGTCAGATAGTATTTACATTAGAGGATAGGATCAGATTAAGAGTGATTTGGACACAAAAGTGAAGAGAAACAGGCTGTTGATCTTAGACAAGGAAAGGTTTGAATTGTTATCAAAGATGAACCAGGATTTTACTCAACAATATGTTTGACTCCTTTCTGAATATCAAATGTTTCAATTAATAAGACAGACACCAGAAGATGTGTTTCCTAAACAATTGGATACATTAACTCGTGTTTATGGGTTTCTAGTGGGTGTGTCAATGAAGTTAGTATCGATGTGATCGCATATATTGCCGAAGATCTGTGGAAAGTGTTTTGCCAAACAATTTATCGGCTCAAACATGTGTTGATTTCAATTATAAATATAGTATATATTTTTTATAATTAAAGATAAAAAAGTATGAAAAGAGATTCTATGTGTTAAACACCGGAGGTTAAGAAAAAAAATAAATCAAAAAGCTTTAGAAATATTTATTTATTTAAATATTACAATTTTCCGAAACACAAGTTAATTGCAATTAAATTATAATATTTAAAAAATCTTATTACAAATATATTTTTAAAAATAAATTAGATGTACTCAAGAGGAACACCAGATGAGAATTGTTGTCAGATTTGTCAACGAAGCTGTTCTCTGTCTACAGAAAGGTATAATCGATAATCCGGTAATCAAATGCTAGTTTAAAAAAAAAAAAAAAAAAAGGATCAGGATTTATAGTGCACGTCACATAGTATGTATGGTACACTTTTTGGAGACCCTGTCCCCTTTTTTTGTATTATTACCCATAGCATGCGTATAGCACTCATAAGCATAGTTAGAGGAGTACCTACAAACAGTAAGTCAGCTTGGTAAGGGGACGATTCTTTGTACCCAAACTAGCTGTTACTTAATATTTGAAATGGCAATAAACAACAGTGGCTCACCAGGGAATCGATCCCCGGACGTCGTACCTCTATGTTGTTTCTCAGGCAACAAGTGCAAACAGCCGACGTCTTAGCTCACTACGCCATTGAGCCACGGACAAAAAATGCTAGTTTAATATATTTCTACCACACATTTATTAATTAATTTACAATAATTTTTTAATTATATTCATAGTTTGAAGGAAATATTGAAGCCTTTTTTTTGTTTGGGTTTCCCCCCGTTTCTGGGCGTCCCCTTCCGTTATGACGATAAATATGGAGCCGGAAAAATAGTTGGTTCGCTTAAGAAGTTTACCGATGATTGTGGACCATCGATACAAATTGTTGTGCATTATAAAATTTTTTAATTAATTTAAATACAAATAAGTTTATATTACATATTTACAATATTTTCACAAAAAAAACTTTAAAAAATAACTTATAGTATAAACTATTTAAATAATTTCAATACTATAGCTATTTTTTAATACATAAAAAGTAAACAAACTATTATCATAATAGTTAGTAATGAAAATAGTAAAAGAGTGTAAATATAATCTATAAAATTATCCGACAATTTTTTAACATTATTATTATTTATCGGTTTTGGATTTTTATTAAAAATGTCGAAATCTTTTTCTCTGCAAAGAGTTGAGTAAAAAACAACAAATTATTATTATAACAATTTTTATGTATAAAACTATTTATTATTTTTATTATTTTTATTTATTTTTTTTTACTATATTATGATAATATTGTGGAATTTTATGCAATTTAAAGGGAAGGTTTACTTGTTTCCCTACTTTCAAAATTAAAAATCCATTAATAGTTAGAATCGTATCTATTATTAATTATACTGGGATTTGCACTCTTTTAAATAAAACTTATAGTAATACTAGTAATACTATTATCATTTGATTTTTAAAATTTAAATATTATTATTTATTTTTGATTCATTCAATCTAAAACACTTAAATTTTTCCTTATATTTTATTTTACTAAACAATATTGTTTGCAATAAATGATTTTTTATACATATTTAAAATACTTGTTATTTGTGTAAATCGAAAGTTATATTTGATACTCAAATTATTATTAATAATTATAAATTGCATTAAATTATATTATAAATTTTCAAGTAAAAATATAAAATAGTTATAAAAGACAACAAATAAAAAAGTTTATTGATTTGTTGTGACACTTAATGTCAACATTTTTATCAACAAAAAAAAGATTTATTATAAAACAACAAATGTCTTCAAAACTGTCCGGTTAGTGTCATTTGTAAAGCAGTATATATACTCAAAAAAAAAATTATTTTTATACAACCGATTCAGATATCAGTATTTAAAAAAAATTATATTTTAATAGGTATTCTGATTTGATAAGATATTAAATATTAAAGTATTTAGTTTTAATTTTCTAGAATAAAATATATTGAAAACGGTAAGTCATACTTTGAAATTTGTAACCAGGAGTTTAAAAAACTACATTAAAAATTATTATTATATATATATTTTTGAAAAATAAAAAATTGAGGGGTGGATAAGTGGGCTTTAGAATTAAGTAAAATTTGGGTGGTTTGGCAAAAAAGTTTTTGTTTATAGATTCTGAGTATATAATTGTATATAATTATAAATATATGTATAAAAAAAACTTTATAGAAGAAAACCCATTGCTTTACACGAGTCTGGGTTTGTTATCGCAAACGTCGGCCAATAGTTCACTGTTGGTCAACAACTTTCTCGACTACAATCGCTGGTCAAACGTTCAATCGATATCCACTAGTCGTATGTATCCATACAGTATATCCGCAGATGACTTACTGATTGATATTTTTTACAACCATTTTATTATATTTTTTATTGATACGTGTTGTCAGATCGCAAACACGTGAAATACGAGATAAAGGACGGAATAGGTGTTGTCAAGATTGACTCACCGAATGCACGGGTCAACAGTCTGTCGCAAGAAATGATAGACAACATTGAATCCACTTTATATGAGGCAATGGCGTCCAGTGTTGACGGCATTGTCATTATATCTGCAAAGACGGACTGTTTCTTAGCCGGTGCTGACATAAAAATGTTGGAAAATTGCAAATCTGCTCAAGAGTTTGAGGAACTGTCAAGAAATGAAAATCGATTTCTCAACGATCTGGCAAATAGTCCGAAACCAATAGTAGCGGCGATTATGGGTACATGTCTTGGCGGTGGTCTTGAATTGGTTCTCGCAATACAATACAGAATTGCTGTCAACGACAAGAAAACAAATTTCGGATTACCTGAAGTAATGTTAGGTATAATACCCGGCACTGGCGGTACTCAACGTTTGCCACAATTGGTATATAATTTCATAATAATAGTAATAATTTCATAATAATTTATTAATAGTTGATCCCGACATTTACCGATAGATCAATCTTACCGAATCACTTAGTATGATGTTAACGGGTAAAATGGTTAAAGCAGACAACGCCTACAAATTAGGTCTCGTTGACCAACTTGTTATGCCATTAAGTTCGGGTCTTGAAGTGAAAACGTTAGAGTACTTGGAAGAAGTGGCCATCGAAACAGCGAAACAATTAGCCAGCGGTAAACTTAAGATTAATAGAAAACGACCGCTGAATGAAAGTATTGTAATAATTGTATATATTTTTGAATAAATTTGTTTAAATAGTATTTTTAATTGTGATTTACAGGAATACTTCGTAAAGCAATTGGCATAAAATTTATTCGTAACAAAATTTTTGATAAGGCCAGAGGTCGGGTCATGAAACTGACTAATGGTTTATATCCAGCGCCACTGAAGATATTAGAAGTGGTTAAGACTGGTCTAGAAAAAGGTCAACCCTATGGAACTGAAGCTGAAATTAAAGGTATCGGAGAACTAAGTCAAACGACACACTCGAAAGCATTTTTCGGTTTATTTCACGGACAGACACTTTGCAAGAAAAATAAATTTGGAAAACCTGCTAAAGAGCCGAAAACAGTGGCCATATTAGGAGCTGGTTTGATAGGGGCCGGTATAGCACTGGTATCTATTGTTAAAGATTATCAAACTATTTTGAAAGACATTTCAATTACGGGATTAAGTCGAGGAGAGAATCAGATTAAGAGTGGTTTGAACACAAAAGTGAAGAAAAAGAGACTGACGGCGAATGAACGTGACGTCTATATGTCTAATCTAATGACAACATTAGACTATAAAAACTTTGAAAATGTTGATCTCGTAATTGAAGCCGTTTTTGAAGATCTGAAAATAAAACAGAAAGTACTACAAGAAGTTGAACAATACATACGCGATGATTGTATTTTTGCCATCAATACAATAGTTATACCAATCGGTAAAATTGCTGCGATTAGCAAACGACCCGAAAATGTCATTGGAATGCATTACTTCTCTCCCGTCCATAGAATGCAATTACTTGAGATTATTATCACCGATAAGACATCCAAAGAGGCGTCGGCTGCAGCCGTAGCTGTTGGGCTTAAACAGGGAAAGGTTGCAATTGTTGTCAAAGATGGACCAGGATTTTACTCAACAAGATGTTTGGCACCCGTCATGTGTGAAGTAATAAGACTGATGCAGGAAGGCGTCACACCTAAACAATTGGATCTATTGACTCGTGCTTATGGTTTTCCAGTGGGTGCGGCAACTCTTGTTGATGAAGTTGGTATAGATGTGGCCGCATATGTTGCCGAAGATCTGTGGAAAGTGTTTGCCAAACGATTTGCCGGTTCAAACATTGAAGTATTAAGAGAAATGGTTGCCTCGGGTTTTACAGGTATTATAGTTTTATATTTGAATTTTAATTACAGATATAATTATATATATTTATATACTATATATATATTTATAATTATAGGACAAAAAGTAGGAAAGGGATTCTATGTGTACACACCGGGCGTTAAGAAAAAAAAGATGAATAAAAAAGCTTTAGAAATATTAAAGAAATATTACATTTCGCCGAAACACAAGTTAATTACAATTAAATTTTAATATTTAAAACGATTTTGTTGTTGTTATTAGTTATTGTTTGGTTTTATGAATTAGATGTACTCAAGAGGAATACCAGATGAGAATTGTTGTCAGATTTGTCAACGAAGCAGTTCTCTGTCTACAGGAAGGCATAATCGATAATCCGGTAATCAAATACCTATTTAATATATTTATAACTTTTTTTAATTAATTAATTTATACTAATTTTTAAAAATTATATTAATAGCTTGAAGGAGATATCGGAGCCGTTTTTGGTTTAGGTTTCCCCCCGTTTCTGGGCGGACCCTTCCGTTATACCGATACATACGGAGCCGGAAAAATAGTTGATTGGCTCAAAAAGTTTACCGATGACTACGGACCACAATTCAAGCCGTGCCAACTGCTTATCGATCACTCAACTGATCCGTCAAAGAAGTTTCATATATATAAATGATTTATTAGTTTTATTTTTGAATTAATATATATACAAAAATATTATAATTATTAACTATAAATTTGATTAACACAATTAGCAATTTACTGTTAAAATTAAACATAATATTATATTTAAAAGTAAAATGTTAAAATTGGTTTATCAATATAAAACTGAAAATACTTATACTATATATATTTTTTTGTTGATATGTAATTAATAAAAATCAATAAATATTATTTTATTAAACAATACAAAATACAATAAATAGATATCAGAGAAAAAATAATAGTAAACATTTATTTTAAAAACTTTTAATATTATTATAATTTAAATAATTTCTCATATCTACAATAACGATAATTAGAGTAGTTGTTATATATAATAACTAATAACAATCATTAATTGTAAAAACATCACTTAAAAAAGTTTTTATAGTTATCTTTACGACAAAAACAATTTAAAACTACTTTAAATATTAAATATGATTAAAAATTGTTTAAATATAATTATTATGTATAAGATATTATTAGGGAAATTGATTTTTGAGGAACTCTATAAACTAATAAAAACTAATTGATATTTATATAATATTTATTTCTTATTGTTATATTACTGTACTTGATAATTACAATATTAATTTTTATATTTATGAATTGACATTGATAATAAAATTAACATTAACAAAAAAAGTGCATCAAAAAATACTGACAAACATTTACAATATACAATACTCTAATAACATTGACTAAACTTGTTTAAGATAATAAATTTTAATATTAATATGGGTTATAAATGACCCCTCCCTGAGTTAATATTTTGTTAACATAAAATACTTGAATGATTGCATTAATCACATCCACCCCCACTATCACATCCACCCCCACTATCACATCCGCCACTATCACATCCACCGCTACTATAGCCACCACCACTATATCCGCCTCCACCACCACTATATCCGCCTCCACCACCACTATATCCGCCTCCACTGCTACTGTGGTTACCCCCACCACTATCACATCCACCGCTACTATAGCCACCACCACCACCACTATATCCGCCTCCACTGCTACTGTGGTTACCCCCACCACTATCACATCCACCGCTACTATAGCCACCCCCACCACCACTATATCCGCCTCCACTGCTACTATGGTTACCCCAACCACTATCACATCCACTGCTACTGTGATTACCCCCACTACTATAGCCTTTATGACAGTCATCTCCGCCACTATTCATAGCTGGTGTGTCAGTAGTGGTCTTACTATTATTGTTAGCATTTAAAATCCAATAATTATCATGTGATGAATCAAATGTATTATTACTTTTCGTTAAATTCTGATTATTATAGTTGTGTTTTAACCTATTGTTTTGTCGAGTATTTTGACGGGTGATATAACCGGTGGGTTGACCAGTGTTTTGTCGGGTATTTTGACGGGTGGTATAACCGGTGGGTTGACCAGTGTTTTGTCGGGTATTTTGACGGGTGGTATAACCGGTAGGTTGACTAGTATTTTGTCGAATACTTTGACGGGTGTTTTGATCGGTATTATGATCAGTGATTTGACTAGTGTTTTGTCGGGTATCACATCCGTCCACATATTCCGACATCAAATAATTATGATGTTTGTGATCACCATTTGTTGTCGATTTAGGATTATTTTTATTGTAATATTTGTTTCGTTTAGTTTTGTTAGATTTTATGGGCCATAAACCGTATCGGACACAACATAAATATAATGAACACAATAAACAGACAACAATGACCCCAAACGCAAATATTATGGTAGTAATGGAAAAGCTATCCATTTGATTGAAATTACTTGACTGTCATTTTACATTTATAAACTATGATTTAATTTTTAATTAATTAAATTGTTACTTTAAACTATATATATAGAATACTGTATATTAAATAATGCACAGCATTATGTAAGTAAATAATCATAAAAATAATATTTTTTTCTAACTATTGCTTTAATGTTATCATGTTTATTGTTTATACGATACTTAATTGATAATTTTTAATTCACCTTTGTTTTTTGTGTAGAAAAATGACAATAATAAAAAAATAAGAAAACCAGATTATTAATATTATTATTTGTTAAATATGATAACAATATTTTTTTGTATGTGCCACTAATCAGTTATTGATAAAACAATTAGTAATATATTGTTTATTAAAAAAATATATAAACATTTTTAATCTAAAATATTGTAAGATATTCTGGGAAATTTATGCAACCAAATTATTACATCAATTATCACTATTATTATTATTATTATTATTACAGAATACTATTAGAAATTATAATACAAATAAGAAAAAATTATATTTTTTTCTAAATAAAAATTGATTATATTTTTCGTTCAGATCTATAATAATTATTATTATTATTTAAACCGTTTTTAAAACTAAAGAATGAAATGATTAAACACTTTTTAATTGAATGTTTACCCAAAACTAAAAGTGTAAGGTTTAACACTTTTTTAATTTTTTGTGTGTATTTTTGATCTCTTTTGGATAAAAAAAAGTGTAAAAATTGGCGTAAAATACATTGGGGTAATTTTTTAGAATATATACCATAAAATACACTATGTTTTAATGGTAATTAAATTGTCGCATCAATCACAGTCACCTCCACCTCCGCTATCACAACCGCCCACACTGTCGGTGCCCCCACTGTCGGTGCCCCCACTGTCGGTGCCACTCGTATCAGATGTTATTATAATAACGTTGCTATCAGTTGACATCCAATAATTATTGTCTGTCACACCAAATGTATCGCCACTTGTTGTAGAAAAGTCATTATTATTATTATTGGTGTTATCCGGGTTTCCATAACAATTACTACAATTTTTAGCACATATACTTATAATAAATATAAATATAACAATAATAAATGTAATAATCATTAACTGATTGACATCCATAATATTTATGTTGATAATAATTAGTTTTCAAAAAAAAACTTTATATTATAAATAGTTAAAAAAAATATATTTTAAACAATTTTTCCAAATTAATACATGCATATTTAATTTATAGCATATACTGTAGCAAATTGGTTACACTTATTGCATGCAATAATTGGCAAAATAATTTTTTAAAATAAAAAATGTATAATTCTTAAATAAAATAATTAATTGAAAATTCTGAAAAGTTGAATAAACAAATCAATATATACAGTATAAATACAATAAATGTTTCAATGGAAATTCAATGGATTTATTTATATTAACAAAATAAAATAATTAGCAAATACAGTATATTATAAAAATACCTGAACTATCAATGTGTTCATTATGATAGTTAAAAATAATTTTAAATATTAATTCAATAAAAATAAATTGTTTTTTTCAATTTTCCTGACTAACAAAACCCTAATGAAATTTTAATAGAAATTTAATTAAAATGTTTAACATTAATGACAGTCACAACTATACCAGAACTGATGTACAAAATATACGGTACAAACAAAAAAATTATTACCAAAAATGTGATCAAAATAATTATTTCAATTGTATCCAAAATTTAAATTATAAAAAGGTTATTATAAAAAACAATATTATTTTAAATTTTATATAAATTTATTAGTTTTTAAATAACAATAAATTGATTTTTAAAAATTGAACACATGTTGCATAAAATTAATTAATAAAATAATTTAATATAAATTTCATAAATTTATGTTTATTGTTTAATTAGCATTATTCAGTATATTCAAACAAACAATTTACTTTTTACAATTACAACAAAATGTTATTTAATACTGTAGTAAATTATAAAAATTAAATAAATATGTAATGCTAAATGATACGTAAGCTAAATAATATAATATAATAAAAATAGATACTTTTAAAAAGTTTTAGGTAAATTGACCTTGTTTAATTTTTAGAAACCATAATAATTATTTATCAAAATAAACAATTAAATACTCATTTGTTAAGCAATAATTACTATGGACTATAATTTAAATTACAATTTGGTGATTAATCACACCTACACTTAACTTATAAATCATAAAAATTTAAACATTACTACAATTTTATGGCTCAAAAATGTACTAAAATGTGACCTTCTATTGAATATAAATAATACAGAATATTCTGTAAATTATTATTAGAAATGTTTTGTTTTTAATTGATAAATATTGCTGTGTTTGTATATTGTATGCAATTAAAAGCTTTTCAGACAAAACTTGGCGTCAGATTTATGAATAAAAAAATTTGAATAAATAAATCCATATATCTCTAAAATATTTCACAGAGATTATGTCATTAGTGAATCAATTTAATATTAATTATGACACAAATTAAAAGATACAAATATACGGGATTCACATCTTTAAGTGATGAACACTAATAAATATACAGTATAAAAAATATAACATAAATTTTATTGAGTGATTGTATCAATCACAGCTACCACCACCACCACCACCACCACCACCACCATCGCCCCCACCGCCACTATCACAACCACCTCCAGCCCCACTGTCACAACTAGTGTTAGTGTCACCACCGCCTCCACTATCACAGCCACTGAATCCACTGTCCATACCTGATGTGTCACTACTAGTGATCATAATATTGTTGCTATCATTGGATATCCAATTACTATGATGTGTGGCACTAAATGTTTCACCACTTTTTGTAAAATTGTTATTATTATTTCTGTTATCAGTGTTTTTCCGCTTTTTGCAAAAAAATATATCACACAAACATAATAGGAAACATATGATAACAATGGGGATAATCATAAAGACGGCTTCCATGGCTTCACAATTTCAAGTCATTTGAATTTTTTAAATTAACAAATATCAATAACATGTTATACAGTATATATACTATAGTATATAAATTTACATATAATTTAAAATTTAATGGTTTGCAAATAAATTTGATTTTTACATAAAATTTGAACTATAACAAGTGTTGCAATTATTTTTTAATATGTTTATTGATTACAAATTTATAAAAATAATTCTGTATTACATATGCTAACGATTTAACTGGAAAAACTTGATTAAAATGAAATATACTGTACATAATAATTTATGAAACATATAATAAAACAAATAAAACTGTGTGTATGTAGTTTAAAAAAAACTATTATTGTATATATATACAAGATTTCATTTTTAAAATTGACCTTGATGATAAACTAGTTTAAAAATTAACTTAAAATTGAAATACTAGTGAAATTAAAAAAAAATAATATTTAACATCACAGTAATCAAAGCTAACTTTACAATTTGATACCATCACCCTTACTATCACAACCCCCACTGCCATTACAACCACTATCACATCCGCCAACATTGTCGTCAACTATTATTACTACCGCCTCAACTATCCAGAGCTAATGTATAAAATATACGGTACAAACATATTAATAAAACAATTGCCAAAAATGTAGTCAAAATAATGATTTGAATTGTATTTATAAATTTAAAATATAAAAATTGTAAAAATAATTTTATTTTAAATTTACTAGTTTGTATATAATAATAAATTGATTTGAACATTTGTTACATATAAAAATAATAGAATATTTATATATATATATTTATTGTTTATTAGCATTATATAGCATATTTAAACAATTAATTTACTTTTATTAAATGTTATTTAATAGTTAATTTTAAAAATAAGATAAATATTTATATGTTTTTTACATAATATAATTAAATGATTGACCAAACCTAAACTTAATTTATATATCATAAACATAAAGATTAATACATGTCTTATATGGTAAAAATGTACTAAAATGTGGCCATCAAATGAGTATATATAATACAGAATATTCTATAAGCTATTATTAGGAATGTTTATTTTTAATTGATAACTATTGCTGAGTTTGTATATTGAATGTAATTAAAGAGTATTTTTACTAAATCTAGATTTTATTAAAATAAAGATAATAAATATTCACAAAATAAAATAAATAAATAAGTTTATTATAACATTGTAATAATTATTAAACATTTTACAAATTAAATACTAATTAAAAGATACAAATGTATGAGATTCACACAACAGAGAACACTAATAAATATATAGAAAATTTATATTATGACATAAATTTTATTAAATGATCGCATCAATCACAGCTACCCCCACCTCCACCCCCAGTGTCACAACTAGTGCTAGTGTCACCACTGCCTCCACTATTACAGCCACTGAATCCACTGTCCATACCTGATGTGTCACTACTAGTGATCATAATATTGTTGCTATCATTAGACATCCAATTACTATGATGTGTGGCACTAAATGTTTCATCACTTGTTGTAAAATATTTGTTATTATTATTTCTGCGACGTTTTATGCTAGAAATTATACCAAATATAATGATAAAACATATTATCAAAAACATGACAACAAAGACGGAGATAAAAATCATGAAAATAGTATTATTATCCATGGCTTCACAATTTCAAAATCACTTAAAATCGTTTAAATATAAAATAAAATGTCTTCAAATGTTTATTTTGTTGTTGATTTCAAATTTAATGTTTTGTAAATAAAATTGATTTTTAAAAAATTTACATCATAACTGATTTTTATAATAAATGTTGAAATAATTTTATTTTATTAATAATATTAAAATTATTGTTTAAAATGTTCATTGATTACTATAAAAAATAGTAATACTAAATTATGCTAATGATTTAACTGGAAAATTTGATTTAAACATGTATAGTGACATTACATACATAATAATTTATAAACACTTAATTTTCACTATAAAAATAGATTATACTCACAAAATGAAATTTATATAAAATTTACAAAAAACTATTATAAAATATTACGATTGTTTGAAAAATTGACCTTGATGATAAATTGAAAATCAACTTTGAAATTCAATGTCACAATTAACGCTAACATTACCTAACTATTTAATTAAACTAACAACTTTAAGGTGTTAAAAATTAAATTATTAGATCCAATGATGATTTTTTAAAAAAATATTGATACCTCAACTAGTTTGATATAATTACAATAATAAGAAAAAATTAATACTAAACTTACAATATATGATTATCAATTATATCTGATAAAAAAATATTTATAAGTATAAGTTATATTATTTCTAAAAATTGACTAAATATTTAAATAATAAAAATAAATCTAATTTTAAATCTAAAACAAATTTAAAATAATTTTTTATTACTACAATATATTAATTGTTTATCCAACACATCCACTACCATAATCACCGCCACAACTATCCGTATCTAATGTACTGTACAAACAAAACAATTGTCAAAAATGTGATAAAAATTAATTATTTGAATCGTATACATAAATTCAAATTATAAATAGTTATTATAAAAGCAATATTATTTTGTATTAATTTGTAAGTGAAACAAATATAAAAATTAAAATCATAATATTAATAAAAATTGTTGAATATGAATTTTATAATTTATTGTTTCTTAAAATTATAYAGTATATTCAAACAATCAATTTACTTATGTAAATTGTAATATAATATTTAATTATAAAAATAAGATAAATCATTATATATACGTTACATAATGCAATAAATATTTWWAAAAAACATTAAAATAGACATTATCTATCAAAACAAGTAATATAATAATTAATTACAATAAAATAAAATTTTTTATTGATTTAAAATTTAACTTATAAATCGCTCAAATATAAACATTAATACATGTTTTTATTGCCCAAAAATGTGGTCTTTAAATGAGTATACATAATACAGAATATTCTATAAGTTATTATTAGAAATAATTAATTGTTTTTAATTGACAACAATAACTGTGTTTATTGTATATTGAATGCAATTAAAGAGTGCAATCTAACAAAATTTGGCGTCAGATTTTTGAATAAAAAAAATAAAATAAACAAATCTATTTAATATTTATGTATAAAATAAAGTTATTTTAACGCGCTGACAACAAACGTGTGCCATCGGCACAAATCGATGTTTTCCTTTGGTGACAAAACAGTGCCATCGGCACAGAGCCAATTGACCAATCAAAATGAATCGAACAAAAAATTAAATATTATTGAATTTTAATTTTATCTATAAGTTATTAAAAATTTAAGTTATGTATGTCTTATAATAAGTGACGCTAACATATAGTGGCTTTTTATCGTCTAAAGATAAAAATAGCTGAAGATAGTGATAATTAAATTCAATTATCATCTAATGGTAAAAATAGCTGAAGATAGTGATAATTAGATCCAATAATCATCTAAGGGTAAAAATAGTTGAAGATAGTGATAATTAAATTAAATTATCATCTAATGGTAAAAATAGCTGAAGATAGTGATAATTAGCTCCAATAATCATCTAATGGTAAAAATAGCTGAAGATAGTGATAATTAGATCCAATAATCATCTAATGGTAAAAATAGCTGAACATAGTGATAATTAAATTCAATAATCATCTAAGGGTAAAAATAGCTGAAGATAGTGATAATTAAATTCAATTATCATCTAATGGTAAAAATAGCTGAAGATAGTGATAATTAGCTCCAATAATCATCTAATGGTAAAAATAGCTGTAGATAGTGATAATTAGCTCCAATAATCATCTAATGGTAAAAATAGCTGAAAAATAATGAAATATTTGACCTATTCCTCAATTTCTTCAGTTATTATTACCATTATATGATAATATGACCTATTCCTCAACTTCTTCAGTTATTATTACCATTATATGATAATATGACCTATTCCTCAACTTCTTTTTATATGATTATCATACATTTAATAGGTTTGGCTAGTATATTTTAAAATTTTTGTAATTATTCTAAAACCGTTGAAAACTTAATAATAGATTAAATTCTGATTGGTCTAAAATTAATTTAATAACACGCGCCATAACAATCTGGTCACTTAAGGTAAAAATAGCTAAATTTGAATGACTTCAGAGCGTTAAGAGATTATTATATTATGTCATTAGAATAATCAGTTAAATATTAATTTTTAGTAATTAACATCAAACACAATATAACAATTATAAAATAAATGTTATAAAAATAGTTTTATAATTTATATTAGCGCWATAATATAATAGCATTATTATACAAAATAATATTTAAACAATATATTTTATTTARTCACTATAATAAAATAATAAGCTTGCACAAWAATAAAAATCGATAAAAAWTTATGTCATTATAATATTGTTGAAATTTTAAAACATTTTACTAATTAATTACTAATTAAATGATACAAATACAGTATTTGGGTTTCACACCTAAATCAGTGATAACAATGATAAATATATAAAAACATTTAATCATTACATAAATTTTATTAAGTTATTGCATCAMTMACCACCACCACCATCACCACCACCACCACCTCCACCACCACCACCACCACCACCACCACCACCACCACCACCACCACCACCACCACCACCATCATCACAACCACCTCCCCCCACCCCCACCTCCACTATCACAACCACCTCCACCCCCAGTGTCATAACTAGTGCTAGTRTCACCACCGCCTCCACTATTACAGCCACTGAATCCACTGTCCATACCTGATGTGTCATTACTAGTGATCATAATATTGTTGCTATCATTAGATATCCAATAACTATTATGTGTGGCACTAAATGTTTCACCACTTGTTGTAAAATTGTTATTATTATTATTATWATTATATCTGTGACCATTGTTTTTCCGTTTTTTGGCACAAATAATTAGACACAAACATAGGGTAAAAAAAATGCCCACAAAAGCGGCGACTATAATGACGGRACCAAAATGCATGGCTTCACTATTTCCAAGTCATTTAAATTAACAAATAAAATGTTTTCAATATATATATACGATATTATATATATATATATTGATTAAAAATTTAATGGCTTTTAAATAAAATTGAAGATACTATAGTTTACATCAAAATTAATTTCTAATAAATGTTGCAACAAATTTTTAATTTAAATATTATTGTTTAAATAATGTTTATTTAATTGGTATAAAAATAGTAATACACTTTTGCGCAATTGATTTAATATAAGGATAAATTTGAATAAACATTATATACAGTACATTGAAATATCATAATTTCTAAGAATATAATTTTGACTATAAATAATATATAATACTAACAAAATATATCCTTTATATAAAATTTAAAACTATTTAATGTATTTWTAAAAAAAATTATAGTATTGTATATACAATATTACTGTACTATTGTTTAAAAATTGACCTTGATGATAAATTATGTTGATTTACTCTAGTCAAATCGACAAATATATATTCTATAAATCTATAGATAATATATGTAATTTAGTATTTAATATAATTACTAGTTTACCAGTAATTATAATAGCATCGATATAGATATATTTAATAAAAATAATTTTATTAAATAATAAAACTTTAAAAAATAACTTTTAAATTAAGTGGAAAATATAATAAATAAATGATTAAATCATATGATATATTATTGACCGCACCTACAGTTAATTGTCAAAAACAGTTTAATAATACAAGTTTTATGGCCATTACTATAACATAGGTGGCCCTTAAATGAGTATAAATAAAGTACAAAACATTAAATGTATTTAAAAGGCAAAACACAAGAGTGTATGCATTGAATGAGTCATTGAATCGATTGGTTTGAATAAATGTTAGACAAATAACAACACAAAAGCATCTATTGTTTGATCCATCGGTTTATCCATTGATAGTCATCTTAAGCCACATTAACAACAACACCATCACTACTGTCACAACAAAATGCCAGTCATTGTAAGTATTGATTWATTGAGACCTCAATTATTTCTAAGACATGTTATCTGATTTGGTTATGTTTGTTGATAACCATTGAAGAAGGGATCCGAGATAGGCTTTGCCACTCTTCCCGAACACGTCCACCGAAAATCGGCCAAAAAAGGCTTTGACTTTACCATTATGGTTGTCGGTATGTTATTTGGCGGTCACTTCCAATCGCTTTAGTTGTTTAATACCAATTGACATCAATTATTCTTTGATATCTTTGGATGACAGGCGAGACAGGTCTCGGTAAGTCAACTCTAATCAATTGTCTGTTTTTGGCCGATCTTTACAAACAACGCAAACCGGTAAATGTCGACAAACTGGTTGACCGAACAGTTGGTATCGAGAAGAAACAGGTGGACATTATTGAAAAGGGTATTAAATTGAGAGTAACGATTGTCGACACTCCCGGCTATGGAGACTCACTTGATCTCAATGACAGCTTTGACGCCGTAGAGAACTATATCGACCAACAGTTTGATCAGTATTTTAAAGATGAGTCGGGACTCAATCGCAAGAATATTGTCGACAATCGGATTCATTGTTGTCTCTACTTTATATCACCGCTTGGAAGAGGGTATTGGTTGAGTGGATGTGTTTTTTTACTAGAAATTTATTAAATAATATATATATTCAAACAGATTGTCACAACTGGACATCCAATTTATGAAGCGATTGCACAAAAAGATAAATATAGTGCCGATTATCGCCAAATCGGACGCTTTGACACCCAATGAAATGCATGCGCTCAAGAAAAAGGTATTATTATTGATGTCATATCTATTATTTATTTTTTAATTACCATTAATTGGTTTTTTGAATTTAATGTTTGTGATAATGGATTCAACAATCAGATCCTAAGAGAGTTTGACGAACACAGTATTAATATCTTTCGTATTCCCGAATGCGATAGCGATGAGGACGAACAGTTCAGACGCAAAGATCAGGAAATTAAGGTATATATTCCTATAAAAATATATACATAACTGTGCTCTTTCTATATGATCTAAATTGTCTGTCAGTTTAAACACTTACCATAAATATTAATATTTATATAGGAATCCATACCATTTGCCATCGTTGGCAGTACTATTACCATTGATTATAATGGCAAACGTATTAGAGGACGTGAATATCCGTGGGGTAATATATTTAATGATACCATATCTTAACTTAAATCTATACTTACCGTAAAATGTAAATTTTATGTCAAAATTTATAGGTGTTGTCGATATTCAGGACGAAAAGTACAGCGATTTTATTAAATTGCGAACATTTTTAAGGTATGATATATAAAAASACACATAKTTTAGTGTAATAAGGCATACATRTAGTGATTGTTTTGTTGTTATTATTATTACCGGTAATTTATTTTTGTTTTGTTTTTGTTTTTTATAGCCTACATATGCAAGACCTCAAGGATGTGACCAGTGATGTGCTCTACGAGAACTATAGAGGACAACATTTGGCACAATTACAGATACAACAAGAGTATGTCTTAAAAATGATATWTTAATTTTTTTATWTAAATATTWAAAAAATTTGACCTCTAATTTGAAACCCCAACAGAAGTGACCCGAATATGACTACCGAAAGACTTCTTCAGCTCAAACAAGAAGAGATACGTCGAATGCAGCAACAGTTAGAGGCAATGCAGGAACAGATCCGATGTCAATCCAGTCAACCGGTCAGTAGTGCAGCTCAAAGTTGCGATGATTTGTCGCCTAAAGAGGAAGACTAAAAAGCAGACCATTGTTTGTCATTTGAGAAGAGATAAGTGTTTTTTATATAACATTTGTAACAATTTTTGATATTTCGGTGATTTTTTATTTTTAAATACATTCCCATTTTGTGATTTATTTAATTTATTGTTTTTTAATACTAAATGAATTTTTTATTCAAATATTGTTTTTAAGTTAGAAAAAAACATAAGTAATATATTGACAGCTAAAATCCAAAGAAATTTATTATTATTTTTAGTATAATTTGCATTTTAAAAGCAATTTTTATATTTATAGCAATATTTGTATTTTTCAATTTATTTAAAACATTTTAACATTTGTTTGGAAACGTTTGAATAGATTTGAATCAATACTCAATGATTAGTCACAAATGAAATTTTGTTTATTTATATAAATATAAGAATTCAATTTAAATAATCATAATATAAGTTATTTTTAAAACTTTTTTTCTTAATAATAATAATATCCAAAAATGAGTTTATTTTTAATGTTACGACTCATAAAGCAAATGATGAGAAATGAAAATAAGTAATACTTTTTAGTCATAAAAATATACATACAATCAGTTGCCAGACATAGTAGGGAATCGATTCTGTTGGCTGTTATGACTTGACTTTTTTCAGTGAATTGCTATTTATCTTAAAAAACTATATATAAAATATAAGAATATTCTTTAGACAAGAAAAGGAAAAAATACTTTTTTTTATTATTTGTGTTGAATATACAATATATTGTGTATAAAATAAATTTTTATGTTGAATATTGCAGATAATGTTCAGCTCATTAGTGATGAGTCATTAGCTTAGAGGTCCTCTTCATTATTATTATTATTATTATTAAAACCAAATCCGAAAGACATGAATGAAATAAAATTGCGATAAAATTTAGAGTTTATTCTGTTTTTTCTTTTTTAAGAAAATAGACAATTCTTGTGTCCCAATAGTAAACAAAATGATAGTAACAAACACACAGATAATAGAGAGAGAGAGAGAGAGAGAGAGAGAATCAATGAATGCATTATATCTATAATGAAATTCGTGTTTTTTCTGTGTATTTGAGATTACATTTCACATTGCATTATGTTTTTTATGTTATTGTTGTATTAAAAATTTTTCAATTTTCTAAATTAAAATTAGATTATACTTATGCTCTAATTATGATTTATTATTAAAGCGTTTACTAGTCATTAAGCATTTGCTTTGTTTTTTTGTTGTTGATAAACTATATGATAAAACAATTATTTTAACAATTATTATTTTACTAATTACCCTAATTTTTGGTATGATAAGCATTTCATTAATTTAATACATCTATTTTCATTATTTATATTATTAATTTTTTGGATATTAAAAATATACAGAAAAAAATTTTAAAAATAAATAACATACAGATATGAACATTGCAATTTAAATGTACAAATAATCATTTCATAAATACAAATATATATATATATATAATTTAATTAGAAAAATAATTAATTTTTTTGTAGTCAAAAATTTAGTTATTTTTAATTTAGTGATATTTTTATATAGAGTTGTTTTATTTATATTATTTATCGTATTATATATTCATATTCATATTAATATAAAATTTTGAATTTTTATTATATAATTTATCTACTTACATACATGATATTGTATTATTTTTAAATAATTAAATAAAATAAAAATTATTCATATGGTATTTGCATTATTAATTTTCATTATAATACACTGACTTTATTTTAATATTTTAATTTTTTTAAAAACATTAATTAAATATTAGATATGATTTTGATATTTTATGGCTGGAAATTTTAATATTAAAATTAATGTTTTATTTAAAATATATTTTATATGTATAATATTAAATTTAATAAATTATATATTATTGTGTGTAATATAAATATATTGATTGTTGTATTTTTTAGCAGTTAACGTATATATTATACACTATAATATACAGTATACTAAATACTAATAATGGTGTTAATTGTCAACAAATGAGTGCAATAATAATTTTGGACAGTAATTGTTTGTGTCGTTTCAATAATCGGCTCATTGCTGATCAATGTTGACAACAGTGTTGTTGTTGTTGTTGTGTCTGTAGATAATCAGGAAAGTGATGTAATATGTGGAGTAAATTAGAGACACATAAAAAACAAGGAATAAATTTTATTAACAAAAATACTAGAGTTTTTATTTGTATACAATTTCTATTTGATTAAATAATACTAACTCTTTTAATAAATTTTAAATAATGAATATAACTTTTATTATATTATTTTTTAAAAAAAGTATTAAAATTTAATAAGATTTTATTGAAGTGGATTTAAATGTTATAAATTATAACTTATAATTAACTAAATATATATATATATACTTACCATTAGTTCAATATTTAAGGTTCTCACGGTTTTAATTTATTTTTTGTTTTCCACATTTTGACTATTTATCAAATATTAGTTATATTTTTTAATCTTATAATAATTATAATTATTAATTTTTTTTCAATGAATAAAAAATAAGTGATTTTTAAAAATTAGCCATTTAATGTGCTAAAATTTTTTAATTTAATAAATATGCAATCATTATTTAGACTCTTTAAAGTATAATACAGTCTATACTTTATAAGATAGGTTAATAATCTTTTATACAATGTATTATTAAAATGTATTCAATTATTTTCAAAAAAACAGTAGGTAGTAATTATTATGAAAAAAATTAAGACATTATTTTTTAAAATATAAAGTGCTAAAATTTATGTGAATTTTTATGTCATCATTTATATGATAATTAGTAACAATAAGTGAATTTGTATTTTTTTCTCAAAAAATGCCGATTTACTGTATTTGCAATATACTGTGTTTACCGGTAATTATTTTTTAACAAACATAAATAAATAAATAACAAATTTAATGTTTTATAATATACTGTATAAATCAGATTTAAAGTTATTAAATATAATTTTCTTTTATTAATCTTATATAATATTTAGTTTTTCTCTATTGATTTATATACAGTATAATACACTGTATAGTAATACTGTATTTATAGTGTACTTATTGGGGGATAAAAGTAAATTATAAGTCAAAACTAATATATAGTATTCATGTCTTCATTTGTAGGCTTTTTTATGGCCAATAATCCTCACTTTAGTTTCACTCGTCTTTCTCTATAGCAGTTTGTTAGCAATGAATGCATTACTTGATTACAATTACTTTATACTATAACTTATATAATACAATGTATGTCTTAAATATACACATAATATACTGTAGTATACAGTCTTCATAGACTGCAATCCCAGAGCAGAGTCTCCACTCTTCTCTAATAAATTATTGACTTTAATAAACAATTATTATTATTATTATTATTATTATTATATACACTCATGTYTTATGATATTGACTTTAACGCAACACATATACTGTATAAATATTATATATATAAAGTAAGYGAATGAATGAAAGAGAGAGAGAGAGAKMGAGAGATCTTTTAAAAATAAATAATGAGAAACATTATTATTATATCCTTTTTATATAAATATTTTGTTGTAAAAATATACGTAAAACTAGARTTTTAATCCTACTATTCATTTGAATTGCGGCGAAACGAAAATTTATATATATTTTTATTTACATTTTCATTGTAATCAATAGCGATAGCAAAAGAGTGTGAGAAATAAATAGAGAAAATAATTATTTTATTAAATATATACAAATTTAGAAATATTTATATAATAGAAATATCTATTTTAAAGAATAGTATTTTAAATAAACGATTTAAATAAATATTGAAATAATTATTTACAGAAAAATTTGCATTTTTCACTAAACAAATCTTTTTATGTATTTATATTTATATATTTACTGTATGTATATATTATAAACAGTATATATGACATATTATATAATTATATTTTGGAAATAGACAGCACATACATAATCACACACAACCACACCTGTGTCTATGATGATTGACTCCCCAATTAACACAACAAGTTAGCCCACATGATAGTCGATGATAGCATTGGTGACAATACATAGCATTTTAATAATTAGTTAAAGCAAAATAACCAACACTTGGCTTATTGTCTAAAGCTTTAGTACCACCGGAGCACCAGTTTTGACAGACAGACACCGGATATTATTAAACAATTCACACGAAAAGCGGGTTTAGAAATGAAATGAAAAATGTAATAAAAATGCTTTTAATTTATGAAGAGATAACATACATAGCTTATAGAGTCACTAAACTTTTATATACAAATAGTTTCATAATTGTATGCATAGAACCCAATGCATAATTCTCTCTATTAATTTGAATTAATTAAATCAAAAGGTCTTTTTAATTATTAAAAATGCCTAACGTTTTGATTTACAGCTCAGTATTATTTATATATTAATATTGTATAATATTTTAATAATAATAAGTACAATACTACTGTAGTAGTAGCAGTAGTAGTATGGACTACTAATATGATATTTTGTCATATGATGTCTACTATTATTATGCATAGCTTTTCATACAATATTTTTAGAAACTCATATACAAATATATTCCCTATATTTTCTCTAACATTATTATAATAATTATATATATATATATATAACTTGGCTTTCAGTACATCATTTTGCTAAACAATTTGTACACTTTTGGTAGTTGACAAACATTAGTCTCTATCTCTTTTTAGAAGTAATAATCGTATTATATTGTGTTTGCATTTAATTGAATTTTTTTTAATAAAATAAGTTTTATTTCTGTCAAAACATGAGTTTATATATAATATAAAAGAGAAATTTCCTTTTAAAATATTCATAAAACTTATGTAATATTTAAATCTATTTTGATATTAAAAATCTCAATTTCTTTTTATTTTTATGATTTGCTGTGATTGACTATATATTATATAAATATAAATTATATATCAAGACATGTATAAAAATGATTGATATTCATAGGTATACTAATAGACAATATAAATGCACATATAATGTAAATATTAATATATACAGTATATATAACTTATGATATGATTGAACGCAGACTTTATTTTATTTATAAGATTCATACAGTAAATCATACTGTTTTGTCTATGGATTCAATTAATTACATATTTAAAAATAGATATTTAATAGATTAATATATTGCTATTAGTATTATTAAAAATGATATAAAAGATTTTTGTTTTATTAAATAATTTCTGAAATTGCAGAGCTTTTCAAGTATTACTGGTCATAAACATAATTATGTTTACAATATATTAAATTATTAATAACTAATATATTTATTTCTAAAAATAAAATTAATATTTTTGTGTACATTTGTTGCTATAAATTTAATTTAATTAAGTGGAATTGTGTGCGAAAATATCATTTTTTAGGTCCTAAATGTTTCAATAAAATTCAAATATATATATATATATATATAGATATATACAATGGTTATTTAGCCTAAACGAATTAATATCAATTATAGTAATAAAAATATCAACATTTTTATCACTTTATTACTTATATAAAATTAAGTATTTTTATTGCTTATTACACACAYATTGTGTAAAGTATCACTACTATATTTTTACAGTTATATTACAGTTATACATACATAGAGAAAAAAATACTTACAGTTAGTTAAGTTTATTTCTCTAATATTATTGATTATTTGATTATTATTAGTTGTATAATATTTTTTTCTTTAAAAAAGTATGTTTCCAACATTTTCCGAAAAAACATTTATGTTTGATTTTTGTTTTTATTATATTTTTTTAAAGGATCCATCAAAATTATTTTATCAGAAAATAAAAGTACATAAAAAATAATATTATTTTTTGTTGTTGTTGATGATGATGATGATGATGATAGTATTACTTAATAAAATGATAAATTTTTAATTGATAAAATTATTTTTTCCAGTTTTGTGTTCGTGTATTTGTTTTATTTTTATTTATTTTTTTTTGGAAATAAATTTTTCTTTTTGATAAATAATGTATTTGTTTTCTATTTTCTATTTTATTTTATTTTGGTATTGTTGTGAACAAAGATATTCCCAGTTAATGGATGTTTGAATTATTACACAATTATTGATTGATGTTTTGATCCGTGACCTCAACTATATAGACGGCTATAAACGGATGATTGAAATTCATTTATCTTTTTTCTTTAAATGTATTTATACAGTATTATACTTGTATTGAAGATTTGTCTGTATGTGTTTGGAAATGAAAAAAAAGTTTCACATAAATGATTTAAATTATATTTAGCATACAGACAGTGCAAATTGAAATGCAAATTTTGAGACATCRGTTTTTTTATTTTACTTATTCACAAACATCTATCTAAACATTTCATTAACTAATTTGATTGTCTCAATTTCATCTTAAATTTATTGAATAAATATATATACTGTATATATATATACTGCATATAGGTATATAAATTAAATAAATGTTTACCTAACTAAACAATTTTACTTTTTTAAAGCGACACTTCTTTTCAATTAATTTTATTTTTCGTTCATTTATTAAACAAAAAACAAAATTTTTTAAGCATATATTTAAACTCATTATATTTATACAATACACAGAATATTTACAATAAGAATTGTGAGAGACATACGGTATATATATATTAGTAGAATATTCCTCTATTGAGCCAATTATTTATAACATAGACTAGTAGTATATGCTCTTTATTAGTGAGAGATTCCCTGTTTTTTATTGAAAAGAGGATTTGAAGCAAAAGTATTTTTATTTTACAAATTGAATGCAATCGGATGCATATGTTTTAAAAAATTCATTGAACACTTCATTACAGTGTATATATAAATTTATATGGAAAAGACATACTTTTTTTACTGACTGTTGTTATTCATATACAGTATGCCTGCGGTTAGGACTATGAGATCGACTAAAAAATAAAAAAATATATTTCAATTTAGAAAATGTAAATTTTTTCCTTTCATTGATTGATATTAAACTCAATTCTATACTACAATAGTCAAAGAGTGGGTGAGTGTGTAAGTAAGTGAATGAGAGAGAAATCTACACTAATATTCACAGTTGTATTATATATAGTATTGATATACAGTATATAAATATGCTGTATATATATATATGATATACATTTTATTTTATATAGAGTTTTATTTCTTAACATACATGTGTCACAAATATAACTGTGTGCTAGTATTAGTAGTAGTAATAGTAGTGATATATTTTAGTGAATAAAAAATTGAGAAAAAATTCAAAGTTAGCAAAAAATAACACATCATTTCCTCAACTGTTTTGAGGTTTTTTTGGTGTTAGTTTCAGATTAGATGTGATTTTGTATTTTGAGAAATAAATTCTCCGTTTTCTCTCTTTCTCTAACTCTCTGAATGCAAGACCTTATGTGGGGATCAAATCGGAAGTCAACGGCAAATGTTTCAGCAATTGACTGATATATCAGAAAACAAAAAATAAAATTAAAATCATTTTTTTCTCAAACGATTACCAGTTTTCCGTTCGTAAAAATTCTGTTCACTCGTCAGTGAAAAATACAGGAAATTTTTTTTTTCATTCAAATAAATACAACCCAAAGGACCACTGATTCTTATCTCTAAACAAATAATTCATTGTTTTTAATCTTATGTTGTGTTTGTTGTGTTAGGTTTCAACTGTAAAAATTGTTTGTATCACGAAATATATGGTACCTTATATTTATAGACACAATATTCTAGACATACGTTGAGAGAGAGAGAGAGAGAGAGAGAGAGAGAGAGAGAGAGAGAGAGAGAGAGAGAGAGAATTTAAATAAGAGAAAATACTTAACAATAGATAACAATATTTCATACTATATTATATTATTTATATCGTAACCCATAAGAGAAATATCATTTTATTGAATCTAATAAATATCTGCAAAAATACATTAAACAAATATTTGAATGATTTTTTATTTGCAAATTTTTATTTATGATATTTGCTGTCAATCCAAAAATATAATAAGGCATATATTGTACATATATTTAATATATTATAAACTTTATATTTAATGCTAATATTAGAGAATTATTATTTTTTATTTTGCTTATATATATAATATACGGTACAGTATATATTAAATGTATAAATCAATTATTAATTGACAATTAAGTAAAAGTTAGTCAGTATTAAAAATAATTTTGCTGACAAGTTATCAGACACTTCCTATTATAATTAATTAGTGTCTTATATTATAGCATATATTAAGTGCTATATATCAAGATATATGACAAACGTATATAATTTTTGAAATATTTTTTTTGTTGTACGAAAAAAAACTTAAATAGTATTTTTGAGATATTTTTGTTTCAAAAAACTTTGCTGAAAAAAATGAGTTACAAATTATTCATGAGTTTTAGGGCAGAATTATTATTAAGAAAAATTTAACGACATTTTTCTGTGCAAAAATGTAATATACAGAACACAACAGATATATAATACATAAAAAAGTATATTATATATACTGTATATACATATATGAGTTAGACTTGAATTGATAAAAAAATGAGAGAGAAAATTATATATATATTTCAATATATATAAGAAAAGAGAAAATAGTGTTCAATAATGTATTGGATGTGAACCTCACTTACATATCGCTTCACTGATTATAAGCCATTGTATGCCAAATACTATATAACTCAATGAACAGTATGAAGGAAAACGATGAGATGAGCGCATCATTTGATGTGTCTTTCCTATGGCTCAGGGCTTTACAAATCAATTGCATTTACACTAAATACAATTTGTGCACAAAATACTATTACCATTCAATCCTAATGCTAATGCTATCCGTATTATTAAATATAATTTTTTTCACTTTTTTATTATTTATTTTTAAATGTTAATCATAGTCTAATATAAAATACATTATATAATGTTAACCATTTTAAAAAATAATATAGTTATATATTATATAACATAATAGTATTATATTAATATAATTTATATGATATGGCAATCAAATTTAATTTTTAGCAATTTAAGCAGTTTTCACATTTTGTTAGCTTTAAATATGTATTAATCTTTTAATAGCTTAATAGCATAGAAATATCAATTATTATTAAGTAAAATACAGTAATTTTATCATTAATATTATGACAACATTATAGTTAGTGAAAGTAAAAATGCCTACAAATGCATTACATTTAAGATAAAAATAAATTATATATAATTTTTTCCGATAATTAAATTATATTCAAATTAAATTATATGATAAATATATTAATATAAAATATTTAATACATTGAAATAACTAGATGTATATAAATATAAATAAATAGGATATAAATATAAGCGAAAGTGATTTGCATTAATTATAGTGTGGGAAATGCCATTATTTTTGTTGACTCGTTTGGACTTTAGGGCAATATTGGGTGCTTTCTGGGGCGTCAATAGCTGTATGGCCTTACATGTAATAAAAAGACTGCTATTATTGTTGAGATGGTATGACATTATACGGAATCGCAATCCTATTATATTTTTAATGTCATAATGTTTCACAAAATCTACATTTGCCTGTAAAACGATGTGTAAAGAAAAAATAGCTGGCAATCAATATTTTATTGCATGTTTTAGCAGTAAAATTGATATTATATAATATATTTAGGTTAAATAAAAATATATACAGTATTTATAGTAATGTATGTGTGAGTATAAAATTTTTATCCACACATTTGCTCGCATACCTACCTTTTGATTGTGTATAAGCCATTCAAGTCTGGGCTCAGATGTTTCATAAATCATTTGACGTACTGTACAGTTAACGTCGATATACTCGCCTAACATGTAATTTGATTTGAGACCAATAATTAACGGAACGCTCTCTAATTCATTACTCTCATTGCCTTTAATTATGGTTTCCTCAGAGCTAACTGTTCACAAATAATGAATGGATGAGAATGAGTGAGTGAGTGGGTGAGTGAGAGAGAGAGAGAAAGATAGTGGTGATGGATGAAAACAAACAGAAAAATGTTATCAAAAATAAATATCAATTTAAAAGGCAACAAATATATTATATATCTAAAAGCTTTTTTCTCAGCAAATCATATGATAGACAAAAAAACTAATAGTTTGGAAGTGAATATGATTTTCATGTGAGATAAAGCATTCATTCATTGATTCATTCATTACCTTTGAATCTGAAATCTGAGTCAATAAATGCCGTACAGCACAGCCTTAGACGGCCATCAATGAGATGTTTGGTCTCCAGTGTAAAACTGATCCCTGAATTGGATTCATTGCCAGTGATTAAGTAGTAATGGGGTACCTCTTGATCATTGATGAACCATTTGATGGTCGACTCAGGCTTTGAATATGAAGCAAAGCAATAGCTGGTAACCACATCTCCGATCGTATAAAACTGTTTGTAGCCCTCAATCACTGGAGGTTTTGTTGGCGGAACTGAACCAAACAACAAAAAATGTCATTAATTTTATTAGTAGCCACAAAATACTCTAACAATATTTCATTTAATAACTGTGCGCAACATTGGACACACAAATGGACATAAAGCACAAGCACTGGTAGTTTAGCCCAAAACTACTTGCCTATTACAGTCATATAGCTGTCCAGTTTGAGCGCTTGAAATGTGTAATCAGCGATTACTTCACATTTATAATAGCCTTCCGATGTCAGGTCAATGTCATACAGATATAAAACATCGCCAGTCGCTGAACTTTTATCTACATCCAAATTAACTCCAGGTGCTCCGTTTAAGTGTATATTGGGCTCAGGACCCGAAACTGTATGTATGTGCGTAAAACATTCAATTATTTTAAATGAATACTTTATTATTTAAAAAARTAGACAACAATTTTACAACACACACACACACACACACACACACACACACACACACACACACACAGTACATAAACTTACATGTATTAAATATATACTGTATATTCAGTAATTCAATGTCTTATTGTGGAAAAATAAAATAAAAATGTGATTAATTACACTACATTTAACTGTCCACTAAAGCTATTAGTTATATACAATTTTTATTTATCACACAAATACTATACTATATACTGTATATATATATATATATATTGTATTTTATATTTAAATACAATTAATTAATTTTAGTTAAACGTTAATTAAAACAATCTCTAAAAATCGCATTTTGCGCTTAATTAAGTTTTAAATAATTTTTCTAAAGTGCTTAAAAATTCATAGACTCTCCATTACTCTCCATATAATTACCACAATTTACTGTTAATCTTAGCCCTAATTGGGGTTTTTAAAAAGTTTGAAATTACTATTAATTTTTACAAAACAGTTGTTAAATGTCATTGAGTGCATATGTATGTAAGTTTGCAAAAATTGCTAATTTAAATTATTTGCAAATGTATGCTACAATTATTATAGCAATTTGTTTTTCTGTGTTTTAAATCAATTTTTTTGTATGTTGACTATCAAAGCATATATAATAAATTTAAAACATTTGCCTTTAAAATAAATTATATTTAATTTTAGATGGTATGTGCATTGTGTATGCGATAAATATTTATTTTTATTTTTAAATTTATGCAAACAAAATTAGAGATGTTTTCAATTAAATGTTTGTATCAAAATGATKATTATTTTTTTAAAAAAATAGTCATTTATTAAAAAATAATATATTAATAATAACAAATTCATTGCACTCTTTCAATGACAAAAAAATGTGATATCCGGTGACTCTATCATTGAATTCATCAAATTTTATAAGAGAMGACTGGCTTTTGTGTTAAATAATTGAATGAAAACTTCTAAATGTAAGGGGAATTACATGTGAGAGTACAGGAACTGAACTCCCAGTTAGTTATAGTTAGTTATATATTAAGGAAAGAGAGAGAGAGAGAGAGAGAGAGAGAGAGAGAAATCTATTGTTTATTGAATTTGTTGTGTATATTTGGGTGGAGTAGATTTAGTTGTCATTTTATTATTATTATTATTTTTATTATCAGTTATTTTGTTTGCTGGGCTCTCATCTCTCGATGTGATAGCTATTATTTTATTCACATCTAATTTAATGATAGCTGTTTCACTTAAAATATAATATCATTTATTTTATTAAATATGAATTATGTTTTCACTGCATATCATACAGATATAAGCTATTAAACTAAGTAATAAAACTGCTTATTAAGAAATTGTTGTAATAATTTAAATCGGATTTAATATATATTTTCTTTCTAATGTATCGATTTTTTTGGTTAATATAATGACAATAATATGCTGAATATTAAAAAATGCTTGTATGATATATATGTAAGGTAATATATGAATGATAATATATTATACTCATAATGTATATTTTTATAAAAAATATTTTTAAATTATATTATATAATATTTTATACAGTATTTTATTTATTTATGTATTTTTTTACTGCAATGCAATAATTTAATGTTAAGTTTATAATATAAGAGAATATAAAAGATAGGATGGGTATGGATTGTAATGTTAGTCAAATGAGTAACTTGGGAGACAACACACACACACACACACACACACACACACACACACACACACACACACACACACACACACACACACACACACACACACACACACACACACACACACACACACACACACACACACACACACACACACACACACACACACACACACACACACACACACACACACACACACACACACACACACACACACACACACAATATTTATTGACAATTATATCGTACTATAGCTGAAAAATTCTGTATCTCTATGACTGATCCTTTTATACCACTTGAGTGAATAGAGTCGATCCGTCTCTATATTATAATTACAATAAAAAGTAGCGTTTCCTTTGATGATAACTTCTTTGGGAACATTAATACTGATTAGTCGAATGGCACTAATTTTTCCGGTGATCGCTACATACAAAAAAAAGTTATTATATATATATATATATTGATATATAAATATATATATATATAATATTAAATGTTATGTAATATAATATGTATTAATTTTATTGCTTTTTGATTTTTTGTGTCGCAAGTTTTGATTTTTATTATTTGTTATTGTTTTTTTCTTTCTCGTATTATTTTTCCTATTTTATATGGTTTTGCTTTATTGAAAATAAACCAAATGTGAGACTCTCTTATGTTAGTTAAAAAGCAAGCGCCGGGAGCCACTGTGGATTCCTCTCTATTATATACCAACCAGTATTGTATTGTTATGTAATATAATAATACTGTACATACAGTACAATATATAATAGACTTATTGGATATGTTTAGAGTGTTAAGACAGGAAAATGACTGTCACACATATATAGCGTTGAATAATAATAATATTAAATAATAATAGAGTACAGTATTATTATTATTATTATTATATTTTTTGAATCATACATTAGTTCATTAGCGATATACTGTACTTTTTATTTGGATGCAGTAATGAAAACACATACCGCACCCAACCATTTCAGGTTATCATTAATGGTTGGTTTGGTAGTGCACTGTAAGTCGACAATTACTAACTAAATATAACAAAAAAATATGATAAATGCATAACAAATATGAGAGAGACGACCCTTCATTAATATTGTACAGATATTTGTACCAAAAAAATTACTACTGGTATTAAATTATATAAAAAGTTAAGGRRAATCATGTATGTATGACATTGTATGTCCACCCTATCCAATGGTTGTTACCAACACTACTACTTGTGCTAATGTTATATTATCTAACTAAAAGTAGATTTATATACTTATATTATTGTTGCTGTTGTTGTTGTTGTGTGTAATGTTTCGCTGAAATTTCTCATTTAATGAATAATGAGAGGAAATATCAGTAAATGATATAATATATAAATACTCTGTGGCTCTCAAAATAAGAAAGAGAGAGAGAGAGTCAGTCTATAATGACTGTATTGGTAGTACATTCAATGCACGTATAGCTCTCGCRAGATAAAGAAACATTAARAGAGAGAGAGAGAGAGAGAGAGAGAGAGAGAGAGAGAGAGAGAGAGAGAGAGAGAGAGAGAGAGAGAGAGAGAGAGAGAGATGGAGTTAACCTTACCTTCAAAGAGGAAAAGTAAGACAAAAGAGTGCATTTGTCTGACTGTATATTCGCAACACGTAATGGTTTTTTGTGAGACACGGGAGACACACTTTGCACGCGATATAGCCGTCAGTTTAATAATATATATTACATATAATACAATAGTAGAAAAATTTTATAAGAAATAGCAAAAAGAAGTGATTTTACTCTTTTAGTTATCTAATATATATAATAATATAATGTATTTTATTATTATTGTATAAATAACTTGAATTTATAGCATTTTATACTTTCAATAAATACAACAATCTTTACGGACTAATATTTTGTTATATACTTATATACAGTATTATATAAATTTATATTATTATACTTTAAATGATTATAACCACAAAAAGCGATCCAATGGTTTCAACAAAAAAAAATACACTTTTCAAACATACAAACGGCTTTTCATCAATGGGTTTCGCTTTCAGTGTATTTTATATTAAAAATATTTATTTTTATTATATATATATATATAACAAAAAAACAAAAAATTATTTTATTTCTCTTTATTATTATATTTTCTCTTATTATTGAAAAAAATGTTGTATATATTGTATTGTAAGACTAGAAATAATCAACAAACAAACAAAAACATGTGATGATGAAGACAATAGCAGATATTTCTTTGGCTACAAAATGGCACACATTTTTCTATATGTCTGACACCGCAGGAGATGTGTTGCACTGATATCTTGTGATGGGATCCGTTAGGCAGAGGAGACTCGTTGGTGGAGTAGTATTATGTGTGTGTGTTATGAGTGGTGGATGGGGTTTATATTATTGTTATATATAGTCAGTCATAAAGTTTTTTATATTATTATTATAACAACAATAGATTTTTGATATATAAAATATATTTATGTGATATATAAAAACCAAATGCTCTGACATATGATGCATAACAACACAACACATTAAATTGTGAGCACTGGGAGTGAGTGACTCAACTCGTGTGACTACCACTTCTTCACTAGTATTTTATGCGATAATAAAAGTATTGATAATGTTGTTGTTATTGTTGATTATGATGACTAAGACTGCCAGAAGAGGGAGAACAACAGCCATCAGTGATGTCGATGTCTGCTTCAGTGCTATAACTAGTGTCGGATAAAAATTAATTTTATTAAAATGTTATATAATATAACAGACACATACAGTATATATACAGTATATACACTCACCCACTATTACATAACATTAACTAATAATATTATTATTATATACATTAGAATACATGCATTATAAAGTTTATACAGTATAGTAAACACAGTAAAAAATACTATAAAACATTATATGTCTTATAAATTGAGTGAAAGCTTTTAACTAAATAAATGAATATTTGAAAGAAAAATAAGTTAATAATGATAATAATAATAATAATAAAAATATTTTTTAAGACTTTTTTGTCACACAGTAAAAGTGAAGCTTTTTTTTAAAAAAAAAATCTTATAATCGGTTAATTATATTTTCTAACATTAATTTATAGCTATAAAATAATGGGGAAAAATTGGCCTAAACTAATATATAACCCATAAAGTTTATTATTGTATTAGTTTTATTTATCGTAAAAATATATAATAAATGTTTACATGTATATTATGAATTCCTACGGTAAAAAAACATTATGATATTACTATCATATCATATGAAACTAAAAAGTTTAAAAAAAGATATTTGTATATAATATAAGTTATAKATATAGTATATAAAAGATTTAAAGAGATTGCTTGAATTATTAAGATATTGTATAGATTTTTCTTAACCTGTAGTACAGTATAACTTATATACATATATATATATATATATATATATATATATATATATATGGTATTATATACTGGTACAATACAGTACTTTATATTTATATTAAATAATAAATTATAATATTGAGCTTACATTTGTTGTTGGATGAGCTGCGAGTATAATATCTTGTGTGCCAACCTAACAATATAATAATAAAAAAATTATATAAATTTATAAATATATATATAAATATAATAAATAATAATAGCAATAACAACAACAATAACAACAATAGTATTTTTCAATGTTTGCTCTATTTTTTATATATATGTTATATATTTGTCTATTTTCTTTGAACGCATCAATTGTATTGTATTGTATGTATGTCTCGATTATTATTATTGTTTTTTTGGTACTTTTACTTTTTTACTCACTGATCGCTTATATAACACAGAAAAAAATAATAAAAAATAATAATGTTTAATATTTGTGAATTTATGGCATACAATTTCAGTCTCGTAAATAACAAATTTTTGCCCTTTTATTTTCACTTAACAATATATTGTATATATAAAGTGAATGAACAACAAAAATATATTTGTGAATAAAAATAAAAGACTTTTAACTCGAAAGCTCATTATTTTTGAAGAGAGTGAGTGAGTGAGTGACAAATATAAGTGTCATATGATGTTTATAAGAGTTTTTTTTTGTTATTTATAAAATATTTATTAATAAAATATTTATTTAAATTTAAATAGTTTTTTTTATGAATACAAGTTTTCTTCTCAGACGAACAATTAAAAACAAATTGTTTGAATATAAAATACTAAGTTTATTGTATAACTACTCTTCAAACAAACGAATTATTTTATTCTGTGTGTGTTTTTCTTGAAAAATTTCCTCAAAAAAAAGTTTCTTAAAATTTTACTTTTAGTTTTCGGACAAAACAAGAAAGAGAGAGAAAGAGACAGAAGGCTTGGATTGAGAGAGAGAGAGAGAGAGAGAGAGAGAGAGAGAGAGAGAGAGAGAGAGAGAGCTGAAATGTGTTGAATAATAATAACAACAATAATAAAATATAAAGTTTGCAAAATATATATATAATATAAATAGAGTTTGTTTTTTGAGTGGATGAGAGGCTATTGTTAAAAGTGTGTTCAAAACGCTAAGCCAAGCAAAACGGAGCAACGCATCGATGAACTTGTGCTACAAAAATGCAAATATATATTATATTTTTCAAAAAAAGAAGAGAGAAGACGACCATCACTTTTATAAGGAACAGTTGGATGGATAGACAGAGAAAAATGTCGTTATATTGGGTATTGCCATAAGTGTGAGCCCCTTGTATTGTCTGCCAAAAAAGTATGGGTTATATGTTTATATGTGATGTGCTTGTGATGTATAAATAAGTGGACGCTTTTGTATGGACTTTAATGGCATATACAGTATATATATGGTATATCCAATAGAGTATATGTTTTGTGAATATTATAAATTTGTATTCACTTCAAGTCTGCAACACAATTGTCGCCATATTTAACAATATGGACACAAATGGATAGAGTGAGAGAAACGGGAGGACAGGCATATCCGTAGAAAAAGGCTATTATATTATATTATATATATTGTGTGTCGAGAAATGGTTATGCATTCAGGTTTCTCACGCCTCAAACACCACTGGCTTAGGCTGAGAGAGAGAGAGAGAGAGAGAGAGAGAGAGAGAGAGAGAGAGAGAGAGAGAGAGAGAGAGAGAGAGAGAGAGAGAGAGAGAGAGAGAGAGAGAGAGAATGCCTACAAATAAGTCTTAAACAAATAGCACATTCAAACTACTGTATAGCTAAGCAATGCATTCAAAATAATAGTTAACTTCAAACACTAGTGTACAAACATAGAGGGCTATGACTGAATGACTCTGTCATTCACCAAAAAAAAAACACAACTACTACTAACTACTACTGTATAATCTCATGAAAACAGTTTTTAAGTCTCAGTTTATATGCCATATCAATGACATTAGATTATATAACGTTTTTTATTTTAAAATGAAAACAATGCCTTTTCTCTGTAACAATAAATTTATATATAAATATATAAATAAGTAAATGAATGAATAGAAGATCATCGATGCGATCAATTCATTGAATACAATATCATTATATTGTTTAAAAGTTATATAACATTATTAGTATGATTAGTATTTATAATATGATATGCTATATATATATATATATATAGTTATATCCAAATATAATTTATATTTGCACTGGTTTTAAAAGCCAAGAGTCAACCACATGAATATGATTTGTGGGCGTACCTAATGATGTGATCATATTGTTTGACCCATTGTTTCACCAAAAAATAGGAATAAAGAGATCGCTTTATTGCCATTTATTTATCATTCAAAGCACATCTCATATTATCATATGATTTGATTTAAAAATTTTATTTCTAAAAGAATAACACAATTCCTTTAATTTTATATATTGTTATATTTACTATATATATACACTAAATATATACATATATTTCTATTGTATTAAACACATTGAAATCCTCGACACTTTTATTATATATATATAAAATATCAAATATAAAAGAAATATATATATATATAAATTGCAGTTTATATACTTTATATATATATAAGTAATATTCTTATATTAAGTTATATTATCCGTACATTATTTCAGTGCAATAAAAAATAAAATATAAAATGTGATCAAATGTTAGTCTCACCGTTATATATGATATATTTATGGAGCTCATGTATATACAATAAAGGATCTATACCAAAAAAATATACTACACTTCAAAAGTAAAATCCTCTGAAATACATATTTCCGCTCACAAATCAAGGAATTGTCGATAAAAGTAATGATAAAAATTGCAAAAAATGCATTTCCATCTCCAAAGCCCTCGAGTTAGATATATATATATATATATATATATAATATTTTTGTATGAATTTTCAATATGTTTGATATGTTTGTATGTATTATATATACTAAACTTTGGCGGAAAAAAATCTGCATCACAGAGCAAATACTGAGAGCACATGGATATCGCAGGTTTGTGATAGATGTATGTGCCCTACAACTCTTAAACATTATATGAGCCAAACATATATATTATATATACCGTATATAATGATGAAAGAGAGGAAAGTTTGACAAATATTAGATATCGCTCTCAATGTATTTAATACCAGTGAAAGGCATCAATGTTTGAGTTCATAAGTTTGTTGTTTGACATATCATACAATACATATGTTTGCCCATTGACTGCATATCTCAATCATTTTCAACAATTTTATTGACTTAACTCAATGGGTATTGTCATATATAAGTCTTATATATATAATGTCTTATATTACTTATCTAATAAATGTGTGTATTATGGATGGACGCATACCTGCTTGAATGGCCACAGTTTTAGTGTCCTGATAGCCGGTTTTATCAATAGTTAGTCGACACTCGTAATGATCGGTTGCATCTAAACCGGAATATGAGTCTTCATATACATGTGCTGTCAATGAGATGTCGTAAAGACCAGACTGTCCGTGAATCAGTGTTACGGCCACTCTATCTATCACTTCAATGGCATTCATACCACTGTTATTGTTTGGTTCAGTTGATTGTGTTATACGAAACAATGTAAGCCTTGGCTCGGGTGACAGTCCACTGGCCTCACAAGTTATGTTGACACCATTGACCACTTCAATGGCTTGCATTGTAAATCTTTTTGCTGGTACTAATTACATAAGAAAAAAATTAATTATTAAAATTAATTAATTACATAACAAAAAATAGCTAACAATATATACATAAAAGATGAGATATTGTATTAATAAAACAATAACATTATATAAATAATACACTATGTATTTACTAATTAAAATAGATTATTATTAGTCTATTTAGTCTATTTGATAATATAATAATAAAGTTTTCTATTATAARCACATTGTATATTATTATATTATATATATTTTTTAAATAGTATGTCTAATAATCTCAAAAATGATGAAAGATTTTTATTATATATATATAAGTTATTGTCTTAATGTCAAAACTATATTTATAAAGATTAATGGCTTAAATGCCTGAATGCTCTTAAATGCTTGTAAAGAGATGATGACATAACAGTATTGATTAAATAAAAATCATTAGTTAAGCAAAACCTTCAAAAATATCGTATATTTATATGATATAAATGAAACCACTGTATGACAAAAGAGTTTATTAACTTTTTTTAGTATTTCATAAAAATGTCTTTTTTATTTATATATTAAATATATAAGAAAAGTGCTTTTAATTATATTTTGCTTTTAAAACACAAATAATAATCATAAGTTTGTTTTTTAAACTATTTAAACGGTTACAATTTTTTTAACATTAAATATCTTTTTTTCTCTAAAGTCATATACAGTTAAGTTTATATCTATCTATCTCTGAGTATATATCTAATGGCAAAAGTAGTTTCACTTTATTATTATTATTGAATATATATTTTAAGGTTTTTTTCTCTCTCTACTAATAAAATCAATATTTTTAAGAAATTGTGGCTTTAATGCAAATATTTGTGTCAACTAAATAAACATATGAGTGAATTTATGTACACATGAGAGCTGGATATAAAGGGGACTGAAATGGGAGGGGAGAGGAATATCATAGAAGTTTAGACAATTTTATTTAAAACCATTTCTGGAGGTTATAAACCATTTATATATATATATATATATTTTTGGGCCATAATTTGCATAAATAAATAATTTGTCTAAACAATTAAACTTTTCAAAAAAGATATATAATAAAAATATTTGGTCATATCATATGAATATACAGTATATATTTGTAAATTTATGTGATATGATGTGAGACAACAACAAACACATTACCATAAATAATGAGTTCAGTGGTCTGAATGTCGTGGCTTTCAAGTGACTGAACACTACATTCATAAATACCACTTAACCTGACGGTAGGGTTTACCAGACGAATGGCCCGGAACTGTGTCGACACCGAATTGTTAGCTAAATAAGTCTTATCAACGAATGGCTCAATTTTGTCCGAATATTTTCGGCTATTTTTCGATATAATCCATTGATAGATGGGAACGGTATCGCCTTTATGGTACCTGTTGTCAGTTTGATGGTGTTGTTGTTGTTGTGGTTATCAAATAATTAAAATAAAATAAAAAATAAAATAAATTAGTTGTTGTCTTCCAATAGTCGGCATAATTATCGATTGATTGAATGCCTTTCTAGTTGTGCTGTTGTTTGCAATATGGCATTTAAAAGTAAAGCCTTAATACCTACCATTTAAGGACAACCATTTTGTCTTGGAGCTCATCCATCTCGAACTGACAGTCCAGTACCACACTGTGCTGTGAGCCGTTGGCCATAGACTGTGTGGGACTCATACCAGTTATTCGCACGCATTCCACCCGTAAATCTGTTAATAGAGTTTGAAAAACTTTTTTATTATGTTTTTATAATTTTTATTTTAGACAACAAAAAGAAAGCATTTGACATATTTTTCATAAAAATTTATTATCAATATATTTCTATTGAATGGCAATCGACTGGCTTTTTCTGCCACAACAGGTGGTTATCGGAGTGAAAGCAAAAATCTAAATCATAGCCTAAAGCGATGGGCCAGTGGTAGTGGTGGTGGTGTTAGCAGTAGTGATGATTGTGGTAGTAGTGCGCGCCTACAGAGTAATGGTCACAATAATTACCAATAGTCTATCCCTATCCTATCCCATTCCTATGTATTGATATTCCTTAAATAGCTATACGCTTGCCAGTTGTCTCTATCCTATTGAAAAAATTTACTTTCTATTTATGATTGTTATTGCAATTCATTAAAATTTTTTGCACTATTAGTTCAAACGCTTGATTGCTTGCAAATACATTGTTATTATTCGCTAAAACCCATTGAAATATTTTTTCGGGAATCAAAAACATTATTTTCATTATTATTATTAGTATTACTAGTATTTTGTTTGAAAGAGCTTTCTCTTCTCTCAAGTTTTTGTAGAGAAAAAGAGACTTTTAATGTCTTTGATATTACCATTTCTTTTTTGGTGAACAACACATTACTCGACAAAACAAAAATATATACTTATTTTTTATATTATTATGTTATATATGTTTTTAGTATAAGTGTAGTGTGAATTCAGTTAACTGTAAATAGTTATGTCTTAAGATATAAACCAATATATAGATATAAAGTTATATATATATAAATAAATAGTTAACCGACTCAGAGCACTAGCATTACAGCACACACACACACACACACACACACACACACACACACACACACACACACACACACACACACACACACACACACACACACACACACACACACACACACACACACACACACACACACACACACACACACACACACACACACACACACACACACAATATATCCAGTTTATCGGAGTCTGAGTGCCATTAAAAATAGCAATAATAGCAGTGAATATATTCACACATTGACGCACACAGTAGTACTGTAGTCACACTAACACTGAGATTCAAGAGTTAGGAAAGAGAGAGAGAGAGAGAAAGAGAGAGAGAGACCATCGTATGAATTCATGCATTGGGAGGAAATGGAGACTAATTTAGATCAAAATAGTGGACTCTTTTGCACAATGCTATACAATTAAATGATGTGAAAGACTCAGAGAGAGAGAGAGAGAGAGAGAGAGAGAGAGAGAGAGAGAGAGAGAGAGAGAGAGAGAAGAGAAAGAGAGAGAGAGATTTGAAAAGTGATGACTGAAAGAGAACTGTGTGTAAGTATTTTGAACGGTTAGGTCTCATAATTGTATTGCTAAAAGCAATAGTGCATAGATTTATGAGTTATATATAATGATATACAGTATTGGGAAAAGTATAGCGATATTATTATTGTGTTCAGTGTATTATTACTATTGTTGGAACTGATTAAGAAAGAAAGAGAGAGAGAGAGAGAGAGAGAGAGAGAGAGAGAGAGAGAGAGAGAGAGAGAGAGAGAGAGAGAGAGACTTTTGGCTAACTCTATCTCATCATTGACTTACCTCTCGTAAACAATAGACAAAAGTAGACCAAAATCAATAAACTCAATGAAAAAGTCTTTATTATTGATGTTATCATATCGGGAGCACACGAGTCGTCGTCGTTGTTGTCGTACTGTTATGTTAGCACTGGTAACACCAAAAAAAGTTATATTATTTTATTATATTAGACACTTATTGTATTTAGTTGTTTCACTCTTTCTTTCACAATACATAAACACAATGTAATGTTGTGATTATTTTTTGTGGCCAAATAAACACATGAGGGAGAAGTCGATTAAAAGAGACGTTTTTTTCTCTCTCTCTCCGTATGTGACTATTCTCTCTTCTTTACGGATTCTTCAGAGCTCTTCAGAGAAAGTTGTCGGTCAAACAAAACACAAAAAAAAAGATATAAAGACTATTTAAGACTAAAAACAAACCAAAAAATAACATCACATCATCTTATTCTTCATCACTTTGCAAAATAACTGTCTGTCCTCTCTCTCTSTCTCTCTCTTTCTCTATTAGAAGTTAGTCTAGATTTGTGAGTCACTTGAGTGGTATGTATTTTATGTGTTTGTATGTGTTGTAAAGCGATTGATATAAACTCACAATTCAGTTAACAATTACACATTGAATGCGAAAGATAGAGAGAAGTCAGTTACTAAACGGATAGACAAACAGATGGACAGACAGACAGACAGAAAGTGTGTGACTTGAGTTGTGTTGTCAGCAATAAATGAGTTGATTATGAGCTCCGCACACATATATATATATCTATACGGTATAACTTATACGATATAAGTTATATGTATATATCTTTTATGAGTCACATATTGGGAGTCACAAAAAAATAATGATGAAGTCGTCGGTACTGCTGATGATGATGATGACTGTGCTCACTGTGCTGTATGTGTAATATATAGTGAAAATGAGTATTACATTGAATTTGATGCTAAATCGAGATGAACCAGATGTTGGCCAAACACCAAACACGATATGTGTCGACGCTATTGGCTGTTTAAGGGGTATACACACCACACTCCAGCATAACATCACTCACTTTTGTTGTGCAAAAAACTCGTTGGTTTGTTATATGTCTTTCCCCTCGTGTCTCTCACCCGAGTGTGTGTATGTGTGTGTATGAAGCGATTGTTTGTAACGCCAATGTCTCAGTGAGATAACTTTTGGGACCCCAACCAACCCCAACCCCCTATTATTTCCTGCCGCTTCTCTCTCTCACTCACTTAAGAGATGTTACTTTTCAAGTATGAGGAGAGAGACCAGTAGTCAGTAGTTCAGTGACAGAGTGAGAGAGCTATCAGTGCTGTGTATTGAATATACATATAAAAGTGACTTATAATTGTGGAGTTCGTGTCTTTCAGTTATAATCACTTTTTTAAAGAGAGGCATAAAACAAGAGTTAGTTTTTTAAAAATATATAAAATAAAAAAGTTTATACAACGGCCGGACCGGAAACTTATGATTACTTGTGATTTAGCCTTAAGCCAAATCTCAGCTAAATATATCATTTACAGCACATCCAGATGATAGTGCCGCACATGCCCTGTACTACGTGTTGTGTGCGTGTGCTGACTGACTGTGTCTCTATCATAACCATTCCACATATGAACTGCCAGTGCTGAGTGATATGTGCGCTCCTTAACTGTGAAAATCACTGGGTTTCTCACATATCGGGGATCAGATAGTCAGTCGTTGTGTTTATTTCAAAATAAAAACACAACACTCCCTTTGTATATATATATATATATATATGTGATTGAAATAAAAGCACAATTTGTTTGAATATAGTGATAGTATTGTTATTGTTGTGTTGCTGCTGATGTCAATTGCTGTGTTGGTGTTACATAAGCATTTTAAATACGAATATTTATACAGTCATGTAATATGTAGAGCACAGTTAGCCTCTACTTTTATACAGTATAATGGCATTTATCATGTTTTCAGTGCATAAACTTCTCAGCGAAAGCTTCTCACACTAAATGACTTAAAAACAAATAGGAATCGCATATAATTTTTGGCCAATTTTTATATTCCGTGCTTTTTATTGTAAAAGCAATTTGTGTTTATATATATATATATATTATATCAAAACACCAAAACACAGTGCAATGTTTGGCCATTTATTAATATTATGTGTCGGAGCCACTCAATGGCTGTCCTTCGGTCTTCAAGTGGATGAGTCGACAGGTGAGTGAGAGTACTTTATTTTGAAGTCTATTTATTTATTACTTTTTTTTGTTGGTTATTTGTTTTTAACCTTGCTACCGTTCCTTTTTATCACTGTCTACATCATTAAGTTTTTATTGGCATTGATTATGTCAGTTGCTGGTTATATAAATATATATATATACATAATATCAGCAGAACATACATACATACCAGTGCTTAAAATTAATAGTCTTTTAACTCAGCTCAGAGTTAACTAATATAAATTTATATAATAATATAACTTTTATATATAAATTGCAAATGTAGTGAATATACACAATCGTATTAAATGTCATTTCATAGTATATATACTAACTAAATGCTAACTTAGGTGAGGATCACTTCACTGGCGTAAAGAGTTTTAGTGAACAGTTGTGTCTGAAAATGCAGTTTTAAATGACATTAAGAAATAAAGTGATCGACAAATTCCTTACTATTTATTTGGCTTTAATCCAAAACAATACAACACTTTAATATAATATTAGTTTCACTCTCTATTAGTATTGTATTAGCGTTTGGATAGCAAATTCACTCTCGTTTTCAATCTCTCAATCGGGTTGTATGTGTTTTGTCTATCGCTTGTATTTAACGATGAATTATTGAAAACCGATTAAAGTATTGAACGTAAAAAACGACAAATAAAATAAAAAGTGTGTGAATTAGAAAAAAGTCGCTCTCGTTTGTTATGTAATAAAATATACAGAATTTTTTTGATCGTAACTCGAAATGCAAGTTTGCTATTAAGGGTCGGATAGGTTACTCGCTATTTGTATCGATAGAAAAAAAAGTTTCTAACAATATATTGACTGAATGTATAAAGTAATAGTAGTAGAGTAGAGTACAGTATGTGTTGTAATGTCCAAGTAATGTCGTATAAAAAGAAAGCCTAATTAGGAGGTCAACGAAATAAAAGGGAAAGAGAGGAAAGGGCCGTTTAATGCTTGCTTTGGGACCACTTAGACAAACTAGAAAGAGAAAAAAAGAGATCAATAAAATGAATCTGACGTGAGGTTGTGTGAGTGTAGAGAATRTGTTGTCTAAAGAGTAACAATCATAATGGCATAGCCTGCCTACCAGTGCTCTGTCAAATAAAAGCACACATAAAAAAGACAAAAACACATAATACAAGACAATAGAAATGCTTTAATTGCAAACTTTCCCTTAATTAAGGCAACTCTTGACTTGTTATGTCAGTGTCGGTGGTTATGTTTATGTTATGAGTGCACCACAAGAGGAAAGGGAGATCTCAGATAGAGACAGGAGATTGACTCTCATAAATATACACAAAACAGAAAGAAAAAAAATAAAATTTATATATAATATAATAATGTGTAGTCTCTACTGCAGGTGCTCTTAACATACATACTGTATATTGTAGAGACAACAACACACTCGACTACATTAATGTTTTTAGAGATCTCTTAAAATGATAAAAAACTTATGATATGATATGTCTGTACAGTGAGAGAAAAAAAACGATTTATTGGTAAAACAATAGACAAAAAATAATATGTGATTATACTTTAGCCAACAGTCACACAAAATGAAGTGCTTTATTAAATATGCATGAATTCAGAATTGGACACGAAAAAGGCATATACTGTTAGGCTATACCTCACATACACACTGCCATCACCACACCATCAGTACTAACAGATCACTTGTGCTGCACATCCAAACATTTTTTRTATTTTTTGTTGGTTTCAACAAACATACCAAATATGATATATACACATCATATTCACAATCTATTTGATCTATTGTTCCACTGAGAAGTGTATATATTATTTGCAAAATTTGTGAAATAGTCATAAATTTTAACYACTAGTGACACACACACACACACACACAAGGGATAAAAAGAGATATTAGAGGTAAACGTCAATATTTGTCTACAATTTTCGGAAGACATGAATGCAGATTATAGTTAGATATTTGCAAACGTGACGAGACTTCTTATGCAATATATTATACCAAAAAAAATTCAATGCAATTGTTTTATTACAAATGATAAGTCTATTTGTTTGTCAAAAGGCGTATATCTGATGAAAAATCATAGCAATAAATGATCGGAAGAGCACCGAGAGGTCAAGTGTTTATAGCGCCGGAGTTTTATACATTTCCTTTTAGAAAAGAGATTTTTTTTTTAATATATAGATATTTCTTTAACTAATGGTGTCGTCAGTGTTGGTACTGTTTCTTATTGTTGTCAGAGTTGGCCTCACAGAGTGAGTGAGTAAGTAAGTGAGTGAGTGAGTGAGAGATAGAGAGAGAGAGAGAGAGAGAGAGTTTGTGGTGTTCAGTTTGATGGTGTGTTTGGTGGTGAACACAAACTGCATCTTCTGATGCATATATCCTCTCCGAGGAAATTCTCTCTAATGAATAGTAACCACAAGTCTTTATCTTTGATCATCGATGCGTTAAATACATCGCCTAAGAAATACATAGCAATATTGGTTTTGAGTGTTCACATCACCAGAAACCACAACAATAACAACAACAATACCAACGCCAACAGCACAGCACTTATTGCACCGGCAGTCAGATTTTTACCGATTTTTAATGCCAGTCAACACAAAAAAAACAGCATACAAAAAAATGTTTAATAAAACAAGTGAACCATTGGTTTTTTTGTTGGTATCTTCGGTACGATTTGTTTTGCCGAAAGAGATAACCCAATAGATCACTATTAAGTCGCACACATTTATATCGCATATATATACTAACTCTTAGAGTATTGGCTATAATGTTGACTACAAGACAATGATATAGCACTGGCATCTCTAGCTCATAGCATAGCATCCACACACACACACACACACACACACACAYACACAYACACACACACACACACAGGCATCGCATCTGCGATTAATAGCTAAACATTGCATTAATGCCTTTAAGATTTATTACAAAAGCCATTCACCAGAAAAAAATCGCTAATATATTACATAACAGTTAGACTCTCTGTGTGTATGTTTGTGTGTAAATATATACAGTATTTGTTTGTGTGTTTGTCTATACAAACTATGTTGTGTACAAATAGACTGGTATTTTATGATCACAAACACACAAAAAGTGGTCAAAGTATACTACTAACTATACTATGTATGTATGTGCTTACAATACCCAAAAAACCATAACTATAACAATAATGCACAACAAACATATAAAGTATACATAAGAAATATAACCATCATATGCACTGACTGACCATCAGCTTAGCTATCTATTTGCCAACAGTTTCGTGCAGCTGACAGTCCTTTTTTATTATTTATTTATATATTTCTATATATATATATACGTATATTAAATATCTATCTATCTATCTGTGTCTCTCTTATTGCAATTATAGCCGATCTGCCAGTTGTTGTTAAAGGAGTTGCAGGTCAGTCGGCATCGTTGCCCTGTCATATAGATCAGGCCCAGTGCGGTGAAGTATACTTCCTGACCTGGACCAAACTGGAAAGGGATGACCGATGGTCCAGAATCTATATCTTTGCCGACAATGTGGAAAAACCGTTGCGTGATCTGTCCGGTAGAGCCCGGTTTTCGCTACAGAAAACCGAAGCCCAGCTTTCCATCAATCAATTAAAGAGCACCGATGAGGCTCTCTATAAGGTCTGACAACTCATATAATCATCAATAATAGCTGTCTTATTTAGAACTGATAGCACTGGTAGTACAGTGTAGTACTGGTGCTCTCAAATACATACAATGAAAACGACAATTAGATGTCGAGTTCAATGTTTTATTATCTTCATATATGACTGTCCCTCTGATATTGTCTTATATATTGTCTTTCAGTGTGACGTAACATATGTTGGGGGAAAGTGTCCTTCACTGACATTTGTTAGGCTCAACATTATAGGTATTATTGATTTTTTTGATCGGCACTTAATTTTACAGACAAACTAAAAAAATATTTTTTTATCGACAACTTATACGACTGTTTTACATGTGTTTTCCGTCAAAACAATCAGTAAAACCATCGAAAGCTTATATCGAGTACAAGAGCTCACAGCTCGATAGCGGCCAAGAGATTCGCGGACTGGAAGATGAGTTCGTGAGGTTGGCCTGCATTGTCATCGGCGGCAAACCTATGCCTGTCATCAGTTGGCGTGCAATAGATAGCCAGGGAAACGCTAAACTTGTTGACGTAAAAAACTCGTCGGCCATCGACGACAATATGACTCGTCTGGTATTAACTAAACAATTGTCGCGAAACGATCTGAAGAGTCGATACGAGTGTCACGTCCAACACGAGGCCATCAGAAACAACTCAATGGACTCACACGTCATGATTGATGTCAGCGGTAATTGTCTTTTTTCCAATTGCTTTATAATCTTATTTGTAGTAATATATGATATAAAAGTGTATAAAAAAAATACCATCTGATCGATAAAAAGTTAATACCAATACTTTTTATTTGTATCAATTTTTTTATGTTTCTTTCTCTCCCTTTATTTTTGTTGTTGTTGTTGTCTTCACTGATTATACCCTCTTTTTTTGGCAAATACAATAAAGTTGGCGCAAAAACCATCGAAATAGTTGGTCCAAGAGATGCAATCAAAGAAGGAGATATAGCTCTAATACAATGCATAGCATACGGGAGTAAACCGGAGACACAAATAGTCTGGAAAAATGGGTAATTTAAGTGATACTTTTATTTGATATTTATTTTTAGACAATTTCATCTGAATGTATGAACCAATATATAAATCAATCTCTTTAGACAACTCATATGAAATACAATCCCTTAATGTTTTGCATTCAAATAAAAAATTCCAATTTTCTTCTTCTTCTTCAACAACACATAGAACTCATATCATTGATAAAGAAGTAAAAAGCGAAGTCGAGGCCAACATCGATGGTCTAACAGTTAATACTCGAAGTTATTTAGAGATGAGAGTCACCCGATTTGATCACTTAAATCATATTGAATGTCATGCAATAAATAAAGCGATGAAAGAGCCGATCAATGAGTCGATTGAATTGAAAATTCAATGTAAGTCCTAAAATAAGCCTTCAGGCTATACATCCTATTGTTTTCTCTTTTGTTGTTTAGATTTATTTTTTATCATTTATTTTTTAGGCTAAGATATAATGTAGTTTTTTTTGTTTGTATTTATATTGTGTCAAATGATTTAGAAAATATCTTTTACTTATGTGTCTAAGTTATTGTATCGTATATTTTATATTTTTTTTTGGTTCACAACCAGATCCTCCAATTGTGGTAATGGAGCCAAAACACGGTGTGATAGTGAATGAAAGTGTAGATATGGTCAACATTTACTGTACATTTTCATCAAATCCGCCCGAATTGCTTGAAAATGAGACCAAATGGTTTAAAGACAGTCAAATGTTGGATATAATAGAGGATAATAGTAGTCAGCATTTTGTGTCATCACTGTCCGGATACCCAATACTTACGATCGTAAATCCCCAGCGAAACGATTCCGGGGCTTATTATTGCAGTGTCTCTAATGAGATCGGCGTCGGAAAGCCCGCTGAGCCCATACTATTGATTGTTTTATATCCGCCAAAAGTAAATCTTGAAATCTATCCAAATCCTGAACAGGGATTTACCATCAAAGAGGGCGATGATGTTCGCATGATTTGTGATATTATTGATGGCAATCCACTCAACGCATCAACTGTTAAGTGGCTTAAGAATGGCCGCCAACTGGTCAGTGAATTGAGCGGTGAGCGCACCAATCAAAAAGAGATTACATGGCTTAGTGTTACCCGTACTATAGCCGGCAATTATACTTGTCTGGCCGTATCGGAGGCCGGACAAAGCGAACCGAGTAATTCCATCCAAATTGACATCAGTTATCCTCCGAGCAAAGCCGTGATTCGCCAATTGAACGGAATATATGCAGTGAAAGGACATAATTTGTCGCTCGAGTGCATTGTCTCTGATTTAGGAAAGCCTTCCAATACTATTGAATATCACTGGGAAAGTCCAGATGGTGTGCCCTTTCAGACCAAAGAGTCAATACTAGTGTTAACTGATCTAAAACTGACAAATAGTGGTAACATTACTTGTGCTGCAGTTAATGAAGTCGGCTTAGGATCGAAAGGCGTATTCCCGGTGACAATGTTAGCGCCGCCGAAAATCATTGACCACTTGCCGTCGACTATCGGTGTCGACGAAAACAAAATCAACAAACAGCGGTCGTCAGAGGTGGTGACCGCCGATACTTCCGACCACTCGCTGAGTGTCAACTGTAGGGTCGAGTGTTTTCCCATTTGCCAACTAAGTTGGTATAGAAACTCGCAACTAATCGACAACTCGACCGACTTGTATACCATCAAAAACTCCATACATCCCGAGGAAGTGATACTCAACCGGTGTGTTAGTGTTGTGTCGACACTGATATTCAATTTGACAGCAATGGCACCCATCGACCGGATCCGCGATACGAATGTCATCTATTCCTGTGTCAGCAGTGATAACACTGTCGGCCATTCAGTCAAATCGCAGACAAAATTCATTGTCGAGTGTATGTATTATTTGAAAAATATAAATAAATATATTTTTTTGTTGAATTTTTTCATACGAAAAAAATGCTGTCATAACTCATGAATAATGAAAGTTTGCATTTTTATATTAGCAAAAAAAAGGAGAGACACTTTTTTGTATATATTTTTCCAATCATTTTTTATGTATTTGTTATGTACTGAAAAAAAACTATCAAAAAACTATCGTCACTTTTATTAAAAATTTATTTATCAAAGAAAACGAGAAATTCCTGTCTTTTTCGCTCCCTTTCCTTGTAATCTAACTTTACTTATCATCCGTTTTTATAGTATAAATGAGACAAAAATAGTTCGACTTTTCTAATGTTTATGATTTATGAATTTTTTCAGACAATATATATATATTTATATATTTTTCCATTATTTAAGAATATACACAAATTACAGCATTTTTCAAGTTTTTAATTATTTATGAAATGAAATGAAAAGAAAAACCTTTTATACAGTATATATATATAWAWAAATATATAWAATTCTCTATTCCTTTATATTTGTTTTATTTGATATATAAATTATATATATATATATATATATATATATATATATATATATATATATATATATATATATATATATATATATATATATACAGTATATACAGCAATAATATACTGTATTATACAAAAAATCAAATTTAAAATATAAATCGATTTAATGCCATTTAGCTCTCGATTTCCTGCCTTTTAATTGTATCGATCGATACCAACACTGAGAGAGAGAAAAAAAGTGCCCAAAGATTTTCATTAATGATTGTATTTGAAAAGCGAACCTTTCTTTTATATATCATTAGGTTAGTTGATATCATACGATATAATTTTTTTCTCTCTCTGAGATTGAATGAATTTATGAATAAATAAATAAATGATTATTATATTATATATCAGAGTGAATAACAACATTAAACCCATTTCATAGACCAGTTAATGCAGAAATGTCTCAATAATAATAATAATAAAACAAACATAATATTATTATAAGTATAGTAATATTAGTATTAATATTAAATAAAAATATATTTATAAAATCATAAATCAAAATAAAAAAGATAAGTTGAAAGTAATTGAAAAAAATCAGTTAAACTTTAAGTAAATTGAATGTTATTTTTATAGATAAAAAAGTCTTGAAAGACAAGAGAAAGAGAGAGAGAGAGATGACTAACAAGAGATAAATTGAGCTCAAAAAACAAGTCATTTACTAAATCGTTAGCAAATAAAGACTGGAGTGTAATGTGTGTGTCTTTTTTAAACATACTGTTATGTATTGGGTGTCAATGCATTTAAGTTAAACAACACTTTTAAAGTTTAACCCTATTTTTATAGTTGACATAAACCCATAGGTTGTGTGTGAATTAAAGGGCGACACTGGGGTTAGGGCTCATCAACTAATTGATCGATATTTGTTTTACATTACTTTTTTAAAAATAGACTATCATTTAATATGATGAAAACTCTCTCTCTCTCTCTCTCTCTCTCTCTCTCTCTCTCTCACACACACACACACACACACACACACACACACACACACACACACACATTATTCACTCACTCACTCACTCACACACATTTTCAAAGCAAATTATTTGCCTTTTTTATATGTTAGACGAGTGCTCTGAAAGAGATAGGGTTTGATTGAAATGCATAATAGCTATCACTTTGACTGCTCTATTAACCCAAACAATTAAATTTAAATAATCCCATCTCTTCGTTGCCATTATTTAACACAAAAGTCTTTATATATATTTTTTATTGAAAAACTACTAAAGAATATTCTGTGTCTCACTTTTTTTATTATATTTATATATTGAATATATATCTATAGAAAACTATTAAATTTAGTATTCAATTTGTTTGAAAACCTAATCGTATGAATACATCGCATATAATAAAATGCTGATTTTATTTACTGTATTTTATATTGAAATCTAAAATTGTTTTATTGAAAAATAATGTCTACAATATATAAAGCCATTTAAAAGCTTTTATTTCTAAATATAAAATAATTTTTTTATTTGATTTGTCAGACCCGCCGGAAAATCTGAGAGTACGTCCAAAGCGTGTGGATGTCATTGAATACGACATTCCTCCGGAGATCTCCTGCGAAAGCGATGCACTGCCTCTGGCATCCTATCGGTGGCTTTCATCGTCCAATTTAGACACCGTTATTGCCGACAAACCATTATTATCACTGAACACATCCATCCAACGTGAAAGGGCCGGCACATACACGTGTGTGGCGTCCAATCGTCACGGAGAAGACAAAATCGATCTCTTAATTAACGTGTTGTGTATGTTATGTTATGTTGTCTTTTCTGTGTCTTTAAACTATTTTCTTTCATCTATTATCTCTTTGATCATTAAATTTTTGTGTCTCTCTGTTATAATGACAGATTATTTACTGTATATATATATATATATATATATATATATYATACCAGTATATACTATTAGCACAACAACATTATAGTATTTTAAATCCCTGTCCATAAAAAAATTAAAGACACATTGCGTGACACTCCCCACRACTATATTATCAATCATTCGCCACTTAATTATCAGACAATATGTTTTATTATTATTTTATTTTATTTTTTGCTAATTATATTTATTGTTTTTTTTATCTCTCTCTTTCTCTGGCATTTCAGACGCCCCGTCCTGTGTCTTAAGCGAGGGTCCCGTCAGTAGTGACGGCGAGATTGAACTGATATGTGCCGTCACTTCAGCCAATCCTAACAATGAGCTTATATACAATTGGTCTCTAAATAACTCATCACTAAATGAATCACTTATTGAACGTTATGTCAAATATGAAGGCCTTAAATCCAAACTAATTATTCCCATCAGCGAAGAGTCACTGTTTGGCAGTTGGAGCTGCTCTGTGGTCAACAGTATCGGTCAAACTGATCCCAATTGCACCCTATATGTGACACCACCTACTCGTAAGCAATTTATATGTTTTTTTGTCTCCCAATATTAAATTATTATATAATTTATTCATTAGCAAAAATATTCTTTATAATGTATATTTGCTTATTTTAGATTTATGGATATAATTAATAGCATTTTATCATAACATATAATTTTGTAACTCAATAGGATAAATAAAAAATACATTTCGTGGGAAATAATTGTAGCCTTGAAACAATTATATTATATAAATTATATTTTATGCTACATTAAGCATAATACATATTTAATAAGCGATATACGCCTATTAGTTTAGTATTATTAATTCAATACAAATCAATTATACACATATGTGTAGATAATTTTTCTTAAATTATATATATATATATATATATATATATAAGTTTAACATAMATTATAAATTAATTTTGATTTATTTCAAAACAGTAATATCTGATGGAGTATTGGGTGACGAGTCTGTGCTACTCATATCGACAATAATCATAGCCATAATAATTACATTTATTGTCATATTATTTGTGTTGATTTGTTTGATGAGAAGGGGCCGTCATAAGCAAGGTTTGTKCTCTCTCTCTCTCTCTCTCTCTCTCTCTCTCTCTCTCTCTCTCTCTCTCTCTCTCTATTTCTCTCAATGAAATCAAAATAATAATACAAAAAATAATAATAGTTGGAAATTACATAATAATAGTGTGTTTTAGTTTAAATGTATATATAAGTYATGTTTTTGTGTGTTGTCTATGTGTGTGTGTATGAAATGTGGACGTGCTTTGCATGTATAGTTATGATGAGCTAACATTGATGACAGTGTGTYCCAGCGTCTAACAGTCCTCCCTATCTTTCTCTCTCTCTCTCTCTCTCTCTCTCTCTCTCTCTCCACTAATTTTTGCTGACCTTTCCCTTTATGTTATTTTTTATTTTTACAGAAACGACTCGAGTTTCACAAACCAGAGAAAAGTAAGTTTAACGCACTTTGCGATACATTTTTTGCTTAATAAAACATTTTATTTATTTTTTAATAACAATAATAATGATAACAAAAATAACACAATTTTTATTAAAGCCCTTCATTATAATATATATATACTATATATTGAATATATTATATAATCTTTTATTGTATATAATATAGTGAATATAATTTACTGCATCACAAAAGTTATATACATATATACARTACATTTTAATGCAAACCTATGATATATTAATGCAAAAATAATGCTTTATTTAGTAGCAGTTCATAGTAAACATAAACTAAAGCTACTATTTTGCATTTGAAAAACACTTTTACTATCATTTTGCATGCATTATATGATTATATATACAAATTATAATAAATGGCTATTACTATACACATATTAGTCATTAAAATATAGTTAAGCTCTAGATTTTCTTATATATTTCATAATACTAATACTACTAATGCTAATTCATATCAATGTACTAACAGTCCCGATGGTAGCCGATCTCCCACTCCCTCATCACTGAGCAGTCATTTATCATCAAATCAAGGTATGTATTTGCTATACAATAATAACAATAACACATTGCCTGCTTATTTAGATAATTATTTTAAGTGATAATAAATATCATAACCAACAACAAATATATATATATATATATATATATATATATATATAAACTCATTTTWAAAAATATGTTTGTGTTGAGAATCACATAAATTTATATATAATAAAAATGAGTACACATTTTTTTGGATGTAAAACCACAAACTAACCGATTGTCTGTTTTTATTTATATATGTGTGTGAATTGCTTTTTATTTATTTAATATGTATGGACTTCTGGTGTCATTAAAAAAATCTTAACAACAAAAAATAGTTATAACATATAAAAAGGTCGAAATGAATCCCAGATTGAAACGAAACGACAAAGTGATGGGTGAGAGATGTTTTCAATTATTTTTTTTATTATTGTTATTATTACTGTATTAATAGTAGTATTATATAAATAACCGTTTAAATACCTCGGCTTTATTTTTTTGCTAAGCTATAGCTTAACATATAATTGCCAGTAATTATTGTTTAGATTATGTGTGTTCCCAACGGAGAGAGAGAAATAAAAAAATAATAACAATTGTTTTATTGTTATTTTAAATCAATATTATCTGATGAGGTTTTCTCACATATGATTTTTTCTTAATTATTATTAATAGATATCTCGCGGAATGAATCTCTGGGTAACCGAAAGACATCCATAGACAATGAAAACGACACAAACCCGGAGTCACCCAATAGGGAAATGTATGAAAATATGGCTTTTCAGMGAAAGGTATGGCCATCTCTTTAATAAGCTTACGACACAATGCATTGATTTGCTATGAGATTAACTTATTTTTTGCTTTTTTGATGTTTCATAACAAAAAAACACAATAAGTGTCTGCAATATATGCCTAAATACCAATACAACGAAAATATCGCTCAAATAACGCGAGAGTTGCGTAGAACCCAATCAGCCAGATATCAGGTTGGCATCCCTGAGCTTAATCTAACAGCTCTTTATTATTATTATTATTATCTTCTAGTTTTTTTTGTTATTGTTTCATAAAATACTGATTTCCTAATTAGCGATCCATTACTAATAACAATGCTTTATTTTTCGCTATAATCCCCGCCTGATTTAATACAATGTAGACCTCCAGTGCCAATATATACAGCATTTATGAGCGCAATGTGGTCTACGCTGACCTACAGCTTACCAGTGATGACGATAATGTAATGAACAGTCCATACAACGGTTGTCACACCAAAATCAATGGCAATCAGCATCAGMTTCAGGAAAATCACTCGCGAAGAATGCTTAATAGCCGTCAAAGCAATTATAGCACTCTTAACAGTCATCATAACAGTCATAATAATCACAATAATAAGAGTCATATTAATAGTAATCATCACAATAGTAATGGCAATAATAATAATCTGTGCGAATATGCTGTCCTCACGTTTGACAGTTCACCCTCTCCTCCGAGCATTTGCTGACACCAGCCATAAGTCATAATAATGAAAATCCTTTTTTTATTATTATATGCTATTGTTTTTATTAGCCATTTGGTGTCGACATGGATGACCTACTCTACGCCGATGTGTACGATGATGTTAAAAGTGGCAAAATAAAGGATCCCCGCATCAAACCGCCACTTCCTCCAAAAGGACAGGCCGTTCGTGCAAAGCCACCAAAGAGACCACCAAAGACTAAGAAAGCTAATTAAATAATTAATAAAAAAATAATGAATTTATTTATATTATTAATATAATAATAGATTTATATACTGTGATATTGTTGTACTATTGTTGATGATGGGCACCGGTATGTTGTGTTCCGGATTTGCCTATTTTTCTTATACTCCGTATATATCTATCTATCTTTTTCTCTGTTGCTCTTAAATTAATTATTTATTACATTTTTTGAAAATAATTGATAGCTTTGTTATGCAAAATAATATAATTTAAAAATTGTATATTATATATAATAATAAATTGTATGGCATTTGATATCAACATTTTTTTTAAAAATGAATATTTAATATAATTATATTTTGCTTTATAATGTTTTTTTGCAACAAACAAACAATTATTTCTGTGACTGTTAATTATCTAATAGTTTTAATAATAAAAATAAATTAAAATAAAAAATTATAATTATAACAATTAATGAACAAATAATAATAAAAAGATGTTTATAATAACAATGGTTTTTTGTCTCTTAAATTATTTTGTTTCGGTTTGTTTGCTAAATATTTTTATTTTGTTTGTTTACTTATATAATTAAATGTAATTTTTGCTACAATTACACCATTTCTATAGATTATATATATACTGTGTATATACACTAGTGTTTTTCATGTATCAATCATTTTATTATAGTAACAATTAGAGAAAAATGTGTTCAAAATTGCTATCATCATCAAAATTATTAACTACAAGCAATTAAATTGGATTTGTATTTGTTGTCATCAAAAAAAAAATAAATAAATAAAAACTAACCATAATTTCTAAATAATTAATATCTAAATTGATTATAATGTCTGCTATTATATATAAATATTATAAACGCTTCCAATTAAGGAGATTATCATTATATTGTATATATCGTCATCAGTACTGATGATATAGTTTTTTAAATATACTTCCGTACCATTTGAAGGACTTAATTACCAGAAATAGCTATAACAACAACACATTTATTTAGTAAAGTATTTTTAATGTCAACTAATTTTTGTTGCTGTGTTTATCGTCAATTGTAATTTATAATCCATAAAAAAAAATTATGGATGACTTCAAACATTTGGCACACATATTAAAAATATCAATATTAATATATTAGTTTTGGCTTAAAGATCTTAAAAAACATTATATGTTATATTATTAATATACTCAAGAATTTCTGAGTGAAAAATAAAACAAAAGAGTTTAATATATAAATAAAAAATCCATTTTAATGGCATTTATGACACATTTGCTGAGATTTTGTTATTTGTGAAACATTTTCAGTTAAACTTTTTTGATTAACAAATAAAGCAATCAATACTTTAAGTAGTCGTAAAATATGTCACTTTTTAATAAACTGTGTTATATAATATTAGACAATAAAATATATTTATATTTATAAAAAATTTTGCTTTCGTTAGCATTACTATCACTCAACAGATAAGCAAAAAATTTATTTTTATATTTTATTTTTGTTGGGTTTTAGATTTCATGAATAAAATTTTAAACATATTTTTTATAGATTTTTATTGACATTTTATTTTTTATATTGTCAGCAATTTTTTAAATTAAAAACCCATATTTTGATTGAATGATACTAAAACAAAATATAAAAAAACTAAACAATGAGTAAATAGTTTTTATTAAATAAATATTTTGTAAATAATAAAAAAACAAAAAATAATAAGTTAATAATAATAAAGACTACAAATTGTATGTCAAACGTATTAAATGTTTTGTTTGTATTTTTATTATTTTGTTTTTTCAACTTTAGTATAGATTATGGGGGTATTAAACAAGATTTATAACAAACAAAAAAATTTATACATTATTTTATATCTAAGTTTGTTTGGATCATTTATTTAACTTATTTATATTGTGTTATTTAATAGCCAAATGAGTATAATAAAAGCCACTACTTTAATGTCTTAATAATATTGTAAACTAATGCCCAATAATCTGTTAGTGAGCAATATTGTTAGATTTTATTTTATTATTATTATTACAGTATTTTTATTAGTGTTATCCGACAATTATTTTTATTTTATTTGATCAGTCAATTAGGGTTCAAACAAAATGACACTAAATATCTTATTTTTTCAATATTTTTTATATAATTTTTTTTCGGTTATAACTTATTCTATTTTATTTAGTTATTTAATTTTATTTTTAAAAAAAATATATAATTTTCAAAATGTTAGTATAGAAAATTTTTGAAAATATATTTTGAAAACACTAATCTTTTAGGTATTATTTTTGAATTATTCTTTTATATATTTATAGAAATTAAAAAAATAAAATAAAAATTAACTTTTTGTGTGTTGCAAATGTTTGTCTAGAATTACAAAAACACAAAAATCTTTTTAAAAATAAAGTCTAAAAATAATGTTTTATACTTAATCTTATCACTTATAATTGAGTTTAAAATAGGAGATCATTAAAAATATTTTAAATTTTTACGTTTATTATATACACTATATTTATAAATAGTTAATTGAAAATACAAGCTATTTTATATAATATAAAAATGTTATAAAAAATTAATAATATATTTGTATTATATTATATATTTATAATTAAATAAGTCTAACGATAATAATAATAATATTAAATAATGTTATACTAGCAATAATAATAAAAACTTTAATAAAATTTAATAATATTAATAATAAGTAAAGATAAGTACATCAATAGTACATTAATGAAAGTTTAATTTTTATTATTTTTAAGACAAAATCATCTGAAATAACTAAATATAAATAGTTTTTATTTTTTAAAAGTACAGAATTGTAAAGTATATTACAGTATAATACAGTATTATTAGTGTCTGTGATGTGAATCACAAAACATGTCTCAGCGGATGATATTTTTGTATATCAAAAATTGCAAACTTGTGTTCAAAAAATTGTAATTATTTTTATGATAAAACATAAAGCCTTTGCTATTACAGTACAAACTGTATATACTGTATATATATATAGTACTATACAAACTACACAATCAACATAATTTTTAAACACAATTTTATGTTACAAAATCTTCACTGTTAACTAAAAAAGTATATAAAATTTTCAAATACTCATCAAAAAATAAAAATAAAAAATTAAATATAATGGTGTTATAGTAGTAGTAGTAGTAGTCATAGTAGAGACACGTTTTACAATAATGTACTAAATTATTGATCTAAAATAGCGGTGTTTTTATTACATTTTGACCACAATATACAGTATATAATACAGTATAATATATTATGCATCATTCAATGATAGGCCATAAAATTCAATAAACAACAATAAAATAAATGCTTTAATATCACGAAATTAGATGATATTACTAATAAAATGTTAAATTTGAACTAAAAATTTAGAATTTTGAGATAAAAACAAATTTTTATGGATTCAATAATATCTATATTTAAAATTATACACTAACTTTATATTTAAAATACAGATACTTTATTTTTGTATGAATATAAAAATTAATATATAATAAATTAAAGATTAAGTTTTTGATTTTTCTAATAGCTAGAAAAAACTGCACATAAAAGCTAATAAACTATTTTCTAAAGTATCAGAAATTTTATAATATGATATCAATTCATTTATTGAATAGTTTGTAAACTGATTCCTAATAATAATAATAATATATTATAATTTAGTTTTGATAGAATATATATAATACTTTACTATTACTACTAATAGTATATACAACTCATGTATTTTTATTTAAGTAATAAATATTTACATTATAAATTTATATATAAAAGTTTACTACTACTACTACTACTACTACTGAAACTTTATGGTCACTGAGATATTGAATTGCAAAACAAATTTAAATTTCAATACGTTTTACTGATGACATTATTTTTATCAGATAAGTAGATTAAATTACAGTAAACTTTGTCGGGATTTGCTGTATGTGTATATACTGTATATATGTGTGTAAAAATAAGTTAACAGTTTACTAAAATATCGTATAAACTTTATATATATATAATATATTATATAAACAGATATTTTTATGATAACATTTTACTGTACAGTACTATAATGTAAAATATTGATCGATGTTTAGAAAAAAATAAATATAAATTATATTTTTAACAACTTAATTGAAAATTAGTTATGTATATTATGTGTTGTTTATAAAATAAATATAAATAAATTTGAAACAAAATATATTAAGTTAGCAGTAATTTAAGTACTAAATATATACAACAAAATATACACACATTACACACACACACACACACACACACACACACACACACACACACACACACACACACACACACACACACACACACACACACACACACACACACACACACACACACACACACACACACACACACACACACACACACACACACACACACACACACACACACTATACATAGTATGTATTACATACTGTATAAGTACAACACATATTATTCAATAGCTAATAAATTATAAATAAATTTTTTGGCACAAATGCTATACTAAATGATTGAATTAGGAGTTAATCCTATTTTCACTTGAATTGAGTTAAGGTTTTTGTTGCTTTCAAATAATTGAATTCAATTTATACATAATTAAGAGCGCTTTTGATGTTTAGCTGCTCTCCAATTACATACAATATAGTATATTATATATTATATATTATATACACATAAGTATATCACATCATAAATGCAAACTTGAAACTCAAACTCTTTTTATACTACATTAGATATTTTGAACATTATTTTAAAAGTACAGTAATTGTATTTTTAGTTTATAATAATAATATTGTGTAAAACAACACTTTTATATTTAATTTATACAAATTATTTAAAAAT